ATCTCTTGCACCAACCAGATCGATCTCTACAAAAGTACTACTTTCCCAGACCAGATGACCATGAACTATTCTGTCAGCATAGTCAACCCCTGGAGGGCCCGACGCCAGCCCCCAAGCCATCGATGACGACATACCCTCTGGTAAGAGTCCGATGGGTGCTCGATCGATGCAGGCCATTGCACGATCGGGCGGGCGGCTGTTCGGTTACCTACTCTCCGGTGCGTTAGTCGTGTGCCTTCCTTCAACCCGTATGCTTCGTCCCGGGAAATCAAATAGAGTAGACGGCAACGACAATCCTCAGTATTCAGGATTCTGGATACGAGACGACTGTCCCCTTTCGCTTCGATTGGCCTTGCCTGACCTTGCCTGACCTTGCCTCCTATCGCGACAAGGATGGCTTCTGATCGATCAGGAGAGTACAGCGTACTTTTTCATTTTCAACTGGAATGCAGAACTAGAAACGACGGTCTCGATCGAGGTCTCCAGAACAGACTTTCAGACTTTCAGTTCAATATTCCCTTATTACATTGTCACATCTCGAATCGCCCCTTTTCTCGCGATCGATACGAACTGCACTCCTGGACCTTTGGGAAGATGATGTAGGAAGCCACGGAGAAACCAGACAAGGTGCGTACGAGAGGGAAAAAAAAGTACGGACTCTTCTAGGAGTAGTACTCCGTGGCGGTGAGCCAGACAAGCAACCCATGTAACCATAGACCATTCCAACATGAAGCGCCCGGGTAAAGGCATGAAGATGCAGACCAAGTGCAATCACCCCATAGTTCTCTATGCAGTCATGATCTTGACTCGAAGAAAGCCCCCACCATCCCCAAAAAAAGACTTTCTCTAACCCCACCCCTTTTCGGGGGACTGTCAGTGCGCCTTCCCGCTGTCACTAGCCAAGGCAGTGCCTCAACCCAAGGTTTCAGGGTGATTGCATCAGACAACCGCCCAGTAAGCCACCGAACAGCTCCGCCCAGCTTTTGTATGGCATCTCGATCGTACATCGGTCATCGGGCATGAATATAAGCGTGGCGGTAATAGCGGTCACAGGGTAATTAGATGAAATATGCGTCAAACGCCAGACTATGTGAATCTGCTACAGTAGTTTCTGTAAGAAATTCCTTTTGTTTGCTACCTAGATAGCATTTAATTCCTTGAAAAAGGAAATCTAATCTCCACTTCTTCGGTCGCCAAGTCCTGTCAACATGCGTTGGCTAGCTTTCGAAGAGGCACTATTTTCTTTTCTTTTGTTTTTCTCTTGCGAAAAGAGTTCGAGTTTTCTTTCTTTTTGTTCAAACGGTTGGTAAATCTTGACTCTAAGAATTAATTGTGGGTGGTTTGCTATAAGCGGACAGGGTGTTCCCCTGTAGCCTTTATCTGCACCTCAATCTGGATTTGGCGTTTTGTGGGCTTAATGGCTTCCACTATTATTAATTAGATGACCGCAGATGGACCTATCGGAGGGAGAGATGGGACCGCAGTGGACATGTGGCGGTGCGCCTTACATGAACATTAACACTGTTTACATACAGTAGAAAAAGGCTGAAAATAGCTGTGACCGAGCCACGTTGTGGCTCAACGTTGACTGGAGCAGGGATGAGACCGGCAGAGCTGCATTCCATCCTACCAATTAGAGACACGGAATTGGTATTTTAGCGAATTTTGGAACTCGGACGAGCCTGTCACATCTCTGAACGGGAGCCTAGGCCCTATCAGCGGCGTTTTCCGTCTCTTGTTCACTGACTAGCCGTTCTAACGGTCATCCCGATTCTGCATTGTACAGGAGAGATGGTGTAGTGGGGGTAAAACCAGGAAAAAGGAAAGAAACCATAATCCGAAAAAGCAAATACAAATGAGTTGACAGATGAGAGGGCTCCATAGAGGGGCGGTAACAAACAAAGACTTCCCGCGCAAAATCCCCTTGCGATTGATAGTGGGGGTAGCTCGCGCGGCCTTTCACGCCGTTGTTAGTGTTGACGGCGTGGATTTTCTTTATATACGGAACTAGGAGTGACCAGGGTGTAATGACAAATAGCGGCCAAAAGTACAGGGGGTTGCGACAAGCTTGGGGAAATAAAGGACCTATGGCAACCTAATGCTAAGGCGAATGCAACGATGATCGTTCTTTTGTATATGCCTTTGTGTGGCGGAATATGATCACGGATCGGGGGATTACTCAAAAATCAAAACCTAATCAATTTGAGAAGTGTATACGATCAAACACGCAGGTACGATGTTGTGTGCAGGTCCACCGAGCTGCTGCAACTCATTTGGTTCTGATTTGTGTTTGCCCGATCTGGCGTCATAAATATAGTGTCGTTTGCCTTGGGGAATCCCACCGAGTCCACGTGCGGGAGATGGACAAAGTGACAGATGCTTGGGTGGCCGTTCCCTTTCCCTTGGGTTCCTACCAAGGGTGTTCCTTCCCGAGGGGTTGAATTTTATTTCCCTAATTTTTTCTGGGATTTTGACCCGATCCCGACCACCTTAACCGGATCAGGAAGGATCAGGAACTTTAGGGTGGAAAGTGGGGTTTGGAGAAGCGATTGTTGCCGAAATAAAGAAACTCGATTCAAAAGTACAGCGCTTAACCTCCCGGAGAGATCATTGAAGTCCCCCGACACTGTAAATTTAAATGTCGTCAAGCTGTCTCGATTTGTGCTAGGACGACCGCCTCACCAAATGTACGCGTCTAGAACAGACCAGTGGTCCTGACCCGCCATTCCGGTGCTTTGATGCATTTCGCTTATGTATTCATCCTCCGAGATTCATATCTCATTTGGCGAGATTTGAAGGGTCCGATCTCAGGGGTTCGCCGTTTCCCAGCTGAAGAAAAACGTTGATGGCCATATCCTGGTAGCTGGAAACCCGGCGAGCTCCTGTCATATCCAAGGCCCTGGGATTGAAGGAAGATCGACAGAAATGATGTCTTTTAAAAATGGATCGAGACCCTATCAGCGAGTCATTCGGGAGAACATCCCAGGATCCAGGGTGTTGGGCCACGCACAAGCCTTCATCTTGATAGGTTCATGGACTGGAGATGGCGTGGAGGGCCACACGCCGGCTGAGCTCGGCCATTGGACCAGACGGGCCCTGCGACTAGCGCCGGGGCACATCAGACAGAGATCCGAGGTCTGTTCGAGCACCAAGCAGTAGTGTGGTTTTTACGTGGAAACTTACGCTTAGCACCTGCAGTTCGTCCCCTATGATTTGTCAGGCTGATTCTCCCCGTAACCGCTGTAACACGAGAAAAATAAAATCGGAATTAATTAGGGGGACTGGAGGTTCCTGACTCTGCAGTATTCCCACTGCGCGGAACCTCCGACAGCTGAAGTGTGATCTGCATTGTACCTTATGAATAGCCACATTATACTATTTCGCGTGGGCCCCGACGCAAGGCTGGGCCTGTGCGGACTTTTTACTGAACACGAAAGGTACGAGCAGGTGACATCGAGGATAGTGCGACCAGAGTGAAATGAGCTTCTCCAACGGATTAGCAGTAAACAAAGAACGGATCCCTGGTTCAACGTGGATCCCCGGGGCGCTTAGTCCCGCCGGGTACCAGAGAATAGAGTCACCGTTTGTGATTAAGGGTGGAAACGGTCGATAGAACCGGTTGCCTCGCTCTCGCTCAGTTGTTGGGTACATCACGACGTACATTTGACAGCCATGACACCCCGGGAGTCTTGTGGGGACTGGGAAGAGAGGGGCTAGGCGATCGATAATCGACAGCACCAGTCTCCATTAGGTACTACTCCGAGCCGGGAGGAAGTGGAGACCTCTTGTCATGGAATTAAAATCATTTTAAAATCCCAAAAATGTCAGCGATCTACAACTAGTCGGACAGGGATTACTGTGTAGATCGGGACACCCAATGGACACTAATTGCGTACTAACAGATGACTACTGCATGTTGCGCTCCAATACGCAGCATGCATACTCCGTAGCGCGATCAGAGAAATTAAATTAAATCCCAAAAAGCTGCCGGGGATCCCCCGGCTTTCTGATGCCCACAGGGATCATCCATGCTCGATGTGGCACAGTGTTTGATGGGGTTTTAACAATTTTAAAAAAAAGGATTTTATTTTGTGAAAAATCCAAAGAAGAAAAAAATCCAATCGAATAATCCAGTTAAATCCAAAAAAGAAAAAGAAAAAGAAAAGTACTTTGGCCTACAGATCTGACCCCCCATCGCTGCCAACTACCAAACTGAAATAGCCCTGGACTCCAGTTGATCTTGGTTGGGTTAATTTAAACACCCTGCTCTTCCCTCCCAGGTCAATACTTTTTCTTTCTACATTCCATCTACATTCCTTCGACCCACTTCCAACAGTGCTTCATCCTGTGGCCCCCAACAAGATATTGTGTATACAACCAGGTCAACCCCGTTTGTACCACCCATCCACTACTTGGAAACCCCCGGGAACATACGAGTGGAGCTCTATTCCATCTTCGTTCCTGCATTCTAGCCGTCGGCTGCCAACGTCAACTTGGCTCTGGCTCTGCAGTCTTCCCTCGCACCACTTGTCAATCCATTGGACCAAGTTTCCCAACTGTCCTCGTCAATCCGTGAGTCTATCTGCAACAGTCCCCAAATAGATGGTTCTATTCCAAATAGCTTGGCTTGCAAAACCGTTCGCGGGATGCCTTTCTTCACATCCCTCTACCCGGCGGGGCACGGGGATGATAGCCGCCCGTTAGGCATCGCCATCTACTGGCTGTCGAGGGTTTCCTAAAACGGCTTCATGCTGGGTGCATTGGACTAGAGAATTGAGACCATCAAGCTAACTATATGGCCTAGTGCCAACTCCACTAGGTGTAAAAATCCAGATCTTCAGCCCCCGTTGAAAACGCCCGTCCTCTTCTATAAGAAGGACCATTCCATCTGGAATTATCTGATACATTCGACAATTTTTTTTTTTTAACGAGCTTCAGATTGTGATTGTTGATATCACCGGGTATAATACAATTCAGGACACTTTGTCCCACTCGACAATATGGTTTACGCCAAGCCCAATTCTTCGACTGGGGCTATGAAACGGTCCGCTTCTGCCCTTCATGAGGGCCCCCCGGGTTGGGATGTGGCTCCAGTACGTTGATGCATAGTGTATTCGCACCTGACTTTGAGCTAACAAAGTTTCAGCCTATGATGACTCCATCTCGATCATCTGCCCGCCTGCCTTATGCACACTACGCTATGATTTACCTCGACAATGAGGGCAAGATCAAGGTTGACGAGTCTGCCTCTATTCAAGAAAAGAACTCCACCCTTTTCACTTCTGAAGTCCGCCAGAACTTCCTCGAGATCCTTGGTGAGAGCGTGAGCCTTCAGCCTGGTGCCCGCCGTACTATGGAGGCATCCCCTCGCCGAGTTCGTCGCCGTCGTGGAAATGCGCCTGGCGCTTCCACCATTGATTCCCGTTATGATGATGTCTCTGATAGCGATGACTTCTCTCCTAATGCATCCTCTGACATGGTTCCCATTCGCGTGGGAGATGTTCAAAAGGTCATGAGCTATTACGAGGGTGCTCTGAAGCATTTCCAACAGCTCAACTGCCGTATGGTCGCAAAGGCGTTTATCAAGTTCATTGAACCGCGCAAGCAAGTAAGACACCCTTACAATGGAGGAAAGCCTCCACCAGGATCCGCTCCCGGTGCCACCGGGGACCCAGAAAAAACTAAGCCTGAGTGGTGGCCCCCGGGTGTTATGCACAAGGAGCCCGACCACCTTAGAAAGGAGTGTATGTATAACCTACTTCCACTGCCATGAGCTATATACTGATCTATTAATAGACCGCATTGAGTTACTGCTGCACATTATTCGCAAACTTGGTGGTTATGGTATCACCGCCGATAAGCTTAAGGAAGTCGCTGGCGACACTAAGCGCAGTCTGAAGCACCCCTCCCACGTTGAGATCATCTACGAGATCCTCCGAGTGAGAAAGATGGAAGAGCGATTCGAGCGCGGTGAAGTTGGTACGTACCCACTACTCTCAAACCATTAGCCCTCATTCACTAACACTAGTCTAGATGGCAACATGGTTGTCTTTATTCAAAACCGGGGACCTAGTCCCAAGGGTGATGGCGACGAGGACGATGATTCCAACGAGCCTGCCCCACTTGAAGCACCAGAACTCATCGAAGATGGTCTCATGACACCCACATCATCCGTCGAGCATCTCGCCCCATTGACCACTCCAATCGATACTCTCCCCATCGGAGGCCGCAGTCTACCCGGTAGCTTCTCCATGCCCGAGCTTACCTTCGACGGCCCCCGACAAGATAGACCCTACTACACCACCCCACCCCACTACACAGACTCCTTCTCACAACCCATGCTCAGCACCCCCGTCACAGCAGAGATGATCAGCCCCCACGACGTCTCAGTCTTCGACTACTCTCAACCCCCCTTCCCCAACTCCAGTCCAGAGCATCAGCGCCACCAAGCGCCTGGGCACTACGACCCTTGGGGTGCACCAACATTCCGCCAGAACGTCTTCGGCTCTGTCGACTACGGCGTGCCAACAAGTAGTCAAGCTGTGACTCCCGTTTCCATGCCTTACCACATGCCCATGGCATCCCCGGCACATTTGCATGACATGTCCCACCAGCATTCCCATGCACAGTCCCCAATGGACCCCATGTCACAACGGGCTTTGCCCTTCCGCACTGGCTCCCTTGGACACCCTAACCCCCACGGGTTGCCATTATCTCACCCTGCCTAAATCAACGGATGGGCTGGACCCGGTTGATTGGTGACGTGAAATGACTGAACTTGAAGAAGCTTCGGGCTTCGTAACGATTATATGACTGATGGCTCTGAATACCACAACAAAGTACTCATATACAGGGGGCTTTTGCACGGGAGTTGTCGTTTGTGAATAAAAATTAGGTCGGTGTCTACTTCAGGAGCCGCGCAGATATATGGGTTTGTTTGATTTGAGATATCTTGGATTGTTTTGGATTTGGATTTTGGTTGCTTGTTGTTTGTTTCCAATTTCCGGTTTTTATTTTTATTTTTTACCTTCTACAACTTTATTGTTAACCTTCTTGACTCTCGCTAATACTTTGTTCCTTTTTCTCCTCTTTTGGTTGATCTTTGTTATGTATATGGTTGATGGTTGATGGATTGGTTCTCATGTGTACGCTTCATGGGGCTATGTTGATAAGCCATTGTTTAGTAGATGATGAACAGGAATCATTTTTGAATAAAATATTTTCTCTCAGACTCTAGTAGAGATTTCTCGCACAATAATTGGGGATTATGCCCTATGGTCTACTGACAGACGCGGGTATAAATCAAGCGCTACTGCCGCTACGGAGACGCGCGGCTAATAATGGAACCGTGCCGCTTTCTTGAAGTCGCGTGAATCAGCAGAGCTTCCATCACCTCAACTCCGACGCAATAGCTCTGTGGCCCTGTACGTTCTCAATTTCCATGTCGAGGACGCGAGCAATATTTAAACCCAAGGGTAGCTGATTATCTTTGACAGTGCGCCCACTCTCTTGACGTGTCTATCTTTCACAATTCCGCAGCAACTTCACGACCGTCGCACCGCTTTGTCCAGAACCTACCCATCTGGTTCAACATCCATAATCCCCATATCGATCGCGACGTGATATTTGCAGTTCCGAGATAATATAGATCACAAGCATCTGAAAGGTACCGATACCGCCCTCCCATCGTTCACGACCCAGCCCTCCGCATTCGATTGCCCACCCCGTATCTCAGTGAATTATACATTGGGCTCCGCCGTTCATTACCAACATGAACTGACTTTATGTTCTCGCCTTGGCGACCGAACTTCAAAATATAGACCTTTTCGTTCCATCGCTCGTGTCCAGCCCGTCCGTCTAGATTTGCACTCGACCCGACCTTCGATTATTTCCAACTGAAGTTCCCAACAGTGTGGAGTGCTGAAGTGGCTGGTTGCATTCTCCTCCGCTCGTAGCGGACAGGATGGCTACCCCGTTTAACCCATTCAGTGGCCGAGGCCAAAGAGGAGCGGCCAACCCGACAGCTACGGCAAGCCGGGGACGCGGAACACCAGCTGGCCGTGGGGGACACTTTCCGCCAAGAGGCTCTAGCGCACCTCGGGCAAAGTACAATATCAACCGAGGAAGAGGTGTTTCACAGTCGCGCGGCCGTGGTCGGGGTCGTGGCGCTGGCGCTTCATCCCCAGCCACATCGCATTCGGGTTCGGGGACGCAATCCCCCCAGTTACAGCCGACCAGCTCTCCGTTCAGCCAAATGGGTCAGCAAAAGCCCGCCTCGAACCCTTTTGGAGCGCCAAATCCCCAGCAAAAATCGCCGTTTGCTAGCATTCAGAATGCGCCAGCTGCCCAAGTGACTACCCATGCCCCCCAATTTGTACAGAAACCGATTGCAGCAAACCCAACCGGTGGTGGATTAGGCCATGTTCCCGTGGAGAATGCGACAATTTTGTCACAATATCACGAGCGCTATGACCAGGTAAGCAAAACCTTTCTACTGGCGCATTGGCTTGAAATTCTGGAATAGGCTTATCTGACCAATCTTGCAGCTCAAAGTCGATCGCGCAAACCAGAGGCAGAGGGCCATTAGGGATGGCCAGATGGCCGATCCAAATCAGCCGACCTCACTAAACAATGCCATTACGCCCGTGGGTACTTGTGCTAGCATGTGTCCTGAATTCGAACGCGTTGAACGTATCGTGCAAAAGATGGTGGACAAAAGTGAAAAGGTAAAATGCTTTGCTCCTTCCCAGTATGTCTGCTTCCCCGCCATACACTGACATTCTCCTAGTACCTGCATTCATCAACCGGCACTCTTCAAAACATGGAGACCAAAATGCTGAAGCGGTTCCGACGATCAGCTGCTGGATATGATGAGCAGCTCCCTTCTGATATTCGAACTCCCAACGCCTTGCTTCAGAGCACCAATTATCTGATCCGCCATATTGTTGGTGGCAACGAACCATTGGGCATCATCCACAAGTTTGTTTGGGACCGTACAAGGTCCATTCGCAATGACTTTTCTGTCCAACAGGTCACGCAAGAAAAAGACGTGAAGATCGCCGTGACCTGCCTAGAGAGGATTGCTCGATTTCACATCGTGTCACTGCATCTCCTTTCCAGCCCGGAAAACGAAGAGCCCTTCGATCGTCACCAGGAACGTGAGCAGCTCAACAACACGATGTTATCTCTCATGTACTATTATGATGATCACCGCGGGCGCATCCATTTTCCGAATGAGGATGAATTCCGCGCATACTACATCATCTTCTCCATTCATGATCAGCGACCCGATCTAGAAGCTCGCGTTTCGAAGTGGCCAACGTCTTTATTGACATCACCTCGCGTTCAGGTTGCATTGGAGCTATATGCTGCCGCTTGCAATACCTGGGAGTACCAAGGAACCCTGGATGCAAGGCGACCTAATGCCATTGCACAGGGATTCTACACCCGCTTTTTCAACATCATCAATTCGCCCTGCGTGTCCTACCTAATGGCGTGCATCGCTGAAATCTACTTCAGCTATGTTCGGCAGACAGCCATCCGTGCGATCTGGAAAGGTTACTGCAAGACGCCCATGTCCCAGCAACATAAGAATCAAGAATGGACGGTGGAGGAACTGACCAGGGTATTGCACTTTGACGATGATGAAGAGACCATGAAGTTCCTCGAAGAGCAGGATTTACAAACGGCAGAGAACGCCAATGGGGAACTCTACCTCGACTGGGGTAACCGCCCTGTTGATTCCGTTGGTATGTACTACTGTCGACATGTTCACTATTCCAGCCACCGTCCGGTTTTACTAATTGCGTACTAGGATTCTCACCATCATCTGAGCATGCTTATTCGGAATTCACCGTAGAATCAAAGCGGGGCGGAAGAAGCCTAGTTGCTGTCATTCTAGGAATGAACATCCGAGAGGCAGCAAAAATGGGGTTGATTGATAAATCTAAGCTGCACGAACATGCGAAACCCTCATCCCCAGGTGACCGTGACGGGATGAGCAATTCTCCTCTCTTTGTCAGTGAAGATGAGAACACCTTCTCTGCCCCACTGGTAGAATCGAACTTTTCGACATTGGACAGCGATCGCTTGACAGAGTCGTCTGCCCCATGCACGCCCAATCCCTTTCAAAACTCTTTGCCTGATACAAATCAATCATCAGGCGCCCAACCTGCTATACCTCCCCCGCAGCCTTCGAATCCGTTCAAAGCCTCTCCCCTGAATCCTTTCGCGTCCCCGTTTCCTAGCAGCACCGCGGCCAAAAATGCTCCTTCAACACCATCGCCAGCTTTGAATCCGTTTGCTGCTGCTTTGAAGCCAACGACATCGACATCCGCTGCTCCTGCTCCGTCACTATCTCCTTTCTCGTTTGGCAAACCAGCCGAGGAAGAGAAGCCTGTGGAGTCAACGCCTGTCCAGGCACCTTCGCCTTTTGCCACTAGTGGTCTTTTCAAGCCCACGTCTGAGCCCTCTACTTCAGCCCCAAACCCATTTGCTGCCTCTTTGTCGTCGTTTAAAACTTCTCAAACATCCAACTCAACCCCCGATGTTGCTTTTACCACCAAGTCAACTCCTCAGCAACCTACGTCGTTGTTCTCTACCGCCAAGCCTTTTTCTCCATCGATAGCCCTCAAAGATACTAGTGCTGCACAAGTCTCTACTTCTAAAGCTGCACCGTTTTTCTCAGCACCAAACCCTTTCTTCCCCTCCGCAGGCACCGGGGGTGCCAGTACTACGGAAACTACCATCCCCAAGTCAGCTTCGCCATTCAATCTCGCAAACATTACACTATCCTCGCAATCGCCTTTTGAACCCCCTTCATCTGACTCGGAGTTTTCATCTCAACAAAGTCCATTGCCGCTGACTCCTGCGATTGAGTCAGCCGAAAAGCCAAAGAATCTTTTCAGTGGGACCAATGGTTCTCAAAATCCAGGACAATCTTTCCCCAAGGAACCTTTATCAGAGCAGCCTTTCTCCACAGAAAAACAGAGTCAAGAGGTTCCTCCTGAGGCGGTCCCCCTTGGTCAGTCTACTGAAAATCCTCTATCGGCTTCTAGTGCTTTTGCTCCTGCGCCAACCACTTTATCGCGACCTTCAAACCCATTGTTTTCGGCTACGAAGCCGACCGAGTCGGTAGAGCAAAAGCTCAAGGAAACACTGGCAAGTGCAAAGCCTCTTTTCCCGCAGGCGACGGATTTACAATCCATGTCTCCTCCCAAGGCCTCAACCAACAGCACATTGGTTGGGAATATTTCCCAGGCCCAAAAGCCAGTACCTCCCGCAGCGACGACCAAAAACAACACAACAGGGTCTGATAAATCTGTCGCCTCGTTAGACTCTTCTCTCTCGTCTCAGGATTCCCCTAATCCATCCATCAAGCGGAAGTTTGAGGATGGACCTCCTGGTGAGTCCAATGTTTCCTGTCTTTCAACTTCTCGAGAATCTTCTTTTAACTCTCTTTTTTAGTTTATGCAACGAAGGACGAAGAACAAAATGCCTGGCACGGCCTTCTTCGGCGACTCTCGGAGAAGCAAGCCCGCAAGAGGGCGCGTAAATTGGAACTGGAGCAGCAACGGGAAAGAGAACTCGAACAAGAAGAAAAGCGGAAGCAGCAAGAAGAGAAACAGAAGAGGTCATTAGTGGAAGAAGCTGCGGATGAATTGCCGAATGGACGAGAATCGAAAGCTCTCAAGGTGTCCGACCTGGTCGACAACCCAGTACCCAGCAAGGAATACTCTCTCTTCCAAGCATCGACCCGAATCCTACCCACTCTGCCCTGCTTGGAGCGTTTCAAGGACTCCACTGAACGCAAGGGACCGACCGATTCCGAGATTGAGGCCGCAGGCAGAGCCCGTCGACAACGCGAGATCGATCAGGATGAGCTGCTTCTTTCCGCCGCCCGGATTGCGGCTGAGCAGTTGAAGAACGGACCCAAGATTTTTGACTCTTATCCTACTGAAAATACCGAGCATCGCTACTCGTACAACCCTCAAAGGAGCTTTTCGGCGTCTACTCCATACTCACAGAGTATGTCACCGCCTGCACCACCTATGTATCCGAATCACGGGTATGACGTGGCTTACGCTCCTGATACCCCGCTGGGCTTAGGTCGGACTATGTCACGCACTGAGCAGAGAATCCGGCGGACTGGGGCTCACGGTCTAGCCTACCTTCCTCTAGACTTCAGTCGCGTCCACAGTAAAAGCCAAGACGACAAGAACAAGTTCTCAAAAAGCGGTTAAGCTTTAAACTATATCTCCGTGTGTCATCTATTATGATAGTCATGGATGTCTAAGTGGATGGATTTTTCTGCATTGCTAAAAGGCGTTCTATATTTACACATATTCACATGGTGTTTGACGGTACCTTTGCAGTAAATACCCTTGTTTTTTTATTGCTGCATACTCCGAATAAGCTTACAATATGGATGAAACATTAGTCATCTTTTCAATTTTGGCGTAACTACAGTAGCTTGTTCATACTCGGGTACCTGCTTATGCAGCTTAAGAGTGTTTTGATGTGGCCCAATAAGTTGTGACTCTGTAAGTCTATCAGCCGTTCGATGTATTCAAAACACCATTTACTTGCCATAAGGCCATGTATCAAGTCTAGATTCCCTGTGGATTCACTATAGCGGCTCATTCAATGTTGTCATGTGTTTCTCTTTTCACGTGATGGTCTGACGTAGCATAGAGACGTCCGCGGCAGGGATCCACTCTGCAGATATGCACTGCCATTGGGACCGAACGACAGGGCCCAAGTATAAAACTTTGTTATCTACATGGCTTTGAAAACAACTCCCAAGGCAACATCTATTTTACATCCGATCTCAACCCTACACCTCCATCGCTTTTCACAGGGAGTCAGCCGCTTACGTAGCAACAAACATCTCGAGTCACTGCGGAAATTCTCCACGTCGCGGGGCCAGGAGATGCGTATTGCGACACTACAGTTCGCCCCCAAGCTGGGTGATGTTGAGAGCAACATCCAACGCGCTAATGAAGTCTTGAACCGAGGCAAGCTTCTCTCATTGGGTTCTGGCCGGAGCTTGAATCCCAAAGCTGGTCTCACCGCTGCCATTGAGATTGAGAGACTGAGACCTGATGTTTTGGTTTTACCTGAGTTAGCATTGACGGGTACGTATTAAGAGATGTCCCTTTTCATGTCAAACATTACACATCTCGAGAGTAAAGCACATGCGCTCTCCATGTTGTCCAAATGTACCAAAGTACAACCCACTCACCAGTAAGAAACACTATAGGATACAACTTCCCCTCATTGGAAGCCATAAAACCCTATCTTGAGCCCGCAGGCACAGGCCGCAGCGCCACCTGGGCGCGCGCCACAGCCAAGCGCTTAAAATGCAAAGTCTGCATCGGGTACCCGGAAATCGAAATTGGAAATGGTACAGACCCGGCTAAATACTACAACTCCCTTTTGGTAGTTGACGAGCACGGCGAGGTTATCCACAACTACCGTAAGTGCTTCTTGTACTACACAGATGAGACGTGGGCGGCCGAAGGGAATGTGGAGCGGGGGTTCCACGAGCTTGACTTCCACTCGCGGGATGATGCACAGCGTACATCCGGAGATCTCGTGGGTGATATCCACCGAGGTGCAGCAGGTGGCGATAAAGGCGACGGTGAGGTAGTAGGGTCCGCACCATCCAGCAAAAAAGTGGCAACATCATTCGGTATCTGTATGGATATCAATCCTTACAAATTCGAAGCACCCTACGCCGCCTACGAGTTTGCCTCGCGTGTTTTGGACTCCCAGTCTCAGCTTGTGATTCTCTCTATGGCTTGGCTGAGTATGCACAGCCGCGAAATCTTAGATGCATTAAACCGGGAACCGGATATGGATACCTTCAGCTACTGGCTCCAGCGGTTCATGCCGCTCCTGGAGAAAGAGATGCAGCATGCACGAAATGTGGATGATGAGGATACCCCCAAACAGGTTGTGATCGTCTTCGCCAATCGAGCCGGTGAAGAGCCGGCGGCAGATGATACCAAGCCACCGGCGCTGTATGCGGGGACCAGTGCCGTTGTTGCGGTGACGCAACGGGCCGGGTTGGGGTCACGGGAGGGAGTACAGGCGGAGAAAGAGATGGAGGTGAAGATCCTCTGTTGGGATCAGCTTGGAGCGCAGGAAGAAGGTATTTGTTTCGCGGATACCACGGCAGACCCGAAAATGGTTTTTGGGCTTCGTCGTTCGGAGTGAGACATTCCGAGACGAAACGCGTCAGTGGAGTTGGGACTTTGTGATTGTGTGGAGTGTGGAGGTGGGGATGTGCATCTGGTTGCCTACTAGTACGACTAGTAGAAGACTAGTGGTTGGCGATGTACAGGTTTGTATGCAAATAGATGACATATAGATATCCATATGGTTACATGTATTCATAGAGAGGACCCTGGAGATGCTACGATTTGATCTCCATTGTTCGGAAGGAATCGTTTATTTTCTATAATCGTGATTACCCCTCTGCGCTAGTGGCTAGTGATATCAGCCATGTCAATCTTGGCCAGGATGATCGCATGGGAGATCGACTATTTCTGCAGAACACACATCCACTTTATTTCGAGAGTCTTATGACCAGGCGATCCTTCACATACTGAGAGAGTCTAGCCCACTGACCCAGTGCAACCCCGGATCCACAGGATGAGAAGTCGACCTGAAACATGTGATGGTTCATGATCGGCGAAGGGAATCCAAGTGATAACGACGGCCCCAAAACTGGGAAACAGAAGGGCGCACCGTGTCTTATCGCTGCTTCTATACTCTATACTTCTGCCCGAAATAGCGCACTTGCCTGATCCGGACTGATAGTGGCCCGTGCCCGCTAACTACACGTGATGGTGTGGTCGATCAACCAATCAGTGATGCGAATCACGGAGTGTGTGTGAGGGGCACGGGACTATTGCACATGATCCGAAAGTGTGAATCTTTCCAAGAGAAAATGGAAATGAAAATGAAACGGAAAATGAAGGGAAAGATAAAAAGTCGTTCAAGTAGAGAACACTTTGATATTCCAGCAGTCAATCTACGAGCGGCTGTGTCACGGGTACCGGATACCTGCCTGGGTCGGGTGCAGATCAGGTGATATTCAACGCGACTGGTCTCTACCGCCAACCGTATCGGCTTCTCCTCAAACCTTCCACGTGAGTCCACCTCGACTCGATGATTCCCCCCTCCAAAAGCATCCCTTTTGCATGTAATATCTGCGTTTTCGAGTGGATTATCAAACCGATCTCCTCTCCAGCTATCCATTTTACCTCTCTTTCTTCCCCTGCAATTTGGGGAGTTCTTTTTGGAGTTCGCATATCGCGAACAACGTGACTTCTGGTCTTGTTATTGTCCGTGGCAGGTGACTTCTTGTCAGGTGATAAAGAGGATCATCCAAGGTAACGAATCTCCCCATCGGACCCCCGAATGCACTTCCCTTCCCCCCTCCCCATGTCGCGCTGTGATGCTACCGCGACCTCTCCAATCCTGGACTGTGATCCCCCTTGCCTGATTTCCTCGGTCGCCCGCAGCCATGACGCGCCTCTGATGTCTTCGCGCGCATCTATGGCTTGCGACAGAGCCTCAGGGTGACCCTGAGGCGAATCAGAGCTATGTAGAGCTACTGTCGCGATGCGGTTGATGACTCAAGGCCTTCCTGGCGACGAAACCGCTTGATCCCGACCGTTCGTTAGGCCATCCGCCTCAACGGGCGCGTCGACTTCACGCGTTTTTTCTTTCTGTTTACCCTAGGGAGTGACGATCGATCCTCCCGGGGACGGGCTGGCCCGGCCACTTCACTAATCCAAGCGTTTCACGGACACCTTGATCCTGAATCCTTTTCTGAAACAATTTTCTGCTTTACACTTACCCTGCTTTTCCCCTCTTTCGATGACTAACCGCCCTCCCACCTTAGGCTTTCACATATGATGTCTGATCCATCCATGAACAGTCCCGACGGGCATGTCCATAAGCGCAAGCGCGAGGGATCTGACGACTTGGGACACGATCCCCAACGTATGAATCGTTCGTCACACGGTAGCAACGGCAGTATGGACAACCAGCACAATTTCGGTCACTCTCTCAACTACGAGCACGGTCTGCCCAACACCGGCTCAGAACTCAACATCGACCAGCAGATTCTTCAACACGTTGGCCCGCAGAATGGCATGTCAGATGATAACGCTCTTACTGCGAACGCGAAGGCTGCTCTCGCTGCTCACACTCCCCAGCACAAGTACCCGCCCCCACCTGATGCCGCTTTCGATGCCAACAACTTGACCTCGGGTTTGACTTTTGGCGATGATATGGGTCAGCCGCCCATGGGCCCTTCACACAACCACAACTCTACTGCTGCCGCGGTATATGCTGCACGTGAGGCACAGAGTATGAACCAGAAGCCCACTGTCGGCTCTCCGGAATGGCACCAGATTCGCAAGAACAACCACAAAGAGGGTACGTCGGCTTTTTATATCCCCGGACTAGTCCGCACCGGCACTAACGTTTTGTTTCAGTTGAGCGTCGACGTCGCGAGGCCATAAATGAAGGCATCAACCAAATCGCTCGTCTTGTTCCCAACTGCGACAAGAACAAGGGCGCCATACTACAGCGGGCAATCGAATATATCTGCCAGCTCCAGGAAGAGCGCAAGAATATCGACGAGCGATTCGAGCAACACAGCCTCACCACAAACCACGCTATCACCGAGATCAGCACATCCAACTCCAAGTTGAAGGCCGAGGTCGGCCGACGCAACAACATCGCTCTCAAGTGGCTCCAGCGCTGCCGTGATGCAGGCCTTGAGTTTGACGACTACGACGAAGCCAAGGACCTGGAGACTCTGGACATGGAGTAAACTTGAGCTCTGAGGTCTTTGTTATAGTTTTCATTCGCATGTGCTACGACTCTGTTTTCGGTGGTTAAGATATTGAACATACCCTCATTCCCCGTTCTTCTTTCTGCCTGTTGTTTCTCACCCTGCTCTCTGGGTTTGATTACTGCCTTATCCTTTACCCTTTCTGTTGCTTATTCACTTCTGTTCTGGTGGATATTGCTATGCTTTCACCACTGCTTTATACAAGGCGGCCGATGTTCTTACGCCAGTGTTACTAGCGTATGGCGTATATCTTGTTTCTCTTGAACTTTTTTACTGTTCTATTCACCCTCTTCTTTGCACTTGTGCATGTTATTGGTCATTTTTCGCCCTGTTATTTGGTTTTATTACTACGGTCGGGTCGGCGAAATTTAGGTTCGGATGGGGGTTTTTTACTGGAAGCCATGGAGCTGTCGGTATAATGAAGTTGATTTAATTATTTCACGTGATCAAGACGTAGACATAAGGTAATCAGTGTAAGCCTGTAATATTGACCTGAATTCGTCAAATTCTATATTGAAAAATGTGAAGAGCAAACAATGGTATGAATTTCGAGCTATGAGGTATGGGAGACAGGCTTAGATCCACTACACATCATCGCGCATCCCACATCACCTCGTTAAGACGCAGCAAAGCATCCGCACTAGCCTTCTTCGCTGACATAAAGTCCTCCCGATTCTCCGCACCACGTGGACCGCGCAGGATCTCCGAAAAGCACAAATCAACCAGAACACGAAGCTCGTCGTACGTGAACGGTTCACCATTTCCAGCAGCCAGAGCTTTATCGCCCTGCGCCGCGAATGCCCCTTTCTCCTCGTTCGCGTAGTCCAATGCTTTCTCCGCGCCTTCCAAGAACCAATCCAGGAATTTGGCGCTACGAGGTAGAGCGACAACTTCTTGTTCGATGGCTGGGTCAGCGGTCGGGTCGATAATGATGTTCTTCAGGTTTTGCTGCAGAACGAGGACATCGAGCTGCAGTCGTAAAGCACCGTTCTCGTTCATGGCACCGATGTAGCGTGTACAAGCGACGAATACACGGTCAATCACCCGTGCCAAGCCGGATGTGATGAACCACCGCTCAGCGGAACCGAGGTACGTAGAGATATTGGTATCGAATGCGATTAGATCACCGTTTAACTGGAGAATTGTCGGGGATGCGGCCGTGGGCTGGTTCAAGATGATATGCCACCAATTCTCTGTTGGACTCGGAGTGGGGGTGATGGGCTCTGAGTTTCGGACAGTTGGCGGGTTGGGACCGGACATTGTCCTCGTCAACATGTGGATAATGCCGCAGCGGATGTCGATGTGGAGAGTGAGAAGGGCATATGATCCGAGTCGGTGGAGTGATTGCACTGTTTCGTCGAAGGCTGTGGCTGTCTCGTGGTTGAGGGGGAGATGTACTGGTTGGCTGATGCTGTCTCGCTTGGGCTTCATGGCTCCGAAAAGGGTCCATCTGCGGGATGGGCGGCCATTTGCGGTCACCTTTGATGGGTTGACTTCCTGAGAGGCATCGACGACCAGTCGAATCTTTGCAAGGTGACTTCCCAACCATTGCTAGAAAGGGGTTAGCGGGTGGTGGGTGTGTGTATAAGATGAAGTGCCTACCATGCTGTTGTATAGGAGTGAAAGAGCAACGACTGTCTTTGGGTCCGATATAATATCGTAGGGCTCCAAAGGTGAACTATCTGTCCTCTTCAGAAGGAGGTCGATTTCCTTCGTCCGTCAGCTTCGGTTCGAAATGAAAATAATTGGACGAAACAATTAACGCTTACTGTATCAATGAGAGTCTTCTTTTTGGCGCCGGGTCCTTGCCATAGTTCATCCACTACATCATGGATGTCACCAGCTTCGGCAAATGATGCAGCAGCCTTCAGTCGTACTTCGCCTCCATGGTTGCGAGCGGAAACCTTGGTAACCATTGCTGTATCACGTTAGTAACAGGCAAATATCTAGATATAGACTGACCAACCCTTATACCAGCCACAGCACTTGTCGTAGTACGTGACGATTTGGTCGATCAAAAGCTGTGTGAAAGCCTGGTCGTGCGGAATACTCGATAGCATTTTGCTAAACTCGCGCACAATAGTCATGAACTTGACCGTTCCCTGGAAGCGAAATCGTTAGATATCATGAAGCAATATGCAAGGCAGTGAACCTACTTTGAAAATTGGTCGAGGTGAAACTTTGGTCCACTGGGGATCCTCGGTGAATGCATCAGCGGCAATGAAGCTGAGTGTGCAGAGATCTGTCACAGTCTCATCTAATTGAGGGAGGAACACATTGACCATGAAATCGTCCAAGAATGAAGTCAATGTGGACATGGAAATATCCGAGTCGACTGGGACAATGTCTTTGAGGCGCTGAATGAAGGATAGCGATGGCGGGAGGAGAATCCTCATGTTGAATACGCTTGGCTCAAGAAGAAGCTTATGACCAGTCCCTGAGTTGCCTTGCTTGGATTGTGTGGCATCAGCCGCAGCTGCCTTTTGTCTAGATTTCGATACCAAACCAGGAACTGATGATTTGAGGATTTCGTCCAGCTCATCTTGCTCGGCTTTCATCTCCGAGTTCTGGTCAATATCGGATAACTTGAACATCTTCTGTAATAAAATTCATGTAAGCGGCCATATCTATTTTATTGAAAGTACATACCTTGTTCTTATCCCGGTTGCCCGAGTTGAAATTCCGCCGGGCATCCGCCTCCTCCCCTCGAGATCTAAATGATGCCTCACCATCGGTCGCGAGGTAGTCATGCAATAAGGACCGGATCTAGTGACTGTTAGTGAAGCTGATGCATACACTGAGGTTAAATGATATCTTACTTCGCTCTGCAAAAGCTTCCACAGTTCTTTGAATCCAGCACCGAGCGTGTCGCTCTTCGTAGGGCCTTCTCGCCCAATAATTGCCGAGACCACATCATGCACAACTCTGTGACCTTCAGCAATTGCCTCAAACTTGGCATAGAGTGCCCATAGGAACTCAGAAAGCACATGGCCGCGTTGCTCAATATTCTCCGTGGGCAAATTAGACTTGAGCTGGTTATCGTGCGAAGAATAGCTGCGGTTCGGGGTGGGATACCGAGCATCGACTTCGGCATTTGTTTTATCGACCACAGTGAATAGCTCCACTGGTAAGCGTTGCTCAATCCGATCAATAGCAGTGTCAAGATGGCCCATATTACTCAAAGCCTCAATCAATAGCTGGATATAAGAAAAGGTATCAGCTTCCGGGTTTCGAGATGCATCTTCGACCATTGGCGTAGAAGCATCAAACTTAGATAGGAAGCTGTAAACGGGACGTTCCCAGGATCGATTGCTCGTCCAGTTAGTTGGGTTCGCTTCTCCCTCTGCAGCAGGCGCCCTCCATCGATCTGCACAGTAGGGAGACTTGAGGTAAAGATGATCATGTAACTCCTCGATCAAGATGTCCGTAAGCGAAATTTCTTGGTTGGTAAAGTAGGCACGTATGTCGGACAAAGCACCGATATCCTCGAGCTCAGACCGCCGTAGCAATCGCTGCCCAGTGTGGAGTACTCCGACAGCCGCAAGGAATCGTTTGTCCGAGATTCGAGACTCAAGTTTCTCTGGGAGAGATTGAATTTCTTCAATCTGGGAAAACAATTGAAGAATGTCATCATAGTTCTGAGAAGAAGTTGCCAACCCTTTCAGCTCGGGCTTTGTTGACAACAACCCAGATTTTGCCTCATCTAAGGAGTTTCTGAGGTTGCGTACTCGGCCCTGTGAGCTGGCGATGTTAGATTGAATCTTGTGGTATGTACCAATAGAACTGTTGAATCCCTGATGATGTTCTGTGAGCCAATTAGCATCATTTCATGCCGGCAATATTACAAGTAAGCCTACCGTTCACAATTGATTTTAGGGTCCGCTGAATCTGAGCATGCATCTGCAAGAATTCCGGCTCCCTATCAGCTTTACCCAATGTACTCGTGTCCATCAAGTTCAGAGCGACATTGACCGGGATGCATTCATCATCCGTCATGAAATCCCAATCGCGTTGAATCGCCTGCAACACCTCTATAACGCCAATTTGTTAAATCAAGCCTGTGGCAGGATAGTATTAAGCACCGACAAACCTTCTACAGACTGCTTTCCACCGGTATTGCTCACAGCAGAACCCATTGCAGGCACAAGCCTGTCATGACTGCGATTATCTGCATAACGGGCCTCCTCCGTCGATCGATCCTCCCTCGCACTCTGATATCTCATATCGGAGCCACCGTCTCTCGGCCGGGACCTCGATGTCGATTGAGAAGTTGGCTGCTGTCTCTCCCGGTCCGACATGTCACGCCTCCGCTCCGGCGACTGGCCCGGTGAAATAGACGACGACTGGCTCGATTCGGCATAAAACCCACCGTATCCACCAGGTCGGTGATCTCGGCTTCCTCCATTCGAGCCACTGCTGCCTCCTCCTCGTCCGCCGTACCCGTTCACTCCGAGGCTGTCGTTACTGCCGTATCGGCCATCGTCGTACCGGCTGGTATCAGGGTACCCGTAGCCATTGCCGTTACTGTAGCCGCTTCTCCCACTCATTCCCAATGTTTTGCGCTCTATATGGCCGGATGCCTATGTGGTGGGCGATAATGTGATCGCCTGCGACAAGGGGCCGGTCAGGCGGGGAACCGCAACGGGCGTGTTTGGTGTTAGTCGAAACTCCGTGCTTTAGGTTCTGGAGCTTGCGCGCGTTCGTAGGCAGAAAGAAACTGCGACCATTCTTGGCCACAGGGTTCTGGGTGCTGGAAAAGACAATCGATGTGGAGGTAATCAATGGCAGAGTTGTGGGTGCCTGAGGCGGGATGGGGAAGTCGAAGTTGAAGGCTCCACATGAGCTTCAGCGGCCGCATTCCGGTGTGTCGCCCACTGAACTCAACCCAAAAAGTGCTGCTGTATTTACAATTTATATTTATTTACGATCTTGTATCACAGATGCATTTTTCATGGGATGCTAATTTTCACAATCCTACATAAATATGTGCCCTGGCGTCGGGTTGTATGGAACAAATGCCACCTTCCCTTTTACTTGGAGATTGGCTTGGTCTCCCGCTCCAGCCACTTCTGGGTCAACTCGTCCGAGTTGAAGTAGTGGTGTGTCTTGTCCCAAACCTCTGCGTGGTAGTCATTCACCCACTTGATCTCAGAATCGCTCAACAATGAGGGTTCGATCAGGTTGCGACCAATCGGCGTCATAGTAACGTGTTCAAAGCCCAGCCATTGCTTATCGCCAAATTTATTGGGAGTGTTGACCTCGCGTGCCATGATAATGTCTGAAAGGAAAGCGTTAGCGCATGCAAGATACAGAATCAGACCCGAGGAGACTAACTCTCAATACGAATTCCAAATTTGCCGTCCTCATAGTATCCGGGTTCTAGCAAAAGTTAGTACTGGAATGAATTTTCAGATGCCTGAAGAGTTAAGTGACGAACCATCCGAGATAACGTTTCCGGCGGCAATGGGAACTTCGGTGTACTGGACACGAGTACCAATGCCAATAGGGCCCTCGTGGACATTCAAGTAGGAACCGACTCCATGACCGGTCCCGTGGAGGAAGTCTAATCCCTCCTTCCACAGATGCTGGCGAGCCAGAACATCAATAGCAAAGCCGCTGGTACCCTTAGGGAAAACTGCGGTATCGATGCCAATGCAGCCCTTGAGAACAAGAGTGAACGCCCGCTTTTCAAACTCAGTGGGCTGGCCAAAGTGATAAGTACGAGTAGTATCGGTCGTTCCATCAAAATACTGGCAGCCAGAGTCACAGAGATAGATAGCGTTGGGATCAATGATCGAGCAGCTTCCCTTCTCCGGCTTGTAGTGGATCACCGCACCGTTAGGTCCAGTAGATGAGATAGTGTCAAACGAAAGACCAGCAAAAAGGTCGTGCTTGGAACGAATCAGCTCCAACTTATCCGCAGCATCGACTTCATCTAACACAGTCTTTTTGTTAACGAGCTCATTCTCGAGCCATGCGAAATACTCTGACAAGGCAGCACCGTCCCGAATATGGCAGGCGCGCATGCCCTCCAATTCAGCCTCGTTCTTGATCGCCTTTGCGTCTCCGATCGGGCTACGGACCTCCTCAACCTGGTCCTCGCCCCCCAAATTAAGGCTAAGTGCCCAAGAAGCCTTGTTGGACAACAAAAACTTAGCGGGTGCCTCACCCTTGGATTGGCTGCTAGCGTTGCTCAGGGCCTGAGCATCAGCAAAGATGGAGTCATATGGCTTGATAACCACATCGTCACCAAGTTGAGCCTTCACCTCAGGAGTAAGCTTGTCGCTATCAACGTAAAGATCTGCAGTAGTTGGAGTGATCACGGCGTAGGAGAAGAACACAGGATTATAGGGAATACTGCTAGCGGTCAGTCGCTTGTGCTTCAATGACATCGCATGAAGGCAAAAAGGATCACATACTCGCTTCCTCGCAGGTTGAACAGCCAGGCAATTTCATCCAGCGTCGCTATTAGCAATTGTTAGATAGATTATCAGAAGCCGGCAATAAATGCACCTTACATATGATAAAGCCTGCGTGTTTCTTTGCTTCCAGTTCCTTGCGCAAATCGGCGATCTTATCTTGGAAGGTCCTACCGGCATACTTCACCGGGTGCACCCGCACCTTTTCACTCGGACGCGCGGGGCGGTCTTTACCCCAAACCAAGTCAATCAGATTTTGTTGGATTCCCACAAGTGTCGATCCGTTTTTCTCAAGGGTCTCGGCCAGTTTCCGTGCGGCAGCTAAATCTTTGTGTCAATTATGATATCTGCATACCGCGATATCATGGCACTCACAGGCAGTAATCAAGGACGGATCCACGCCGACGGCCTTTCCGCCCTGGGCTTGTTCGGTTGTCCTGCAGTGTACTCAGTCTTTCTTGTCCAGCAGAATTCCAGCAAGGATCATGTATAGGCCATACCATTCCTGCCAAGTCGGGACACCCTCGATTCCGCGCTTCAGTAGTGTCCAGTTGTTATCAAGCTGCTTCGCAGCCTGATTGAAATATCGTCCATCGGTGGATAGCGACGCTTGCGTCAGGGAGATGACCGCAGTGCCGGCCGAACCAGAAAAGCCCGAAATGAATTCTATAATTGAAAAACGGTCGACCGTAAGCGTGTATCCGGAGGAGCAAGTAGAGTGGTTTGCTAACCTCGGCGACCATCACACGGGGCAATGTACTCGGACTGGTGGCTGTCTTCGGAGGGTGAAACTATTCAATGATTAAAACGCTGGTTCTTGTGCTGAATGGGTCTGAACAAGAGACATAGGCATACTGTACACATCCACCTTGTGCTCTTTCATCAGCTGCCTCAGCTTCGAAAGGCGGGCGCTAGTGTCCACAGTCCCCATTTCGATGTTGAAACGTGAATGGGAGGTGGAGAAGAACCTTGACGGTTTGAGAGGCGACCTGAGCGATCGCAAAGAAGTCCAAGGAAGGCGAATGTGATGCGAGAAGAGCATGGGCTAAGAAGGTGGAGAGGCTGCGGGACAAGGATGTGGGGGGGGAACGGTCACCTGCACACAAAAATTAACTGCGCGCGGGGAGTAAAAGATAAGTTGATAACGAGCTTGAAGCGTGAGAGGTCGCGAGGTCATAGGACGGTTAACGCCGGAGATGTTTGCACTCATTGCATCCTTAGCTTCAGATAATTATCACCTCCACTGCCTACGTAAACAATCGCTTAAATTGATATTCAACTAGTCTTTTTTTGATACAGCAGCTCATAAATTTCCCAGGAGCGGTATATTGAACGGTACCAGGTAGAGCTCGGTATTCAAACTTCGGGGTCATATACTGTAATTGATTACATACTCAGGTAGCTCCTTGCCTTCCACTACATAGGTTATTTATCCCGATATATATTACGGCTCCATGGAGTGATATATACGTGTTAGAAAGGTTGAATCAAGCAAGATGACATGTTCTTCAATACATGAGATAGTATTTTGTCTGAGTTCAAATTAGTGCGCTACGCTGAATGCGATTAGTGAGGCCTCCAAGTAGATTTTATGGTGTTCAATTAAAGCCACACCCCGGAATATTGCCCGGAGTCCGCCTGGGGAGACCTTGGCTACTCACACAGCAAATTTTTCTCTTGCTTTCGCCAGAAACACTAGGCTATACAGACCCACTGGTACAATATACCCATTTCCATCGTAAGTCGCACATCACGACTAAGCGCTTATAAGATACTTCTTAATTCCCCTTCTCAGACTCTGCCCATCTTTATCTCTTCAGAGCCGCAGTCGTAGACAATCATAAATTTAGATCCTAGCTACCCCTGAAACCTAATTTTTACTTCTATTTCCCTAGCAAAAACTAGCAGGTATGAGCAATAGACTAATATAATTCTCTATAGAAGAACTTAGGCTAGGTTGTAATATCTTTGTAGCTTAGAATTGGGTCTACTAAATTTTGAGTTGCAGTTCTTCGAAAGAATGCTATTCTTGAATATGTCTGCATTGTAGTAGAGATAAGATTAATATATATAGTAATCTGGAGTCCTTTATTTAGGAAATGACATTATCAGAGGTAAATCTTGCGCCCGGCAATTTCACGACGTCATTCTTTCGGATTTTTTTTGGGGGGGGGGAATAGGGAACTCAAGGATTTTAGGCGTCCTGTTGGATTTATAAAAAGAAAGCCCGAGCTTCACGAGCTTTTTGTGACGTATAAATATTTGGCAGCCCAGTACTGAAACCTTTGTAGTGGACGCCTAGGTTTCAACCTCGGAATTAAAGCAACGATAGATTCCACATACTCCTAAGATTCGCCGATTTCCTCAACTAAACTACCCGCGGTGACAATGATCGCTGCACCCATATTTTGCACTCATTGCTTGATTGCATCAGTCCACGGAGATATAGTCTAAAGGGAATTATCAAATGGCTCATATTAATAAATCGCTCATGAGGTATAAAGAACGAATAGAAGCCCTGCGTTGGCGACGCGTTGGCCTCAGCCTCAGAGCGCCCGATAGAAATTCATGCCGATCTACCCATTAAGCCTTACCATATGCTGTTGATAGTAAGACCTAATGGGTAAATCGGCATCAAGTTCCAAAACATTACCCGCAAATTCAATGCTCCATCATGTAAGTGGTGAACTTGTGGATGCGTTGATTCAAGTGGACAAATTGAGTGGACTAATAATGTGAATATGGCCGGGAATCTCGGAACTCACAGCTCTGGAGGGTATAAAGTACATATAAAATGTGATGTCCTGTTGATGATGGTTCATAAAACAATAGTCGCCTTGAATTATCATCAGCATTATGCGGACAGAACATGTCTTTTTGCTCCTAGTGGGGACTTTTACAGCTGCCCAAGCTAGTATTATCCCGAACCAAACTCGACAGAATGACAATTGTGCACAAATTTATCAACTTGCTGTTCAACATGGGAACAACTGTATGCAAAACATTGAAGACCCTGCGTTTGAAAATGTTACTAATTGTAAATAGCTGAAAGCATTACGATTCCCGGTACTCTGGCGCTCAAATGTCTTCAAGACCTTCCTTTCGAGCCGAAGCGAGCTGCATCATTCATTAAAGAGTATCGGAAACTCGTACAATTTGAATCCGACATCGAAATCTTGAAAAACCCACCTTCCGGCTATCAGATGCCACCTACTGACCTTCTCGGCGAACTTGACAAGATTGAGCAAAACGCTGCTGCTGGAGAGTATAATAGCCAATATGAATTTGATGCGGAGCTCAAAGCTCTAAGTATCTCAGCTTATCAAACTCATTTCTCCGTGACTCTATGCTCTATGTCACTTTTCATCTTTGAGAACTCAGTCCCACTTGTGTCAATCTCTTCTGATGGAACCTCTTTACCCGAGGTTTATACCAAAGGTAAGTTCTATACTGGCGCCTCGGTTGAAGTACCAGCTGACTTTGAGTTAGAGGATGCTACTCACCTGAGGACCTCTAGTAGAGGTCCCGTGTCCCCCATCAAAACTATCAATGGACGTTCTGTTGCCGACTACATACAAGGATTACCTATAGTGCATTCTTGCCAAGATTGGGACACCTTGTAAGCTCAATCTTTATTGGCTCCTTCGATAGCGTCCCTTTCTTACTGAATCGTGTAGATACAACTTGAATTTCTTTTCCAACCCAGTCAGCTTAGACCTTTCTGGCGCTGCTGGTGAGTGGCCCGGGGCATTCAGCGAAAATAATCAGTGGCCTGGCGCGTTCCATGCATTGCGCTTCGCCAACGGTTCGACCATGACAGTTGAAACAGTCGCTTCAGTTCAAGACTTTCCTTACCGCAATAGTAAGGAAATGTATTCAGGACTTTGCATTCCAAGCAACTCATCCTCCTTGGGGTCCACTGAAAGCGAGACGCCTTCACCTATCCCCAGTGGATATCCGAAACCGTTCATCCGCGATGACTTCAATCAGATAATGGGCTTCCTCCCAAATACTTCCCATCTGGAGGATGTTGGCGTTCTTGCCGTTACCAGCTTTGAGGGTTCCATTACTGTCGCACAAAACGCTGAATTCAACAAGATTGCCAGTGGATTTGTCAAGCAGGCAAGTAGAAAGGGGAAGAAGAAGATCTTGATTGATGTCTCTGGCAATGGTGGTGGAAATCCACTTGCTGGTCAGAACTTGTTCCGCATTTTCTTCCCTGAGATAGATGTCTACGCTGCCACTCGCTTCCGTTCTAATGAAGCAATTGACCTGGTTGGCCAAGCCGTCAGAAGGCTTCCCAACAATGCCACAAATGATATTAGACCTTTCATATATAAGGGCGAAGTGAAGCCTGATCAGGTACACGGATTCTCATCCTGGAAAGATCTGTACGGCCCTCACGAGATCCTTGGAGTCAATTCGTCCAGTTTGACTTCCGCCAATTTAACTGCCATCTCGACACCCAATGATCCCATCAATGGCTACGGAGATGCTCCTGCAGATCCGTCAAAGGCATTATTTGCAGCTGAAGATATTGTTCTTGTATGTGACTACTACCACTTCAAGCCTTAAGCCTCTACTTACCTCGGCATAGATTACAGATGGCGTGTGTGCATCGGCCTGCTCGATCTTCGCTGCGCTTATGAAGCAGGAAGGCGTGCGTACCATCGTCTTCGGTGGCCGTCCCAAGAACGGGCCGATGCAGGGTATTGGAGGCACCAGAGGAGCCTTAGCGATAGGTCTAAGTGTAAATGGGGAGCTCTTCGCAGGATACAAAGAAGCGGCGGAAAAGTCACTCAACACTTCGACGCCACTTTTGACCAAAGAACAGCTTGCGCGGTGGGATCAGATTGTCCCTCGTCCTATCGCGGAGTTTCCGCTCGTTTTTCCCGCGGGTTCTACTAACCTTCTCAATAACTACGGTCCTCATGATAGTGACACTCCTCTGCAGTTTCTTTACGAGGCTGCCGAGTGTCGCCGATTTTATACTCTGGACAATGTATTTGATCAAGAAACTGTTTGGGCATCGGCCGCGGATGCAATGTTTGATGGTGGCGCTTGTGTGCCTGGGTCTACTAATGCTACGGGGAGTCTCTTCGCGTGATGTCAGTTGTCCACCTCGCTTAATGGAATTTAGGACCCGTGGAAATGACGGCGATGACAATTTTTAAAGGCCAGAAATGATCGCCCTTCCATCTGTCACTTTACATTGGGGTTGCCTCTATAGTACACCTAGCTAGTGTTGCCTACAGTACTAAGTATTGAATGACTTTTGTTGAATTTTGCTAAAGCCTTAGAGCTCTTGGTAGCTGCAATTAAAGAAAGAACACTTTAGATTGTCACTATTGAATATGGACTCTCTACCCGACCTCCCAAAGATACAACATAATCCGAAAAGTCATCGTTCCAATGCCTTTGACTTATTGCCCGCCATATATATTTATGCCCATGTCCATTTTCAATGCAAATGCAAAATGCAAGTATATACTACCTAATCAAAAAAGTCCATTCCGCGTCCACCACTCCATAGAAGCACCTCAATTCACAGATTCAGCCCACGAAATCCACCGCCGCACACACTCGTCTACCTTCCGCAGCGCTTCCTTCTTAGCTTCTACCTCAAACCACTCCCGATGCTCTCTACCACACTCCGGACATTGACCAAGGTCACGCAGCCGAATATCTGCCAACTCAAGATGAATCAAGCGCTCCACACGATGCACATGCGGGACCTTTCTACCCGGTACTAGAACGGCATCAGAACCATTACTGCGGCCTGCTTGCTTAGATACTGGCACCCTAGCTGGGGAAGACGACGCAGATGAAGATGGTGTGTAAGGATAGTACCGAATCAAGGTCAGATCGTAGGAGCATTGGCGAGTCCATTCATTCATGCGGCGGTGCACGTTACTTGTGCGTCCAATTTTCAGACGGATCGTACCTGGCGTGGTGGATGTTGGGTTTGTGGTCAGAGCATTGATGTCTCGTGCAGCATTTATGGCGTCGCTTACACTACGAGGCTGAATTGGTGGACGGAGATTGTTGCTTCCTGTTGGTCCTGGGAGCAGTGATGAAGCGATTTCTCTTGGTACTGAGGCTTCTGTGTCACTGCGCGTTGTTGTAGTCGGCGGCGTTACCCAGAACATATAGATATAGCCCTCTTCGTCAGCACTGGAGATTGGCTTGGCTAGTTCCGTGAGTACTGAAGAGGTTGTCTGTGGAGAGAGTGTTGAGGGAATCCATGACAATAGAGACTGAGTTTGTGACGCAGATGAGGATTTTCTTGGCTCGGGCTGTGAAGGCCGCAAATGTGGCTGTGAAGCGGAAGATACCTGCTGTCCTGATGAAGGGACACGCCCGTTTTGTGGACGTCCAGCAGACACTTTTTGGTGCGGATGTTGCGAAGTAGGTGTAGCCTGCGACGGACGAGTCTGCATAGGCTTTTGTACTGGTCTAGCCGGACGGTGATCTGCGCCACTCTCATCCGCAATATCGAAGCAACAGAATGTCTTCTTCGGGCGAGGCCGGCGTTTTTCACCAAACCCGCTCTGGGTTCGCCGCTTTTGCTTTTTCTCATCTTTGAGATCTAGCACGCCGAGTCGGTCCATCAGCGTGTCAATGCTGGTTCTTGGCTTGATCGGTGCAATGGTGTCATTCACTATCGTGGGTGACGATGATGCCGCTTGGTCCTGATGCTGCCAGCAGTACAGAGAGACCAAGTCTGGTATTTCATGTTGAGCACCTCTCTTTCGTGGAGTGGATGCTGGAGATGGAGATGGTGAAGACGCCAAGGCCCGGCGACAGGGCCGGCCTTGAGCCGTAATGCCTCTACATGTGGTTGCTGGATTTCTAGAATCTGAGCGAGGAAGCAAAGATTCCGGTGTGTTGGAAATCTGAGGCATAGGTTCTCAGAAAACTGATCGCTTTGATGGTCGTGAAATTGATTCTACGGAGGAAGAAAATATTTCAGGCTAGGCCAGAAAAAGCCCTGCAGGGCCATGATGCCGGTGCGGTGAGGAGCAGGAATGTGCCCGTGCCTTTGAATAACTCCACCTGCTCCACGTCAATCGTGTCGCGAAGGGTTATTTTTAACCGGCACCGCCTTCTGTGGCAGTGCGGCTATGCTGGATGCATTACATCAGTTTCACTCCCAATATTCCCGTACCAATTGAGTTCTCGTGATAATCCAGATAACAACTGGACTTCTCATGTTTGGTATAGTAGGATCTATTTAGATCAATCCATGGTTTCGGCTATGGGCCCGAGGATCAATGATCAACACTCCTTTTTGAAGTAGTTTATGTAGCCAATGATGCCCGGTATTCAATACATGAGTCGCGTGGTCTAATGGTCATGATTTCTGATTCACATCACCTAGTGTTTGAATCACTCAGAAGGTTCCCGGTTCGATCCCGGGCGCGACTAATTTTTTGCACCTTTTTTCTTGTTTGTCTCAAATCTTAATTGACATAAAGTATAGTCTTATTTTGCTACAATTTTTTTTCTTTCGAAATATTTCCTTTAAATGACTGGTCAATTCAATCATGACCTATTTGGGTAGGTATTATCGATCCGGCACCACGCTAGCCGCATTTACGTGACGTTGCCATTGTACTTCTGATTAGAGCGGTCTGATTTCTCGAGCATGTGTTCAAGAACATACCTGTAGAACATACTATGGAACACACTGAGTATCTCTGTTTAATTAAAGCCGAAATATTAGACAATACTTGGCTTCGGGTCAATAAGGCTATAATTAACTATGAGGCGTGTTTGTAACCGCCCAAGAATTACAACAGCCATGTACCCTCTAAAACGCACACACGTGTATAGAGACCTTGTAGATGCATTCAGGGAAATTATCTATCTTGTATAATAAGGTTGTCCACACAGAGTATTGCGTTCAAAGTTACATCGCTGAGCGAAGTTATATAATCGGAAACCTTAGTTATTCTCTGTTTCTTGAGAAATCAGGTAGTGTTATCGGAATCACAATTATGTGCTGTTCTACACGGGCAAGTGTGGTGTCTAACTATCAATCTCATTTTTTGCGGGCTTGTTGTACAGTCCTGGGCTATAGAGCGTCATTGATCCAAATGCCGACGTCGGCACTTGTCTCATGCATCGTTTCCTTGCGCATAGTCTCGATCCGAGTTGGAGCTCCTAATCAGGTCACTGTTAGTATGCCCCCCCAGGGCTTATATATAATAGCTACAGCATATAGCATGAAGGATGCCGTATTAGCAGGATGGAGCTGCGAACCTCAGGGGAATATTTGTTGAAGGTGTGTATCATGCAAATGATGTGATAATCACCATTTACACCTGTATTAATATCTTTCCAATAGAATCTGTTTACAGGGGCCAAGTATTAGAGCTAGCCGATCCATGCATTCTCCGACACACTGTCTATCTCCATTTCCTTGGGTACTCGAAAACATTGTCTTATGTTTCGAAGCGATCTATTTGGGTTTCTCCCAAATGGAGTGGTCGAAGCGTTTTACCCAAATGAAGTGGTCGATGTGGCGGATTGTTTAGAGAAACTATGCCCAGTTCTATCGGGTAGTGCGAATGTAGAGTGTGTCCCACTGGAATCAGCTATCTTGGGAATACCAAAGGAGTTATGAACGGGTGTTCTGTCATGGGTATATGAGAGTTCTATGATCTGCCCAGGTTGAGAAGAAATGGAGGGTGAAAGGCCGCCTTGCGCCTACACCATCGAGTACATCGAGAACGCCAAGATCCCCTGCAAGCGCGAGAACCACTGCTTAGATGACTTATTTTGATTTGAAGCCACAGCCGGCGAGATACTTGAAAAGTCCGCTGGTATGAATAATTAGCGACCCAAAGCGTCATTGGTGCCATTGGTGCCCAAAACCTTACATACCAGTCTTTACTGAAGGGACCGGTGCTTCTCGCGCCGAGTCTTGGGTGGATTCAGAAGAGCGCGGATTGTCTCCTTCAGCTGTAAATTCCGGTAGGTCAGCGATCTGTGTAAAGATGTCCGGAGATCATGGATTTGAAAATCTTTGTAGCTTACCTTTAGACCGGTCATTGTCCGTCTTGGGTTGAACGATGGGAATCGAAGTTTGGTGGGTTGCGTTTCCTGGTACAATGATATCCAGATCAGTTAGATATCGCCTAGATTGGTAATTCAAATACTGATACCTAAGGTAGGAGGCGCGCGTAGTGATGACCCATCTGCACTGAAGGCATTCAATGTCTGCTTTCCCTTCCGTAGCTTTTCGAGCTCGTCGGTAAGGCGTTCACGATCTTTCTGAGTGGTTGATGGCTCAGCTGCAATCTTGCTAATTTCGTTATCATCCAGCTCAAGTACAACTTGGCCGGTGAATATGTGCTCTAGGGGGCGGAGAAGGCAATTCTCGATTGCTAGGATGGCGACGTTATCGATGAAAGTCAAAATTGCATTCTGTTGATCATTTAGTTGGATCTTCTCTGTTTTTTGAGGGTAGGTTTGTCCATCATACATCATAATATGCCTGCATCTGAGCAACAATCTCTGTCACCGCATACTGATCACTGGAAGTCTGCAATACAGATGCCGCACGTTCTAGATCATGGACATCAATCTCTTTTCCTAGAACGTCAGGCCCCAAAGAAGGCTTCGAAAAGCCAAGTTGCTGCATAAGAACAGCAAGTTGTCGCTTTGCTCTGGACTCCTTGATTTCAGAAAGAAACGGTTTCCCCACGGGTAGTGGATGGCCACTTTTGATGTACGAAGTCAACTCTTCGAGCTTTTTCAGCAAGGATTCCTTCATACCCTCCAACTCCGGCGAAATTAGGTGTCTCATGAGTAAAGGCAGGGTAAGTTCGTCTGTGATATCTCTCAGCACCAGTTGAATAAAGAACTCGACCGAAGCCCAGGAGTTCATTATGTGATCCTTGGCGATGCCCTCCCAAGGTTCACTCTGATGGCGGAACATGGTTCCCACAAGCAGCGGATTTGGGCTGCCTGGATACTCGAGTCCTCGACTTTCGCGAGCCAACTTCTTGATCTCTTCCTCGAGATCCTCCGGGTAAACGTATTCTGGCTTCCAACCATTCATATAGGGCCTCTTACTCGCCTGCTGAAGCTGGAAGTCATCTAATCTGGCTCCAAATCCACTGCCTGTAATATACACTCGACTTCCACGAAGCTCCATAGCTTCTGCAAAATTCTCATTGAGCTCCCGAATGACCGCCCGCAGCCGGCGGTAAGCAAATTCACCGTTGTTTGTAGACTGATCTTGGAATCCACCGAAAAAAGCATCGGTATATGATCCATTCAAAGCCTCACTTGTGATGCGCGCAAATCTGCTGCTAATGTTGATAAGAAACTGCCGTTGCTCATGAAGAGTTGTACGCGATGTCCCCATCTTTGCTAGGGCCAGTTCATTCTGCGAAATCCTCTCTTGTATATCTGCAATGAGACCGGGAAGGTTGCGACGGACATGAGTAAGTAAGATGTTGCTGAGGCGACGCCTCAAGCTTTCGATGCCAACTTGCTCCCGAGAGAGGGATTTCCATCGTCCCTTTTCAAAGAATCCCATCTCCTGGGAATCTCGCTCATCATCAGAGACGTTGCGCGTCTCAAAAGACCGGTTGCGCAGCACATGCCACCCAAGTTGCAGTTTGACTTTCTCGTTCTTGATGTACTGTATATAGTCCTCTTCTTCGTCCGATCCGGCTTCGAGAATATCGGGCTGCGTGATAATCCCCAAGACTCTCTCGTGCTTAGGGTCAAAGCGCTCTGCGACATTCAAAACTGGTTGAATATGGTAGTCGGCCTTCGCACTGATCACAGCCAGAATGATACTCCGGGAGCTTTTCATGTATTTCTCAGTCAATCTCTCAACTAACAACCTTCCTTCCTCACTTTGCTCTTTACTATGGGAAGAGTAGAGCCCTGGAAGGTCGACAAGAGTCAGGTCTGGCTGTTCCGGGCCCGAGATTTCGACTTTCAGCACATCATCGCTGAACCCTGAGTTGGGTGGATCGACACTAGAAAGTCCCATACACTCCTTTGCTTGGTCGATTAACGTGAGAAGATCTCCACTGGAGGAAAAGGCCCCGGAGGTGAAGTCCCTCAATTTCTGTCGTTCCTCCTCTTTTATCCTAGAGCTCCCAGGCTCAATGGATACACCGATTGTCTCCCGTGGACTTCGACGAAGAACAACTTCGGTCGCAAACCGAGTGCAGACATTGCTCTTGGCAGGGAAGCGCACCCGGGAGATAGCTTCCAGTACAGAGCTCTTACCACTGGACTGATTACCGCAGACAATGATTTGGGGAAGCTCAACGAGACCCCCAACGCCTATAGCGCGCAGCTCGTCAATCTTGTCTAGTAGCTCCGATTGTTGAGACTGAAGCTGGCTCATGGCATCTTCGTCAAATGGTGAGGACATGATACTAGTGCTCCTTTCGGTCTGTTGGAATGGAAAATGTTTTGTAGAGGGAAAACAGAATATTCCATGCAAGCTAGCAATGGCCGCATATAAATAACTTTGGAAATGGCATATTTTGGGAGCCAGGTTGTATATTCTGGACTGGGTACGTTATCTTCTTATTTTAGCCCCATATTGATCCCTGTAATGGAGGCGCAGCTAAAGCGCATTAGTCCAATGCCGTACTGACCGATGCTATACCCAAATAGTATAACATCCGGTCCTTTCATTATAGGATTGGACAGAGTACTTTAGGACTGTTCTCGTTCTATTGCAAACAATTCGATTATCTCTTTGACGTTCGGGGGAATCATTGCTGGGAAGGCACTTCTTTGATCGTAGAGATTTAATGTTGAACTAAATGGATATTCAAAGAAGGACTATCAAACTATTTCTTCTAAGTCGCACATATGCGCTAAGAGGCTGTGCGTCTAACAAAGACGGCAATTGTATCGAATCTTGCCAAATATCTACCAAAATAGCCCAAAGAACTGCAGGGGATGAGTTTCAGCGCTGAAGATAGTGCTTCGAGATCCCGTGCTTTGACCCACCAAGATAACATATAGGATGAATCAGAGCGCAAAATCTGATGCACGTACAAACTACACTTGTATGTGTGTGGCTTTGAGTGGCGTTGGTTGTATTTCAGCGTGGCTGGCGAGGCATCTACGGTGCCCAGGTGGGTCTACAAAATGCTTTATGGGAATTGTGAATCGGACAATGCAGTGATAGACACTACACTAACGATATAAAGTATGTGTACGTATATTTACATATAGTAGTTTGTCTATTTCCTAGAAGTGACTTATCGAAATGCGATATAGATCTTAAATCACGTTGGTTAGCCGTTCATTCGACGCTCTATTTATTAGTAAAATGCCGGGGTTGGGGGCTGAATTCACTAACACGCCTCAATATCGCTACCAGCCAATACTAGCCCACCCCCTGATCGTTAAAGTATGGACACGGAGGCGTCAATTCCAAATTTTTTGAATACTGAGTTGCGGAACTCGAAATGCGCCCCGGAATTGAACCGAGGTATCTTCGAGCTGGCCTAGAGCTCTATGCTCCCGGGTACCTTGCTCTGAAAGAAAACAGTCGAGATGCAGAGCAAGATCCACGACTTCTGTTAAGCGGAAGTCTAGAGAAGATTTGAATCGCCTACAGTATGTAGCGAACATCGTGTAGCCAATCCCCATGCGCCCCACAAGCACCTGGGTGCCGGTGACCATCTATGACATCACGCGGCATCTAAACGACCCCAAGCAACAACACTGTAGAAGCTCTCCTTTCTCAACATATACCATCACAACATCGAATTAAACTCAATCGTCCTCTCCACATCTCAAGCTCTCCCACAATGGCCTTCCAGCTCTTTTCCCCTCCAATCGTCCGCCTAGGTCTAGGCCTCGGCATCGGTCTCTCCGCCGCAGCTCTCCACCCCCTCTCCCCCTTCCGCGCTGCCCCCATCCAATGCCAATACAGCGCGCCCTACTACCGGCCTGAGTCACAGGCTAATGCTGATTCCGGCTGGGCTGTCAAGCCCGAGGATCCTCTTCTTCAGAAGCAGGGTCGGACGGGTATCGCCGAGCAGGCGAAGGCTGCCTTCCTGTCGCCGGACAATATGCGACAGGTTAGTTTGGGGAGTGTGCTGGGTCTTGTTGCTGGTGTTGGACTAAGGGCTTTCTCGCGGGTACTGGTTGTCGTTCTTGGTATGGGTATTGTGTTTATCGAGGTATGTTTGTGTTCTTCCAGAGCTTCCGTTCGCGAGCTCTATGCGTCGGCTTCTTTGACTGTTGATAATGACTAATTTCTTCGTCACTTAGTGGGCTGCTTCCAAGGGGTATAACATTCTTCCTCTAGAGCGTCTCCAGAAGATCATGAAGAAGGTTGATGTGCAGAAGGCTGTGAACTCGCACCGTCCCTTCAAGATGAGTTTCGGAACTATGATGGCGCTAGCGGCGTTTGCGCAATTTTAAAAAAGTGCGACTATTTATGTACATATAAACAGGTTCCTGGGTGCTATCTCGGATCATGTCTAATGGCTACCGGGGCTTTTAGACACTAGATATTACTACACAGCCAATGCAAGTGTTGGTACATAGTATATTTCGTATAGGGGTATCATGACTTCTGCGATCTATTCCACACTCCCGGGTAGGGATCTATCCGAGCACCAGGTCCTCCAACACGCCTTCCATTTCATCACGAGATAGTGGCACGCCCAAGATTTCCATGCCACTGGGGTCCATGCGTGATGTGATCATTTGATGGTCGTGGAACTCCTTCAGCAAAGTGCGGAACATCATCTCAGAGGATGCGATGAATTCCTCTGTTGCCTTTTGGTATAGTAGTCGGAATTCGATGCCATTTTCATCCGTGTTCTCACCGCAATTCGCACCACCTTCGTCGTCGGACTGGTGGCCATCGTCCATCAGAGTAATCACTTCAGTGAGTAAGAGGCGGTACAGGTTGCGTGCATTCTCGGGAAGACTTTTCAGGACGAAGGCAACACCATCTTTGCCGCCGGCACGTTGGCCCTTACGTCCAAGTAGAGAATTCACTTCTTCCACAACGTCTGATTCGACGGCAAATGGAGTGAAAGTAGTGCCGTCGTGGAAGACAAGGTTTAATTGATCACGCAGACTGATATCCCACATCGCGGTGAAATTGGGGGTATCTGCAGTGAAGAGAAGACGGACACGTGGCGTAGCAGCTAAGCGAGCAAGTAGAGCTTGGTTAGCTGCTCGCCGCAATGGTGGAGCGTCGACTGAGTTGATCAGGACTGTAATGGGTCCTTCACTGACTGGTCGGTTTTTGAGGGCCGACTGGACGAGTTCCAACACTTCGGTTGGCTGCGCACCCAGTTTCGAGGGTAGGTCGTCGCCAAGTAGCGCTGATGCAGTCATTGCAAAGATGGATCGGATCGAGATACCCGGGGTGTACCCATTGACGATCACGATGGGCGGGTTTGGAGACGCCGAGTGGTGGTAGATCCAGTCGGCAAATTGTTGTACAAGTTTTCGTTTCGATCCGTAGCCAAACAAACAGACGTTAAAGCCTTCCTCGAACTCGAAATTCCATTGCGGGAATGAACGATGATGCAATGAAAGCAGATATTCCTTCTCCTCTGCGCAAGGATCCACGGATTGCCCCAACTTTTCGAAGTATTCCTCATGGTTCAATAATGGCACCTTGTTCAAAGTCGTGTTGGATGTTTTGATAGTACCTGCACGGTTTTGGAAGAAATAGCGTTCGTGCGCAGGGAGTTCTCCTTCCGGTGTTGGTGATCGTTTATTCTTTGCGCCCTTGGGTCGACCTGCTCGGCGCTTAGGAGCCTTCGCATCCTTGCCCTTCGGTTTCTCTGCATCCCCTTCCTCAATGCTCTCCGTCACCGGCTCGGTAGCCTTTTCAGGTTCCTCATCCTGGAGAATCTCCTCCGCCAGCTGTTCCGAACCATCCCATTCAGCATCTTCGTCTCGTTCGAACAATACCCGAGCGCTCTTCTTCTTCGCAGATCGATCGGCAATTTTCAGCCGAGCCGGGGTCCCAGCGGCGGGAGTCTTGGGTTTCGTCGGAGTCGCAAACAAATTCCGAGCCTTGGATTTATGGGTGGGGGTCTTCAGTCCAGATTCTTTCAACGGAGTTGGCGCAGTTCCATTGGCCTTTTTGGGAGTAGATAAGCCGGGAGGAAGTTCATAGGTAGCATCGCCGTTCGGAGGTGAGTGGTTCGGCGCGAGATCGTTCAAGGCGCCATTGGTTTGTACCTGCGTGGTCCGCGGCCTTTTTGGTGTTGAGCCTGCGGGTTGGTCATTTTCCAGACCAGAATCCGAGAGCTTGCGCTTCATGATGGGCGAGTCAGCGTGCAGTCCTTGATGGAAAGGCCTAGGGGAGAAGGAATCAACAATACCATCAGATCCGGAGAATGTACAACAGGGACGCGATGCAAGGGGAGTCTTGGCTTTTTCAATCCCCAGGGGCTGTTTCAATGGCCAATGTAAATTTTCAGTGGCAGTAGATGATCGGCAGCTGGAATGTGTTTTATCGATTGAGATGAATCGGTTTCTTTTCGAACCTTGAAAGGGTCGAGAGCTGTGGAGATCAGAGTTGGTAACCGCGCAGTGGGTTTTCTCCGACTCCGCCTTATCTACGCTGAAAGCGCGTGCTAAGGGAATCAATCTGATTCCAAACACCTTTAATAGAGTGATTTATAGTAGTCAATCATTTTTAAGCTTTGAAATACACTTTCTAGCTTCCTACAAATTGATCTAGTTAATTCCATGGATTTGAAAAAATCCAAAAAAACATCAAGTCATGTGAGTGCCGCGGATGATCCTTCGTAGATCTTTCACTGTCCATCATCCGTGATTTCTTATACTATCTTTGACCCTAAGCAGTCGTGTTGCGATTGCAATTGATATTTTCTTATCGAGCAGTGGTGGGCTCATATCGCTCAATCACTTCCCGGTCTCGGAGCGGGTAGCTTTTCGAGGTTCCCACAGTAGGTTGTTTGACTCATTCAGCTCTGGCTCATCGTACTCATACTTAAGTCTTCTTAAGCTGACTGTTTCGTCGTGAAGTAAACACATATTTCACAGCTTCCACACATGACTCCCAAGCCTCAACCCACCACAATGGCGGTTAGCACCCTCGCCCGCATGCTCAAGGGCCAGGTCCGATGCTACTCCGCACCATTGGATATGGCCATTCCGGCCTCCAAGCAGCGCTATATCCCTACCACGGGCACTTACCCTCAGGGATTCTTGGTCTCCGGTACCCACGTCGGTGTCAAGGCATCCAACACCCGATTCCCTGACCTTGCGCTCATTGCGTCTGAGACGCCATGCTCCGCGGCGGCCGTATTCACCACAAACAAGTTCCAGGCTGCGCCAGTGCAGGTTAGCCGACAGACCTTGACTACTCGCAAGGGAGAGGGTATCCGGGCTGTGGTCATCAACTCTGGGTGTGCCAATGCTGTTACAGGAAAGGGTGGACTGGAAGATGCGGTCAAGATGGGTCACACGGTGGACGAGTGCAGTGGAGCTGAGAAAGATAGCTCCTTGGTGATGAGCACTGGTGTTATCGGCCAGCGGTATGTCTCTTCTAAAGCGGGCTACAAATTGCGCCAGGACTGTATACTAACATGAAATCACCAGATTGCCCATCAGCAAGATCCTGGACCGCATTCCCACTGCCTATGCCAACCTCGCCTCGTCACACGATGCCTGGCTGAGCACCGCTCGCGCCATTTGCACCACCGATACCTTCCCAAAGCTGATCTCCCGCGAATTCACTTTGCCCTCCTCCCCAGACCGCACCTACCGCCTCGCCGGAATGACCAAGGGCGCCGGTATGATCCACCCCAACATGGCTACCCTGCTCGGTGTTCTCTGCACAGATGCCGCCGTTGAGCCCGCAGCTCTGCAGTCGATCCTCAAACACTCCATCTCCCGCTCCTTCAACTCGATCTCCATCGACGGTGACACCAGCACCAACGACACCATCGCGGTCCTTGCCAACGGCGCTGCCGGCGGCGAGACCGTGCGCGCACCATCGTCAGAGGCCAGCGCCGACTACGAGGCCCTGCAGACCGTGTTCACCGATTTCGCCCAGCAGCTCTCTCAGCTTGTCGTCCGTGACGGTGAGGGCGCCACCAAGTTTGTGACTGTCCGTGTGCGCAACTCTTCCGACTACGAGTCTGCGCGCCAGATTGCTTCCACCATTGCCCGCTCTCCCCTTGTTAAGACTGCGCTTTACGGCCGTGATGCTAACTGGGGTCGCATTCTCTGTGCTGTGGGTTACACCCAGGGTGTGGCTGATGGTGTAGTTGTTCCTGAGCGTACCTCTGTGAGCTTCCGTCCTGTGGATGGTAGCCCTATTCTTAAGTTGCTGGTCAACGGTGAGCCTGAGACTGTGGATGAGGAGCGTGCTAGTGCTATCCTACAGAATGAGGACTTGGAGATTGAGATCGACCTCGGTGGTGGCGAGAAGGGTGCTGCTGGATGCGGTGGAGAGGATGCTGTCTACTGGTTCTGTGATTTCAGCCACGAGTATGTCACCATCAACGGTGATTACCGAACCTAAAATGTAAAGACATCTGTATGTTTAGCGAGTTAAAATTTTTATGTGGACACTAGAATCCCAGGGATGATTCCCAGTCAGAAGTGTGATTTGTGAGTCACTGGTCGTCAAAGCTCGGGAGACAGGTAACAAGATAATTTTCTGGTCAAATACCAGCATCTCATTTCATAAATTCGTTTCTTATGGACTCGACTATATCTATCCATTGCGAAGGAACAGGTTCTCTAGGATCAATGAGTTCTCGACTCAAAAGTTTCCCGGTATTGCCAACGAACCAAGTCAAAATTTCAACCCTATTGCATATGGAAGAAAGATCAGTCGAGCAGTGAAATCCCCCATGTTCAAGAGTTCGACAATGGACTCCGGTAACTTCAACAACCAGAAGAATATATCCCCTACATGATGTATCTCATGAACATGGTCAACGAGAGATTAAAGAGTTTCTGTATAGATCTTGTCATGCGGTCCATGAAGCCCGTCATCCATCTCCGACAAGCGGGTCAAGATGAGAGAGGACACCCTGCTCCGCGATGATGCGATTAGCAATCGGGATGCGGGGTTCATTTGGAAATTACTTCTGATCGTACCGTTTGATTGTGAGTACTGCATCTCGATATTGACTTTTGTCCTTTTGATCCTCGGGGGTGCGATTGAAGATTTGGCCTTCAACTCCGAAATGATGGACAGCATTGTGGAATATAGCACAACCCTGGATAAGTTTTTTCAGCCGCAAGGTCTCCGAGAGGTACGTTGGGCCTGTAGTAATTCCAAGTGCACCATGCTGGGCCATAGCGGACAGGGCAATAAGAACCGAGCATACAAATGCCGATGGTGCTGTCGAAGGCGAAAGACGACTGATGATTTTTGCAAACCCCGAATACGCCTCCTTGCTGTACTCCAAGGCAAGTCGTACCCAGGATTGTCGTCTGTTCGTACTAAATATGCAAGATGCAGGGCCGTAAATGCCAATATACTGTCCAAGACATGTTCATTGCTGGTGGCCAGTTGGGGTAGGCTGACCTGCCAGGTTGCTAGGCTGTGCTTATTTTTTCCCATTGAGAAGCATGTGCTAGTGTAGTAATGATGCAGCAATTTCGTTTCCACCAGTCGTTTATTGAGGGAAATGCCATTTCCATCTGAATCACTGGGTGCAAGAGAGGTGGTTTCCGGGCTTAGGCCCGCCGAGGGCTCATTGCGCTGCCCGCCCTCGGCTCTGATAGTAACGTACTGGCAGTAGAGACCGCGCGCTGCACATGAACTGCATTTGGGAAGACCTTCATCACACTATCTAGAATATCAGAGGTGCTGACAGTGAGAAATTGACTAGTGAGGATGGTACCTTGAAGTGTCGCTCCTTGCATTTTATGCAGCCATTCCGCGACTTTCTATGGCTCCGACGAGTCACAGTCACCATCGCGACAGCTCGATCAAGACAATGACATTTATGAAGATGAATAAAAGCAAATTGACGAATGAGAAAGAATAACATACGAAGATAAACGGCAAATACGTACTTTAAAAACTCGAGATCCACTCACGGACATTACAATCCGAGAACCCCGGGATCCACTGAGTTGCTAACCGCTTTTGATGCAGTTATCGCGAAAAGACTGGGATTGTGGAGAACACGTAATCTTTGTATAGCCCGTCTTTTTTATACGCTATACGGGCGGCTGTGATTGGCTGCCGGTCTTTGCGCTATAGATCAACCTTTTCTATAATTCGAGGCTGAAGTCGGATTCATCTAGATTCGACTGGGCTGTGTTGATCTCAGGAGAAAAAGTCGAAGCTTTTCCGCTCTCGAGTGAGCTCTATGACTATATAATGACTATGGCTGCATCAATCACTTCATTCAATTCATCCACATTGGTGAATGGTCATTATGATGGTCACAGTAAAGTATCTCGGTCTATATGACTTTGTGCCCTCCGAGGGAGCTGCCATTGCTTTCGCCGTTCTCTTCTTTGCTCCTATGGTTATGCATGCGTTTCAACTATTCCGCACAAAAACCTGGTTTCTCATTCCATTCCTGATAGGACTCACATGTAAGTCTGACTTGTTGACAAGTAAGTTCCAGATACTGATTGAATTTGTCTTCTACTTGAGTTCTCCGGTTACATAGCAGTAAGTCTACTAGCTCTACACAATCCAAGATGTCAATCCTAAGTGTCACCGGGTCCAAACTAACAAGCTTTGACTCATAGAGAGCATATTCATCTACCCATTATCCCGACTATACGATAGCACCAGCATTGGTCCAATATATTCTCATCTTGGTGGCCCCCGCGCTGCCAGCATCTATATGGAATTTGGCCGTGTAATTCTCGTCACGAACGGCGAAAAATACACTATCATCCGACTAACATGGCTCACAAAGATATTTGTCTGCGGAGATATCATATCATTCGTGGTGCAATTTGGAGGTATGAGTGGATGTCATATGTGTTTGATGCTGTTATGATTTTGATTACCGGTGTCATATTCAATTGGATTCATCCTTCGGAGTTGGTTCCATATTCTCCGAATCAGCGAGATTTCAGCGATATGGAGATGCTGACATGACATAGAAAATGTCTGTATAAATACATATTTGACTTTGCATATAATTTTTATGGCTTACATCAAGTCATGGATAACCAAAATGGACGATCTGACCTTGCTTAGCATCTCCATTCTTGGCTAAGTACATTCCAAGGCTAGAGGTCATGTAGAGTGGGTATAAGTATTAATCAGGGATATTACATAGCTGGCGCCACTGGGCCATAGGCAAGTCACTCCTCGTGTGAATCCGCATCAATGTTCACTTCTGGTTGTCTCCCCTGGGTAAGTCCATAGTCATGCAGACACAAAGACGCAAGCAGCATAACACTTGTCAAAGCAGCAAAGGACATAAATATGATGTTTAGACCTCGAACATACAATGCCAGGATCAATTTCTTGTCCTCGTCCAAAAGGCCGAGGTCTGACAATCTCAAGGCAGAGGAAGTTAGATGTGCGATCATCTTGGTGCTAAACCGTGCCTTGAGCCCAGTATGTAGCACATTGTTCAAGATAGCACCAGAGACTAGACTTGAATTAGTAAAGAGCCATAAGGAATTGACAACTAGTACACAGCCACCACCTACCTGTGATCCCAATAGAGCCACCCATATCCCGGATGAAGTTACGCAACCCAGTGATTACGGCGCGATCAGCATTGTCCGATCCGGCGAGCAGGCCGACAAGAACTATTCATGTTAGTATAATGTCCACACATTGGAGGTAGGTTCGTACCAGGTTGTAATTGACATCCCACTCCGATGCCTTCCAGGATTCCCGTTGCAAAGAAGAGGGAGGTGGGGGTTGCAATTCCGTATGTTGATTTGAGAATGGCTCCAACTGCCCAAAGGGCTGCCCCAGTACTTATCACAGGCTTGTAAAATCCAGTCAGTGACATGATCACACCGCTCAGCCCTGACGTTATGCCATGAGCAATCACCATCGGCAGGATGAAAGATCCAGCTGTTGCTGGGCTCAAACCACGCACTTTCTGAAAATACAAAGGCAGATAGAACAAATTGCCCCAAAATACCCAGCCAATGAGGATGTTCATAGCAAGCAGGATGTTTGTAGACCGGTTGTACCTGAATAGGCGCACTGTAACAACATTAGCACTCGAATTTTCACACACCATGTTTTACATACTCGGCAGAATGGGCAATTGAACCAGACGCCATTCGATGAATACAAATGTAGCAAAAAAAAGAATGCCAGACACTAGCATGCCGATTATGATTGGCGAGTCCCATGATAAAGTCGCTCCTCCTTGAGAGATGGGAATCTAAGATTGTCTTATTGTCAGTCCCTCCCACAATATACATTTCTTTCGCGAGGCTACTGACCAAAACAAGTACAACACCCACCATGCTCGTCAACACTCCATACCAATCAATCATCTTGAGTTTTTTTACGATACCATCTGCAGTTGATCTGCCCGGTAAGACCAATGCGAGTAAGCCGGCGGCCACGACTGTCAAAGGGCAGATGAACCAAAACGCCCATCTCCACGATGCACGCTCCGTCAAAAGACCCCCCAAGACCGGCCCGAGGCCATTCCCCAATGCCACGGCAATCCCCAGGATTCCGAAATAGTAGCCGCGCTGGTCAAGTCGAGTGGTATCTGATATGGTAATCTGTACTAGGGCATTCAATGCCCCAGCTCCGAAACCACTAAGCCCTCGTGTTACATAGAGTTGTCCAGCTTTCTGAGAGAAGCCTGACAAGAGGTTTCCCAGACCCATCAGGGCAAGTGCGACAATGAGACATGTTTTTCGACCGAAGATGTCCGACAGGCGGCCATTGATCAGTTGGATGCTAGTGCTTGTTGCCAGGAAGCTTGTGCCGACCCATGAAATTGAAGATCCTGTATTAAGCGCGAGTGCGATGGACGGTAGACTCGTTGAAATAGCTGTCTGATCGAGGAAAGAGATGAAATGGACTAGAGCCAAGGCGGAGAAGACAAGAATAAGTTTATTGCGGGGGAGGATATTTGATTGATGATCTTGATATCCATTTGTGATCAAGGGGGTTGTTTCTGCTTCCGGTACTTCAACGCGTGGCTCTGTGGCTGGGGTCATCGTGCAGATGATGTATGTAGAAGTAGACCCGTCCAACCCGATAACCGATGACGGGCTCTCCTCCTTCCGAATTCCACCAACAGATTGCTTTCATTATGGCAGGTGTTACACATCATATTTTTACAATACCTCTCAGGTTCTTTTCGATTTGCCAATTCATCTCTGATCTCTAAAGGGCCTTACGATATGTCCGTAAGGGCGCAATTTCCGTGTCAGCAGTTCAATGCGAATTGATACTCTCACGTCAGCATAAACAAAACAAGCTCTTATTATCCTTGATTAGCTTCTGCACTAGATTGACCCCTGTTGGCCCCACCTTTCGCCGAAGTTAATATGCCTAATCGCCGAGGTGGACATAAACGTTCAATGCCCTCCAAGGTTCTTCAGGATTAATAATGCTAACTTCGACGGCTTTCTACGGATAGACATTCCCCACTATGAACGGGTGATACATCCAATGGCTGCGGCACAGGTAGCCGCTCGGGCATATCGCTTATTTGGAGATTGCATAAATTGGTTATATAAACTACCTTTGACCACCTGTTCGTTTCTTCCAAACCAGTTCCCTCAAATTCAATTCATTTACCGCCACCATGCCCTACACTCTCTATGACGGATCCATCGTCCAGGCCAAGGGTGCCGTCGCCTCCCTGATCCACCTCGTCGAGCTGGCCGAAAAACAACCCAACGCCGATGCCATCCTCACTGCCTCCCTTCACCCCACCATGAAGGGCTTCACCTTCCAGATTTTCGTTGTCCTCTGGCTCTCCGAGACGATGCTGGCCAAATTGACCGGTCGGGAGGCTGCCTCTGTCGAGAACAACATCACCACATACGCCGAGGCAAAGGAGCGCCTTGGAGCTTTGCACAAGGCTCTCTCCGAGGCCGATAAGGATGTTGTTAACAAGAACGGTGACGTCGTGGGTCCCGTGAAGATAGGTCCGCAAGACCTCGGCGAGCACACTGCTGCTTACCACGCCACTTCTGTTCTTTTGCCCAATGTTTACTTCCATCTCACTACCGCCTACGGTATCATGAGAAAGGAGGGAGTACCGCTAGAGAAGCCGGACTACCTCAAAAACTTCGTCACAGCCCCGCTGGCTTAGATGATAGTCTTTGGTTCCTATATCTTTTTGTAGCTAGATAATATGCAGCTCCAAAAGTTGAATCTATTCATGGTATATTTATGTGACAATTGACCAGCATCATTGCTACTGCAGTCCATCCATTTACAGCAAAAATAAGTTCGCTTCGGTCAGCTGATCTGAATCCTGTTGAGTAGCTGTTCCATCGAAGGAAAGACCAAGTCAAGACTACCTAATTATATTCATGATCAGTCCATTCATCATCTGTCTCTCTCTCCCATAGATCCTCATCGTTGGTCGCTGGCTTCATGATGGTGGTCGCGTTTTCGATGAATTCATCAATTCCCTCGATATATGACAATCGCGGCAATTTGGTATCCTTCTCAGCGAGTAATTTCTCTAATTGTCTATCAAACACATCGTCCGGAAGACCCTTAACCTGCGGTTTCATGCCCTTTTCGTACCCATAGATACAAAGCGCTTCCAAGTTTGGTGGGAGATGATCCACAATAGCAAATGATGCATCGTCGACTTTATCGGTACCGATTCCTCGCGCCAGGTAGTAGAGGGTATGGATTCCGAGACTCAGATTCTTCACGTTCGTAAGCCCACGAAGAGAGCAAGGCGATGCTTGACTACCCTGCTCTTGCTGGAGCTCTTGGAGTTCATCTGCCCACTCCTGCTGATAGGCGGGCTGGGATCTCGACGATCGATTATCGATATTGCCAAAGAAGTGTTGTCCAAGAGTCGGGTCGAATGTCTCCGCTAGTGGGGTTTCGGCCTCGACATCCAAATCTAGATGTACTAACGAATTGGCGTGCAAGAGGAGCGCCCGGAAGACGTGATCCGGGCTGAACATGCTTAACATGCCATCTGTCGACCCTCGGCCACCGACTGCATACGTAAACTCTTCCAGCCGTTTGGCCGACTCAATGACCCGCACCAGATGGTGGTAATCTATATTGGAGTTCCGGATAGTAATCTTGGTATAATTTGCGGATCGGGGTGGGGGCTCAATACTCGGCCTCTGCGTGCTCATAATCGCGTCGACTCGGATGGATTCTACTGCGGGTAGCCGGCGTACCAGGTTGAGGCTGCCGTATAGATCATAGGGCTGGTAATAGCACCAGCGATCGATTTTTGTATCGGGATCGACAAGAAATTGGACCTGGCGAAGATGATGTAGGAATGGCAGGGTCTCCTGCGACCTAGGGCTACTGTTCACTCGGTCTAGGATATGCTTAAAGAAATAATCACTTTCCCGAAATGGAGTTCCCTTGGCTTGGGCGGTTAATTTTGAGAGTTTCGGTAGTTCCTGGCCGACAGGGCAGAAACTCAATGTTTCTAATAGTGGCGAAACGCTGACCAGTAATGCTGCCAACGCCTGGGCGAGGAACGGGGCTCGTGGATCATTATGGCTATTCAAAGTCAGAATCGAACAGAGAAAGGGGGGAAAGGGGGAGGGAAAGACAAGCTTACTCCATGGTAGCCGGACTCTGTAGTAAGATATTGAACAGCTTCTCCTGTTCTTCCGGGCAATCAAAGCCGGCCTGCTTGATCGCCATAGTCAGGCGGACCTGATCCTTTAGTCGGAGAGAACGTTGCGGCGGTTTGGCTTTGTACGACTGCACAAATCCATAATCTAGCGATGGGGATCGGTTCAGCTCTATGTAGCGAACATACCGCCCATACCGAGGGGTTTTGAGGATCGATCGGAGCATTTTAAAAGCCACTGCCAAATCCAGGGTCTCTCGGAGTTTGACGCGGCGGTATTTGCGCCGATTGGACATATCACAAAGCTGATGCCAACGGCGGCATTGTAGAGACAGCGCTGCTGTATCCGTATGAGATGGTAGGTAAGATAGGATTCGTAGGATAGTTTCGTCTGGAAGTGATTGGAGAGGCATGTTTAATACTGGGAAAGTCCAGTAATATCAGACAATGTAGTCTCTCGTCGAGGGCAGGAAAGAGAGAGAGAGAGCATATGCGGTGACGGAACTTGAATGTTGACGGCCAATAGAGAGGATAATCACCCAGGGCTGTCTTTCACGGAATTAACTAGTGGTGTACGGAGTAGTGTGGGGTCCAACGGCATTGTTTAAAAAAAATCGAATAGTACATAGGCTTTCTGCCAAAACAAATCTTGGAAACTGTGGTTCCATACATCTACCTAGGCTAATCTATGTATGCCGTGTGCCCAGGTGCCCAGGTGGTACGAGTCCAATGCAAGGTTGCTTTGAGTGCTTCCAGGAACTTTCAAGCGTTGGAGCTTGGCGGGGTACAGCAAAATATATATATATCTTGGCTAACATACCCGTGGACTCTTGACAGATGAAATCTCCAGTTTCAAACGTACAAGCTGATTTGATTTGATTGGATCATTGCACCGATAAGAATAGGGTTATATCATTTGCCTACTTGGAAGTCGGGGTACGTGACCGAGGGTACCTGACCCAGAACGCGGGGGTTTACGGGGTCACATTCATCAACCCCTTTGACGTCATCCGCAGTCAGATGAAGAGCCTTGAAACTTGGATTTTGACCCTGTACTCATCCTATATCCCGCAAACGTAAAACGGGTTGATGTTACGATCGGATATCATCGGTTTCACGGGGCCCTTATTTTGGTGCCGTGTCAGAACGTTCTTCGCCCATATCAGTACTGAGGAATACTGCCCAACCTCCTGCACCTGCATGACCACTGTCACTGCCAGTTGTTGAAGAACGAGTGGTCGGGAGTATCACCTGCACAGTCCCGTCCATGGGATCCTGCTGTGCTCACCAGCTCTGCTTCAGGAAGCCCGCATGAGCTCACCTGGCAACGTTTAAATGGTGGATAAGACAGGTGCTTATTGACCGCCCTCCCCGTATACCCACCCCACAGCTTCAAGAGAGCTGCGCATAACCCGAAGTCCACTGACCGTGGTCTGGACCCTTTCTTTACAGATAGCAAATTACTCGCTTACAGAAAGCTGTACATGCGCTGGTATTCCTTCCTTTAACCTGCGTGCGACTGTATTCTACAAACTGGATTCGCCCCCTCCTTCACATTCACACCTCCGACCGCTCATTGGAATCATTTGAACCCGAAGTAAGACTCAAGTGTCGCGGGTGAGAGATGTGTCCCTCCATCAATATGAAACCCTCCATGGCCAATCTGCCCGAAGGCCACGGCTCTGTGTACAAAGAAGTCCGGTTCTCGCCAACGGCAACACCGCTCCGCCGAGCTCAATCGGTCTCAGGCAGTAACCCCTCGGCGAACTCCAAATATGTCCAAACACCGGTGTACGGACGAAACTTCCCAGTCCTGGATACTTCATATATCGACCAGTCACGCGACCTTCTTGAGAAGCAACGGGCGAATTTTCAGGCGGAAAGGGAGCTTTTTGCGCAAGAACGACGACTCTGGGAGACAGAGCGGTCGCTATTGAAGGCTAGGATTGCTGAATTAGAATTGGTCAAGTCTCCAAGAGCAAACTCCAACACCACAGTACCTCGTTCTGCCGGAGTGCTTTTTGGGGGCCCGCAATTTAATGGGGCCCGCGATTCGTTATTGCACTCGGCTCAGGTGTGGGAAGGAACAAGCCCAGGAGGGCGACCAACAAGAGTCTTCCTCAACGAAGAGACCCCAGACAGTCTCCACCTGTCGACAATCAACGAGGGGAGTGACAACAACCCCCCGTCCCTAGACGCAGCCCTTTCTCCACAGACACGGGCTGCAGACGCACCTGGAGTGACCGTTAGCGTCCCGGTGCCGATCGAGAAGCTTGATAGCAGACTAGATGGAATTACCCTCAAGTCAACTGGCTTACCACCTGGGGTCGTAGCCCGGGTGATCACTCCACCATCGCCGTCGCCCCTGACCACATCCCCTCCTGCCCCTTCCGACCCTGCAAGGCCTGACATGGATCACCGAAACAGTCTCAAGTTGAAGCTGTCAGAACTCGGCCCACCCAATGAAAACCTCGTTCGGGACGCTGGACACACCCCGATGGTGGTCATCGAGGCCGACGGGAGCCGCCGATCCACCCAGGACGCTACTCCAGCTCCCGAGGCTCAATCTCAGGAGGAGGCCCCACTGGCACCTGTGCATACGGAGGTCGGTCTGCCGACAGAGAATGCGGAGTCGTATTTCCCCGATCTGCCTGAAGATCCTGCCCTGAAGGGGCCGCTTGGTCTCACCAACGATGAAGAACACGACAGTAGCTTCCTGAATGAGCTTGACCAGAAACTCCTGGATCAAGCTAGGCGGATCCTAGGTAACTCAGAGGAACCGGAGGAGCCCAATGAGACCGAACATGAGCAGCCTACTCAGGGTGAACAGGAACCAGAATTCAAGTTCAAAAATTCCACTAACTTCGGCACAGCCTTTGGTAAATCGAATTGCGGTAAATTTTAAGGAGTTGAATTTGTCACTAGTGATTGATGGTTTATGATCTGTCGAGGTTCATGTTGGCGTGGTCTGAATTATTTACTTTGCTATTTACTTTTTCATCCTTTTTTGACTTTTCTTGCATTGTCATATTCCCACATATGTTATGATATTGCGACAGACTTGGTTCTGTCAGCGGAGATGCTTCACGACTTCATGAGATATCCTTATATCCCGCATATGTTACAATGCAGAGCTTGTTTTGATTCGACCTTGTATTATTTTGTTTCTCATGTTGCCTGCGCCATGTCCGGCTCTTTCTGGCTGAGATGTCCAGACTTCTCCCGGTTAGACTTGAAACCCACAGGATGTCTCCTGAGCCCTTTTGATATTGGATTTTCCTTGCGTCTGATGTGTCAACCTGGAGCAGCCCACTGACCAATCGACGCTGTTCATGAACAAGTTCTTAATGCAGGAGATTCGAAATTGTGCCCCTGGATCTGTCCCTTGCGTGGAATTTGCTACCTTCCACCCCAAGCCCCACGTGTTGCCCCGAGGGATCCCCCAACTCGCGCATCCAGGCTGAGATAACGACAGCTCTCGGATAAACGGGCCCGGGCTGGTGCATAAGCTTCATCAGCGAGAGCAGAATGCGAACTGCATGATGGTCAATGCCCCTGACGAGGGCATGAACACAAATCACATTAGTCCTGCGTGCATGAACCCCCGGACCCAACATGACAACTCTCACACAGCATGTCTCTATCTTTGGCAACTCATGTCTCTCTTTCTCATTTGGTTCCTTGCCGATCAGTCCTTGTGGCTTTCCACCAAGGGCTAGTCCATGGCCTTGCTGCAGCCTGGTACCTGACTAGCCCTTGGCTTACCCTGTGATACCCCTCGGATACTGTCTTCAGAAACTATATAACGGCCATGGACTTCAGTCCCAAATAACTTTTTCCATCATTCACAACAACAGTTCCTCGGACAGCCACTCTTTCGCTTCTCTTACAGTTCTCGGAGCCAGCTCCTCAATCACTCTTTTCATCTTCAAGATCAATCTTTTCTAATCCTACAAACCTACAAACTCATTCCTTAAGTTTTATACTTATTTTCTAATACGCTGCAACAATGCCTTCCTCTACTTTCACCTTCTCTGCCGCCCTGTGCCTCTTCCTGGCCGTTGGCCCCGCTACCGTTCTCTCCGCTCCTCAGCCGGTAAGTTTCCGAACCACATGGCTTGGTCTTGTATACCCAACAATGTACGCGAGCTAACAATGCCATGATAGAACGGTCTCCCCCTTCTTGGCGGCTCTGATGACACCCCCGCTACTGGCAACACCGAGAAAGATGCTGGCGCCGGCTACGATGTCGGCATCCCCGGCGGACCTAACGTTGCCTTCGGAGCTGGTGTTCACAGCGAGACACACGGTCCCTGCGGCCCAGGAGTGAGCTCCGAGAAGGATGCCGCTGCTGGCTACGACGTTGGCATCCCCGGCGGCCCCAATGCGGTCTACGGTGCTGGCGCCCACGAGCAGCACGACGCTTATCCTTGCCCCGAGCCCGTAGTTGTGCCTGTCCCTGAGCCTACTACTGAGCCTATCGTCGAGCCCACTCCAGAGCCTATCGTCGAGCCCACTCCCGAGCCTGTTGTTGAGCCCACCCCCGAGCCTGTTGTTGTTCCCGTCCCTGAGCCTACTACTTCCACCTCCACCTATGTCCCGGTGTACATTCCCCCGACCTACACCACTCCCATCGACATTCCCACCATCACTACTGTCCCAGCCTACACGCCTCCTCCCATGGCTCCCGTTCGCTCTACTCCTCTTATCCAGCGCCCTGCTCCTTCTGCCACACCCTCATCCATGCCAGTCTACAATGCCGGCTCCACCATGGCCCCGACATCCCTCTTGGCCCTGGCTCTCCCCATCATTGCTGGTCTCTTCTACTAGAAGTGTGAATTGTGATCAAAAAGGTGTAACTTTCTTGTTTGGACAGCCCGCCGTGCCGGATGACCTGTACCTGTATCCGTCCTGTGACTTCTCGACGGATGTAATCTTTTTTGTGTCTGTGACTCTTCTATTCCATGTCTACTCTTGCTCATTTACTTCTTGGTTTGCTGTTTCTATTGGTGAAACCCTCCAGATACCTGTATCTACTACCCATGAGGGCCTTGTGACTTTTGCCTTTTTATCTGATGTTGTTGCATTTATGTCGAATCGGTTGGGATGTCAGGAGTCCGGGCGTGCTTTGCACATTCCGCACTGTTTACTACTTTTGGTGGATTTCGTTGGTAATACTATGCACGAATACGATGCCTTTTCAAAACAAACTTTGATTTTTCTTCTCTACTCTGGTAATGTAGTGTGTCTTAGAAGTAGCCTTTTTCGTGCCCTGGTGGCTTGCAGATTAATCTAACTTGTGGAGATGGCGATCTCCCGGTCTGGATTCGACGCTAGGGATGTAGGGTTATTGGACATGATTTGTCACTCTCAAAAGAAACTCCAAGGTATCACAAGAGGGCAGTACCATGGAAATTGTAACACAATAATTGAGAAGAAGAAAAGTAAATATCTTGGAAAAAGTCTGACCGTGATATCTTTGGTAGGTAACTCATCACACTAGTGATATGATACGAAGCAAAAAGGAAATTGGAAGTCAAATCAAGATAGTTCGTGGTACCTGCAGCAAAATGAACGCCAAATATCATGTCGTGTCATGTATATCACCTATTGAGCCAGGACGGAGTCGAACCCCCAGCCGTTGCAGACCATAAGTCAACCACTTTGCGGGGACAAGGCCTGAGCGCGAAAGGAGAGCAGGTCCGTCCTCCTCAGCTTATCTAGCTAGGAATTATTATACCCCCATTGTAAAGTCATGCTCAATACCCGGTGTAACGCTAGCAATGAATTTGAGGAACACGACCAAGTACTGATCCACCCGGATAGCAACTTGCTCTTCTTCATCGTGCTGAAGGACTTCCCACTCATCACCACCAGCCTGTTGTTGGTTCTCGCCGAGAGACATGCCCTTTGTATCATCAACCAAGCCTTCCAGACCGTCTCCACTTCCGTGTATAATGCGCTTTGCCTCTTCGGGGGACTGTGTTTGCTTCAGCTTGTCGCGTCGGCGCTTGAGTGCTGCATCGGCGCGGTCAAGCAGTGTCTTCATCACTGAGGCATGACGACATGGGTGCACAGTGGCCATCTTCACACTGCCATCGAACCAAGGGAAGTCCTCCAGAGTCACTGTTTTATCCTTGTAGTCGCCGACGATATCCTCCATCATCAAGTGGGGTGGAAGTGGTTCTGAGGGCGACAAGTATCCAGATAGGTAGAGGCGGGGTGTGCGATAGAAGTTAGAGTAGGTGATGTATAAGGTGTATGTGCGCATGGATCTAAACCAAAGGTGAGCATAGGTTCTATAGAGGCAATGATGCAAAACTTACTGCGATGCTCCAGACTGTCCCACCGGCTCACGAATGATCGCCTCCTCGTCGTCATCGTCATCCTCCATATCGGGAATTTCTTCATCCTCCTCTTGCTCTCCCAAGTTTCCAGACTCGTCAACTGTTCGCACATCTCGGATACGAGCTTCTTGTTGATCCCGGTCGGGACCTCCGCCAGTTCGCAGCCAACCGTCGTCGCCGTCATCGCCAGCTGGGCCCTCCTCGCCTTCACCAGAGAGCATATCCCTCACGATCTCATCCTCGTGGTTTGCGTCACCGGCGAAATTATCGTTGAGCCGACGCTGACATGGCACTCCCCGTGTAACGAGGAACTGCTTACCAGCAGGGAGGTAGGACACGCGTTTTGCTGGGCTCGAAGCGTCACCCCAAGACCATGTGGGGAACTTGTAGACAAGGTAGTCGCCCGCAAGAACGAACTCCTCTGGAGTTATTTGGCCGGTGGCACGGAATGTTGACGTCCGGGAGACTGGAGCCAAACGATCCCGCCAGGTTGATAGTGTTGAATGTAGGATATTCATTGTATTTGGTGGTCTATGCTAAGAGTTGTAGAGGGGGAGTTTATGAGGTGGGGAACGACAACTCTGATAAGCGGTGGAGCACATGATCGGCCCCGCGTGAGCTCATCGCTATCACATAATCCCAATCTCAAATAAGATCTCTCCCTGTTTTCACCTGATTTGTATCTAGGCAACTGATAATCACCCTCATTTCAGTGTCCTATGTTCTGACTGTTCACTCAGGTGACCATATCAAAGATGTCAGATGTCTTGAAGGTGTCTGGCTTCGCTGAGCCAGACTTGATGGGCCTCTTTCTATGAAGAGCCTCATCGGGGATGTATATGGAAGTCTAGTCACCTTGATCGAAAGTATAAGCAAGATCTTTTTGGAACTCATTTGTCCCGAAAATTGTACGACTCTGTGCTTCCTTCCAGTTCACTCGCCTTCATCCATCATTCGCCGCCGCTCGATCTCTGACTCCAGATCATCCACCACCAGAGGAATCTTCCTGTTCTTCCACTTCTCTGTTTCTTTCCGCACGAAACTTTCTAAGCTTCTCATGGCCACAACTAGAAACCCGAGCTCTTCACGATCAACGTCGAAAACCTCCCACCAATTAGCATCTACCAGCTTAAATCCCTCCTCACGAGCTGCGAGATAGATCGCTGCAACTGCGAGCGCATTCGGTTGGTGTGTTACATAAAGTAGTTGGGGAGACAGGAGGGCGGCGTTGAGGTGCTCCACGACGCGGTGAGCGACGGCAGGTCTTGTCGCACCCAATGTTTGCAGATAGGTGAGGGCGATAGCGTGGGGCAGAGCGACATGTGTATCGAAACCAAGAGCTCGTAGGATGATCGACTCGATGCGTAAAAGTGTCAGCCTGGCGGACTGGTATCCACCCTCCGAGAGGACGTAGGTCTCTGGAGCAGGAGGCTGTGCGGGTGCCCCACGCGGGTTCACAAACCACAGTGGTGAGGCATCTTGCGAGAGAAGGAGGGTATATACGTTTAGAACGGAGCGCGGGGAGGTCGGAAGAAAAGATAGCTTGGCTGTCAGGTAGAGTGAAGCTGCTGAAACATCCTAATTTGAGAAGAAATCAGCGTTAAAGGAACAATGCCAGACCGAGTGGTGGTTTGCAGCTTGCGTACCTTGGCCGAGTAGATTCGTAAGCTTCCTCCATCTGCTCCCAGCCAGAACCGTGTGAAAATTACAATCGCCTGGGCGATGATGTCTTGCGATAAACCAAGTAGCACGCCAGCGGCCTGCGTGAGCTGCGCTCCAGCACAGCGGATCGATGTTTCAAGATCGGAGGGTACGCCATCGATTGACGAGGATGAATTCGAAAGCTGATCGACGGTGGCGAGAGCATTAGAGAGCTGCTTAAGACCGGCTGCCATGTCGCAGATTTGCAAGGATCGGAGACCGGGAAATGGGGGAACGTGGGGAGCGACGGAAATGTGCAGGAATAAGGTTTCTGCCGTATCAAGTTGAGAAACGTATGTACAGAAGAGTTTTGCGTCTTCTTTTCTCTTTATTGCATTCCGTCACTGTGGATCAGACATTCAGCTCAAGTCCAGAATAATAGAGGAAGATTGCTGTGGATCCGCTAGATCCTCGGGTGGAAAGCTTTCAGCCACCGCTATTTCATAGTTCCCAGCCTCTCAATTATTTGGTTTCAAAGCCAAAACAAATCTCGCTTGGTACTTTTTCTGATCAAATCTTATGCTGTGAAACATCTGTGCTTCTCTATAGTCCAGACCCAAATTATTTTCGTCTAGTCTTTGTTTCGTGAATTCCCCATTTCCCCGTCCTCCGCTAAAAAACAACCTAAACAACACATCTGCATTAATCCCCACCCCTAGGAGGTCACACACCAGCCGCGCCACACACCCTGATTCGACCCTGTCGACCCTGATTCGAATCTCGCCGGCCTTGATCCCCTCGTCATCATGTCCTCCGATCTCTCCCTCCCCACGGCTGCCCTACATTCCGATGCCTCACAGGGGCACGAGATCGTTGCCTCCTCACCCGCAATCCCTGTGATTCCTCCCAAGAACCGGTTTCACAGCTTGCCGTCACATCGTCGGGCAAACACAGAATATATTGCTCGTCCCCCTATTTTCGAAGAGGACTTCGATTCATCCAACGAAGAGACAAGTCGGACAACCCCCTTGTGGACTGGTACATTCCCCAAAAAGAAGTTCGAAGCAAGAGCCCGTGTTCTGTCAGATTGGTTCCAAGGCAAGTCAGAACCGGTCGATTTGGGAATTAAAATGCGTCCTGAAGGCGAGATGGACAGGCCTGCTATGGGGTCCCCGCGTCTGACGGCTATGACACATACTCGAAAGGGTTCAGCCCCAGCGACGGGTCGATTCAACTTCTTTGGGCTCCGTCGACAGGAAGAGCAAAAGCCCAACCCCCCAGAGCCAGCAGATGACGAGTTCCTCAATCTCGATATTGCCGCAGCCCTTTCCTTGCCTAATTCCGATGCCAGCGACGATGAAGCCCTCGATTCCCTCCGTGCACAGGCCACAGATGTACTGCAACGCATGCAGGATGCATATAAACAAAGAACATTTGTTATGCATCAAGCCATGGTAGACAGGAGCGAGAAACAGGAGGAATTGGAAGAGACTCGGGCGCGGGTGGATCATCTAAAAGTTCAGCTGGATGGCATGGCCGCTAAAGTGTCAAGCCAAGAGAAAGCCATGCAGGCCATGGCTGAAGAGCTCGAGCAGGAGAGGCATCTGCGACAACAAGAGGAGAACCGTACCCGCAGCCATACTGTGCGCGCGATTGCTCCCGATGAGGACATCCCGTCGCTGGTACTACAGACTCCCCACCGCGGTGGCAAACGTACCAGCCATGGGACCTTTGCTAGCGACTCCGGCTTCGAGTCTGGAGATGAGAGCGTCGCGGACAGTGTCTTCTCTCATCGGGAGGGAGTTGAGTCACCAACATCCACACTCACCGCACCGTCACCCAATATATCTCAGGTTGCCTTGTCTACACCGACACCGATGCCAACCATCCAAAAGAATCTCGTTGCAGCTACGAATACGCCCACACCAAAGGCTTCATCCGCATATGATCGAGTTCTGAAGGGCTTCGCCTCCACGCGCCTGGGAAGCTCGTTCGTAGGTAACTCCAATCAGAACCAATGCGATATCTGTTTTGGAATCCCTTCCCATGAAGCCTGGAGCGTGATGGGTGTGCTGAAAGATGAAAACCGCGGTCTCAAGACTCGAGTTGGCGAGTTGGAGGTGGTGATCGATGATTGCCTTGGTCTTGTTGGACCCTAAATTTGAAACGAAAGAACATTTCATACGGAAGTTCATGAGTATACTTGGGCAGCTCTCGACACTCTCAGGACCTGGCGTCTATATAGAGCAGCGGGGCGTATTTTGTTTTTTTGTCCAATCTATGATGTTGAGATACCAATTATAGAAAGAGATGATATATTCAAGGCTATCACATAATATGATCTTGACTCGGTGATCGTATACGTAGCAGCTGGATCCATGGTTCAGATAAGGAAGAACCACTGGTGTTAAGGTAGAGGATGCTGGACAGACCCTGCACCGATGCGGTATAGTGTGGGGATAAGCTCCGGGCCCTCAACACCGGGGTGGACACATACCACACGGATTCTCTCATCGTAGAGAGGGAAATGAACAAATAAACAATTAGAACATGTAGAACATACTAGACCATATTAAATTGGCAATCTGTCAGCTATTCGGATCCGTTGGTGTCGAGTCATAGCTCTGATAGTGTTTGGTGCGGTGATTGCGGCGAGACCAAGTGGCCTTAATTAGCGCGAAGCGAAAAAGTGGCCAGCGAACGACTTCCCTCCTCTTCTTCCCCCATCTCCCTCCCCGACCTTCCCTCCTTTCCCCATCCCCTTTTCCTTTTCTTTTTAATCAACTTCCTTTCCATTCCTTCTGCTGGTTGAAATTCCCAGCTTCTTCTATTTCATTTTAGACGGATTGGGAGGAAGACAGTCACAATGAGCGGCCGTGAGTTTGCCCCATACCCACGCGATCGCCATCCACCTCCTCGGATCATCTCCAATGGCCTCACGGTTACTGATTATGGATAACAGTTCGCTTCCTTGACTTGATCAAGCCCTTTACGCCCCTCCTCCCGGAGGTGGCAGCTCCTGAGACCAAGGTGCCCTTCAACCAGAAGTTGATGTGGACAGGTGTATGTGGCCTCCCAATCGCTCTTGGTTGCGACGAAACGAACTCAATTCTAATGACAATGTGGCTCTAGTTGACCCTCCTGATCTTCTTGGTCATGAGCCAGATGCCCCTTTACGGTATCGTGTCCTCCGACACCTCAGACCCCCTGTACTGGCTGCGTATGATGCTGGCCAGTAACCGTGGTACTCTAATGGAGCTGGGAATCACTCCCATCATCTCCTCCGGCATGGTCTTCCAGGTATGCGATGAAGAAATTGATTGACTTGATGCGACGACCGAGCTAACCAACTCCGCTCTTCTAGCTCCTTGCTGGTACCCACCTCATTGACGTCAACCTTGACCTCAAGACCGACCGCGAGCTTTACCAGACCGCCCAGAAGCTCTTCGCTATCATCCTTTCCTTCGGCCAGGCCTGTGTGTACGTTCTGACTGGTCTTTACGGCCAGCCCAGTGACCTCGGTGCTGGTATCTGTGTTCTCCTGATTGTCCAGCTGGTTGTTGCTGGTCTGGTTGTCATTCTGCTGGACGAGCTCCTCCAGAAGGGCTACGGTCTCGGCAGTGGTATCTCCCTTTTCATTGCCACCAACATCTGCGAGTCCATCGTCTGGAAGGCCTTCTCCCCCACTACCATTAACACCGGCCGTGGCCCTGAGTTCGAAGGTGCCATCATCGCCCTGTTCCACCTCCTCCTGACCTGGCCCGACAAGCAGCGCGCCCTGTACGAGGCTTTCTACCGCCAGAACCTGCCCAACGTGATGAACCTGCTGGCCACCCTCCTGGTCTTCGCCGCTGTCATCTACCTGCAGGGCTTCCGTGTTGAGATTCCCGTCAAGTCCTCCCGCCAGCGTGGCATGCGCGGCTCTTACCCCGTCCGCCTCTTCTACACCTCGAACATGCCCATCATGCTCCAGTCTGCTCTGTGTTCCAACATCTTCCTGATCAGTCAGATGCTGTACTCTCGCTTCTCGGACAACCTGCTCGTTCAGCTTCTCGGTGTCTGGGAGCCCCGTGAGGGCTCTGCCCAGCTCTACGCTTCCTCGGGTATTGCCTACTACATGTCGCCCCCTCTGAACTTCACAGAGGCTCTCCTCGACCCCATCCACACCGCTGTCTACATTACCTTTATGCTGGTTGCCTGTGCCCTCTTCTCCAAGACCTGGATTGAGGTTTCTGGCTCCGCTCCTCGTGACGTTGCTAAGCAGCTCAAGGACCAGGGTCTTGTCATGTCCGGTCACCGTGAGCAGTCCATGTACAAGGAACTCAAGCGTGTGATCCCCACTGCCGCCGCCTTCGGTGGTGCTTGCATTGGTGCCCTTTCCGTTGCCTCCGACCTTCTCGGTGCCCTTGGCAGCGGAACTGGTATCCTCCTGGCTGTGACGTAAGTTAACACCTACCTTACGTTGATTTGGATCATAACTAACATGCGATTTCTTAGCATCATTTACGGTTACTTCGAGATTGCTGCCCGCGAGGGTGACATTGGCGCTGGCCTGAAGGGCCTCGTCCCCGGCAGCTAAATTAACAAATTGCTGGATTTCTTCTCCTTTATGAACAGTATTGATTAAAGGCTGCACTTGCAGTCTTTCGGATTTCTGATCATTTTCTGTCGTCTTTTTAATCGTCATGTTTTTTATACTTTGGAGAGATGAATTGGCAGTATGAGGCTGGTAGCCTTCCCTTGGGCAAGGCCAGACTGGGATACCCGGTGGCGGATATCGTCCAATATGCATTGGACTCTGGATACGAGCATCTAGCTTGTATACGAGGCCAAAGAAGATACCAGGCTTGTGGAATCTGCCGCCAACAGTCGGAAGCGCCCTGTTTAGGGACTGTAACCATATTTTATCAATCAAAAATCTAACCAAGTTACGTGTCTTGATCATTGTACATTCGGAGCTGCTTAATAGACCTCATTCCCCCTCAATGCAGTTCTGGAAACCATGTTCCTCAACCACTGAGGCCCGTCTCCACTTCCCATCTGACTTGATGCCCCGAACAGCAACTCCTGCGGGCAGCTCTGCATTTAAACTCCTCAAATAAAATAAAATCTGAGACGGGCATAGGTCTAGTACTGCCAGACAAATAGGCCTTGGGAACGGGCATATGCTGTTCACAGTTGTCTCTTACGAGCTAGGGTTGTTTGTCTTGCCGATGACGTGCAGGTATCTCAGTTGGGGACTTGGTATTGTCTTCACAAGCCCCTTCTGTCCATGGATTGAATGGGCAAACGTCATGACCATGTCCTCCTTTCCCTTATCTCTTTTCCCTTACTCTGACTGTCAATCGCGCATACGATGAAAACGGGTTAATACAGAGAGCGTCGAATGGTGAACAATTAATTCGCGCCAACTGTTTATTGGGAGCTGGACAACGCAGGCGCCGTCAAAGATACGGACCAGTCCAGCCAATCATGAGCATCCTGACCTGCCTGCCACAAGCGGAACTTGGGATGATATTTGTGAAGCATACGACTCCGAGCTGGGCTCTCCAAGGGACAAGGAAAGTTCAAGTCTATCTCCGAGAAAGCTTGGACTGTCTCTGGGAGGTCGATTATATCTATCTAGGGCTAAAGACTGTGATACAAGGCTTAAAATGCTAGCTTGCTTCAAATACCACTTGATGTTCACAGTTAACCATTGTCAAGTCCGTCCTATGTAGAATGCTGGTTATACAGGATGCTGAAGCCCAAACAAGACTTGATGTTACAATTTTGTATGCGATGCTTCGAGACTTTGCACCAATGATATACACGTAGAGGATGTAACATTCGAGTCGTATGTAGGAATCTACCACCTACGTAGTATAATCAATTAAACCAGTCTAAACACTGCATTTTCCTCAGCCCTCATGAATCAAGCCCGTGTAAATACAGAACCCAACGACAAGATACAGCATATACACTCCTGATAACACCGCATCGCTGTAGTTCACCCCAAAATGCAATCAAATCATTAGGTGTCACACTTCTTCAAATGCCAGCTTAGCAAGACCAACAGGATCGATGCAGTCAGCACCGACGTCACGCTGCAGCCCTCACACATCATCACACAATCCGCCACACCCGGATTGCCCAAAGAATGTACAGTACAAGAGGAAACAAATACATGATCAACCAATCAACCTCTTTCAGAAATCCTTATCCTACCAACGCAATCGCGTAATTGCCCGCATTGCCCTCTGCCATTTTCCCTCCAAACACCCTCTTTCCAGCCACGCGTCTCTCGGGCGAACTACTCCTCCAAATAACCTGCTTCGCCTCTTCAACAAGCCGATGCTGAGAATCAGGCAACGGATTAAAAGTAACATCCAGCCCCAACTCACGCGATCCAAACCGCTTCGCCATATCAAGTACTCCCCTCGCCGCGAGTTCACGACCACCCACACAGGCAGCAGGGTAATAGAACCTCGGATCCAGATAACACAGTACATTCTTCCAGTTGGGTAGTCTCTCCAGCAGAGCATCTCGTGCATGCTCATACTGTTTCAATGTACGCTTCGGTACGCAGTCATCGGTGTGCACGAAGAAAAATACCTCGAAGCCCACGCTGCGGATGCTAGCTCGGGCTGTGGGACTGAGGGTATTGAGGAACGCACCTATTCTGTCCAAGTCAAAGGAGTTGCGGAAGAATAGTGTGTGCGTTTTGTAGAGGTAGTTTTCTGCTTCCGCGTGGATTTGGCGGTTCACGGATAGTAGAGCCCTGGCTGTGCCGTCTTCGCCTTGCCAGATTGGACACATTGATAGAGCTCTATAGCGGCTTCGGGATGTGAAGACGCTGCCTCGGTCGTGAATTACTATTAGCGGTTTGTTGATGTAGGTGTTTGGGACCGCGAGGGCGTATTCGTAGATTTTGAGCCGGAGTTCTGGGGGGAGGTGCATGAAGTTTCGTCGATTGCATGGTTGACTTGGTGTCATGTTTATTATATGCTCGTGTTGAGGTCGTTGAGACTTTTGGGGTGGAACGAAGTGTTGTTGTCTGCTACACTGATGGATGTTGTCATGTATACCGATGGATATTAGTGTCCAATTTCGATGTTGGTTCAGATCGAGTTTATAGGTTCAATATATTGAACAACTCAAAAGCATTTCAATCTAAGATCAATGGTGGATTCGCGGAAAAATGAAAGTTGAAACTCAAATGCAGGTGGTAAGTTAAAGAAGGGAGGATCTCCCGGTTATAAATATCATGCGATATTTACAAAGAGCAAGTACCCGATCGACATGTCCACCATCGTAATAGGGGCCCATTCATCGGTCCACACCATGGAGCCTACTGATCAACGGATTATTTAGGCATGCGGGTCTTTGTATATGGGAACCGATCTTGTTTAGGAGTGGCATCCTGGCCCCCACAGGGCACCTGCACTGGACAACGACACCCTCGGATGAACAGTATGGACGATGATTCAGATTTCTACTTTCCCAGATGATCTTTGGCATATACACATACTGTGTGTATGGGAAGTATATCCGTTCACCTACCCATCCATACAGATACTCCGACTATTGTCAATCACTGGCAATCACCGGCAATCACGAGAAAAACGGTGTTTTGAAATGTTTTATGCAAGTTGGACTGGATAGCAGAAATGGAAAATAATTCGGAGGATTATTAATCACAGTCCCTTTGGTTGTCATACTGATCCAGGGGTTCATCCCTAAAATGTCGAGAAGATCGGCGTGGATAATACAGAACCCACGATCCTGAGTCCGGTCCATTCACGGGCTGACTCTGTACTTCCTTTCCGGGAAACTTGCTTGAATTTTGTAGTTTGCCACGGATGAAGGGCCCAAGGGCGCGCAATGACGACAATTCGGGATACAATGGAGACCGAGAACTTAAGATCGGAATGACACGTTTTCCGGGCTGACTAGACATGTCAGGAGATGCTGAAAACCCGGAACGTGGGAAACCGGGAAACCGATAGTGGTTCCACTTTATAGATTCGGGCTCCGACACTAAGACCTATATGGAAAGATTATGAGGTATTCTTCGTTTCTGGAATCCTTCGAAAGGGTTTAAAATTCCTTCATGTTCACAGGTATAGCTATGTTCCGTTGGGATGGATAATCTCCATCCTGGGGCCTCCCCATGTTTAAAAACACCGCAACGCCCAAATTATCAGCCAGTGAACTATGGGATGTGTTTGTGTCAATTTGGGCTAGGTAATCGTTATTTGCCGGCTCAAATCACTTTTGTTTATAGATGCCCAAGGACCAGGCGGCTCGTAGAAGCGCCAGGCCCCAGGCCATGCCGATACTATCCCGCAGAACATTCAGTTTGCTTCCCTTGACCTCTCTCCATCCAATTGGCACCTCGGCAACAGGGATGTTAGCAAACTCGGCTAACATGAGCATCTCCACATCGAAGATCCAGCCCTCGGAGTGCATATACGGCACGATATAGGGCAGTGCGGCGCGAGAGAAGAGCTTGAATCCACACTGCGTATCCTTGACAGTAGCCGTTCGGGGCGGCGTCATAAGCCACAGGATCAAGTGGAACGAGTGCATAAGAAAGTTGCGCAACTTAGACCGCTAGTATCCACCAATGTTAGCACGGGGCTTCTGAGTAATATGAAATCATTTTCCGCATTTCGGCATCTCACCAAAAAGGTGGTCGAGATGCCGAAAGGATTGAGTTCAACGTACCTGCACCACAGCCTCACTTCCAACCATATGCGCGCGTGATCCAACAGCCACGCCGCGCCCATCGGCATCTTCGATCTCCGAACACGCCGTTACAAGCTTCCCGAGATCACCAAACTTGCTCGCCCCATCGGCATCGGCGAATACAACGTACTTTCCACGAACATGACGCATACCATGTGTGACTGCACCACCCTTCCCGCGGTTATGTGTCAAGTTGACCACGCGGATCGTACCAGGCGGGATATGTACGCCCTCTTGTGCCTGGGGTGTCCACGGCCCAGCAGAGCCCTTCGGATGCAAAGAGAGCTGGTGGTCTTTCGCAAAGCGGAACGCCACCTCCTCGGTACGATCCGTTGAGCCGTCCGAGACAATGATGATTTCCCAGCCTTGGTCCGATGCCGAGCCTGTGGCGTGACCGTTTGAAGCTCCGTTCGGCTTCCGCTTTCGCATGGACCGGGTTTCCACGGCCTCTGTTCCCTGCTCGCTGGCTAGTGTGCCGTACATGTGTTCTAGGTAGTTGACTGCTTCTTCGAGCATGCCTGAGAGTCGATCTTCTTCGTTGTAAGCGGGGACTACGACCGACATGAATAGCTCTGCTTGTTCGATGTGGTTCTTCTCCGAGGACTGGGTTCGCTTTTTGTGGGCCAGGGCGTCGCCCCAGCAGGGTAGAGCTTCGGGGTTGGTAATCGTTCCATCTTTCGCCAGAGTTCTATACTTCTTTTCTTCTGGTAGAGGAGCGCGGGGAATTGGGGCGATGAGAGATAACAGGATATAGAACTGTAAATAAATGGTTGGTGTTAGTCTGGTGGTTCGAATTCAATTGGGGGCAAGCAGCGCGGAGCAATTGGTAATGCGCGCATCAAGGCGCGTTGCGGGAACAGGCGGGGGCACGATCTCACCAGAACAAACAAGCCGAGGGCAGTAGCAGAAAAAGCAGCCAGCAGAATGACAGGTGGCACGTCAACCACAAGCGTGACGCATTGGCGACAAATGTCAGCCCAAGATCCGTCCATGGCGGCGATTACAGACTGCGGAGCGGAGCTGGGAGCTGGGGAGGGATGCGAATTGAATCGCGAGAACTCGAGAGTGGCCTAGGAATAAAAAGGCAATCACCCCATGCAATGCGAAATCAAATTAAACTCATGGAAAACTTGCAGGAAATCCCCATCGGGAGGAGTGGAGAGGGAAGGTTCAAGACTGAAGTGTTGATACAGTAATCGCCAGCTTGGCCTTTCGGCAACGCGCAAGCTCCGAGATAAACTATGGAGTCCCCACGTTTCCCAGAAAAGCAAAGGATTTTCTGCAGCTTCTGATTCGTCCATTTACATTGATCTTCCAACAATGGCATTTAACTCCGATATTTGTCTGTTTACGCAATGAATCTGCAGACGTCAGCTCCGGTCCTAGAGGCTAAGACACATATGCCTTTCAAAGTTCGAAAATCTCAAGATGTCACAATTACTCAACTCTAGGCTTTCTGGTCATACAGGTTAGAATACAGATCATTCTGTTCAACGGAGAACCAATCATGCTACTTCTATTCACCACCTGGGCGCTAGCACATCCACTTTCCACATCTCAGTCCCAAACATCTCCGCTCTATTTCCAGGCTTCCAGCATAATCCACAGGTTTCCAAAGGCTCAAAAAGCAATCCAAAGGGGTATTGAACAATAAACTCCGGTATGGCAATCATCCAAAAGTGAAAGGATTCGCTGAAGTTCATCTCGATTCGATATGTCATATCTCGTTAAAATGGGTTCCTGGTTCAAGTCGAAGCTCTTTGCGCGCCAGAAAAATCCGTGGTCCACTGGAAAGGAAGCCAGACCTTTATGGCTTGGAATGAGCCCCCAGGTAATGATGGGCTTCCATGTGAATGATGATCCTCGGAGAGCCAGGTCAGGGCATCCATCCAGGGTTGGCTCAGTCCACGGCTTTTCTGAAACATAATCTGCCGTAGTCGAGGTCGACTTATTTCATTCCAGAGACTCATGTATGCAAAGAAAGTATCCAGAGTGGCTAAAAGAAAAAACAAAACAAGAAAATATCAAAAAAAGCAAAACACCCGATGTGCCGTAATCGATCCAAGCCCGAAGTTGATACAGGCCGAAACTGCTCAAACTGTTGACTCCATCGTTTATATCCAAAGCCGTGTTTCTGAAGTACTGATCAAGCTCCGTTCATGTCGTAGTCAGCTGGTCCTGGAAGTGCCCTACTGTTGAGATGACCGCAAGACTCCGCAATGGGCGCATAATCATATGCGAGCTGTGTTGGTATAAATTTTTGATCACGGCTGTATGAAATCCATCGATTAAACTAGTTGAGAAAATTAGCTGCCCATGATTGTAGAACTGTTCAAACGAATACAAACCGTTGCTATGCGTACGCCTAACCAGAGGCATCTGTGTCGTCTTGGTATGATTGTCGTTGGTTCTTCGATACTTGGTCTGTTGTCTTCTGAAGGGGCATCTTGAAAAAAGTTTTCTGGATAGTAGAGTTGACTCCAAAGCTGACCGCGAATGAGGAAGTCTTCTGAGAGCTGTTGTGTTGTGCCATCTTCAAAGTTGGGGAATGCTTCGTCTTCGATCTTGGCGAAGTTGGTCTCGGGCTGAAGTAGTGAATTGAGGAATCGGGTGATAGGTAGCCATGGGATTATTGTTTCGAGTTGCTGCATGGCGCTAGGTCGAAGGGATAAACACCAGAGAAACGCTAAGGAAGCATGGACACTGGGGTATATTCCAGGATCGTCCATCTGATCAAGAAAGACGGTAAGAGTATGGAAGGCAAGACAGCTTCCTTGAGGGGTTATCGAGGACATTGGACGCGAGCCTGTATTCGACATGGAGTTAAATTCGGATTCTGATGTTAAACTCGATTCTGAGCTAGAAGTCCACTCCAGTGCAAATTTATGTGCCTCAGCTGAAGTTTCGTCTTGCTTGGCTGCAAATTCTAGTGCCATCATTCCTTCAGCTTCGCCATATTGCAATATTGAGGCAAAGTTGCAAGACATTATATAAACTCCTTTTATTCCTTGTCGATCCAGCCAACGGGGTTCCCTTCGCAGTAGCGATAAGAAAACATTAGCCGAGGCGATGAACTCCTCAGCTGAGTCTTGACAGAATAAAGTCCCGTGTGTCGCAATAAAAGCATTAATCACCGTGTGCTGAGTAGCTGCCTCCCCTCTATAGGGATTGAAGAGAAGAACGATACTCTCTCGGGCATTTGGGAAAGGGTTCACGCTAACCAGAGCTTTGGTATAGTAGAAGAGTTGTTGAAGACTGTCGGGTCGAGCCAATACCGCAAGATGATGCTGAATTCGGCCCACGTTGGGGTTTTGATCTGCATCTAGATTGTACCAGTAACGAGATACTCCTGCCCAAACTTCACGGTCTCTCATGTCAGATTCTTCAATGGCCATCCGATACCGTGCTAAATCACCCAAGCACTCGAGCCATGTTTCCCTGAAAGCTGAGACACTCTCCAATAGCAGTGTGATCATTGAATAGGCGAGGTAGATGAAATTCAACATATAATCCAATGATTTCGGGAGCTTATGTCGTAAGAGCTCGAGGAATGAGTGAATTCCATAACGCCACATTCGTGCCGGCATAGCATACTTTTCAGCGAGTCGCCTTAACACAGGTCCAGCCGTAGGGTGTTGTGAGGCAAGGAAAAAATCGTGATGTTCATATAGTAAGGACCGATGCACGGACATCAAAGCTTGCCACTGCGATTCCGATAAATCCGCTTTCGACTCTGATTGTTGTTTGTCGATGTCGATACACTTAGTTTCAACCATCGCCAATCCGTGATAGATGTGTCGGACTTCATTGATCAATTGATCTTGAGTGATAGGATTGGTTTCCGGCTGCCTAAACATTCCCTGATATCCTCGCCTATCTATCTCCCCTGGGGTTGGCGAAATATCCTTAAGATCTGACATCTGGTCAGACATTTCTAAATCATTTGACGATTGTCCCGACACATCTTGAAACTGCATGCTGCCCCGTCCACTCATGCCATTTGCAGATGGACTCGTCATAAGCGTCGGGCTTGAGTAGAATCTGTGTAAGTCTGGGCGCGAAGCATGCATGTGATCTGGCCGCTCCGGCACTCCTGCATCAAGCGCTCTCTGGGGTACCATCCCAGCCACATGGCGACGAGAATTGAGAATCTGACCAGAGTCTGCCGATAGTCGATTCTTAGCAACACTATAACTCGCTCTGCGCCGGATTTTCTCGGCACGCGTGGCAGTAGCGCGAGGTGATTTCACTCTCCTCACACCGTTGCTACTATGCGTGTCGAGGGTTCTATCATCGACCATGATAGAAGTCGACCGGCCACTGGATAATGGCGGGCTAACCGATGCAGGTATGCGGTTCGCCATTGATGCGGAAATAAAGCCTTCAGAGTGCCCAATATGTTTTCTAGAAATGCAGGATTTAGTGCGACCCACGCCCATAGCTTCGGGAATTGGGCTTTACCTTGCGGTGCGGGTCTGGCTGTAGATAGCTTTCCAAGCCTTGGGTTCCAATCGGATGCCCGATTGTACACCGTAATTGTAGCGCGTGCGAAGAAATAATGGATTCTCACCCATGGTCTGATTCAGTTTCTGCACATGATCTGACCGATCATTGGTTATTCTAGATCGGGATCATCAGAGGTGGAGCTCCCAAAGGGCGGTGGCGCGGAGGGTTTTATGCATGTGTTGAGGAAAAGGTAAAGCGGGTAAAAGGGAGAGAAAGGTGACGTTCGTGTGGGAAACCCGGGCATGGGAGGATGCTTTTGTAGTCGATTTTACAAAGGCAACCAAAGCGTCCCTAGATTGGCTGATGTTTTTGCCTTGGGTAAAACTAAGTGCAGTGGGGTCGAGGGATGGAGTTCGACAAGTACCCGCTAGTGGCTGCCTTGCAACCTATACGTAAGTATTCGTCTGTAGTAATATGCACGGTACCTTTGACATCGAATTCTCTTCTCCCTTAAACACCCAGGGACCCCTACATATTCGTTTTTTCTTGCGATGAAATGTGGGGTATCGAATTACAGGTCCACTATTTGTCATTCTATGGGCTTGAAACATGATGTCAGGATTTCGGAAACGATGCTCTAAGCGCGCTCCACGAGGATGAGATGAAGGACTCGCTGACTGCTCGAGTATAATGGCTGGCCTGAATGTCTCGTCATCTATAGCGGGAAGAGAAATTAATAGCGCTATGCCATTACTGGAAATTGGAGACAAGTTCAACCTGGGGGGTGGCTGGAAGCCATCATAACCTATAACCCCCTTCGCTCTACATGCTCAACCTGGTTCAAGGTAACCATTCAATATTCCGAACTTTGGTTGATGGCAACCTTTGTGAGGCATTTGAGGTTTTGAATTTTGGATTTCTTTTTTTCCCTGGGCCCTTGCATTCAGTTGACTTTGGATCCTGTCACCGCTTCCATTCTACACACCGATATTTCCAGCACTGACCATGTCTTCAGAGCCTGAATCCGACCTGATACGGGCATGCTAACCGGTATCGGCCATCTTTGGCCATATTCTCCTCCATGTCCTCCTCAAGCATTCACCGGTGACGTGATTGCCCTCAGATCACTCACTATGCTGTTCAAATCGGGGCTTCGGGCTTTTCCCCGTTTTATCGGGCTGCTCTGCATCCAAATGGGAGCCTTGGGTCGTTATTAGCTGCGTACACATACCATCCTGGGCTCACCACTAGCTAGGTGCTCTGCCTGGCCCCTCAGCATCTGTGTTATAGTGCGTTAATTATTATGAAATCCGTTGATGGCCTGGCATTAGGCGGCATACTATGCCCGTCAGGTGGTAATTTACTTCGGACATTTTACGATGCATGAACACGTCGTTGGTACTTTTGATCAAGTGAGAAGCTGCCCGCTTCATGAGAATCGCAATCAGATCATTCAAGGCATAGATTGGCACTATACTTTTGGCGGATCGTATTCACGTTGTACTCATAGTGGGTCTGACCGGAATCTGACTCAAGCAACTAGGCACCGACTCCACAACATGACTTCAGCCTCCGGCGACACGCCATCCTTCTAGGCGCTCTTGTGATCATGAAGACAAAGATAAAAATATAGATCTCAGCTGAGCTTAGCGGCTCGGATGATCAGGATCTTCTGTGTTTGTTAGATAAACATTACTGTCGAATATTTAGCCGAACATTGGAATCCAAACAACCGTTTAAGACCCCTGCAATCTCTAAGCAAGCCCTAGATACTCCACACGCCATGCTCGACACGGCAGAGCTAATGTATCCCCCATGTCATAACCCCCGGGTGAAAGCCCACGCGGGACGCGATACGTGCAGCCTTAGCTTGCAGCGGGGGCGTCAAGTTTGCACAAAGAATTCTGCTCAGCAGGAGCTGTACGTATGTACGAGTGCTTTTGCTTCCTTTTTTTCATTCAGTTGTTTGTGCTAGCGCTCTCTAGGCAAACCACCCAGGCAATAAGCCACGTCGCTGACCCAGGCCCAGGGATTAAGCCTTAGCGCAAGATGCAAACAAATTTCAATAGCTATTGTGATTTTCCAATGGAAGAGGGAACCATATCAATAGTTCACTTCTGAGTTTTATGCTAGAGCCCCTTGATACAAATCGACATGCTCATATACTTTAGGCCCAAAGTATACTTGAGATCCTGATCTGCAAGCATACATAAACATATCAGGAAAGTGAATATCAGATTGTCAAAGCGTACTGTGCATGTCCCACATGGATTTCCAGCATCCTGGAACCCTGGCACCTAGAAACTGGGTCGCATGTCTGAGTTATCAGGCAACCCGGGAACCCGCTTCTTATCTAGTTTGATCTGCCCCCTTTACAAAGAAATACCTGGAAATGATGTAAGGAGAACAGGGGTAAAGGAACATTCCACAGCGGGGTAACAGGACTGGGGACCCGATCTGCTGCGCCCGGGTGAAAAGCATATCAGAACCGGGATATGCATCCTGTTCCCCGACCCCTGAATTCCCAAGTTCCAGGTTCCAAGGTTATGGATTAGAACGTTCATTCGGACCGATGGATTTTGGGGGCTGAATTGAACCTGTTACATTAATATGAGGCACCGGGGCCGAAAGGGGGCATATGGACGAGATTGAAGTTTGTGATGGTGAATTTCACCCGGGTGAATTAGCTCAGTGTTCTATTACATTCTAGATGCGCTTATGCATGGGCTAGCACATACTTTCATGGTTAGTCTCCTGCAGGAAGAGATTCTATTGGGTCTTCCAGTCTACGTTGTGGATGTTTCGATTAACGCTCGGATGGCTAACTTAGCAACATGTGAAGCTAATACGTGACCTGCGTTAGGTGGTGTGCTTACCGGGATGTAGATTGGGGCTGGTCCTTTGAGATAGTCTGGGCTCGTCACTGCCTACTGTTCAATCAATAGTCCTCGAGAGAATGTGGTCTCCCGGTGTGACAGAATGAGGACCAAACCACCAATCAATCCAGATGCTTCTTGGAGGCGACCAATATGTATCAAGGAGTCTCTCACTAGCCAATCATCGAACAGTACTCCAAGCCTCGCATGGTACAATGGGATGTATCACAATGTCCACAGATCCCATTCAGTATACATATGCAGGAAGAAAACAGCTCAAATAACGTGCATAATGCGGAAAATAATTAATGCCGAAGGGAGGCAGAGTTCAAAGTTGTAAAGACTGGAAGTACATACAATGCACATATCATGCAACCTGTACGGAGTACGGAGCACCCAGTGGATCCCCCCTGCTCCCTAGAAATACGTCATCCAACCTCGGAAGTCCGAGCATCCAAACTCACCCAACTGCGCAAACTAACGCAAACCAAATGGAAAAAGGCAATTGAGGCGCAGCAATCATTTCAAATCGGAAATTCCCCGATTTCTCTTCACTTCACCGCCTCCGATCACAAACAACACTGGACAGATCGAACCCATGCTCCCCCGGCTGGGTACCGCGCGGCATTTGAAACACCGGTATTCCATACTGACACTTGCCCTCAGACCCGTTGCTGGCACAGCAGTCGGTCTTGGCATTTCACGATCTGCAGCCATGTCTACTTTCACGCTCCCGGACTCCCATACACGTGTCAACAGCACGGCGGAGCTGTCCGAGGACGATCTACTTGCCTTTCCGGCGTTCAAGGTCTGGATCTCGACGCTTCAGCGTTCGTTGGCAAGGCAGGCGAACCCCGGACATGAGTTCCATGGAGATCCGTATATCCTACGCACGATTGACATCCAGGCTGTTGATCGGTTTGGGGGCAATAGACTGGGATTCGTCAAGTTGAAGGCTGATGTGTCTAATGGCCAGGGTGAGAGTTTGCCTGGGAGCGTGTTTTTACGAGGTGGGAGTGTGGGGATGTTGGTAAGTTATCTTGATTCGATGCTTCTATACCGTGCCCAGGATGAAGTTCCTTTTTGCGGAATAGATGAATTCTGAGATTGTTTGCGGACTACTTTCTAACTCTCTGCCAGCTCATCCTACAACCAGATGATATCCCTGCATCACAAGTAAAGGGGAAATGGGCTATACTCACCATCCAACCCCGTATCCCAGCGGGTTCCCTGGCATTTGCAGAAATTCCAGCTGGAATGCTAGATGATCACGGGACTTTTGCTGGTGGTGCTGCGAAAGAGATCCAAGAGGAGACAGGGTTACGTGTGCACGAGAATGAGTTGATTGATATGACCGCGCTGGCATTACAGTCGATGCCTCAACTAGATGAGGGAGATGGGATTCTCCAGAAGGCGGTTTATCCTTCCCCTGGGGGAAGTGATGAGTTTATCCCCTTGTTCTTGTGTCAAAAGCGTATGCCTCGGAAGGATATTGAGGAGTTGCAAGGAAAATTGACTGGCGAGCGTGATCATGGAGAGAAGATTACGCTAAAGGTTGTTCCGTTGGAGAATTTGTGGAAGGAGGGTTTGAGAGATGGGAAAACTTTGGCTGCTTGGGCTATTTATTCAGGCTTATTGCAGGAAGGGAAGATTTGAAGAGAGATTCATCATTAAAGTATCAAAATATGAATGTTGCATTATATCTCCGAGCTTGATTGAACTAGGCTATATGTGCGAAGTAAAACAAAATCGGCCGGTGAAAACCTATGTATTGCTATAAGAGCCATTGACTAGTGAGGTCTAGTCTCGTATATCCTGGTGTATGTCTGTCTAGTTTTTGAACGGTGATCAGAACTTCCATTTCTTCGCCAATTCAATTCCCTCAGCCAGGGTGCCGATCCGCGCATCGATCGCATAACCCTGTTGTTCAAGTTTCTTGGATTCCTCAAACAAAGAAGGCAGGGGAACGGAGAAACACTCAATAAATTCATTTTCCTCGAGTTCTGGCTTCGGGTTCTGGTTCTCAGGAAGACTCATATCCACGCTCACATGAACCATGTTGAGATTAGTGTTGCAGAAACCCGGGTCTAAGACAAAATAGGATGTGAGTCAATGCACCATGCACAGCTAAAAGGAGCAAGATAATAAAAATTTGGAACACACCGTTGTACATAATCGGGCTCGTCTGCTCCGCTACACCGACATAGCCAGTCTCCTCTTTGAGTTCGCGTACGGCGCATTGCTCGGGTGTCTCACCGGCATCGATAAGGCCAGCCGGAACCTCGATAACAACTTTGTCAATCGGAGGCCGATATTGCTTTTGAAGAAGCAATTCCGGCCCACTCGACAAGTTCAAGATAGCAACGATCCCCACGCCGTCGATCTCAGCCGTAGCAGGACGAGTCTGGTAAAGCCGCGTCAGTCACGATTATGATGAATTTCAGGTCACGCAGCGAGCCAGGGTTGGCGACGATGTCGTGGTCCATTTTGGGAAATCGGGTGAGTGATACGTCTAGAAACAGTAACGATTTCGCTGGCAGGCAACCGATTATGGCTAGACACGGCAAACATATCCACCCAATACGGGTCCGATCCGCAAGGTAAGCTTATGCTGAGGGGTATCCACCGATGTCGCAATTTTGAGCTCGCAATCACGCGGCCGTTGCTCAGGTGTGGTCTCGTGAACACTGGAGAGGAGGCCTTATTATGGACTCGGACATGGCCCGTGGGTTGGATATCCACGGTCAGGGTAGGGGATCAAGGTGTGGTGTAGTGGGACCCGAAAAGTGAGGCTGGGTAAATCTTACCTGTCGCTCTGCAGACTCCCAGGTTCGCTCAACGCCCAGCGGGTCAGTATAAGTTGTTTTGACCAATCGAGTCCATTTGGCTTCAGCAGGATCCTGTTATTGATGTCTGGTCAGATCATGTGTTTATAGGTGAGGTCGCAATTAAACTTTCTGTTGCTTTTTTTGTGGTTCGTTGCCTTCGCTGTAAGGATGCAAGTTATGGACGGGCAGAAAGAAAGCAAAACAAGCAAAACGTACCAAAGGTCCTTGTGAGACTTGCTTGGACTTTGTAAGGCTAGGAGGCGAAACCATGGTGGTATGAAGGAACAACGTTGATACGAGAAAGTTGCAAAGTTGATAGTTCCAGGTATGGAGTAGAAATATCGTGTTCCGAGCTTAACCCGAGACTAACCCCAATGTTGGATGGAAAGATGGAGGAGAGTGGAGGGTGAGGGAAGAAACAGTGGCTGCGGCGGGGCTCGCTTATCGTGTATCTTATCGGAGCTATTTATCAATAGCTGCAGGCATTTGTTTGATGCATCATGATTCAAGGGTGTTCTAACGTGGAAAATGATCGTCAGGAACTTATTACAGAGTCTAATGAATCGTTTTATCAATTGAGCTCGAGCCAAGGTATCATTCCATAAGGCTTATCTATAGCGGATATTGAAGAATACCACATAGTAATGCAGAATAGATGAACAAGCACTAAAACAAGATGAATGCTTTGTGACTCCAAGTGGGCGAGCCCCTTAGGCACTTTGCATTGACAAGTTCTGCGAAGGGTCGTATAAATCATATAGGACCGATACCAGGTGAGCACGCGAAAACCCAAAGCTCCAAAACTACCATATGCTTGCTATCATAACATCATGTAGGCGTAGAATGCTGCAAAGAAACGATCACAGGCTGGACTGAGGGTCTGTCTTGGGAGGCAAGTTCTCGACGAATGTCATGCATCTCTCAAATTCGGACCAGTCATTCATGATGATGTGCACTCCAAGATCCATCAGGCGAGCGCTCATCTCTTCCTGCATCTCCTTGCCGTTATAGCTACCCACATACCCAATGGTCCAGATACCGGCACGGATAGCGGCAAGTGCACCCGACTTGCTGTCTTCAACTGCAACAGTCTCACCAGCAGTCTTCTTCACATAGTCAAGGGCATGCAAGTAGATGGCAGGGTCAGGCTTGGAGGTGGGCTTGTCGAGGGAGCTAGCTGCGCTGAATACCTTGTCGGCATCAAAGTATTTATCCTGGCCGACCTTCTTGATAGAGGCTTGTACTCGACGCAGAGCGGACGATGAGACCACAGCGAGTCCGTACTTCTTCGACTCGTAGAGCTTGACCAATTCCTCGGTGGCACCGACGCAAGGCTTGGCCTTAGCTTCCAGCTTGGCGATCACCTTGTCTTCCTCCTTCTTGACATAGCCCTCGAACTCATCGTGCTCCAACTCAAAGTTATATTTGCTCTGTAGGGAGCTCATCATGCCGCGGAAGTTCTGACCGACAAAGTCTTTGATGAGTTGCTCGCCCGTGTAGCGATCGGAAATTCCCTTCTTCTCGAGGATCTCATTGGCAAGATCCGCACAGGCCTCGAAGGCCAGCTCTTCCGAGAGGACTAAGGTGTTGTCGCAGTCCAGGAAGATTTCCGTGATCTGCAAATTAGCGGTTAGCGGGGTAGATCCCAAATGTCATAAAACAATGGGAATTCCGCACCTGTGGCATGGTGAAGAGGGGTAAGCCGGTTCTGTTCTGGTAGTAGCGGAGAAGTTGAGGTTTGTTGCGGGGAAGAGTGAAACGTCAGAGTTGTATAGAAGAACGAACTGGTGCTCAAAGGTAATCTACTAGAGCTAAAGGATGGAGAGGTCAGGCAGGTTTGGGGGAAAGGAAAATAAAAAACAATTCAAGCGCCAGAGGGGAAGTCGCGACCCAAGTGTTTAAATTCAAGGGGCACGACCACTACGGGAAAGCATGACGCCGGCATAGTCCAGTAAACCGGGCCCCAGCGGGATGGCGGGGCTGAGGTCATATAGGACAAAAGTACAGGGTACTTTTGTTTACATACAGCTACACAAGGGAAACCAAGTACTCGGTACTCAGCGCATCCCAACGGCCAAGGCCACGGGTGCCAGTCTCCACCAATGATATCACAGCTGTTGATGAGTCAGCACACCAGGTTCCCCCTCTAAACCTCTTTAGGAATTGCTATTTGTACTCATGGAAAGTCGCAGAATATCGGGTTGTTTCACTGTTTAAGATTTTAGGTCAACATCTGTCTTCTGCGGATCAATGTACTGGAAGAGAGGGATCATTGTTAATCTTGATCTCAAGAGAGGATTTCCCCTCTCAGTAAAACCTACAGAGACGGATGCCTCCCCGCATCGTGCTTGTGTTTAATTGTTTCATTGGATCATTCGGCCATATAGGTCCAGGGTCGGGATAAGTCGGTTGTACTGTTACTTCATTTGGATCATGGATTCTTCTATGTTACATATGACCTGGGATACAACCGCAGGGCAACCCAGAAATAGGTATTTACCAGGTTGCATGGAATCATTAGGTATATGCCTCTGCCTCGGCTGTTAGTATTTGTCTGTGTTTTCATGAATTTCCACGTTGTATATATCTATATCTACCGGCGAATTGCTGAGAACTTGTGCAGGCCAAAGCGTTGGATCCTGTAATCCCCAGATTGGTCTTTTTGAACAGTGCCATCGAGACCTGAAGAGCACCAATTCAAGTTTGTAATTTATAACGCAATCTGGCAGGCTTCTTCGGGACGTTGGGTTCCATCCATTTCCACCAGGTGGATATGTATCTCCAGCGACGTTAGCGTGTCTGTTGGCGTTCTGGTTCTAGAATGTATTCCTATCCTGCGACCTCCATAGAGAAGATCGTTATGAGAATATCTTCCAGATTTGTCGCCCTCTCATGATGAAGCTGAAACCAAGTGTTTGCGACTCCATCTTTAAGTCATATTTCAATGTTGTCTGAAATACTCCGGGATGCGTCTCCACCCTTCTACAGGCCCGACTATGATTGGCCAGTCTCCCAACGGCGGTTCACAAACGCATCTGCTATTTTCGCAATTGGGCAAGATTCTCGACACAGTCCTAGTGGGGTATATGCTGGAGATATTTACCTTTGAATTGGTATTTGGTACTAAGGCTTTTTTGTCATTCCAGTGCATTTGGTGACTTTCCTCCACAGATCCAGGCATTGGGCCCAATCGAGTGACAGTGCCTCCCCAAATACCACAGGGTTTTACCAAGTATACCCTGTCAAAATGGGGTCAACAGGCTCATATCCAGCCCTGGAGGACCTGCATTTCCCATCAGCACAAACATCCATCTCGCAGACCCTATCATCTCTGCGGCGATCCGCTCTATCCATTACCAACCGGCTCCAGTCCATTGAGGCGGATGCTGCATTTGTACAGGAGGTAGCTGAGCAATACAACCTCCCGCTAATCGCAAATGAACGTTGTGGAAGTTGGTATATATCCCCTGATGCCAAGAAGGGGAGTGCCTATTTCAAGAGCACGGATGGCCATACGGGGCAATGGGATTTTAGCTTTCGTAGGCTGAACCTGCAACTTCTTCCGTTGGCAAACGAGTATGGAGGGTAAGTTACATATTTCACCCGTTTTTTGCCGGATCCTACGTTGTATTGATTGGTGCTTCTATCAATTCACTCACCCGTTTCCTCCTTTCGTCCCACCTCTGATATGTCTTCACTGGATATCCCGGCATTGTTTCGTCCCATTGGTGGATCCACCTTGGGAGTTGTTTGTCTCCAAACTGACGCTGTCTTTCATATTCACCATACAGATGTGTAATTGTGGATTCAACCCGTCGAGGGAAATGTACGTCAATACCCCTGTGAAACTGGAAAAAGGCATTCGGGTGCCTTTATCCTGCCTTACGGTGAAAGCCCGCTGACGATCCCAGTGATGCCCGACGCCTTATCCAAGACTATCCCTATCTGGAGTGCCGTGCTGAACCGCGCCTTATTCCCCACGGAAACCGCATACCATGCTGTCCAATTGCCGCCCAACTACCTCGGTAAATCAGAGGAATCGCAGATCGAGAACCGTATCGATGGCTTCGTCCATTCTCTCAAGGTGCGTCGATCCCATGCATCTAGGCTACCGGGGAAATTAGCAATCACTAGCCCCTCTTCACCCGGGTGACAGAGGCTGCGTTGGAACGAATAGTCTAACATTATATACTGTGCATAGTCCCTTAAGCTGGATCTAGATCAGCTGCGGCAGCAACTCGGAAAGCCTATTCAAGTGGCTTGGGCTAACCCGGAGTACTTCTATCCGACGGATCTGCAAAGAGATGACGCCTCGTGTCTTTTCGTTCTGTGCTCCGCCTCAAAGCGTGTTCATGGAGCTGAGATGTCCGAGGGGGGATACATCCAAGGCGCGGGCGATGACAGCGAGGGCTGGGCGCATGGGCTGACGCCTCCCGTGTTCTGGGCGAACCAGGTTGCGCTGAAGCAAACCTCCGAGGAGGATCTGCCAGACCTGATTGCGAAATTGATCGCTGAGTATCGGCAGCAGCGTGGTGAACAGGAAGCGACGCTCATCTCTCCGACTACGAATCTCTACATCAACCCGACGAATCCTAGTGTGAGTGGTGGTAAGTATGACCTTGTCATTGACTGCAATGGGGATCCAGCTGCCGTGGGAGAGAACTCGAAGCGTCTTAACCTAGGTTGCGCGTCGGCCAAGTTGGGGAGCCGGGATTTACGAAAATCATTGGATAAAGTGCGAGATTTCGTCAATACACAACTTGGATCAAATCCTTCGCAGTCAATGTTGGTAACTTGTGACACAGGCAAAGACCTGTCGGCTGGAACACTATTGGCGATTGTGTGCCAATTTTACAATGATAACGGTATGTCTCATGAATGCTTGAGGTGGTATTTAAAGGCGCTAGATGAGAACGGCGTTGGGAATCAAAATAAAAGAAACAAAACTAAAGTCAAACGCAGGGGAATTTGATGCGTCGCTAAGCAAGCGCTCGATCAGCAAAACTTTCATCCGACAGCGTCTTGCATGGATTGTGTCATCGAAACATGACGTGAACCCGTCTCGCTCGACATTGCAGTCGGTGAATGCCTTCTTGATGCAGCCTCCGGATTATTGATGCCCGAGGTTATCATCCTGCCCTGCGAAGCGGTCTTAGCTCGCAGAATGTATCATGCAGGTGCTCACTCGTTGGCCACGGCCTCAACGATAGCTCCGGCGTCGCCCTGATCAAGCGAATCCAGGATCTCCATATCCTCATCCTTCAGGTTAAAGTCGAAGACCTCAGCATTCGCAGCGATACGTTCTGGGTTATCTGTCTTGGGTAGCGGCACCCATTGCTTCTGCAGCGCATAACGGATCAAGACCTGTTGAGTTGACTTGTTATATTTCTGCGCCACCTCGACCAGCGTGGGGTCATTCGCTTTATAGTTTCGCACGATTGGCGAGTAGGCCTCGACGATGATTCCATTCTTCTTGCAGTATGCATCGATTGTGCGTTGCTGGCACCAAGGGTGAAGCTATAGAACAAGCACGAGTCAGCACACTGAAACCAAATAGATGTAAAAACAACTTAAATCGCAAGTTAGAAAGAATGAGCAAAACATACCTCAATCTGATTGACCTGTGGCGGCCACACTTTCGCGTAGGACTTCATCTCCTCAATTTGATGCACACCAAAGTTGCTCACACCAATACTTTTGGCCTTGCCCTCCGCTTGCAGCTTCTCCAATGCCTGCCACAGATGCTTGCGACCCGCAGAACCAGACTTGGAGCTGTGAATCAGAAACAGATCAACGTATCCTCCCGGTCCGCCGATCTTTTCCACGCTCTCAAGGAGCTTTTCGTATGTAGCCTCAGGTGATCCCGCGGGGCTTAGAATCTTGCTTGTGACAAAGACCTCCTCGCGCGACAGGTTAGAGGAGCGCAGCGCCTCACCAACCTCAGTCTCATTGCCGTAGAATTGAGCTGTGTCGATGTGACGGTATCCCACCTCGAGCGCTCTGTGCACCGATTTGACGCATTGGTGTGTCGGGGAGCGGTAGACACCAAAACCAAAGCGCGGGATGCGCTCGGTAGAGTTTGGGAGGGGGAGAAGGTCGGTAATCTTGTAGGCCATGATGATATTTTCTCTCTTTTCCAGCTTGAGAATAGGAATGGAAGACAATTGAGGAGCTTTTTGAGGGAGGAAATTTGCGACAGAGGAATTTCGGTGTTGTAAAAGCATTCCTCGCCCCGCTCTACGGAACCGGATCGAATGATATCATCTTGGATGATTACTCACTGAGCACACCATCTGAGTACCGCGAGAGTCTAGATTGTATTTTATTTGTCAAGTTTATTGCACCATTGGAAATCATGTGCTTGGTTTCTTTTTACGTGTGTCATCATGTTGTGCATACACAAGTGTGAGACTGTGAACATACACCTTGACTACCAGGGAAGAATTCTCGCAGAAGAAGTTACCAGAACGGGTTTGGTGAGGCCTGAAATAGTAGCATCTTGTTGGACAAAGCGCCTTGTGTGTTGATTGGTTGGATTTAAAAGACATGGAGTGATCGCCATAAAGCGCTTACATGGTTGCACCTGCACATCCCCGTACCCCTCGCTCTGTGACCGTTCAATATGCAAAAATAGACCATATTTTGTTCTCCGATCTCTCATTAACATCAATCCTGTAACCAGCTCGGTATAACATCACAGAAAAGAAAAAGCGTGGTTGCTAGGGTGACTTGCGGAGTAGCGGGAGAAACAGAAACACCCCGCCCCTATCGACTCGAGACTCGATCTCTTGACAGCTCTGCATCCAGGATTATCTCCTTCTCCGAGCCTAGTCCAAATCGGCAATTTTCGTGTTTTTTATTTCCCAACGAGATCCTTCTCCTATTACTCGATTTCCAATACTTGCCAATCGGCCCTGGATGCCTTCCTGATCGACGATGTTGACGGTTGAGAAGCAGTGGATTAACGTGCAGCAGAAGACCTTCACGAAATGGTGTGTTCACTCTCCCTGGATTGGTCGTGAGCGCCCATCTATGCCAAACCATGGAACTGATTGAGGAACCTCCACAGGTTGAACGATAAGCTGAAGGCCAGGAGTTTGGCCATCGAGGATCTGGTTACCGATCTCTCAGATGGTGTAAGTGTCCCACCCTTGGAATGTCCCCGGTCCACCCACGGTCGTGACCTGTACCCAAATAACCCTCCCAATATGACTTTTGCTGATCTGATGTGGCCTGTCAGGTCATTCTCATCCATCTCCTCGAGATCCTAGGCGGAGAATCGCTCGGTCGATATGCGTCGAAGCCCAAGCTGCGGGTGCAGCGATTCGAAAATGTCAACAAAGGTCTGGATTTTATCAAGGGGAGGAGGATTCAAATGACCAATATCGGAGCGGAGGATATCGTCGATGGCAATCGCAAGATCATTTTAGGTCTAATCTGGACACTTATTCTCCGGTTCACCATCAGCGACATCAATGAGGAGGGTATGACCGCCAAGGAAGGTCTACTATTGTGGTGTCAACGAAAGACGGCATGCTACGACGACGTGGAGATTCGGAACTTTTCCTCCAGTTGGAACGATGGCCTGGCATTCTGCGCCCTACTCGATATTCATCGACCCGACCTCATCGACTTCGATTCGCTGGACAAGAATGACCACCGCGGCAATATGAAGCTCGCATTCGACATTGCTACGAACGAAATCGGTATTCCTGACCTGCTCGATGTGGATGATGTGTGTGATGTGCCACAGCCCGACGAGCGGTCCTTGATGACCTACATTGCCTACTGGTTCCACGCCTTCTCGCAACTGGAAAGAGTAGAGAATGCCGGTCGTCGAGTCGAGAAGTTCGTCAACAACATGCACGGGGCGTGGGATATGCAGTCAGGCTATGAGCGCCGGATGAAGGAGCTGCTCCGGTTGATTCGGGCGCAGCGCGACCAATGGCAGAACTCTTCCTTCGAGGGAACCTACAAGGATGTCAAGGAACAAGCTGCCAATTTCTCGCTTTACAAGCGTAATGAGAAGCGTCAGTGGGTGGCAGAAAAGTCCGACCTGGCTGCTTTGTTAGGCAATATCAAAACAAAGCTGGGAACGTATCGATTGCGAGCCTACGAGCCACCCAAGGAGTTGAGCTTGGAGACCTGTGATCAAGAGTGGGAATGTCTGACCCGAGATGAACACCAGCGCAGCCAGTTGATCAACACCACCATTCGAGATATCAAGAACGCTCTCCGCCGATCATTTGCAGATAAAGCGAACGACTTTGCGTTGACTTTAAAAACATTGTCTCTAGCTATCTCCGGTTTGGACGGAGATGTTGAAGACCAGCTGGACCATGTCCAGAAGTTGAACGATAATCTGCCTCCACTCGACGCCTTCCTCGATACCATCGCCGAATTAGATGAACAATGTGCCGAGGCCAATATTGAAGAGAATGATTTCACCACCTACACCCTGGACGAGTTGTCATATGAGCTCAGCCTGGTGAAATCCAGTATCTCGAAGAAGCTGGCCTTCCTCGAGAACCAAATGGTGGCTCGCAATATGACCAACTTGACCCCAATCCAGCTGGAAGAGTTTGAGTCAGTATTCCGCCACTTTGATCGAGACGCATCCAACACCCTGCACGAACTGGAATTCTCCGCTGCACTTGCCAGTCTGGGACTGGTTTATGATGAGGACGAGATGCACCAGGTCTATGTAGAGGTTTGTGGGGCAAACCGATTGTCCCAGAATGCCGGTGTTAGTTTTGAGCAGTTTATTCGCTTCATGGTTAGCGTGACCGAGGATCAAAATACTGCCGAGCAGGTATTTCAAAGTTTCAGAGAGGTTGCTGATGGCAAGGTTCGTATATTCAACTTCGAAGGCATTGTTTTTTATCCCTGAATTCTAACATCTTTTTCAGCCCTATGTCACGGAGCTCGATCTCCAACATTCACTCATCCCCGACGAAGTCATTGAGCATCTGATAAAGACCATGCCACAGCATGAAGGTCCAGACCTGCTTGAGGACCGTGATCTTACCAAATTCGACTACATCAGCTTCATGGAAAAGATGATTGAAGATCAGAAAAAGAATGGAAAAGACTGAAGGAGGAAGATAATTCCAGTTGTTCCTTGCACAGCGTCGCCGGTTATAAATGAAGGTCTGCTTTGATAGGGTGTTGCCGTGGTTGTTTTATGGGGTGGTGTTCCTGTCTTTTCGTCAAAGGTTTTTATAAAGTCTTTGGCTTGCTTTATTTTTGCCCAATATCCAGCATGCATCCTGGGGTTCGGCGGATCTCCCTCGGTTTCCATCGTATTCTATGTGCTCATATGTTTTGTTTCTTTACTGAACTTAGGATACCACCAATAACATATAATTTACATTCCAATGCCCAGGTGTGTTGTGGACATTCAATGTTGTAGATAGCCCACTCTTTACAAATATAGATTGGACCCATGGATCGCCGTGGTCCTCACGTGATGTGTCTCGTCGACACGCCAACAGTTCAATATTCAATTGACACCGACCGGTCAGATCAACCCCTTTCACATCATCCAATTCTTCCATTCTTAACTGAGCCGGCTTGCTGTCTGAAAGTTACACCTCCACATTTTAATCTCCTCTTCTTGACATCCATCTCCGTGCTCCATTCAACACCATCCAACATGGATCGCAGCTTGGATGAGATCATTGGCGAGGACACAGTAAGGCACCATCTAGTCTCAATTGTGAATCACTTCCTCCGAAGGTCTGACTAACTGACACGCTTATAGCGCAATCAGAATCGTTCCTCCGGTGGTGGACGCCGCAACCAAGGCCCAGGCCGCCGTCGTGGCGACCGCGATGGCGTTAGAAAGGTACTGCCTGCTCCGTTCCAATCTCCCAAACCCTCGATGACGGCGTCGCACAAGAAATAGACCCTTGCGCTAACTTACTTTCAACTGCTCACAGGTCCGCCCTCCTCTTCCTGTACCGAGTTTTTTTGCGCCGTGATAAACAATCGTGGCTGGTGGTCCTCTGGATGGCCGGAGACTAGCCATCGAGGAAAAAAGCCGCGGCGACCTTGGGAAACCAAGCTAGTTTACGCTCCATGCTCTGACTTCCAGCTAACCTCTATATCTTTTTTTGAACGCAACAGCCTTATTCCCAAGATCGTGTTAACTTGGACCTGTGAATATCTCTTGGTTACGCTGGTCAGAGTTTACGCTAATCAGGATTTAATAGTGACTGGGTCCACGACAAGTACGATGATGACAGAGATAGTATGTTTTGCTTTTGATCCACTTGAGAGTCCTAAATCTGACTTTTCACAGCCCGTCCTTCCCGAGGTGGACGTCGGTCCCGTCGCTCAACCTCGCCTGATCGGTATGCGATTATGCTTCAGCGCTCGCAATGACTGGAATACTAATTGCACATAGCGGCCCTATGTTGACCAAGGTCCGCGTCGAAAACCTTCACTACGATATCAACGAGAGTGACCTGGAGGTACTTACGATATTCAAACTGGAATCATTCTGAATGTCTGTTTTCTAACAATCATGGCACATAACAGGATCTCTTTGGCAAAATCGGCCCCGTTACCGACCTTACCCTCGTCTACGACCGCGCTGGACGCTCCGAAGGCGTGGCCTACGTTACATACAAGCACCTTAAAGACGCACACGAGTCTGTCAAGGAATTCGACGGCGCCAACGCAAAGGGCCATCCCATTCGCCTGACCCTCGTCCCTGGCCGACGGGAACAACATAAGAGCCTCTTTGACCGTGTGGAGCGCCCAGGTCGTGATGCCCGCAGTTTGAGCCCCGGAGGTGCTCGTGGTGAGCAATCAGATGGCCGACGCCGTGGTGGTCGCGTCCGCCGCAGCGATGTTTCGAAGCCCGCCCCCGAGAATATTGACCGCTACATCCCCGGAGAGCGCGGTGATCGTTCTCCTCGCCGCAACGGTGGTCGACGAGGTGGCCGCGATACCCGTCGCAACGAACCTCGCAATGAGAACGGAGGTCGTCGCACAGCGAATGGTCGTCCTCGGAAGACGCAGGAGGAGTTGGATCAAGAGATGGAGGATTACTGGGGCGGAAATGCTGGTACAGACAATGCTGAGAAGCCCGCCGAACAAGAACAGCAACAGGCTGCCGCTCCTGCTGCTGCTGCCACCGCCACCCCAGCCGCCCCCGCCGCGCCTGTGAACGACGACGACATCGATATGATTGAGTGAACATGCCAACTCGAGGATCCTGTGGGGTCGCATTTTTAACCTCTCCTCTTTTACTTCCCTCCTTCGTCCTACTACTTTGCACCGCTGTCGCTTTTCACCTCTTCGAAAGGTCCATTAAGATCTCGCGTCGAGCTTGCTCAATCACAAACCGAAGGCTCGCGAGGAATTGTAATTTTACCGCCGATATGAAATTGTCATCTGGTGCCTTGGCCTTTTGCTCCGATCTGTCTCCTTGTACGCCACACAAGATCTAGCTAGCCGTGTCTAGTCCAAATCAATACTTCTCAACTTACAAACTGTCCTCCATTATCGCACCAGCTACTTAGGTAGCACATCAACGATATATAGGCCAAGGCCATAACCCTATCAAAGCCTCTACTTCTCTACAATCTCCTTTCGTGGGATCAGAATAATTGGAATATCTCAGGGTTACATTATAAGATACGCTGCATGGCAGACGGAAACCCCATTTGAACCTTTTGCTGTACATGGCGAAATTCTCATGTCTAATTTGGAGCTCACTTCACCGCCATAGGCCGTATGGTTCACGGCAGGCCTTCCACAACTTGATGGTTCCATCTTCACTACCAGTGCCGTAGAGCTTGCCATCAGGAGAGAAGCTGATGGACCAAATAGGTCCATGGTGACCTTTTTGTACCTCTGGAAATAGATCATTAGCTTTGTTTTCCAAAAAAACGATATCTCTGAAACAGAGCATGGAAGGATAGAAACATACCTAGCTCCTCGTTTGTGTTCAAATCATAAACCCGCGCCCAGGTGTCGTTCGCACTACCCGTGACCAAACGCCCTGACTCACTGTTGACCGCGGCACTAGCAACCTCGTACCCAAAATCGACCTTTTTCAAAAGACGACCAGGCTGCAGCCCGTCAAACAGATACACAGACTTGCCCGCGGCCACAGTCAAGATTCCAGAGTCATTAGGCCGAGTAGCAAGACTATTCAGCTCACAAGACCCAATAGCACCCTCAACCGCATACTCCAGCACAGGATGCCGAGACCGCAAATCCCACCACCGAATCTTCCGGTCCTCAGCCGCCGTAGTGACGATATTGTAGTCCTGGTTCCAGACGATAGACTTAATCGTGCCACCGTGTACACCGGGTCCGATTTCATAGCTCGTCACTGTATCCGTATTGGCTTCTCCACTTCCGCCGCTGCTGGGTGTCGGGAGGGCTGGTGATGACCCATTGCTGCCGTCTCCACCGGGAGTAGCGGAGCCGCCGCGAGTCAAGTCGAAGATGCGGAGCTTCTTCTCCGCGCCTCCTGTTGCGAGGACTTGGGGGTTTGTTTGGATAGGGAAGGCGATTGCTCGGACGATGTGTGCATGTTGCAAAGTGTGCAGGCATTCTCCTGTGTGTGTATCCCAGACTTTCGCTGAAAAGTCGGCCGCGGCGGTTGCGGATATCGCTGCGTCCGCAGATAGCCGGGCTTGCCAGACTGCTCCTTTGTGGCCGAGAAATGTACCGATCCTAGATAATGTGTTAGTTAGGAGTGAACTGAAGGGCAGGCTATATTCAGGTTCAATGTCAGACGTACCAGTCACCAGTGATTCCATCACGGAGCATAGGATTGTTATCTATGATTGGTTAGCTTATGGTAAGCTGACATTGGCATTGCACACGAAGCTGTGAGATATACCTTTGCATGCAGAGATTAGATAATACTGCTCATCCTCGAGGTTCGAAGAAAAGCTCAAATGCGTAACAGGACGAGAGTGCCCGTGGCACGTCAACGGGACGACCTTGGGAATATCTGAAACGGGAAAGATTATTAGTCGTCTTAGGAGGATACCCCCACTTGCGCAAAACTCACCTGCAGCCATTGTTTAATGTGAGAAGAGGTATGTTCTCCGACTATGTAGGGAGAGTAAAGAGAAATGCTAGATGTCGTAGACACTCGAGAAGCGCGTGACAGTGCCTTGTTCCAACGTAAGACCCGAGCTGGTCTGGACTTTCGAGCTCAAAGGAAGGACACAAAGAGATTCGTCAGGGTCGTCACGTCGTGAAGGTGAGAGTACAGGACAGAAGGACCGAAATGGGTGACTGCCCACGCAGTTTGGGATAAATTGAGGATTCGATATTCAAATGATTTAGGTAAATCGGGTCACCTGCAGCCCACTTTGATGAGGTAAGCGGGCCCGCTTTGACACGTGCTGTTCTATAGAATGAGCATCAAATCCTATAGTTTGACAATGTCGTTGTTCGACGCATTTCATAGCCAAGTGGAACATGCGGTTTCGAGGTGAGCCTTGTTTGCTCCGAAATTCTTCCCATTGTCTTTAAAGACGCTGTCAAATCACATCCTGGCTTCTTGAGAGGATGTCATTAAGGGGGCTTCTTTCACCGCTAATTGCAATCCCACCCAGGCACCGACCTTGCTTAATTCTCACAGGCACTTGGATTATAGTGTTGTAGATCTCCTCCCAAGATAAGTGGAGGCCTTTCATTGAGTGAAGACCAAGTCATCACATGCCCCACTACAGTGTGTAGTGTCACATACTTATCCCCATTGCAGATGCATCAAAGAATAATGAATAAAGTATGTATAGTAAAGTCGAAGCAGTTGCGCCATATTATTGCTTACTCTCAATTTGGCCGGATTCATAGACTTCAGACCAAGTAAAACCGTTAGTAATGTGAGACAGTTCTAGCAGGTTCGTCATAGTAATCTCCACCGCCCACGTGATATGATGCGCAGGCGGGGACCCCAGAACGACTAAAGGACAACAACCTCTCCTCACAGCAGCACCTATCTATCAGTGATACCCCTGGTGCTTTTCGCGTCTCTGTGGTTATTTCTTTACCGTTCTCTTCTTCCGGTTGTATGTATGCCTGACTTCAAGATCTCCGCTTCTCTTGAGGGTCATGGCGATGATGTAAGCCTCACAGAACTCCCATGCTCTTGCACCGTACCTTGTTGGCAAATTTACTGATTCTTTCTGTTTTCTGATCCCAGGTTCGCGCCGTGACCTTCCCCAACCCCAATGCGGTATTTTCAGCCTCTCGTGATGCCACAGTCCGCCTCTGGAAGCTTGTCTCGACTCCACCCCCCACCTACGATTACAACATCACAGCCCATGGCCAAGCATTTATCAACGCCTTAACCTACCTTCCACCATCATCCGAATATCCCGAGGGTCTCATACTTTCAGGTGGTCAAGATACAATTATCGAAGCTCGGCAACCTGGCAAGAATGCGGATGATAATGCAGATGCTATGTTACTCGGCCATGGACACAATATCTGCGCGTTGGATGTCTCTCCAGATGGCCAGTGGGTTGTGAGTGGTAGCTGGGATTCAACAGCTCGTCTCTGGAAGGTTGGCAAGTGGGAAACCGAAGTGGTGCTTGAAGGACATGAAGGCAGTGTTTGGGCTGTCTTGGCTTATGATAAAGACACCATTATCACCGGTACGATATCTTGCCGAGACCATGCAATGAAGAGACTAACATTTCGGTATTGCAGGCTGTGCCGACCAAATGATCCGTGTATTCAACACATCAGGAACGCTCCTCGGAAGCATCAAGAACTCCAATGATGTCGTTCGAGCTCTGTGCAAAGTTCCCGCGTCAAACCCAAGTGGAGCTCATTTTGCATCTGCTAGTAATGATGGAATTATTCGACTTTACACTTTGAAGGGTGACCTACTCGCTTCGCTTCACGGTCACGAGAGCTTCGTCTACTCCCTTGCTGCATTGCCTTCAGGCGAGCTTGTCAGTGCGGGAGAAGATCGGACCGTTCGTGTCTGGAACGGAACGCAGTGCGTGCAAACCATTACACATCCTGCCATCTCGGTATGGAGTGTCGCAGCGTGTAAAGAAACCGGCGATATCGTCACTGGTGCTAGTGACCGCATTACTCGCGTTTTTAGCAGAAACCCAGAACGACAGGCGGCGCCGGATGTCATCCAACAGTTTGATCAAGCAGTTAGAGAGTCAGCAATTCCGGCTGAACAGGTTGGGAAAGTTAACAAAGAACAGCTCCCCGGTCCAGAATTTCTACAGCAAAAGTCAGGAACGAAGGAGGGTCAGGTACAGATGATCCATCAAGGAGATGGCAGTATCACTGCCCATACTTGGTCCTCTGCGACCCAGGAATGGATCGCTGTTGGTACAGTGGTTGATTCAGCAGGAAGCAGTGGTCGCAAGACAGAGTATCTAGGACAAGAGTACGACTACGTCTTTGATGTTGATATTGAAGACGGCAAGCCTCCGCTCAAGCTCCCTTATAATGTTTCACAAAACCCCTACGAAGCAGCAAACAAGTTCATTGGTGACAATGAGCTACCCATCTCATATCTGGATCAGGTTGCGAATTTCATTACACAGAATACCCAAGGCGCCACCCTTGGGCAGTCCCAAGAGCCCGTAACTGAAGGCGCAGACCCTTGGGGCTCAGATCGACGATACCGCCCCGGAGACGGGGACGCTTCAGCCGCCCAAACCCAAGCGCCACCTGCTCCGCAACCACGCCCTCAAGTTCTACCCCAAAAGACTTATCTCTCAATCCGTTCTGCCAATTTGAAGGTCATCGCAAAGAAGTTGCAGGAACTGAATGAGAAGGTCTTGGCCGAAGCTGGGAAGGATATTGCCTTGGATCCGACGGAGATTGAAGCTGTAGTTGCTCTATGTACCCAGTTAGAGTCTTCTGCACAGCTTCCGGATTCACCTGTTGTGGTGTCTGGAATTCCATTGATTTTCAGAATCGCAACTGCCTGGCCCGAATCCACCAGACTTCCTGGACTGGATCTCCTCCGTCTGCTCGCTGCTGCTGCACCATTCACCGCGTCCGCGGAATACAACGGCAACAACCTTGTGTCTGGAATTATCTCCAGTGGGGTCTTCGACTCGCCTATCAACGTTAACAACGCGATGCTCACCATTCGAATGCTTGCAAACCTCTTCGAGACCGATTCTGGTCGTAACTTGGCCATGAGCACATTCGACCAAATTGTCACTGCGGTCAAATCTGTTTTGGCAAACAGTGGAGAATCGCCAAACCGCAACCTCACCGTTGCCACTGCGACATTGTACATCAACTTTGCCGTATACATCACTTCCGAAGGCAGGGAACAGGATCCTGACTCCGCAGAGCGGGGTTTAGTGCTTCTCGAGGAGCTCACCAAGATTATTGCCAAAGAAAAGGATTCTGAGGCTATCTACCGAGCACTCGTCGCTTTGGGTACTTTGGTGAAAGCTTTGGGCACTGAAGTTCAGAGTGCCGCCAAGGAGATCTACGAACTTAACAATATCCTCGCCCGGGTTTCTGGTTTGGCTGCAGGAAAAGAACCGCGGGTGAAGGGCATTATCGGGGAGATTCGCGACTTGGCTCTTTAATGATCCATCCAGTATCCTTTGTTTAAGCGCATAACTAGATTCCCTTGTCGCTTTCATAACGACTGTGATGCAATTCTTCAATCCACCTTTTTTTTTTTCATAATGCCTTTGATTTATAGTCCTCTTTCAAAGTATCATAAACCTCTCGATAATAGGTGCCGCCTCGGCGAGTCTGCTAAAGTCTTCCTTCTACATCCACCTTTACCTCTAAGACCTGCTCGATTCCCGGGTACGGGGGCATATCCAACCCATACTTATCTGTAATGTCTTTAGACAAAAATCTACCTCCAATGAAATGCCGTCCTGAGTAAAACTTCACACAAGGCTTCGGCGCGGTCAAACTAATCAGCGCCTTTGGCATGAACTTTGCACCGGGCCCCTCCTTCGGTGGACCGCTCTGGATATCCCATGAACTAGGCGCATCGACGCTTAGCACTGGAACATTGGAAGATTCGATTTTTGAGACGATAGCACCGAATGGATCACGGAGTGGTCCACCGAACGAGAAGCCAAAGATGGCATCGACGAGGAAGTCGGCTTCTTTTAGAGCGGCATCGAAATCTGTTATAAAGGGGACGGAAAGGTTGTGGAGTTGGGTTTTTAGACGCTGGTACAGCTCGTTTTTGCCCTCTTTGGGGTAGTAGACTGATGGTTTGTATCCGTATTGTGCGAGGTGTCGGGCCGCTACGAGTCCATCTCCGCCTATACGATGCTATTAGGTCATGGTACTTTTCGTTGAAGGTGACCGGGACTTATGTAGGTTTGGCATACCGTTGTTACCGGGTCCACACACCACGAGAACATTAGAACCTGCACTCAGGGGGTGGACTTTCCAAACTATAACCAATTATTAGAATCATCTGTAGCTTCGGTTTCGGGCAGGTAGAACTGACCAGCTTGCGACACAGAAAGACCCGCCAGCTCCATTAACTGGTCGAGGGACCAGCCGCCCATGTCCATGAGATCTTTGTCGAGCGAGGCGGCATCTTTTGCCGAAATTGCCTGGTCATCCTCTCAATTAGCTAGATTCCACGAAAGCTTTCTCGTGATCATACCTTGAGAGACATGGTAATTGATTTGCTGTAGCGTCGAACGGTGGGCAATGGGAAACGCTTTGTGAGTGAACCCAACATGTAAGTGACAAACCCGTTGTCACTATTTATTGTACACTGCCTGCGCAATCGTATACAAGTATTTTGAATATGAAGAATATTCCCCTTGTGTGGATTGCAGTAGAAATAAATTGAGGTTGGGAAATACATACGGCGACGGGGGACCTCATACATGCATTACATCATCTCCCACCGACGCTAATCCTGATTTGGATGCCCCGGATCATCGAATTTTCCGCTTCTCCTTGAACTTTTGCGGAGAGTCCATTTCACCTCCTCCGAGCTAATTCCAGATCACATTCATCGCAAACCCCTCTCACAACCGACGCCATGGTTGTCCGAATTCGACTGGCGCGCTTTGGCAACAAGCACAGCCCCTTCTTCAACATTGTCGTAGCGCAGGCCCGGTGCGTACCAGATCCTCTGCCTTTTCTTAAACCCAATATCTTTGCCAATCACATCCACGTCTATCCTCTTCAAGTCTCGGAAATGAAACTTGCATATATAACATTTGAACCAAAAGGTGTTATCAGTTGATGCTAATTGATGATCCAGGTCCGCCCGCGGCTCCAAGCCTCTTGAGGTCATCGGTACCTACAACCCCATCCCGAAAATTCCGACGAACTTGTACAACGAGAACCCCAATGCGCGCCCCTATAAGGAGATCGCGCTCGACCGGGCACGTGCGAAGTACTGGCTCGGTGTTGGTGCGCAGCCAAGTGATCCGGTGTGGAAGCTGATGAGCATGGTACGTGAGCTTCGCTTTTGAAGTTGGCCACGAGAGACGGAATACATAGCGCATGCTGGATTTACTAGGATCAGTGTGCTGGTTGAAATGTTTTCCGTGGTCAACTCCAAGCGAGACAGTTTGATGGCTAAGCCAGGACTTCGCTAATGGTGTTTCTACAGGCCGGCCTTGTTGAAGAGAAGCCATCCACCTACAACAAAGCATGAATGCCGTTATCCCGATTGAAACCATCTGTTCCAGAGAAGACTCCTGCTTCCGTCAGGCAGTTTATCTGGCAGATAGGCACTTGACCATACCCAGAGATCTACCAAGAGACCCTAGGTAGATTAGTTGGGACGTCGACTCTCCCATGTACCCTTTAGTTTTTGAATTTGGCATTTGAGGCGTTTCTTGCGAGTTGGGCCATTCTGGGAAGCCCATTGAGAGGGGTATAGAACCTCCAAATATTCATTGTACTTATGTATACTATGTGAAAAACATCCGCGCACACGCAAATAAGCATTTGGCGAGATGCACATCTCACTCTATGGCTGGATTCTCTTTGTCGATCCGATCTTCACATGGCCGAAACAAAGACCCGATTCGAAGGCGCATACATTAGCCAAACACAAAATGTACCCCGATAGACGCGCGATCAGGCCATCATACAATTTCTACCTAAAAGTCAGGTAAGTGACGCGCTTATGACCGGTCCTTCACACGCATCCACACAAAACACTCCCACCAGGCACGCAGGGGAGGTACTAGACCACATCGAGGCCAGCCTCTGTTCCCCGAGGGCGGTGCTTCTCTCCACGGCCCAACCATACGAACCATCCGCGCTCGATAAGACCAAGCCATTTTCTTGAGCCAGCCAATCCGATCGCAGATCCGGGTCAAGCCCGTGGCAATTGGTCAGCCGCCCTGGAGGATCGCCGGCTTTTGAGTTTGCGAATTCCATGGATTTGGGCTGACAGTCTGGGTTGGTTCTCTTTGTGCTCCGTATTCATGGTGTGAGGAGTCTTGCTCGAGGCGGTCAAAATGGGTGAAGCACTGACTTTTGTTTCCCCATTACTCCAGACTCGAGGAATGCGCACGGCTTTTAGCTTGAACTCTGCTTTGTTTCGTTTGTGCTTTGTTTTTTTTTTTGGATTTAATTTTCATTATGATTTAATTACCATTGTGGATTCTAGATCTGGTTTATAAGCCCTCTCCAAAGAACCCACCTCGTTTGATTTGCTAGAATCCGGGACATCTGGATCTTTGAGGTCGATCTATGAGAGTTAATCGGATCATTTCATTTTGGGCGGAGCTGCAAGTCCGTTGACTGCCGTGCTGACTGACGCCTTTGGACCAGGGGGTTCATGTTAGCCTTACACCATTCCGATTTGCTCCCTTTACCTGTTAGTCAGGACTAGGCTCCTGTCTAAGCACTAGCTACAGTTACTCAGGTTGCGTTGTATATATAAGTTCTATTATAGTATTCAAATACCGAGGCCCGGGGGGGATTGAACGGCAACCCGCATGACTCCATGAACCTGCGTGTTTCTAGAACAACCCCAGTTTCATATCTGAAAATAGAAAAGAAGAAGGGAAACGAGAAAAAAGAAATGCAGAAAACTGGGGCATTCCGCTGCAGCTCGGGGCACGCACTTTACCCACACCCACGTTCTGCAAGCGGCCAGGTTCCAGGGCGGCGCAACGTAACCATATGACGACGTACTGTCATTTATGGGAGGAGTACTTCCACATAGTAAGTGGGGCACATACTATGTTTAGGTTCCTTCCCCCTGTATTATACATGTTTCCCCCCCGTTAAGTCGCGTCGTGAAGGCAGATCCATGGATCTGGCACCTGGCTCTTGCACTCGACCGTTCCGGACTCTTTTCTTTCCCCCCTTCCCCCTTCCACCTTTCTTTTGCCCCCCTCCATCTCTACCCCCCTTCCCATCTTGCATCCATCGTTCTTTCTCTTTTCAACCTGTCATCAGATTCTGGTGAGATCGAGTTCGAGATCCGATAGTTCGACACTTATAGAGACCCCTCCCTCTCCCCCGAGTCCCGCGCGCGCCACTGTCGCAGATCCGATGAGGAGCGAACGTCCCTGCCATACAATCGATTGACTTACTCGTCTCGCCCGCTCCTTTCATACGCGCATTCACGCCTTCGTCGTATCATTACGCGCGCTGCGCCCTTATATCTCAGCGACTCCTTTTCGCGGGTACCTCAACCCCGTGTCGCGAATCTCGATCCTTTAAATTTCAATTTTCGTGAGGGATGAGCGGCAGCTCGAATCAGTCAACTCGAACGAGTCCCGGCTCTTTCGGAACAACTCAGCGCACAGAGTCTGTATCTTCTGGTTCGTCGCCAACGCAGCAGCCACTTCACAAGGTGCCCGCGACGACTCAGCATGCGATGTCGACCGACGTGTATAGCCCAACTGTCTCGCAAGCGCCCACATCTCTAGCACCGACCTTCACATACCCTTTTTCGCCTCTCGGCTCCTCCAGCTTCGACAACGGAATGCGCCTCGGTGATGCCGATCGCAACCTCCAGGGCCTGAACGGCCTGGGGCGCGCGAACAATGGAGGTGCGATTTTCATGCGCAAACTGCCTCGGAACACAAGCCGCGAAGCCCTTCGCAGTATGCTTCTTTTCGCCAAGGACTTCGTTGATGCTGATTTTGTGACTTCCGACTACCCGGAGGACGACGGGTTCCTGAGCGCGATCGCGCGCTTCAACACTTTGCCTGCGGCTGAAGAGGCCCGTGCCCTTCTGGACGGCAAACCGAACTCTAAGAACGACGCAAACATGGTGGTTGAGATGTACCCTGGTCCGGTCGGATCCAACCTCTCGAATGCGCGTCGCAACACGATTGATCATACCGCGACGCGTGGCTTACTGGGCGGTGTCCCCAATGGCCACCTCTCGCGCCAGTCATCTCGGTTCAATGGTACTTTCCAGAGCCTAGAGCGACTCTCTGCTTCAAACCCATCTGGGCAAGCGATCGGCGAAGGATTGCCCTCTGCATCCGAGTCGGGATCGCGTCTCCATAGCCTTTTCTCCCCACAATCTCCGATCGGGAATGGGGTTGGCGATCTGCCACGTGTAACTGGAAAGTCCATGATCGATGAGGATCCCGACGAGGAGACTGGAGAGCTTCTCAAGGACCCCGTGGGCTACGCGGAAAACGGACACTCGGCTTCAGTCAATGTTGGGCGTCGGTCAACCAACCCTCAGATCCCAACTGGTCGCTTTGGTAGTCTCTCTCTTTCGACGACTATGTCTTCGCCTCCTTTACCGAATTATGCATCTGGTGGTCCCGGCCCTCGTATGAGTGGAAGCGGCCCGTCGTCTGCCTATCCAAGCAACCATGGCCAAGGTCAAGGCTACCCCTATGGTAGTCAACACACTCCTCGGCATAGCCTGCCAGCTGCCAATCCCAACGATCTCAACCCACCTTGCAACACACTTTACGTGGGCAATCTGCCTCCCGACACCTCTGAAGAAGAGCTTAAGGCGCTCTTCTCAAAGCAGCGCGGGTATAAACGACTCTGCTTCCGGAACAAACAGAACGGTCCCATGTGTTTTGTGGAGTTCGACGAGGTGGCGATGGCAAGCAAAGCTCTAAATGAATTGTACGGCTATAAATTGTCCAACAGTGTCAAGACTGGCATTCGTCTCAGTTTCTCAAAAAACCCTCTTGGGGTGCGTTCTGGTCAACCTGGCAGCATGAACCCTGCCAACCCGCTCTCTGGACCGGGTGGTGTTCCAGGTGGGAGCAATCTTAGCGGTGTACCCAACCATATGTTCTCATCAGTAAGTGGACCACCTCCAGGTCTCGCAGCACCTCCGGGTCTTGCCATGCCAATGCGCAACGGCAACAACGTCCACGCGCAGGGGAGTCCCCATCCAATGATGAACAACTCCCAGTTCAATCACAACTCCGGCCTTGGAATTCGAGCCAACGGAGGCAACTCAATGATGATGTCGCCGCCTCCTCCTCAAGGCGCTGCCGGCAACAATGCGGGGCCGAACATGAATGGCTTCAATTCCTTCTACCCTGATTACATGATGGGTCGTTAAGGCTCCAATGTCTTGCTTTTTGAGATGATGTCCGGCATGTTTCATGAATGAACTGGGGTATTGGCGCATTGGGGTTGCTTTCGTTTCGCGAGCTAGACCAGCATTCGGCGGCTGCATACCTCTCGGGAGTCTTGATTCGACACTGCTCTTATGTTTCTTCTCCTCTGCTTTATAATCGCTTTTCTCATATGCGTTGGCTGTCTTTATTTATTTGTATTGCATGGGGACTCGGGCGCTCTTTTTCACATTCTTTATTTTTCCCCTTGGGAGGATTGCATTTTAGGTCATTGTTGAGCTTGTACTCTTATTCTGGTCGGCGTGGCGCCCACACAGCGCATTTGTTTTCGTCGACCATTCGCGTTCTTCATCTCCACCCTCATACCCTTGTTTTGCTTGTTTTAGTTGGGTCTGCTACTATTATTACTATTTTCCTCTTCGCCTGTGCAGCCTTGGGTTCCGGCCATTTTCCCCTTATAAGGCGTATTGACCTCCCTCACGAGCTGCACAGCTTTATTTGACCGTGATTCCCCTACTTTTACCAGCTGATTGATATTTTTTGTCCTTTTATCAGAGCATCTTCACGTGGGCAACGGAATGGATTCTGCTATTTTGTCGCTGCGACCTTGTTCTTTTTGCAAGTACCAAAGAAGGTGTCTTATGTGGCTTTTCTTTGCTTTCTTTGACCTAATATCCTCTACTCCATGGCATGGGCTACGCAATGCTGCTTGACTTCGGTCAACTACGCATTAACGACGGCGTTTCCCTCGGCTGTTTCCATACATTATCTCCTGGAGCGAAGGAGAAAAACAAGGCGTCCGGCTCATGTTGGTTTTGTTTTCGATTCATAGCGCATTTCGCTCATGCTTGTCTTAACTTGCTTGCATGACCACTCATGTTCTCATGCTTTCCTCTCTACGTCTTTCAAGTGGACTCTACTTGAATTGGGGCATTCTGCCTCCGCATAGAGAGTCTGCTAGCTCTCTCTCTTATGATTGTTATGTCTGGGATAAGACGAGGAAATGCGGCCTGTCTTTTATCGTCTATTGAAGGTGTTCTTTGTGTCTCTATCTACTCACACTCTTTCTGCCTTGCTTGGTGGACCTGATACTGATATATTTGCTTCAATCTGTACTTGATACATTGGATCTTTGCAACCAAATCCTATACTGCAATCCCAGGCCCCACGTATAAAAAGCTACGTATACATGTAGTTTCTGCTAAGTAGCTCTGATGCTTCCTCGTAGGTGGTACGTCGTCTCGTAAACCTCTCATTACTCACTTTGGTATAGTACATCTAATATTTTCAATGACCTCGCCCGAGAATCAAAACAATGAATACAGTACATACCTATTTCAGGCGTGCAAGTGTTGTTATTGTCAAAAATCGGGTGATTCTAGTAAACTTTTGTTGTCTCTGGAGCTGTTTCTGGCGCTAGACCACGGAATACATGTGCAATACACGTGACAAGATCGGCCCTATGTACCTCATGTGCCCTGTAAAAGTGGCCTTCAAACCTTGGAAGTGCTATGGGCCTACCTATGCATGAACATCCAGATGTCCTTCTATACATTAAATAGGTGGGTGATAATATGCGCATCAATTTTGAAATATCAATTGACCAACCTTGGAAGGAGATTATTTGATTTTGATAATCCATCCATCCATTGAGATATCGGGGCCAATTTGTGCACTTTGTAGGCATCTTCCTTGGAAGGCTATCTACTCAGATAGTTCCACGGTTATATATACTCACTTAGGTATACCTACCGCAAATCGTCGCCTCTATCATATCATTTCCCCTCAAGGTCCGTTCTTCATGCCCTTGCCGTCACGCTCTCTACTTCACCCTCTGGGTGTACTCCACAACCCCTGGTGCCTCACACCTGCCAGGTGGATACGCTTAAAAATTAGGCTCTCATCAAATTACTCGCCTACTTCGTCTTTCGATATAAGACTGGGGATCCAAATGTTTGTGCAAATTTTGACTGGAGCTCAGAGCACCTAGGCATTTGCGGCTCTCTCGTTGATCCAGCCTGTCATTGAGACATATCATGATCCGTTTACCATCTTACAGGAAGTTCTATATAAGAGCATGACCCACAGGTCTCACATCTTGACGAGTATGCATCAGAACGCAAAGGAGCATGCCGCATTTAAGTCAAACCAGAGTCCACCGTGACTAAATCGCGAAGGCTTGTTCGACAATCTGAGCAGAACAAGTGTATCGTATACATAAAAAGTTGAAAGCCGGGTACGATCATGAATTTCGCCGCCCGGGAGTGCAACTGGGAGTACGTGAACTCGATGAATATGATAAAAAAGAATTGGCTCTTCATCGTTGTGAGCTGCGAGATATGGAACAACCTTGCTATGGCCTTGCTCCTATGTTCAGGAAAAGATGGGAGACTAAGAGGACCCTGTATTATTGCCGAACTGGCGCATGCAAAGGCACAGTGGCCTGGAACGAATATCCCTCCAATAGGTTCAGGTATGAAGAGACGGATGTCCAGGAATACTGCTCCAGTGGTACGTTTACTCCAAAGTTCACTGAGATCAATGCCTTTGAACCGCTCCCATGGATTTTTCAACCTTCAATTCAATTGACTGTCAGATAAAGGTTTATAGTCTTAAGGAAGACACGGTGTTTCTAGGTAGCCGAGTGGCTTGCTCTTGCTCGCGGCTTTCCCGCAGTCCATGTCCATACCTGATTTAGCATTGCCCATCTGTTCACTGTCTACGCTGTGGATACTGCCAGAACAACCCAGATTTGGTCATGCGAGTTCCTGGCTAACAGGTGCCTTTCAGGTGCTTCTCCGGATTCAGCGTGAGTGCAAGAGATTTAGAAAAGTTTGAGATATCAAACGAAACGGGTGGCACATGAGTTTCTTGGATAAAGACCCATTCGAGTCATCAGCTGTGGACTAAAAATGTTCGAAAGCTCCTAAAAAAATCCAGATCACTCCAAGTGAGATGTTTGTCTGGATTCGAGAATCACGACAGAAAAGTGACAGACAATTGAGATATCTTGAGAGCGGAAACGTGCCGATTCCCAACAAATCTGGAGTACAGCTTTTTTCTGCTCTATTTGGAATATTCATAGAATGAGGGGAAGAAGGAATAAAAAAAGAAGACAAGGGTTAGAATCCGGAAAAGAGGCGGAGGTATATACTCGAAAATCGCGGCTTCCTGGTTTGTAGATCTCGTACCTTCCACTTTGATGAATTGTGACAAAGCTGCACTGGTTTCTTTTCTGACACAACAGACTTGAATACGTGTACTCTAGAGTCTGGACTCGTCTCTGGTCTCAATCCAGCATTGAAGAAACGAACTGGTGAACTGGTGGATGCCGGGGAAGCTAGGCACGTGACACACCACGCCAACTTCCTCGCCGAAAAAGTTTCTTTCCCTGCCACAAACACAACCCCCCAACATCCGCAACCCCCAACCCACCAATTGCAGCAGGCTTGTTGTTGGCCGCTGCTTTTGTGAATAATATTTTCCATACCCTCTTATAGCATTGGTCTTCCTTGATAATTCACAGGGCAACAGCCCCCTCCCCAAATGGCGCCTCGGATACAGACCCGCGTGTCCAACGCACTTCTCCCCTATCTCACTTCCTCATCCTCATCCTCCTCACTTCCCTCATGCTCTTCATCACAATCCCTTTCCCGCCAATTCTCGGCTACGGCCGCCCCCCAGACCAAGCTTCGTCGACAAATGTTTGAGTGGCTTAACACCCAGGGAGCTGCCTACAAACACCATATTCCTGGCGAAACCAATTATTTGAAGGATGCACGGGATATGGATCTCACTGATACAACACGGCCGTTCCCGAACAACCGGAATTTCATTAGCGAGAGTGTCCTCAGTGAGGACCTGCGCAACGAGGTCTATGTACGGGTTGTCGAGAAGAAGAAGAGTCTGCGCGCCGTCAGTGTCGAGCTTGGTATCGATATGAAGCGGATCGCAGCGGTGGTGCGTTTGGTGGAGCTGGAGCGAAGACAAAAGTCACAGGTAAGCTAGCCTCCTTTCTCTCTCTCCCTCTCTTTTTCTTAGCTTCATTCCGAAGTCCCATCCCCGACGCATATGATGAGTCAAGAAAAAAATCGATTAGTCTTGAAGACACAAGCTTTGCTTGACTGGTTAGAAATTTCCTTTAAACTGAATTGCTGTCATTTTCACTCAAATTACACCTTACACATTTTTGTTTGTCGGTGGTTGCTAATATCATTTGCAACAGGGTAAGCCTATGGCGTTGCCATATGCTCGTGCAGTCCATGAAATGATTCCGGTCACTCCGCTTTCTCAGCAGGGCGAGCGCCAGACCTACCACGAGCCTATTAACGACCTCCCCGTCCACCCTTCCACTGGCTCACAAATCTTTTACCCCGTCCCTGAATCGCGCTCGTTTACCCGAGTTGATGCCGGTCGAGTATTCTCCGGAGCCCCGGCTATGGAGAATGAACAAAAGGAAAAGATTTCTCATCCCTCCGACCTTGCCGAGGAGGTGATGCAAAAACCTGGCTCGATCGAGTGGGTCGGCAAGGGCGCCAACGCCCGCCAGGTCCTCCAGCCTGCGGACGTGCGCATCCCGCACCCGCAACTGGTTCAGCTGGAGCGTGATCGCATGGCTTATCCTGACGAGCGCCGTTTGGTCACCGAACGTCACAGCCAGCGCCTCAAGCGCCAGGAGGAGGCTGAGAAGAAGCGTCGGGAGCGTGCTCAGGAACGTCGCGAGAAGAGCGTGAGCCATGTTGAGCCCGTCGGTGGGCGCTTTGATTACCGCATCCAGGATGCCGTCTTTACCAAGGAGACCGTCGGCGTTGATGGCCGGGCTCCCTGGGCTCCTGGTCGTCGCTACGGTGTGCCTACGAATGATCGCACTCGTGGTACGGTCAAGATTCCTACTCGTGTGGAAGCTTAAGCTTCCGCTCGATTTGTATAACCCTTTGTGTCTTTAAGCGTTTGTGACTCCCAGCTGGTGATTGAGTCTCTCCGGGAAGAGCTGTACTTGTACTATACTTGGTGTATGGCGATGTTTCTAGTTACCCATGTATCTATACCACCTATGGATTCGATTTATTACTGAGCATCTAACTGCTTTGTCTTGATTACATTTTGAACCGTTCAAATATAGTAACTTGTATTGGTATAATGAATAAAATTGCACTGAATCCAACCCCGAGGTAACAAATAACCAGCCCAATCCAATCCATGAATGCCCGAAACCCAAGACCTTCCCAATTTATTCTCTCAAACTCATTGATCACCGGACTTCCCCAACAGACCGACATCGACCCCGCCCCCTCCGCACCCCAACCCATGCCTCAACAGCATCAGCCTCGGTATCTTCCCCAGGCCCACTGGAGAAAAAGCCCCAAATCGAGGATAGTATATTTCGAGTCCAATTTGCGTCACCACCGGTAGCATTCTTGGCAGTTTTGTGGTCGGGAGAGGACGAGGGCGGCTGCATCGTGATCGTCGTATCTGGAGATGGTTCCGCGAATAACATAGGCATGGATATGAATGAATTTTAGGGCCGTTTCACCTTGATGGTTTCCTAATGTGGTTGGTCGTGTCAGCATGGCACGTTGAAACGAAAACAGACGTAGACATCCACAGTAAGCAGGGTAAACCAGTAATTGGAATTTCACAATAGAAATCACAGATAGGACTGGCAGGCACTAGATTCACGATATGTTTCGTACTCACCTAGATCAACGCGAATGAAATACTAAATATCGGTCCCACAACTTATTGAATCGAAAGTTGCTAGGAATAAGAAAAGAAAAAAAGTCACAAAGGACGAGGGGGCACATGACAGAAGATGTATGTCCAAGCCAATCTGTACGACTACGACATGTGCATACGGATCTCCCTCACATCAAATCCAGTCTAGTCATTCTGCTGGAGGATCCACGCGCTATGAACCCACTAGGGTCTGTGTGCGACCAGACTAGACCCGGATCGGCACTGCGTTGGCTCGAATGGTGATCTGTAGATCTTGAACTTGATAAGATCGGCGGGATCAGATTGTCTGGACTACGTTACTGGATGTGGCATTTTTTGCCATGTTTGCTCTGCTGCCCGAGGGGTTGCATGGGGTCACATGTCGGTGAAACTCGGGTTGCACATGTATAGCCTCTGCATTTGCAGATATGGAAATAGATGATATGGATCGTAGATTGATTAGCAGGGTCTGAGTTCGAGTTCGAGTTCGAGTTGATATCGTGTATAAATGTTTGAATGTAGATACATGAATGGAGAAAAGTAGACAGGACAGATAGAATCATGTCTTATGTATTTCACAGAGAGGTACATGTACTCTGGTTCGGTTGAAAGCTCCAGGCTTTATCTACCAGAAACGTGACTGGACCTCCTTTAGTAAGCGATCTGCTGGGAGTAGTAGTCCATAATGAAATCGACGTATTTCGAGGAACGCGCGATGGGAACATTGCCAAAGTGGTTACCCAGCTCCATGACGACCTGGGTGCCGTTGGCGCTGTTGGGCGCCCAATGAGCCAGCTTGCCCTTGCCCTGGTAAGAACCACCATTGTTAGGGTTAAGGGTCTTGGCGAAGTTAGCCCAGTAGGAGGACATCTGCTCCTGAATCTCGTAGTCGATAGCGGTGAAAGGGTAGGTGTCCGCATTGGCATACAGGGCGTTCAGCGCATACATGATCTCGGATTGGTGGAAAGCGCCCTGGTTCTGGCCCGGGGGAGCGTGGGTCCAGTAGTAGGTGTAGAAATCCGAGGTGGCAGCCTTGTACCACTCAGTTCCGTAGGCCCAAGAACCGACCACGCCCATATCACGGGCAGCGGCGTTCCAGGCGTGGTCGGCGAGGGTCTGGTTGTCCTGGGCGCTGTAGAGCTCGAAGTAGCGCTTGGCAAGGCTGCCGTACTTGAGGGTGCAGTAGTACTTGTATTCCTCAAGAGTGTAGTCGGTGGAGAGGGAGGCGCCAGACTCATCCTTGGTGTTACCAGTGATGACGGGGACGTCGTTGGCGGGGCCGTTCATCAATGACTCGATGTACTTTTCAGGGAGGACGTAGTTGTCCAGCACCGGCTTGAAGATCAATGGGTAGTCGGCGGAGAGAGCAGTCACCCACCAGATCCAGGTGCTGTTGACACGGTCCTGGGAGCCGATCAAGAGGTCCTCCATCGACTTCTCACGCAGCTCGGCGATGCTGGAGGCATTGTGGAAAGTGGTATAATTCGTTCCGTGGAAGAGGGCAGCGGACATGTTAGTGTAAGAAGTGGCAAGACCCGCCAGCATGGGGTCGCGGGGCCAGCGGATGCCGGACTCCGAGATACCACCGTGGAAGTAACCCTTGAAGAGAGGGCTGTTGACGGCGTGGTAGACCTGTGAAGAACCAAAAGACTGACCAGCAACGGTGACGCGGTCGGGATCACCACCAAAGTTGGCAATGTTCTTCTGAATCCACTTGAGAACCTCCAGCTGGTCGAGGACACCGTAATTACCGGAAGTGTTGTGGCCAGTGGCCTTCAGACCCTCAGCATTGAGTTCGGGGTGGGCCAGGTAGCCGAAAGCATCGTCACGGCGGTTGAAGGTGATCAGGATGACATCCTTCAGGGCCATACCACCACCGTACCACCAAGCATCATTGCTAGTCTCATCGGAGCCCTGATTCCAGAGCATAACAGGGAGCTTGGCATCTGCACTTCCAGCATTGGTCCAGATGTTGAGGTTGAGGCAGTCCTCGCTGATGTTGCTGGCCATATTGCTAGGGCAAGCATATCCCCATGTAGTGGCATCGAAAGTCTCGTTCCATGGCTCACGGGGCTGCGGGGGCTTCCAACGGTTCTGGTAGGCAGTGTCGGCGGCAAAGGGGATACCAAGGTAGGCCGTAACATTGGACTCGGAGCGGTTGAAGTATTTCTCGAGAGTCGACTCGTTGAAGTACTTGTAACCCTTGACAGGGCCCAGGGAGGTCTCAATTACCTTGTCCCAGAGCTGGGCATCGGCGACAGCAGCGCCAAGGGCCAGGGCTGCAAGGCCCCTGTTAATGAAAGACGTCATCCCGCTGGATTGATCCTAAGACAGGAATCGGAAGGCGGGGGGAGATGTTGAAAAGGATGGAATGAAGTCAATTGATCGACGAGATCGCGGTTTATATATGTACCCCATGCAGTCAACCAGGAATCCCCCGGAGACGTATTGCATCACCCATAGCTGATACTTGCCAAGACGGGAAGACGTCTCCGTTCTCATGCAAAGAGTTAATGACGATCATCTCGGGTGAGGCTTGAATAAACCCCGAATGTGGGAGCAGATTCGGGCCAGGGCCGAGCTTCCAAAGTTGGTTCGGTGGACGACAGTGATCTATTGGTTATACTGCTTCTTGCATCTGTAGGCATGTACAGGAAATGTCGGAGAAGTTAGCTTAGTTACTACTTGTTAGGTAAATCGCCGTTTGTGCATTCCCTCTCATCCATATTGAGAAGAGTTGCTGTGTATACTCGGCAAAACGATGCCGCTTCAATTGATGAAACCTGCATCTAGCGACAGAATCTGAAGACCTCAGATGCCAGGCCTGCAGATAAGTGGGGAAATTATGACGATCATGAACAAATTAGGACCGAGGTTGCCAGGTACAAGGGAAGCCGCGTGTCTAATGAAGACATGATGTGAGGGGGTGAACAAAAGCAGGGCTCAAAGTTTTGGTGGTGGTCGGCTTCATCTTCCGTTTTAAGAAGCCTCGGCCGAGTTTCCCAATGTCCGACCTCGGACCATTCATGCAGGTACGGCACAGACATTGGATTTCTCCGGACTCTCCGTTTTCTCCGGGTCAACGTGCCTTCTTGGAGAAAGCGGCTTGGTACTGTAGCATTCCAAAGGTACTATACTTCTGTAGTCTTACGTCGGATAGGACAAGTTTCTTTCGTCTCCGTTGGTCCGTCCTATACATTCCGTTTTTCTTTCCTAGGTCATGGACGACTGGTAAGTGAAGCCTAGTTATTGATGGTAAAATCAAGCCCGGATAGTGTACGGACATGCTGTTTATTTAGAGTTTGGGCCATTGACATGGATCAACTATGCTATTGAAAGCCATGTAGTCTGAGATGTCCAACTCACAATGACCCTTACCTCCTGCTAATGTTAGTACCGATGTATCTTGCCCCGGTGGACACCACCTCTCGAAAAACCTCACCTGGCATGATTTGGTCAATTTTCAATGGAGCAAGGCTAGATCTGCTTGTAGAGAATCGTGATGGCTGGTCGGATTAGCAAGAGCAGGGGAGGGCCAAACCCTGCTCGACTACTCCATTACTTCGGACAATCTGGATTCTCTTAATCCTGACGTCTTTTCTTCAGTTACCATGATATCAATATGCTCTATTCTGACCGCACCACAATCGGCTGTTTCTTCAGCAATCTCATAATGAGGTTGGGTGGAAAGCCAGGAAGATGTGCGGAGCAACTCGATTGGACGAGAGCATACCACTTGAAAAAGGACCGACGAGGCAACAGACACCATATCGTCAACAAGAATATTGTCTGGGTGCAAATCTGTGAATGTGGATGTTTCTTGAGACGTTGGATGTCATTTGAAAGAGGGCAATTTCTCAGTTAAAGATAGTTGTTGTCTTTGTCAATGACAAAATAACCAATCATTGGTAATAGCACGCCTGTCCAATAACATTAGGCTGAAACTTAATCTCGGAGAAGGGTCGTTTGCAAAGTTGAGGGCCATGGCGCTTGTTTTCGGCCAATTTGAAGCAGGGAAGATGTGTGGATGGTCGATGGGAGAGCGAGAGGACAAGCGGAAGAGAAAGAGAGAAGTGACGAGCGTGAGTGTGGGAGCTATCTGCATACCAGACAAGTTGAGGCCTGGGTCTCACGCTTTACGTTCCAGGCATATAGCCAAAATTACAAGGCTTCTAGATACCAGGGGGTGGCTGCCAAGGAACGCTGAAAGTTAGCCTATGTAGATCAGCCTCCGCGTAAACGTCGTCTCAATTAACCTATTTCGACAATGACCGATGAAGCATTGCGAGTCAGGGGATGCGAAAAAGCAAAAATCCTGTAGCCCGCTATTGGAAAATGGTGGGGTGCTTAAGGAGAGACGAGAAAGGGAGAGGACAGATAGGGAGCGTTGCTGACTAGGGACGTTGCTCACTTGCCAACCCGATTTATTTGACATGAGTTTCAACGTTTCTCTCTACAGGATTCTCAGCTGCAAAACTCATACCTGACAGCATCTCTAATAGTCACTTAGTGAGGTTGTCGAGACGATTCATGGCCTCCTCAACGTTTCGTGTCCTCGCTACACCGAACCTAGCGTTGCAGAAGGCTCTGTTCAATCGCTTGGGACTATGGAGAGCCTTGCACAGTTTACGGCGAAGATATCCTCAAACCCACAATTTCAGCGCAGCAGCGAGGCTGGGCGCCCCTATCCATACAGGTTCCAGGCCCTTGAGTTATCTTAATACCCACCCTTTTATCTTAAGAACTCCACTGAAGTTAAGCGCATAGACCATCACTCGGCAGTGTTAGTAATCTACCGGCCTAATTGTTTGACGGACTTCTCTCATATTCTGTCCATTGTGACCAGGTCCATCGTACTGAAACCCTTAGTTTGTTTGCAATTCCTTTATCTACCAAAGTAAAAAAGGTCCCAAAAACAAGGCTCAGGAGCCGACGGAAGCCTAGGCCTAATTCGGTCGTAAAATTTATTCACGTCTGTATACGTTGAAGCAACTCCACTTCAACATGTGGCACAAGTGGGGTGATGGATGAATGCCATGGGTCTGAGAGCCGCTCCTTTTGACCTAATGTGGGACGCACTGCAGGAGAGCTTCAAGACTACAATAAGGTTATACGAGTAAACGAGCCCTTCGACTTCCCTTCCGCTGGGACCGGAAGGCTACCGAGGTTAAGAATCTGATGAAAATAGCCATCTGATTACACTTTCGTTAAGGTTTGGCAGGGCGTAAGCAGGGGTGAAAACCTTGAAACGTGGCTTTTATCGACGCGCGCTGCATCAAACGAGTACCACTCATAGCTTCAGATATTTTTGACACCCGGAGATCCGCGGGACTTATGCCCCGTCAGGGAGTTTGTACAGGTGTGTCATTTGAATGCGGAGAACATGTTTTCACTGCCGCTTGTGAAGGCATAGGAAATACTCGAATAGGTAACTTGGCTCCGCAGACCCTTAGCGTCTCCGTTTGATGGTGGAGACCGTACTTGGTCTAGTCCAGTGCAGCATAGGGCTAGGGCACGCCACATCTCCCACTATTGTGTTTCACCTAAATGCAAATTTGTGCATGCAGTGTTTGGTCGGTAGATCAGACTATGGGATTGAAAAAACTTTATTCGACAAGGAAGAATTTTGTTCGTCAACGTCTTCACTGACGATCGTGGAATATGAGCGGCATGGTCAATGTAAGACATGTAATTTCCTTTGACAAGCAAAACCCCACTATGGGCATTGTCCAGTTCTGAATCGACCAATCAGATTCCGTTCGCCGGCAAGTTTCTGACCGCGGACATCGCTCCAGATTCGGGGCGATTGGCCTGAAGTGGATCTGCACCCGGTCGTCAACCCGAAGGCGTAGACTTCAGTAGCTTAATGTTCCTTTATCAGGAAACAATTTCTCGGTAGTGACCGTTCCCAGAAACATGGAATGGATCCCCAATTGGCTTCTGTCACTGCCTGTCATAGGCCTCTCAGAGCCTCCCGTGTACTGACTACTGTAAACGACTAATCATTTCCGACCATTTCCAAGGCCACGCTACCACGCTGATCCGTTCTACCTTTGGCCCGGTGGACCGGTCTAGTCAAGCCCCTTCGATGCTAAACCCGCCCCTGAAGCTGCGGGCCATCTAATGCCCGTTTTCTTATTCTAGAATTCGCGGCTATTCGCACCGTGAGGATCTTGTTTAAATGATCCCGCTGCCCCACAAAATTCTCCAATGTCTTCCTGTCACTTTTCACAAACATGACGGACGGACAGGCACACACGGACGAACATGCCAGGAAAGTGGGCGTGCAGACCGTTGCGGCCTGCTTCATGCCCGTGGCGACCATCGCGGTCATGCTGCGCTGTTACGTCCGCGCCCGGGTGGTGAGAGCTTTTGGTCTTGACGATGGGGCGATGGTATTTGCAGCGGTAGGTGCCCCCTTCCCTCTACATTTCCCATGAGGAAAGGCTAATGTGTGCAGGTATTTTTCATGATGTTCTGTTCATGTGTGATTGGAGGGACTCGATATGGTACTGGGTATCAATTTGAACACCTAGAACCGGATCATCGTGCGATCGCCATGAATTATTGGTGGCTGTGCGAGGTTGCTTACTGCTTTGCTTCGATTGGATGCAAGGTGTCAGTGTGCATTTTCCTGATGCGGATCACTGTCAAGCGGACTCATATTTGGATTCTATACATGGTCATGATTCTCACCGTTCTTGCGGGATTGGTGTTCTTCTTCCTCATGCTTCTGCAGTGCAAGCCAGTGTCCTACTTCTGGAATCGAACAAAAGAGGATCCCTCTATTGAGGGCTATTGCATCGATATCCACATCATCGTTATCATGACATACATTTACAGTGTGTTCGCGGCAATTTGTGATTTTACCGTGGGAATCCTTCCAATTTTCCTCGTGAAAGACCTGCACATGAAGAGAAACGCCAAGGTGGCCGTCATCGGAATTCTTAGCATGGCCTGCGTGTAAGTTACCGCCCGTATTCCACAAATCTGACCCAATCACTAACAAAAACAAGTGCCTCATCAGCAGTTATCGTCCGGCTGCCCTTCGTTAAAACATTCGAGAATCCTGATTTCCTCTGTAAGCTCCAGCCGCTCGCTTTATTTTTCTTTTTGAACCAACCTAATCCTTTCAGACGCTACCTACCAAATCGCCATCTGGTCCATCGCCGAAGCTGGCCTCGGAATCACAGCAGGCAGTCTAGCAACTCTTCGTCCCCTCCTCCGCCACTGGCTCGGCTCCCGCTCTGATAACTACCCTTCATCCGGATTCCCCCGTGCATCAGGCTCCCGACGCGTCGGTGGTAGTCAACAGAAAGCGATGCCACTCGGATCGATGGACACAAGCAACAGAGGCGAACTGCGACCCGATAAACTGGCAGTGATGGTGACGAATATTGAGAGTCAGGGGGGTCTTGGAACCACCTGGACGAGAACGTCTAGCAATAACAGCAGTGAGGAAGGTTTGACCATTAATCACTCGCCTCGTCTTCCTCCGGGACCAAAGATCGAAGTCGGTATTCAGCACACGTTTGAGGTTACACATGGTGATTTCCCCGAGGCATCTCATAGAGATGCTAGTGTGAAAGAACATGTATAACATTTATAAAACCTACGAATGTACATATAGGATCAGAGATTTACGACTTAATGATCGAATAAAAGATTTAATATGTATCTCTAAGGAACACTGCACTTTCGACTACAATGGTATAATTGAGGATACATTTGCTAATATCACATGAACTGGGCCCGATATTCAAGCCAAAAAAGACTCCAGGATTCTTTATCCAGAGCATGGACTGAATTTTGAGCAGAGGTGCTTAGTTTGCAATCTATAGGTGCAGTAGCATAGAAGGGTATGTATCTGATCCTCAAGCCTTGAATCGCCTTTAACCCCATATCCAATAAAATGTTCTGGATCATTCAATAAATCCAAAACAAGCCAAGTATAACTAAAAACATGCATAAATCTCTGATCATACAAACGTTCAAAATGTATATCCGTCGAATCAAAAAAACGTCACTCATCTAGCGCGCTCGATCATTAGCTGGACCTTACAAGTCAAACATAATAATGCTATTGGTCAGAAATCTGCGCTCGACGTACCTAAGGTTCCTCATATCATGAACTGGCATCATTGTCTCATTCCACCATTTCGAGGCCGGCCAGGAGCCTGTGCACGGCATGCTTCTTGAAGATCAAGCACATTTCGCCATCGTACGTCCCGCATATAATGCTTCTGCTCTTCAGACATCTCTGGCTCGCAGTTATCGTCTGCAAATCCGTTGGTTGAGATATAATGTAGTGAGTAGCCGATGAATGTAGCGACGACACAACCAACAATGATTACAAAGACGTAAAGGCTATATGATGTCATCTCTTGGATTGAGGCGTCAGAGTGGGCAGTACAGCTTGATAATGGAGTCTCTCACTTGCAAATAATGTGGTGTGGCACTTGATCCAGTATTGGTGGATTATCTGCTTATTGTTTGTATGCGTTACCAGAATCAGCCCAACGCCCAACTGACCAAGAGACACCCCCCTCTTTAAACAACTTGATCAGGACATGATTTATCCCACTACGCGTATTTTGTCTCAATGTTATGTGGTTTGACTGCTTCCATTTGGCCTAGTCTTTAAAATCACCTTGGCGATGTATGCACGCCGATTCTGTTAGTCTAAAAAAAGTAAAAATGACGTCAATAACCCGAGCCGGCCAATCAACTGGTGCTTCGGGGTCAAAGCAACCCATCTTCAAGATGCGCTAGCGGAAGTATGGACTTTGATTGGTTGAAATGGTGAGAAATTCGTTTCATTTGTAGACATGTAAATTTGATGTGAACCCAAATGGACTCGGAATTTATGATATTAAAGGGGCAGTAAGCGGATCCTTTGGAGTAAGCATTATGGCCTGGCGCCTAGATTGGAGGCAAAGACCTCCTGATTTCCCATCTTCACTGGGCGTTTTCAAATCTATGAGACTAACACTATGACAGGAAATTTAGAGGCTACTGGGATTTCTTCTTGACAACCAATACCACAGCCTGCATGGCTACCTTGATGGTCTCCTTCCCCTTCTCAACCCCAGCCTCATGAAGCAGCCGCTCAATTGTTCTCCGATAGATCTTCGTAATATCATCCTCAGTACCGACCGCATCCGGATGTGCCTCCCGCCATCGAACAACAGGACTCATAGTCCCAAACATCTTCTCCACAAGATCCAAATTCATCTCCGGTTGATGAGCGAGGAAGTTCTCGGAAGGATCCCAGTCCTTCCGAACGAACTCGGCTTCCTCGAATCCCGGCACAGGGTTTTCCAAATCCCACGGCATGGGGAGGTCAAGATAGCGGTTCCGGGTCATGAGATTACCCCGAGCCATAAAAGGCTTCAGTTGCGTTTCTTCTAGTTGATCCATGGCAGAGTTGATGGCAGCTGCATTGGGAACAGAATGATGGATGTCTGTCTTGCCAGTCGTCCATAGTATGACACTACCGCCGGGCTTGAGAACGCGGGCGGCTGTGGGCCAGAATTGGGACATATCGAACCAGTGTGCTGAGTTAGCAGCTGTGATCAGATCGACGCTTCCATCTTGGATGGGCTGCTGAGATAGACTGGTTCCGAGATGTTCGGCCGTGGAAACCTCATAGCGAATCGGTTCGGAGGTTGATGTGACGCCCCCTATGGAGCGGGCGGTGGCTACCATTCCTTCGGACGGGTCGAGTCCAATAGCATGGGAGAAGTGTGGGCACAGAGCTCGAGCGGCATTTCCCGGACCACACCCAACATCGAGAAGACTGTCGGATTGACCACCGGTTGAGGTGTGGATGTCGATGACATACTGGTATAGCTTCGGATGGTAGTCAGAGCGGCCCTGTGCGTAGGCTTTTCCTTGCTCTTGATTGTAGTTGCTGAATGTCTTCTCCGTTGTGACAGGAGTTGTAGACGTGTTGCCTGACATGATGAGTCACTGTCTTGTTCTATTACCGGGTTGTCAGATTATGAAGATAATTCTTCCAAAGTTCGTATGGAAGTAGACTGAATGTTATCCTTGACCAATGGTCAAACTGTATTATGTGTCTATTGGCTTGAAGGGCAAGTGACAGAATCTCGAAAAGTGAGGGATTATGTATGTCCCAGCGCACGGCATAAACCCGAAACCCGAAATCCGACCAAGCATTGCGGCTAATGCCGCCGACACGACACTGCGGGGGCAATTAATATGCGGATATACAGAAGCCAATCAAATCTTCCAGACTTTGCCATATGTTATCTCTGCCTAAAAAAGTGGGGATTGGACATTTATCTATAGAGAACTGACCAATTCGCTTTGATGTGGGAGTCCTCTCGTAAAGCTTGGTAAAGTCGGGACGCACCAAGATGAGACCCGGAATATAGGCCAAAGTCCGCATCTCGCCTTTCTAGTTCTTCCAGTAATCATAATTGATATTCGATTTGTACATTCTAACATACACTCTGCAATTTATGGCTTCGTAGCAGCAGACTTTCCAGTTCCAAGGATATCACCATCCTCCTCCTTCCCATTCAATGCCCGATCAATACGGAACTGCGTACTTTGGAACAGCCGAGGAAGACTAGTATCCTCAAATGAGATATTTTCCATAACCATCTTGGCCACCTCCTTCGATGACAACCAAATAACAGGCATGCCGTGGCCGTTGAACCCAGCAAGAATGTACTGATCAGATTCCCCAGGAACCGAACCAATATGCGGGTTAGAGTCATATGAGTATCCCATAACGCCGGACCAGAGCTTATCAATCTTAGCGCCTTCCCAGCCATGGTATGTTCGCTGCATGTAGTCGATGTAATAGTCCTTTGCAGCGTCGATCAGAACACTATCATCCACATTGTCATACCACTGATGCTCGGCATTCCGGAAGACAGCCGCGGCACCGCCAACAATGATACTGCCGTCTGAACGGGGAATCAGGTATGAGAGGACGTTTTCATCGGTTCGGTTGATGTATGAATTAGTGAGTAAGGGTGCCGCTTCCTTGGATTCAGGAAGGGTGATTCGACAACAAATTCCTTTGCAGGGAATAATGTTCTTCTTATATTGGGGGAGAATGCCGGACACGTAGGCGTTGTTGGCGTAAACAACCTTTCCTGCGTGCATCTTTCCTCGGGGTGTGGTAATGGTAAAGCCGCCTTGTTCTTGCGGGCATGGTTCCACGGAAGTGACGGGGGTATGTGTTTGGAGGTTGACGCCAGCTGTGACAACTAATCGGACAAGATGCATGATGAATTTATAAGGCCACATTGTGCCAGCTGTAAAGCTTGCACATGCCTTTGCACCCTTGACACCGGAGATCTATTGTATGTCAGTGGCAACTCTGGAGCAATCTGAGGGTCTTTTGAACGAAAATATATGACTTACCCCTTCACTTCTGTCACCAGTATAGAAAACGACGTCATCCATGTAATCGAGGTTCTCGGCGACCATCCGGTCATAAACAGCCTTTGCTTTCTTTGCGGACTCCTCATTACACCAAACATCGGTTGACCGAGTCAAAGTAAAATCACAATCAATTTTCTCCTGCTCGATGACTTTCTTCAGTGCTCGTAGATTGGCAATTTCGAATTGAGCAACCTCAGCACCAGCTTGAGCTCCTGCTCGATCCATGTAGGTAGGAATATGGCCATAGAGATCAGGTCTGCAGTGTCCGCCATTTCTGCCGGTTGCACCAGAGCAAGCGCCCCGTGCCTCTAAGATGGTGACGGACTTTGCATTATAGTCCTTCACAAGATGATAGGCAGTACCCACGCCAGCATACCCAGCACCAATGATAACGATATCGCTGTGCTCAGGTATCTGCTCCGTCGATCGATGATCATGAAGCTCATCTTTCTCGGTTTGCCAGAATGTTTCTCCGGGGGTGACGGTTGGGAGACATTTCTCGGTCCCAGCAATAGCGGTGAAGCCGTTGGCGATGCCGTTTGTTTGGGTCATAATTGTGGCAGGAGTATCAAGCAATACAGAAGGGGTTGAAAGACAAAAAAAGCAAATACAGGATTGCAGAGCTTCTTTTTTTATAAGCTTAAGGTTGACCGACTTTATCAGATCCCCCGGTTGCCGGGTTGCTATCGGAGCAGTATCTGGCCACTTATCTATAGTCACCGCCGGACCGGCATAGCCCGATACAGCCATCGATACCGACTTTCCCAAGCCCCACTGATTAACCTCCCCCGCATAATGGACAGGGGTAGGGGAGGCCATTCGGGGTCAGTGCGTCTATCTGGTGCTTTTGACGTTTATACACTTTGTTATCGCGATGCCGGTCTTAGATCCGGTCGTATCCACCAACGAGACTCTGCCAATTGCCAATTAGCCGCGATAGCCTGGCGCGGCTCCACGATGATTGGTGCCCGACAGAGTCTAAGGGACGACATGCAGGAAAAGTGGAAAAAGTACAAAAAAACGAGATGAGAAGGTTTAAAATGGATTCTGCATTTGAAAATTTCATTCTTCCTCTCTTACGGCGTCTTTGAAGATGTCCATCAACTATTCACCGGACAGAATGGACATCACCACAAATGAGAAGAAATATTCCACCTACGACACCGAAATGCAAAAAGAGGGGGATGTGGAGAATGCCGCTGGCCAACTGGAAGAGATTATTGAATTCAAACAGGGCCTGCACCAGCGGCATATCCAGATGATTGCCCTCGCCGGTACTGTTGGGACCGGTCTGTTTCTCAGTTCTGGAAGAGCGATTGCAGAGGCTGGACCTTTGGGAGCGTTTCTTGGATATTCAATTGTCGGATTATTGGTGTCAAGTGTCGTCTTTGGAGTCGGTGAAATGGGTGCTCTTGCGCCCCTCAATGGTGGTGTGATTCGTTACGCCGAGATCTTTTGCGACCCTGCTCTGGCCTTCGCCAATGGCTGGAACCAAGTCTACTCTTACATCGTCTCAATTCCCTCCGAACTTGTCGCCTGTGCCGTTATCGTCGAATTCTGGATCACCATCAGCCCTGCGATCTGGGTCACCATCTTCGGCGTGTTAATGATCTTCACGGCCGTCCTCTTCGTGCGAGTGTATGGCGAGCTGGAGTTCGGTTTCTCTATTCTCAAAATCATGCTGGTCATTGGAATCAACATCATGGCGTTGGTGATTACATGTGGAGGGGGACCTGATCATAAATCTATCGGGTTCGAGTACTGGAAAAGCCCATATGGTCCCTTTGTTCAATACCTCGGCATTGATGGATCTCTGGGTCGATTCTTGGGTTTTTGGACGGTGTTCAACAACGCTCTCTACGCCTACTCTGGGATTGAGAACATCACTGTCGCTGCGGCGGAGACTCGAAACCCTCGACAGGCAATTCCTATGGCGGCCCGGCGTATCTTCGTCCGAATCCTTCTCTTTTATGTGCTCTCGATCTTCATGGTCGGCTTGGTCGTGTCTTCCGCTGACCCAAGCCTCCTCGCCTCCACCGGAACGGCGTCGCAGTCGCCCTTCGTCATCGCCGCTCGTGATGCTGGAATCAAAGTCGTCCCCTCTATCATCAATGCCGTCGTTCTCACCTCCGCTTGGTCCTCTGGTAACTCCAACATGCTTGGCGGCTCCCGAATCCTTTATGGCATGGCAAAGCAAGGTCACGCACCCGCAATCTTCAAGCGCCTGAACCGCTTTACGATCCCCTACGTCGCCGTGGGTCTTTACGGTGTTTTCATGGCACTGGGATACATGACACTATCAGACTCTGCCAGCACTGTGTTCACCTGGCTGCAGGATCTCGTCTCCATCTCGACAATTGTGAACTGGCTTTGCATTCTCATTGTTTACTTGCGCTTCCTCTACGGTTGCAAGAAGCAGGGCATCGATCGTCACAAGGAGCTTCCGTGGGCTGCCCCCTTACAGCCGTACACCACTTGGGTCTCTTTAGTCGTTTTTACTCTCCTGTTCTTTACCGGAGGCTACAGCACTTTTATTAAGGGGCACTGGAGTACTGAGACTTTTATCTCTTGCTACTTCAATTTGCCTTTCATTTTGATCGTATACTTTGGCTATAAGTTCTGGATGAAGACTAAAATTATCCCATTGGCGGAGATCCCTATCCGGCCTTTCATTGAGCAGTATCAGAATAACCCTGAGCCTGAGCCGGAACCGAAGAAAGGACTTTGGAGACTCAATGTTCTGTGGTCATAGGGAGGGAAATGAATACATAATCCATGTCAATTAGCGCACTTGAAATTTATCTAGATATACCTCAACAATATCACATATTGAATTCATTGACATCATATCTTTAGTAATACAGGTCTGAGACCATCATCCTACATAACTGTGGAGCTGTCTAGCTGCCTAGTCATTTCCATTACATGATAGTCTTAGTAGTTACTAAATTGGCTTATCTTGTCCTGCCCCGGCCTTAACCTTGGAACGCCTCCATGAATCCAGAACACGGCCATACCGATATCCGTATCGGTATCGCTGGATTCTCGCTGGTTATCAGGATAGGAGGCGAATCCCAATCTATTAAGGAAATTGTACGGAAGTTCTCCGGACATGATAAAACTTGAGCCAATCACATCGGACCGGCCCGGACCTTCCCGATCAGGAAAAGCCAAAATACCGGGATCCGAACTGATTAGATTGTGGTTCCGGTGCGGGGGAACTATCGGCGCTATCGTGAATCGCACCGTTTCTAGTGGGATATATGCTTCTTTTAGCTTCTAAACATTTACATTGCCCCTCTGAATTGACCATTGACCTCTGTTAAAACCACACTGCCACCCATAATCTAAACCAACATCTCAATTCCAATCTAGCTTGCCTGCGACATTCACCAAACACCAACCTACTTACTACCTACTACCCCTACCATGTCCCCCAAGAAGCACGTCGTCTTTGACGTAGTTGGAACCTGCGTCTCCTTCGACGCCTTCTACGCCGGAATCGACCGCGTAATCGGCCCCAAGCTCCTCGCAAACAATATAACTGCCCGTTCCTTCGGTTTCACCTGGATGACAGCCGCAGAGTTAGAATTCACCTTCCTCTCCATCTCCGAGCGCTGCAGACCCTACAAAGAAATCATTCGCGCCCTGTTCTTCCGCACACTATACATGATGGGCATTGAGGATCCCCGATCCTTCGCGACAGAGACCGAGCGCGAAGAGTGCGCACAGGCATACTCAGAATTGGAACTGCGCCCTGGCACAAAAGAGTGCTTTGCTACGCTCCGAGAGGCCGGGTTCACCGTCTGGTGTCTTACTACTGGCGATGCGGTCCGGGTTCGCGGATACTTTGAGCGGGCGGGTTTGGATATGCCGTTGGAGAACTTTATTACGTGTGATACCGCTGGTGTGGCGAAGCCGGCGCTTGATGCTTATCGGCCTGCGCTGAAGAAGTTTGGGGAAGATGATATTAAATGGTTTGCGGCTGCGCATATGTGGGATGTTACTGCTGCTGTTAAGGTTGGGTTTAGGGGGGCTTATTGTACTGTTTATGAGAAGGAGTCTTGTGCTGAGATTTTTGATGCTAAGTTGGATGTTATGGAGGATACTTTGGTGGAGATGGCACAGAAAATTGTGGCTGCTTCGTTGTGAGGGATGCGAACTAGGATAAAATGTTTTATATTTCAAAAAGGAAGAGTTTTGTATGGAAACATGAATATATCGTTTCATTAGATTACATGAGACTGGTTCTGCTGTTATACATTATCTGTTCATCATTCCCTGGTTTCCTCCAAACTCCGGATTAGTTAGGAATTGCTCCAGGACCTGGGTCTCTGTCCAAGTTGGCCATGCTGCTGATGGAGAGGAATTTTCGGTGCCAAAGATGGTCATTCCTATAACGGAGTCCAAAGCTCCAAACATTCCTGTGTCGAAATCTTTGTCAAATGATGCTTCCGCGCAGTCAATTCCCCCAATCTTATCATTGTCGCAAAGTTGACTAGAAGTCGGAGATGCCCCGACGTGAGGAGCTGGGGCATTTGTTAGTCCAGGCGCCTCGATTATAGCTTCGTTTCGTAATCTCGCACCCCAGTGCTTGAATACCTCATAATCTGATACAGCTACCTCAGGTTGTGTCATACCCTCGCTATGTTGAGACTGCTGAGGTCCAGTATGCAAGCGGGCCAGGGCCCGCTCGAGTGTCTCAATCAAGGCGACCTCGTAACGAGCTGACTCTCCAGCCACAGACAATTTTCGAATCATATCCAAGCCAGTGTACAGTAGTTTCCGGAATTGCTCTGAAAAGTTTTGTATGGAGTAAGCAATCAGCACGAGCAATGATGCTCGACATGAGCTATACTCGATATAAGAGGCTCGCGCCAGACCAGCGCCATTATCTCTGATATTTTGGCAAATTCCCAATGCTTCGGTTGCTGCCTCAATGCAGTCTTCGATTAAGTCTCTGCGAGTGAGAGAGAGTTTCTGGCTTCCGGGTTCGATCGCTGTATGGGTTTCAGAGGGACTGGTCTCTGAGTGGGGTGAGTTACCCATCGTGCTTGATGTTTCTTTTTTGAGCAGAAATGGACGCCCCATGAACATTCGGACCAGGCAGTACTCCAACCGTAGATGCATTATTGAGCGAACATGCATTGGGGATCGAGTTCTTTCTTTCAAAACCTCCTCGGGAAGAGAATTCCACCAAGTTTGCAAAGACATTTTGCGAGTCAGCAAGCTCTTGATGATCTTCGATACTTGCTGTTTTTGGCAGCTCCGAAGCACGGTACTTCAAATGTGTTAGTTCAATTGTGTCTTTTCTGCAACATGAAAGAATCTTACATTTCGTTGTATATATCTTCTAGAAAATAGATCAGCTGAATAGACGCTTCTGCGCGTGCGACACTAGCTCGAGAGTCGCCCATTTTCAATGCTGGTTGATGAAGAGGAATATTGGCATCCACATCCGCTCTGAGCATTGACAGTGGTCGACCATGAAAGATGGATATTTTTCTAATTTTGTTAGCAAAGGTCTTGTTTCAAGCCACGGGATCCTACCTTTCGAGCAGATATGCAGTCCACCATACACGATTTCTTGTCTCGATCATCGTTGGACTGAATGCATCACTCTTGCACTTTCGGTGCATGCCATTCTGCGTGGCGAGTCTAATGGCGATGTTGATGTAAATATATCCCAGCCCCGAGGCATCAAATGCAAGCGCGTAGCAACCAAAAAGCAAACAGGCTTGTACACTTTCAACGGATGAATGTTCGATAATCTCCGGTAAAAGGCGAATGGCTTGTTGATAGAATGCCGTGCCGATGTCCTCCTCGGCAAAGTTAGATTCGGTGGAGCTCGAAGGATTATGAGCAGAGGATTCTAAATGGGCATATTGTGTGCCAATAGCGAATACCATGAGGAGAATGCTGATAGTAACTTCACAGCCTTTCTTGGCGAAGCCCCCTTGATCGTTATAGAACATATTCATCCTTTCAGAGAGCCAAGTCTGGTCAACAAAGAAGTAATGTGATTCTGCGTATTTGAAGAAAGTTCTCGCCAAGAAATCTGCAATCTGCCGTGGAGGACAACAGGATATAGCGGCGGATAAATGAGCTCGTCCTGGTCGCAGGTGACGAACGCGTGGCGGCTCCTCTTCCTGATCCGAGTCATGAAGGTCCTAGAATTATCAGTTTAAGCCCGAGAATAAAAGCGCGTGCAATGGCGAAATAAAGCCATCATACTTACCCTACTTCCTAAACCTTGCATTCGTTTCTCAATGTGATCCTTGACTCGCATGGAGAAATTCCAATATGAAAATTCACCGGAGAAATCTGCTTGGAGTTAGCATCGGCCACTGAAGCCAGAGTTTATGACTGACGCGTAACCGTATCTCCAACAGGCTCCATTGTGCAAGCCTCGTCATCTATCACAAGCCCTTCTACTTCTTTGGCATCTGATGCATCAGCATCAAGTGCATCAGCCATTTTGGCCAGACTTTTTGTATCAAGTCTAATGCCCTCAATAGTTCGCTTCAATATCCGTTCCATATATCTCGAGCGCTCAATTTGCTCTTGGAAATCAGACCTCCCAATCCGCTCCCTGATGCTCTCAGTATGTATTTCAAGGTGATATCGAATTAAACAGCTTACCTTGGCACATAAGGGCGAAACTCCCGTGTCCTCGACATCAAGCCCTTGAATTCACATTGTCGCTGATAATGAGAGCATCGCCTGCAGGGGGGCTCCACCTTCACACTTCTCTTTCAGCCGCCGACATTCGTCGCAACTGTAAACAGTCAGATGCTGAACTTTCACAATATTCGAAGCTCTTGAGACTCACGCTCGAGCCGCACGTTTCCGGTGATCCATGACTCTGCGTCTCAGTCGCTTACTTTCCAAAGAGAAGTCGCGAATCTAAGGAAGTACTAGACCCCATACGCAAAGTGTGGGGTTAGTCCCGTGACTTCTCCAGCGATAAGGGCGACCAATGAGAGCGTGTGAATATATGTTATGCATTGTCAAAAAAGCAATTATCGTGCGCTTCTGATAATTCGAGAGATAAGGCCGCCACGTGGAATTTGTTTTACACTCTGGTATTTTGACTTCAGGTGCTTCAAGTCTCTTGAATTCAAGCTTCTCTGGTTGGCGTCGTTCCATCATGGCATTCGATCGGCGGGCTCCGAGACTGGATTAGTGGCATAAAATAGACCCAATCAAATTTTGTTCCGTGCTGTGGCTTCAAGGCCCAAGACTTCAAGACATAAGACATCATCTTCCACCGTCTCACCTCCTTTCCAAGTAAATAGTTAGTTCCAAGGGTCTCAATCGGTATCTTTGAAAAATGGAGGATGAACTTCTGCCCCGTCAGCCTGTTTATGCACTGGTTCCATCGTCCGGACCATCAATTGAAAGCAACCGACTGCTCCTTCGCCCCGTCAAAGACCGTGACACTACAGCATTATTTGCCGTGCGTGCCCGGCCAGAAGTAGCAAAGACCAAGTAAGACATCTCACACTAGCCATCTAAAAACCCAGCTAACCTTGACAGTTACCCTAAAACACCATTCCAGTCCATTGAGCAGACAAAAGAATGGCTATCGAGCAAGATCTTCAAGGCACCCGCTAGTGTCATTGGTCGTTCGTTTGTGTATTCGATTGTGGATAAATCGATTCCAGATACTGAAGAGCAAGTCATTGGTTATATGGGTATCAATGCCGTCGACCCGTGCCCGGAAATTGGATACTCGCTTCTTCCGGAGTCTTGGGGTAAAGGATTCGCCACGGAGTCATTGCGAATGATGTTGAAGATGTGGTGGGACCTTCCGAGGATGGAACTTGATGATCTCGATCGTTCTTCTGGATTTGTGGAGAAAATTTATGCGATTTGTGAGAGGGATAACCTTGGGAGCTGCGCGGTGTTGAGGAAATGCGGCTTCGAGATTGTGAAGGAAGTAGAGTTTGGTACTGATAAGCTTTATCTGTGGTCATTAGACAAGCCAGAAAGTGGTTCTCGGGTTGTGGGTGCAAGTGTGGAATATCGTTACGTTAAAAATTAGACAAGACCTTTGGAAAGATCAATGGACACATATAATGTCAATGATATTCATGAGACTTATTTTAAATGCATGAGCCCGTCCAGGGTAATTCCATATCTCCATAGAAAAATTTCATAATTCAGTGTCTTCGGCAATCTCCAATCTACTTCCCAGTTGTAGTATGTCCCTGCTCGCCTTGCTGGCTTTGCCCATACTGTACCATTTGTTCAGCGATGCAGCAGTTTCGTGAGTTCCATTCTCGATAGATTGAGAGTTCCGATCAGGATAAGTCGGAGGATCCAACAGATACGCAACGGGTACCCAGTTGTTTGCAATGGTGAGGTAGCAAACATGGAGCAATGGCGGCCAGGCAACCGAAGTCAGCAGCTTTGTGGTCAGATTTTGTTCGTCGGGTGACAGGACAACAGCTGTCGAGTAAAAGATAGCACCGAAAGTCGAGATCAGCATGATCACGTTGCAAAAGAGGCCGTTCTGCCAAAGGTCTTTGTACAGCCTCATGTATGAAGACATTGCCGTAAGACGATTCCAGGAGTTGGCAGTGCTACCTGTCACAAATGAACCTTTCGGCTTGCTGGTCAATAGATAGAACCGTAGGATATAATAAATGTTTCCTGTAAGTTTTATTAGTTTGATCTCATGAATTGACAGTCTGTAAAACCGGAAACTCACCAGCAGCTTGCCACTTGTTCTCCAAGTGGGCAAATGGAGCGCTTTGAAAGCCTGTCTGTGCAGCTTGGAGGAACTCATATGTCCAGGTTAAGAGCAGATAGACTGCTGCCAAGGTCAATTGGAATGTAGTCGTAACTGTGGATGAAGTCGGGATTGTTTTTCCGGCGAGGAGGAGAACTGGGACTGCAGCAAAGCCGAGCAGGCAGCCAAGCTCGCCTCCTACAATCCCTGCTCCATTCCAAGCAATACTCTTCCGAAGATCCTTGGGAAGATTCGGGGGATTTGAAGAAAGCATGGAAATCACTTGTTGGGCATGGCCAATGTTCCATCGGTTTCTTTGAGCAATATGCCCGGTAATGGATGTTGGAACAAGACCATACTGTAGGGGTTCCTGTACCTGCATGGTAGGATGTCCGAACCCTTGCAACACCAACGATAGTTGCCAATCTTCAGAAAATGAGAAGGTCGGATAGAGGCCAACGTCGATGATAGACTGGCGTCGGAATACTGCACCAGACCCTGCGTCTATAGCACGGCCCAGAATGTCCAGTTCCGCATTCTGGCAGGTGTAGAAGTGACAGCGGGCCTGAGATAAAGGATCTCCAGTGGGAAGATTAGAGAAGTACTGGCGGGTTGAAACCAATGCCGAAGCAGGGTTTTGCAGTAGATGAGGAAGAATTGCACGAAGGAACTCTGGCGATGGGATGGAGTCCGCATCTAAGACTGCACAGAATTGAGGCGGATTCTCGTTCTGCAAGGTGCTCAGGGCATAGTTCAAGTTGCCCGATTTGGCGAAAACCTGGCCAGATTGTCTGCCTCTAGAATGATATGAGAGGTGCGGCCATTGGGCCTGCAATCCCATAATAGTCTTTTTCAGCAGAGCCGAGCCCCCGTCGTCTAGAAGCAAGACTCGAAACTGAGAGACGGGGTAGTCCATTGTGCATGCCGCTCGCACGGTTTGCATAATAACTTCCACTGGCTCACCGCAGCAGGGTAACAGGACATCCACTCGAGGAAGACCATCGTTGCCTTGAAGGCGCATCCTCTTCCGCGGGCCACTTTGCGGCACCTTGCCAGCGCTAACAGAACGAAGTTGTTCTTTCCGAGCCAGATCTAGCCATCCAGTTAGACTCAGGACTGCTGATGGTGGTGAGATCACTTACGAGCAAATATCAACTCCACCGCTAGCATTGTCCACATTTGCCATGTTTGCGATGGACTGGATAAGATTGCCCACAAGCGGACCGCGAGGTACAGATAACCAATCCAAATTGCGGCCTGCGCTATGTAGTAGAGATGTTTTCTGTATCGATGACCGGAGAGGGATTGCTGATCCGGTGGCAGCTCGCAGATCTTATACGTCCCATTGGAAGTCATTTTTGGATGATAGCAGTTGTGGCGGTGAACATATGTTATCTGAACCAACGCTCTAATCTGCCTACCTAGGCTCTCAATCCCACAGGGGCGTCTCAGGAATTGAAAAGTTCCACTGGGATTAGAAATATATATAAGTAAATTTGAAAGAGCTGCCGGGAAAAGAAAGGAAACCCACAGAAAGGGGGTGAAGATGCCCCGTGTTTGTGCGTTACGATGAGAGGCGTTCACCTAGAATGATCTAGTCAAGCCACAAGTGGATTCTCTGGGCCGGAGCGAACCGAAAGTCTCTTCCGCTCAATGCCGGTTCACGAATCATTTTGGGGAGTATGGATTCTTCATTAGCTCTGTATTAAGGCTGATATTGTGATAAAGACAATGTATTCAAGGTGTGTGGTTTGATGATCGTCGGAAATTCTGGGGATCCTCAACCCCACGTTGCGGCTAGGCCCGAAGGAGACATGAGATCAAGATCCACTTGTTTAATCCCTGTCTTCGTTATCAGTGCGATACTCAGAGAGAAGTCAAAACTTGATAGGCTAGGATATGATGCCCGGGAAGCAGCGATCTTGAGATAAAAAAAAACAAAGCGGTAGAAAATCATCTGGGCTGAAATAGCAGGTCTCGAAATATTATACATTATTGCAACCCAGAAACCGAAGGCAAAACAAAATAGGCTTATCAACATAATATCGGGTATTCATATGATACAATCACCGGTCTGCAGGGTATCACTCTCTTGTCATCAGTTCAGGCACGACCTGATGAGTTTCCAACTCCGTTGGCGCAGAACTTTTGGTCAGAGTCGCAGAAGGGCTACTTGAATAACCCCCCTGACCAGCCGCCATGGAGCCAAGGGATCGGCTTAGTTTGTTCGCACGCCTTCTTTCCCAAAGGGCCCAGACCAGCGTTCCGATTGCTATGATTCCAAGTGGGACACCTACTCCCGCGCCGATCGCCACGTCGTGCGAGCTGCTGGATGCTACTGCTGATGAGGACGGGGAAGAGGTGGTTGAATTGGCAGTCACAGTTGTTGTCGAGTTTGTCGAATCGGAAGTGATATCCGTAACATTAACAAGTGCGGCGCGTTCGAGGATGATATCGGCGTCGTCTAAGCGGAAGCTGTCTCCATATGGACAAACAATCTCTGACCCATTGTAAATGGGTGTGCCGCAACAATATAATGAAGTGCCGTTAATAAGCGAGAGGTTTATGATTGACGCACCCTCTGACTTCGTGACGTCCTCTAAGCGGGTCGGGGGGTTGTTAGTTCAAGTCATGAAAAGATACAGGAGTAGTTGATGCTCACGACATTGAGTTGGACATCCATCTCCCCACGTCTTGCTCGTGCAGCCTCCTCTGGAAAGAACATAGGGCTGAGAGACATCAAGACAGAATCCATTTGTTAGGCAAATTCCGCCACTCCCACAACAATGAGTGATATCATCTGATGTGCATGGGTAGGTGCCCGATGCAATGTTCCCTTCTGGGTAATAGCATGTGCGATCGTCTGTACTCATGGCAGGTAGATTGTGTTTTAGAGAGACAAGAGTTAAAATTGTAGAAGAGGTAGAGCGGCCCTCATGCGCGTCGAGGTGTCGAGGTGTCGAAATTAATTGTAAGTGGATAGTTCGAACAGGGGAAGTTTGAGAAGATAACGTTTCGGGCTACACCAAACCTAAGATGACGGTCAGACAGGTTCCAAGGCTAAGGATCAGCCAAGGCGGCTGAGGCTGACCGCTGCATGCCCAGTACGAGATGGTTGTGGAGTATGATGAGTATCCCAATCCGATCTGATAGGATAGAAATAACCCAAGCTCCTATCTTTCATATAAAATAGGAGGGGCTACCTGAAGAATCCACCCCTAATAATCATTCTTTCACGCCTCCAGGAGAGCTGACATACAACGATCTACCCTCATTAGGTTGGTAACTCTTCAAACTCTGAGACCACCTAGCCATCTTAGGAGGCCGGAGTGGGGCATCATGCAGGACGTTGGCCTATCAAGACATTGTCAGCGCAACATGCTTCCCAATCCAGCTTCACTCCCTGTTGATCAAGAATCCGTCAAAATGGCGTGAAATGGCAAAGAGGACAATGCAACGAAGCTTTTTGGTGGGTCCGTTCAACTTGATCTTTGGTCTGGGGGTTTCTCCTCTAATTTACATACAACATGCCCTTCTGCTCCACCCCTGACGATAGGCCAAAACAATCTTGGATGTGGTTTACACAGGCAATAGGGTAAAGTCATTATGGTACATCGGCGCGTTCATCATACAAGTACATCATATGGCTTGTAGGACAAGCAAGCAAATTCGGAAGTCAGGGTGACTGAAATTATCTTCTGGCCCCAAGTCTTATTGATAGGCCTCACCAATTAATTCATTGATTGATTGATAAGCGGCATTTAGATACCAGAAATCCGTTCGTTCAAGGCACATAAAAAGCCAAAAGGTATACGCACACCAATAAATATGACCCAGAGACGGAGCAATAGTGAAGATAGTGTAGACCAAGAAAACCTGAAAGGATGGATCGAGACGTGAAAACATCTCATTCGTGTGCGAGAGTATGTCCAATGCCTGTATGTATGCGCGTCATAAAAAAAATAATCAAAGAAATGCACGTTCGAGTAAATGGCACCAGATTCACTGGTCGATATGTGAATAACAAACAAAGCGGGCAAATCATCTCGAAGCAGAGACCTCACAGCGCCCATGCTACCAAAAAGTCAAAAGATCAGATAAAAAAAGGCAACAAAACGTGAATAAGATAGCTGTTGCTATAGGGGTATCCAAATGGAGAAGACAATAGTCGAGACATATGGAAAGATTTCTCTGGCTTCTCAGCACTGGAGGCGTATGAGTGATAGGTAGTCATTGCTTTGGTGGCGGAGCAGAGGTTTCAGAAGGCTTGTCCGATTCTGCCGGTGTTGCTTCGGCGCTCGAGTCGCCGGTATCACCACTGCCACTCCCCCATGAATCCTCCCTTAAAACTTCGGCGGCTTCAGGCAGAGAAGGCCGCTTTATGCCCTTGACTTTGGACTTGGTGCGGGTTATGGATGGCGATGGCGCTTCTGTTTGGTTAGGGGAGGTGCCAGTTTGCATGGGACTGGCTGCACTATCAAAGCTGGGAGACATGGACCGGGAAGAGTCCAGGAAGCCGCGCCACTTGCGCCAACCTTCAAAGTCGATCAGGGCCTGCATGCAGCCCCACTCGGTCACTTTTTGTGAGAGCCACGGGAAACCGACAGGCTATTGTACCAGTCAGTATGGGAGATAAACTACAAATTCCTCAGAATTGACATACCTTAGTCAAGAAGTCATTGCAGCCAGCAGCCAATGCCTCATGTCGATCACTTTGCAAACTGCTAGCTGTCAATGCGACGATAATAACAGGACTCCGGAACAGCGACAGATCAGTCAAGGTATCTTCTTCGCTAACGGAGCGATAGAGTCCAGGTCGTTTTTCGGAAGCGTTGGCGCTTGATGCGCTAGAACGACCAGACGCCGTTTTAGAGAAAACACCAATTCCATTCAGTCGTTCCAGTCGACGGATCTCCTTGGTGGCATCCAGGCCGTTCATGACAGGCAGCTGAATGTCCATAAGGACCAAGTGGAATCCTCCCTGGCGCCATTTCCGTACAGCCTCCTCGCCGTTGGCTGCGCACTTCCATCGCACACTAAGGCGTTTCATAAAAGCTTCTAACAGCTTTTGATTGATGATATTGTCCTCAACAATGAGCACGTTGATGGGCGGAACGGTGCCATCGATTAATCCACCAAACACTGCCCCCGGGGATGCAGCACCTGTGGATTTTCGTAGGGATCGCGGAGATGCAACAGGCGCTGGGGGGTATGTGATTTGACTTGCGGGGATTCGACAACCGTGGCCGGGGGTGTGGGTACGTTCTGTGTCGGGATGTTTGCAGGGGTTTGGGAATGGGGAGAAACGCCCGATTCTTCTAGTGTATTAGTATTCGTCGCTCTCTGAATAGTTGAAGTGTATCCATACCAGTCACTGTGGGCGCTTGACCAAGCATAGTCGGTGAATTGGTCGTATGGCGTTGAAGCACCGGTCGGCGGTGTTGACGAGCCCGAGAGCCCGGGGATCCAAGTGGCGGGGGCGCGCCAGATGTGAGTATTGATATTGAAGGCGCATTATTTCCTCCTGAACTCGACGAATGCGTAGGCGGGGTCGGGACCTTTGCATTGGCGGGCATGAGGGGAAAATATTCGCCATGCTCGCCAGGCTCAGAAGGCTGGTGATGATGATAGCCAGTATGTCGTGGAGATGGCTTTGGGGTCCGGCGCGTGGGTGCTTCGATAAGCAACGCCTCTTGGATTGTTTGACCTCCGGGGTAATACGTGTCGAGGACATTCGACAAGACCTCCTCTGGGCTCAGAAGTCGTTCTGGTGTTGTGAGTCGATTCGCATTTTCGCGTGCCACGATCCTTATCACAATGTCCGGGGAATCAAATGTCCTGCCTAACGAGTTGCCGTATTTTGTGATGACTTGGTCACGCAGTTCATCCACCACTGCATCTTCCAAACAAGGCACCAGCGTGGCCGAGCCACCCGGCCGCTTCACCCAAATTCGACGATGGACCATATTGGCAGCAGCTATGGGTGTGCGACTGCTGCCCGGGTCACCTTGTGAAGGAAAGAAGAGGCTCTGCTCCAGCAGTCCACTTATCAAGTGCTGGTGTGACGCCGGGAGAAGAGACTGCCTGCGGACGGCAAGACTGGGTCGCTTGCTGGCAGGGGCAGGGAAGAAAGAAGAAGATGGCCGGTGGTCTTCTGGGGGAGTCTCGACGACGGTGTCGAGAGTCGGGTCCAATTGATACTCGGCTAGAGTTGACGTGCGGAATTTCACTTGCGCAGTGGGAAGGGAGGCGTCGTCAGAATGCTGTGGAGTGGCAATCGGGCTATCGAGGGGGAGGAGAGCTCTTCGGAGAGAGGGGTAGGCGGTAGTGAGGATTTTGGCTCGGTCGGCGGAGGAATGCTAGCTGGAAGATCCGATGAGGGATAGCGATGGAGCTGCTGTTCCGACAGTAGCGGGGATGAATGACTAGGCTTGGTCCGGCGGCGTGACTTGTGACCGTGATGCTCGTGCGCGTCTGAGCCCGAGGCGGTGTCGTCGGAGGATTGGGCCGCGGACGATACGACGCTGTATGGGGATTTTTCGCTCGCGGAGTCAAAGAGATGAGGAGTTCCAGAGATACCAGAGGTTGAATTTGGGTGGACACGCGGGTCCGCCCCGTTGCCCGGATTTGGTACCGCGGGTATTGACGATCGCCGCAGCAGTTTCGACTTGAGGAGACGTGAGAATCGTCTCTCTGGCATCGTGGCTGCTGCCAATGGGCACGACAAGCTCAATTCATAGCTTGAAAGCTTGTTGAATGGCCAAGAGAAGAGAAGATGGATGGATAAACGTGCACTTTGGTCCTGAACAGGCGACTGGGGGGAGTGCCTCTTTAGCCCCCAATCGCGATCTAGCTGTAAGAAAGGGTCTAACCTGGGAGGCACCCTAGGGCTTGCAACGACCAGAACACAACAGTGATTTTACTCCGTAGGAAATTTGGGTTCAAGGTTGATTGAGGGGAAGTCACACAGAGTTCCTCAGCAGACTGTGCTGATCTCCCGGGAAGTTGGGCAAGAGCTTTGGAGTTCTCACGCTAAGGCCGAAACGAAACACTGATCTGGCACGGGTATCGGCATCGAACAGACAGGCCTATCCCTGCTTGGAGTTTGTTTTTCGACTCTGAATTGCCCTTGCTATTGGTCGTACAACTCAAAATCAAAATTTTGGGTGATATTCCGGACCACAACATTGGGTCACTCCATACACATATTGCTTTTTCTAGCACACCACGTATATAAATCCTACAAATCGAGATATATACCTGCTCGAGGAACAAACTTGACAATCAACTAACATTTTGCATCCGCCCTCGATTCCCTTTCAGGTTTGGGTAACGATAGTTGTTGCTTCTCGATGTCGCCCGGATCTAGCACACCTATTCGTGTGTCTCGAATGTCTTCTCTATCATTCCTCAAGTCGAGTAGATCATCGATACTCACTCCACTCATCTTTGCCTCTTTACGAAGCTTGCGGTAGCGAATCCGCCAGACAATGTGGCTGACGTAGATTCCTCCCTCGAGGACAACACTGGAATGACCGAGTTGGCCGTATGCTTCAAAAGGGAAGAGGCAAGTAAATGACTTACACAAGGATATACATTACCCCACCGAGAATATCGAAGCGTCCTTGAGCCGCTTGAATCTTGTTAGAGCAATGCAGTTCACCAGTCGAATTGTTGAGATCATACCTAAGGCAAGCAGAGAAAACAGTCCACCCAGAGTGTCAATCGATAAAAATAACCAGTCTGCGTGGATAGTTTAGAATCTGGTTCCAGGTGATGACAGGAATGCAAGCATACTAAATCCTATGACACGGCCATCTCTCTTCCATAATTCAAAGTATGGAGGCAACAACCCCGCAGTCAAGAAAATGGTAGCAACGACACCAACCACAATATCTGGCCAGGTGACACCGTTATTGTAAGGGATCTATAAGTCAATTAGAGATGTATTCCGGAAAATATTCATACCTTGGTATCAAGATACGTGGGGCATCATACCCTCAATGTGAGAATGAGAAGAGCTTCGAGCCCGCCGAATAGGACTATGCAACCCAAGCAAACCAGCGTTGCTTTTAGTCGGCTATAGTTACTTTTTGGATTGTCAATTCCAAATCAACAATCATTGCGGCGTATAAGAAGGAGGCAGAGATTGAACTTACTGACTATAATATAAAACCTGACACCAACTGATCAAAGCAAAGAACCCAAAGATCTGTGGCTGAATCTGTAATGGGATATTCACTTGCTGTAGAATAAGGTATGCACCCATCGGGACCGAGCCTATAGATCAAGCCACTTAATAAGTTATCTGATGTCAATAACATTTGTCAACCGAGTAACTTACACATCGCCCAGAGGAACATCATAGCAGCTGGGAAGCCATCTGTGTTTTTTCTCCGCCAGTTATACCAGATCTGGGGAATCAACTGGATACACCAGAGTACTGTGCCAATAGTGCCGAGCACATTAGAAGCCAGTGTGACATCGCCATCTGACATGATGTTTACAATGGGATTATAAGCGATAACATAAGAATAGTTATTAGAAACGACGAATGTAGAACAAGCCGGTTTGCTTCTAGCTCGTATGAACACAGCTGTGAGATAAGAGAAGAGCACAACAAGACTAAAACGGGAAGTCCGTTATAGTCTTTTCACTCCAGTTCTTACCGGAGACGAGCAGTTCAATTCCCAGAAACGATGGAAGAAAAGTCGAGAATGAGAGAGAGAAAGAAGCGGAGAAAAGCCAAATAAATTCAAGAGCAGCATAGACCAGCGGGGAATCCACCCGACGATGAACCGCTCGCTCTATCCTCCGCTACAAGCGTAAGCGTCAACGCATCATCCGACCCAAAGCGCAAACCCAATTTCCAAGCAGCATACATGCATACATGCATGTAAATGCAAAGACCAACAAGCAAGCCCAGAAGCACTCAGAAGGACAATCACAAGCTCATTTTCGGAGTAGTAAAATCCACCGCAGATCTCATTGATCGGGCCCCTCTTGCCAAGTTCGTTCCAGGGCCGACAGACTAGGACGAGAAGGGTAAAACGATGGAGAGGGAGCTTTAGGATGATGCACGATGCACGATGCGCTGCAAAGTCGAGAATGAAATGGGCATGGTCCGCAAGTATCGTAGGGAGACTGTGTTTGATTGGCTTTGGTCTTCACCGTGTATTCTTGCTTTCCCGATAACGCTCGTTGATCAATGGTGGGTTAAACCGTTGGGTGGGGACCTCGTGGTGGCAACATCGTCTATATTCCTCCTTTCAGGCTCGGAGAATTTGTCGACATCAAAGATAAATTACGAGTTGTATAAATATTATGGATATGTAATGTTATTTAAGGATATGTACTTCGTTTCCTTGAAATAGCGGGCTGGTACAATGGAATTGTATACAGTATATACCAAGATAGTTTATACCGGGTCGTTACATGTCCAGCACGTGGTATCGAGACCGGAATATTTGATGATGCAATATCCGTCTACAGCTTGTTCTGATAATCAAATATCAATCTCGGCGATAGGATTAAATCTTACCTGCAGCCACAAACATTGCAGGCCTCACACTTCAGTTTGGACTCAATAGCCTTTGTATTCTAGGGTCATCATTAAGAGAATGGCAGAATATCAGATTGCATTTAAGGCAGCATCGCAATGCGTTTATATAACACGGATAAGCCCATGCACCCAACTATCTGTGACTTTTCACACTCAAGGCCATACTTCTAGCAGTAGGCCTTGGTTCTCCAGGCATGACAATCAAATAGCACCTGAACCATAAAACGCGCAGTATAACTGAAAAGGAAAATAAATGCGGGACAGACGACCGCCAGACACGGTAACCAAACCGGGTTGAGAAAAAGCGTTCCAAGGGAAAAGGGCAGAGTATAGTGGGGGCATGCAAACAATTCGAAATAAAAAAAAAGAGGAGGCCATCAAGACATCACGTTAAGAGGAACCAGAAATACACACGTCAAGTGAAGATTCCGAAGGGTATCAAAGTACAGATTTTGCGAAAAGGGGCAGAATATCAAAACATGGAGAAAGAACTAGTCATCATGAATGTGGCAATCACAAGAGGATGAGGTAGTTGGACGGCGCAATGCCGGTATCTCCATTTGATTTCCGGGCCTGCCACCATCGGCCGCTGACGTCGGATACTTCAAGAATCTCGTGCTTGGCGAAGCTGATCTCGTTGGCGTCTTCGGGATTGGCATCGTACGAGTAGATCGCCTTTGCGCGGTAAGGGTATTCAGTAGGCTGGGGCACCTCGCTGGGCTCCTGGTTTCCAGTGGTGGGACCAGGGACCGGACTGGTGCTAGTAGCTCCGAAGCGGGCTAGGGAGGAGTTGCGCTCGGCACCGGGGGCTCCACCGGGGAATCCGGAGACGGGAGAAGAGGTCTCGAAACCGCTCAGTTGGGCGGAGGTGTACATCTGTGGGGTGTTGCTGGTGGCCATGGTTTCTGGGCGAGCGCCGAATGCGCTGGACATGGGGCGGCTGCCGCGATAGGAGGAGGGATCGGGCTGCTCCTTGTTCAGGGCGAACGAATCGATGAATCCGCGGTGGGTGGCCTGGGGTGAAGAGCCGAAGTAGAAGATCCAAATCACCTGTATGGATATGAGTAAAGATCTAGGTATCGAATGAGGGATTGCGACTTACAATGACCATGGAAATCAGGATGAAGCCTGCACCAGCGGCTTGCTGGGCTCCCATGTGGCTGTAGATCAAATTGTTTGCGCTGGTTGAAGTAAGAACCAGACCACAGGCAAGGTAGCCAACGATCTACTCATCAATCAGTATCATTGTCTTCGCTTGGGAAAAGATCGGATAAATGCGAATCGTACCGCGACGCCGTAAACATTACACGTGTCCGTGCCAAATGTGACAATCAGGCCAAGGATCACACAGAACATGTAGGAAATTGCCCACCAATCATAGTTGGGATAATTATTGTCGGGCTGGGTTTCCGACACAATAGACGAGACGAAAGCGATGAGCCATGCCAGGATGGAAATGGACAGTGTCGCCAAGGCGAACGGGTCACCTAGGATGTTACTAGCGCGGAAGCTCGGCATTTTGTGTATGCGGATTCGTGTATGCAGGTTCGAAGTTGCTCAATGAATGTCGGCAAGAGATGGTGGAATGGATAGCGATTAAAGATGGGATGAATGAATGCTGATGCCAAAGGAGGGGGTCTTTCTATCGGGGCGTGTGGTGCTTTTCCCCCAGGAAGGCGAGTCGAATCGAATCTTTCCCGTATCAGGGTGAGAGGAAGGTCCTTGTCGGTCGAGAAAGTCAGTCGCTCCAATGTGAGGAGGTGAAACTACTGGGATGCGCCCGATTAGTCCCCGATTCGAAGTCTCGCGCGTGGGGTCCAAGGCCACCAAGTTGTTCGCTGGTTTTCGGTGTGGCGCTCCCTCGCGCTTATGACGAGAAGAATCCTCCACAAGTTCACGAAAACCGCGTTCAACTAGGATCGGTACCTGGCGCCTGTGTGTGATCGTACCTTTTTTTCTGAGACAAAGTGGGTTTGTAGCGAATTGACGAACCGCGGGGAACGGATAGGGAGTGATGAGGAGGGGGGAAAAAAACAAAACCAAAAAAGAAGGTAAAAAGAAAGGCTAGAATTCGAGAGACAGCACCAGGCTGAAGAATAGAACAATGAGCGAATGAGCGAATGAAGTTCAATGAGTGAAGGGGAAAAGGAGAAATGAAAATGGGCGGTGGATCCCGCCCCAAAACACACAGACAGACGCGCCCCTGGAATCGAGACCACAGTGGAATCCGGGAAATGAAGTGTGCTTGCTCCACCTCATTTTACACAAGTGCATTGCAGAGTATTACTTTACGGTTCTCATTTCTTATTCCATGGATATGCTATCCCAATTCTCATATCTTCTTCCCATCTTCAGACTGATCCAGGGATTGATATCCTTCTAGATCACCCACACGACAGACAGCGTTCCTGGTCTTCCGTAATCTATAAATATCGAGATTCCTTAGTCATCCGGCTCCGCTTTCTGTTCAGGCTGACGCAGGCATCCTTGGCCCCTACATGTTCTGATCATTTCCCACAAGGATCACGATCTGATACCGTAGGGCCCTGATCGACATTGGCCCTTACTGTAATCTCTGCTGTAATCTCCAGACTCCAGATGAATCTCTACACTCCAGGGTAGCCCTACGGTGTACACAGCACATCTCATAGTCTGGAGAACGACGTTGACACTCCACGCCCCACTCGATCGGATCTCGTACTTTTTCCCATGCCACTAGTCATCAATTCGTGGGCGTGCACACGTGTCCGAATGCGATCGACAACGGGCTATGCTCGGTCCTCCGTGCTGTGGCCGTGAACACCAACCCATACACGAATGAGAGACGTAGACTCATTTAATGGGGTTTATTGCGAAGTCAGCCTCACGTAATGGGATTTGTGATCTAAAATAAAAGTCTTGGAACTAAGAGTATCTATACGCCTCGGCCCCAATATCCATGGTTCTGGAAGCCCAGGAATCTGGGGTCGCGCTTGTTTCGTATCAGTGTGCATTCCTCAAGGTCAGCATGCCGTCACGAATGAGATTGAACCCCTCAATGACGATATAAAGGAAAAATCAGTATGTGAATTCCATCTGCCATTCTACACCCTAAAACCAAATCAGACCTAAACAACATCAAAACGCAACTGAAGATTATATCGCTCAAACCAAGTCGTAATCTTCCCAATACGCCGATAACCTGGTCGAAAAGAATCCAACAATAAATAAGTAACAATCCGACCCATCTCAGTACCCAAAAGCCCATAATATTGGGGTGTACCCATTTGAAAGGATTTCCGCTTGGCTTCGCTGATAGTCTCAAGCGTAATGTACTCCGGCTCGGTGTAGATGAAATTGCGCACAAATTCCAACGTGTCGTCATTAACAACATTCTCCATAAAAACATACCTCAGGCCCGCAAGAGGGCTGCACGCCTCATAAGCAGCTTTGGTCAGTTGCGAAGAATATGGGAGATTTGTGCGCCCGGTTCGATAAACCGTCTCAATAATTACCATACCTGGTCCGATGACTCCCTTCCACTCGCCGTAGACGTCTGTCCGAACAATCTCGGTGCTATAGAAGGGGCCGTTCAGCGGAATCCTGACTCGGTCGACTCGGGAGTGGTAGCGGCGTGGGAGGCGGATTGCCTCACGGCTCACGCTCCAACCTTGGTGTTGTAGGTGTTGGAGTGTTAGTCTTGACATAGCAGTAGGGGGATTAGGGCTCCATACTCCATCAAGGTAATATGCGCGCTCTACGCCACTTTGCTGGTATGTACTAAAAGATGACATTGTGACGTCTAGTTTGATATCAGTTTTGTAGTTTAAATATGTAGATACTGGTTTAGTGGGTTGTTGCGGATCTTAAGTACTCGAGAATGTTCGAAATATTTCGCTGAATAGGATTGTTTTGAGCTTGGAAGTTGTGCTGTCTTATACAGCTAATTTAATTTGCGTTGCTTATAGAGATACCAAAGGAAGGGTTTCATGTATAAATATATGATATAAAGAACTGAAAGATATCGAGGCTCGCCACACGGCTCAAAGCCAGTGGTTCAACAATAAAGAACCTGAGAAAGACATTGCGACCTTTAAATGTACTTCTTGCCCATTCATAGAAACAAAGGCAACCCCATTCTTCGACAGTCCGTGTGGTATTACATTGCGCAGCAATGAAGTCGCAGGACATTCTTCATCTATGTAAACAAAAAGAGAAAACCCCAGCATTTCCTATGCGCCCACAGCCCAAGAAACCCAAGCAGGATATCACCGCAAAAATCAATGTAAATGCATCAATAGAAAAGAGTTTTCAAAACAGGTGGAAGAGTCAAATCAAATCTCATTCTCCCTCCTTTCTTTGACTGCCTCTCTTCTTCTAACTTCCCTCTCCACGCCTTCCAATCGTCCCTCCCATTCGGCCCAGCATTCTCCGCTCCCTACTAGGCCAACCTCGTACCATCGCTGTAACACCTTTGCTGTGCGAATGCGCAACTCTGAGATCTCTGCCGCTTGCTGCGCCTGTGTCTGAGCGACGCGGTCCATACGCGGTTGGAGATCGATCAGGGTAGCGGAGCTCTGGGCATCCGGGATGGGGAGATCATTGAGAGATGTGAGGCGGGATGCGGTTTCAGGGAAAGCCGTTGCGTAGGAAAGGACAATTGAGGTAAGGGCGCGCGTGGAGAGACCTTCTGGGATTTCGTGGGAAGGCGGAGACTGAAACAAATCGGGAAAACGGTCGTCTGATCGTAATTGGGTTAGTATGCAAAGAATGAAAGGCCATAATGCAGGAATGCAGTTGTTTGTTTTGGGGTGGTGTGATCCAATGGTGGGACAAGGAGGTGATGCTTGTAAACAATGCCAATGCTTCGGGGCAGAACGTACGAAGTTGGATCACGTCCCTTACGACGGGAACTTTGCGACCGAGCTTCTCTAGCTCTCTCTCCAAACTGGCAAGTCGGCGCGATACGGTTTCTTCGAGTGAAGCTGGCTTCTCGGGAGTTGTTGGGATCCCCGTCCAGTCGGTTGCGCCCCCTAGGAGGTAGGTGAGGCGCCGCAGACGTGCCTCTAGGAGCTCAATTGTGGCACCAGCCACCGAATCACTTTCAACTGTCATTTTGGTAATAGAAAGCGACCGATGTTGCGTGGAAGGTCGGGGTTGCAGAGGTTCTCCGCGACAAGCTTCGGGTGTTTGCAAACATGGCAAATGTGGGGACTCCTTATCAAATCTACACACGAACCTTGGAGGCTACAAGAGCAAAAATAGATACATAAAATACATTCCATTGCTCATAGAGCTATAGTAGGTCATGTTCCGAGTACTCCGCTCGATCTCGTGTGGTCATCATTCATACAGGGATCCTTGTTCAATTGGCAGTTGCATGCTCGACATGGTCCGCCATATCTTCGTCACTCTCCGCCCTCCACAGTTCATTATCAAGGGCATGAGATATTGGCTCGGTCGCATTTCCTGAACCCGCTAAAGGACTTGATCCTGATTTCTCTTTCATTTCCTGCCCAGCGCGTTTCTCGCCATCAAAGTCTCGCACTTCGTAATCAAAGACGTTGACGGTCTGGTCCTGCTGCGAGGTGGATGGTGCCTGCGTCTGCTGCTCCCCGTTCTTTTTGTCTGCATTGGTGATAGTTTGGCTACATTCGTCCGCAAATACATTGTTGTCTTTATTCACGAAAGCCTGTTCGGGTGAGTAAATGATGAAGCCAGGGGGAAATTCTCAGGACATACCTGAAGTTGGGAAGGTGCAGGTTCTACTTTGGCATCCAGAGCAGCGGCACTGGCATAGACCAGCAGGACTGATCTAGAATCTTCGCGAGCTGCCCGAAGGACTTCAGTTTCCGGCACTTTACGAGCAGTGTAGCCCATGACGTCGCCATTTGGCGTGGCTGCCTTGTCACCCTGAGCTTTTTTCTTCTCATCTTGTCGAATCTTGCCATCTTCGGTAGAAAAGCTGATTCGCCACCATTGGAAGCCATCTTTCTCGCCATCAACATCCATGGCATCTACCTGGCCTTTAGCCTCACGACGTTTCAAAACATAAGTGACGTGTGGTTCAGTGCAGACGCCTCGTAGTGAGTATCTGTGCGAAGGAGGCTCTTCTGCAGACTCCGATGGTTCTGTAAGCATCCTGGAATAGCTATGCATGGTTTCTAATGCCTTCTGCTTTTGAGCCTCGAGCCCTGTGTGATTGGTCAGCAAAACAACCTAGCATGAAACACATCAGATAACATACCCCTCAGCTTCTCCTCTATCTTCGCGGCGAGCGCTTGCAATTGTTGCGGGATCTGCTCTGCCCTCTTCCTTGCCACCTCGGGTGTCAACTTGTCCGATTTTCCATCCATGGCTGTCTTTAGGGCTACAGGTACCGCAGTAGCAGCCTTTTCAAGGATCTCCTTTCTCGTGAGATTGACAAAAGGGTTCGGAGGGGTAGTGTAATGCTGGATTTGTTGTTCGATTCTCGAAACAGCTTCCTGGGCCTCGAGCTTTTTGGTGCGCATGTCACGCGCGAGGCCTTGGCAGGTGCTCAGATAACGATCGGGGTAGAACACGGCAGGAACCGTCACGTTAACTGATTTCGCCTGCTCGAATGAATCAAGCTTCATGACTAGAATATCACCAACATGCTCAAGCCAAACATCATCGAGATCTTCCCCGGGCTTGTCACTCCAAATAGCCGTGTCCAAGACATCGTAGAGCGTTTGTCCGTGGTCCTGCTCAACGACAGGCTCAAAGACAAAAAGCTCCTTGGAGATCGGTTCGTCAGCGTCATCAAAGGGGGATTTCTTATAGGCCTGTGACATGAAAGATGTGACTAATGGGTTATCAGGGTCTGCTCGAACTGCGGCAGCATGCCATGTCTCGAGAAATCGTGCGACTATCTCTTCGGAGTCGGAAGAGAACCAGTTCATTTGTTTGAGACCAGCAAGGGCATCACTACTCCCGAAAGCGCGCTCTGTAGAATCTAGGAAAGCCATCAACCGCTGGGTCTCATGAATTGGGTCTTCCCAATCACTGTCCTCTCTGCCTTCATGGACGGTCACGATCTTTGGTAGGTTGATTGGCTGCCCATTCCACCATTGCGGGTCATGCCCATAGTCGAAGAGAAGCTTGTTCCTCAAAAGCAATGCCTCTCGCGCCAGAGGAATTTCGTGGAGGATGGTGAGAAACCCTCCAATGTAAAGATTGTCTTGGCTTGGACGTATGAATGCTGGCTCGTCATCTAATTTTTTGCGATCGTCGGGGTCCGGAGTGGTGATGACTTCTTGAGATGTCTCATTGAACAGAGTCATAGCCCATGCATTTTCTTCATAGTGATCACGCGTGGCTTTTCCAAAGTGAGCCGAGCTATCCGAGGCCGCTGCCGTCACTCCAGTCTCCTGCGTTCCCATGCCTGGATCCAGGGACATAGCCACTGCCTGCTGCAATTCTTGTTCCTCGCGCTCTGCTAAGCTCAGTCCTTGTCCGGTCCCGGTCGTGGCTAATCCTGCGTTAGAATCGTATCGCGATCTGTAGAAGGACCACCGACCTGAGTTCCCCGAAGTATTGTTCGCAGCTCCTCCATCATTCCTATCACCCTTGGTTGCATCATGCATGTTCACTCTAGACGGTGGACGGGAGGGAGGAGCCGTGGCAGGCAATCGCGGCCCGTGTTCTTGGTCGCCGAATCCAAACGCTGCAGAATAGGCTGTCAGTCCAGTCACTGATTATAGCATCAGAAGTAAAAGGAAATGATATTTCTTACGAGTCAGGTTGCTTTCATTTGGCCAGCTTGAAGTCTGGAGAGCTGGTCAGCCTCTTCGAGTAGATCGCCCCAGGTAATGTGATGGTTGACTAACACCTGCCGGGTGAGGTCCGGATGGATCTTCGTAGTATGCATTGATAGCTTTTTGCGAGTCACCGTTGTGGGCCTGTAGTTCAAACACACCTTGGAAGTCAGCTGGAGTATTAAGAGAGAAAGGCGCGAATGCGGGGACGGGGTGCGACCTTCAAAAAGTTGACCGCCTGTGGGCGCGTGGTGCTGGTAAAGCTGATAAACTCAGCGATGGCTTCTTCGGACGGTTCGGAGGCCATGATTATGGAGGCTGACGAGCCAGGAGGATCAGTTCAAGGTTCAAACATCGCAGCGCGGAAGGTGCATTGATGATGGCCCGCGGAAGCTTCCCCACCACATGACGCCAAGCATCGCGCTCCACTCTTTGTCACCCACCTGGGCACTTTTCTACATCTACCATGGCACCTCCTACCACAATGAATAATGCTGGATACTTGAGCGGTGTCGGATGAGACAGGTAGCCATTTATTTAATTTATTGCCAGACGACCAAATTGATTCACTTAAGAGTCAAACATGGTCCGCTCTCCACCTTACCTCCATCTCTCTCTACTTTATACCTACGGACCTAAGGGGGACCTAAGGTGATGCTTTTGTTGACATAGTATAAAATCACACCTTACCTCTATAGTCCTACTATATCAGCAATCTACTAAGCCCTCTCGAAGATGCAGAAATGATCCCGCGCTGAAAGCCGGGTCTTTCAGGTGCTGATGTTCCTGGTGCCGGTCTAGCGCTTTTCGGATTTCGGTGGATTGAGCGATGAGGCGATTGTCGATCCGGGGCTTCCAGTCTTCGATGACAGGTTGGCAGCTGCAACTACTGCACCGCCGGCAGTCCCTCCTGCAGCTCGCGACCCCGCAAACGTCGCGTTTGCGAGAACCCGCTAAAAGCTCGCCACATCATCTTGAAATGGATACGGCAATGTGTCGAAAGAAACAAAGAGTCCATACTTGCCTTTTGGAGCGGGGCGGCACCGGTGTATTGGTGAGAGTTTGCCTATTTGAACTTTGCTGTTATTGTTGCGACGCTCGTAAGGGAGTTTCGCTTCTACAACCCCGAAGACCGAGTTGGAGTTCCCGAAACAGATTATTCGGTATGTTTCTTTCCCATTTCATCTCACCCTGTATGTATTTGCAGGACTAACTTGCTCTGTAGTCTGATTTTTCTAGGCCAATGCAGCCTGCAACAGTGTGGTGGGAGTGTCGGAGCGGAAGTTCTTAGAGGGGATGGCCTGCAAGTTCCTATTCTATGATTTAAATGGCTAGAGAAAACAATTGCTAGGGGGAATTTCTATATAAAAGTGAATCTTTAGTGATGGATAATTTATAGGGAATGGCAGCTGCATGTATTTCGAGCTCAAATGTCATATTCTATTACTAGTACATAGTAGCCCTGGAGGTACTATGTATAAAATACGGCTAGGGAGCACATATACTAAGGCCTAGTAGCTAGTGATGATCTAATCACGACATCTAAAATCTTCCATGATCTGTGATCGTCAAAGGATTTCCATCGTTCGCAAGTATCTGTCGCAAATCAAATCCGATCGCTAGGCCATTGCCCTCCTCCTCTGCCTCACGAAAGCCAGGAGCATAGTCATCCACTAGATCGACTTCCTCACCCTGGTAGATATTCACAATCGGCTTCCGCATATCGACTCTAAGCACCGATTAGTATATTAAACCCCAAAACCAAGAGCAAGAAGACTCACGGCTCATCTTCTAAGATAAACTTCGGATTCCTATTCTCATCAAGATCAGGATATCTTTTCTCGATATACTGCAACGCGAGCGGTATCGACCTCTGATTGCCAGGACCAATGTCACGATAACATTCGGCATGTTCCGCCGACATAATTTGTGCCCGGTAGGCCGTTTCATAGATACCGTTCGTTTCGAACTGAACCCAAAGCCCCAGTCCTGTCTCCAGGGTTCGGTCATCAATAATCAGCTTGGGATAACAATCCCTGAAAAGCACCGTTCCATCAAGCGCCATATGCATATCGAGAAAATCGGGCCGGGTGACGCTTTGCTGGAGCTTAAAAGTTTCGAGAATATCTTGATTATCTTTCACGGGCAAAAACATCACAATTTCGTCCGCTAGAAATTCCTCGCCTTCCTCCCATGGAAATAAACCTAGGATAGCCTTAGCCAGTAGGGCTTGTTTCTCTTCGTTCAATTCGGTGATACAGATGTAGACCATGCACGAACCTTCAACGTCACTTTTAATGAATGACTCGTCCTATTTTCGGATTAAAATCAGAATCGGAAAAGTAGGGGGATGTTTCTTTCCTACTTTAAGTTCGGGGCCTTCGAAAAAACTAGGCTCGTCCTCTGGTCCTCGAGATTGATAGCCCTACTGCGGTGTCAGTAGGAAACCAAAGAATATCTTTATTTAATTGAGTCATACATCTCGAAATTCTTGGTCTGCTGTCGCCCATTCTTCGATCAGATCTCGTTTCTGTTGATCTGCGGTGTCGCCGCCGACCCACCGCTCACGAACAAAATACCTCCATGCACGAGTGGCGGCACCGATATCTTCCCATTCGATAGGTTCTTCGTGTCGGCGAATAAATGAGGGGATACCTTCAGGCCACTGGCTATACGATCTTTTGAGGGACATGTTTGAATGGTGTGGTGGCAGTTGTGAGGGTGAAAAGAAGTGAGGAACGCGAAGGAGGGGCGGGTCGATATTTAGGTGACGAACGCCTTTGATGCATGCACCTAATTGACACTCTTAAGCCTTGGGTACACGAAGCATTTCTTTCCCACTATCCGTACCTGTTTAATTCTCGCGTGCAATCTTGGAATCTGGACTAATAGCGCGGTGTTAGTTGTCCAGAGCCCGGAGATACAGTGGGTCTTTGACTTCTAAGGTTTTCGTATGGATCCGACCTTCCAAAATTAGCGTGCTATAGTTACTCCCTCCGGCATTTGAGGGCTATATGCTAGTTTCCAGTCTAGTAGCCGGGGACATACTCGAAACATTTGAAGGCTCAGCGTATTTATAAGTATGTACTACATAACTACAAATATTTGAAGGGAAATCATTCAGGCAGCTCGCAAAATTCAAATCTACGACATAAATATCTATATCATGATCATGCATGTATCCCCTGATCAAACTCATATGAACATGCAACGGCTCCGATCATGGACACGCATTTGCCAACCTTGTACCTCAGAAAGATGGATTCGACCTTGAATATTATCTTCCTTTAACCCTACTATACCTAAGCCAAAACTATCGGGAGTTGCGGAATAAATAATTCCGAAGGGCATACTTTGGCATTGTTCCTTCGCCCGCTAATGTCCTTTTGCTTGGTTACAGCAATGCGAATTTTCGTAACGAAATTTTAGTTGAAGGCTCGATTACTTCGCAAACTCGGTCACTGTAATGTGATAAAGAGCTTTGTTGAAGCAGAAAAGGGTCAAATACAAAGATTTGATAAAGCACATTGTCCTTCAAGTCTATTTTTAGTTTTCAAGTATAGCCACATTGTACTTCGAAATTTCGAAACTCGACAAAAAGAACACAAAAGACTTGTTAAGTCATGTTATTACCTGAAAAGACTGTTTGAAGAATAAATATTGGCGACAATCGTCATTGTTATATTTTTTGATGGAATCACAGCAGTCGGAGACTCGAACATAAAAGCTCGGCATTTCCACAGCAATTTCCATCCACATCAACAATCATCACAGCGCCTAACAAAGCGATTATACTACAATCCTCTTGTATCCTACGAATCATCACCATCCTTGAAAAAATGAGTTCAAAGCAGCGTTCGTCCACCGCGGAAGAGAAAGCCATGGAAAAAATCGCAGCCCTGTACTGGGATCTGAACTGTCTCTTTGTGTTTCGACAAATCAATACTGGGGGTGAACCCTCTCCCGAGGACAATGCTAACTATGACAGTATGAAGCAGGCTACGACATTGTTCATCAATGTCGTCATGAGGGAAGTTTCTGCAACACACCATGATGGTGCACCGCCCACTCGATGTGTAAGTTTCATCAACGAGCTAGGATGGAAGCTGTTTGGTATTTGTGCACAATCAGAATGCTTCCAGGTAGCCTCCATGAAAATAGGTGCAGCAGATTGGCTCCAATTCCAGAAACTGATTTCTGACAACAGTCGCAGTATAGAAATCTTCGCTCGGTCTCGCAAGGTGGCATGGCGAGGGCCTCTCTTGACATACACGCAGTACAATCTACCGGGCCTTGAGAACGCTTTGTCTTCTGAGATCAATATCGCTGGGGAACACCCCCACCACATTGTACGAGAACTTGATGACCACCTCAAGCGACCAATCTGCAATGGGAGGGCCCAAGTGAATATGAGTTCGTCTAGCTGGAACCCTGACAAATTCCCCAAGTTTCCACGCGACAACCCGGCCCTTCGCAAGCCAGAGAACGGTGTTTGCTTGATATGCCGATCTCGTGAGCACTGTGAGTGCCGACTCACATCTATGGCAGGTGACTTGGTAGAACTGGTTGAGTTTAGTGGCCGAGGTACGGGAGTTCGAGCGCTTGCTAACTTCAAGTGCCATGATATCTTAGGTGAATATGTCGGTGTTATAGCTCCTTTGAACTCTGGGCTGGTAGACCCGATTTACAAGATGACTACTTGTGCTTTTGACCCAGCCACTGGAAAACCGGAAGATGTTTGTGACATCTTTCCGAGGAAACACGGTAACTGGACACGCTTTCTGAACCATTCCTGCAGTCCAGCAGCCCATTTTATCTGGGGATTGGTGGGCGACAAGGTGATCACGACCATCCGAGCAGCACGGGATATCTCTATCTTCGAGGAGATCACCGTCGACTATGGTGAGAATTACTGGAAAGACTCGCCATACTATTGTCTCTGTGGGTCTGCATCCTGCATCAGGCCCCCTCCAGCTGGGCACAGTTGATACCTATTGGCTCGGTTTGAGTTCTTTGCTTATTTGTGATTTCGTGTTCACCAATTGTGAGATCTAGCTAAACTTCTGCCAAATCTAGTCTTTGTTGAGATATTGGTATACCCGGGGCTTCATAGTATGCTGTTCTTAGCATGAAACCAATCATCATTCAATATGGTGATAGAGTTACTTGAAGTTCAATGAAAATACATCCTAAGTATTGTATAGGAAGTTCTGCAAGAACCTCGGGCCCGCGCAACCCCGCAGCTAGCCGTCATTGGTGCGGGGAAGCCTGGGGGACCGTTACAACTTCGTAGACATCTCCGGCACAACTGAGATCCCATGCACCCCTTTTTGGTTTAAACCTCTGTGTGACCTCGGATGAAGATACATGGAGCTTTGTAAAAGAGACTTTGTAAAAGGGCAGTGAAAGTTGACTCTGAGATGATATCTTGAGCAATAAGTCTGTCCCTTTTTCCACTACCCACCCAGCTTTAACATATTTGCATAACCTGAAATATTCAACAATCCCGTTCCACTTTATTGAGCTGATTGAGCAGGCGATCGGTCAATATGCGCATTCGAAGTCAAGCTCTGAGTCTCCGCCTTGGAAGGAGACTCGGAGGTGCCCCCTTGTTCAGTCGAGGACTGCTAACTCAAAGCTATGCCCGGGGTCCATCGCAAGTGAGTCCAGTCGTCTGGCTTTATTTGTCTTTCTCTAATTGACGGGATTTGAATAATGGCTAATATTGCGATATTATGTAGCCACCTTTGATCGAGTCGACAGTAGGAGATCACTTCGCAAAAGTCGTGGCAGAGCATGGAGACCGGACAGCGTAAGAGGTTTCTGGGCATAATGAAAGCTAAATTTGGATACTAAACTCTAGCAGTGTGATCTCAAAGCATCAGAATGATCGTGTCACCTATGCATCCCTCGATACTCGAAGCAATTCCCTTGCTCGGGGACTCGAGTCGGTGGGGATTAACAAGGGAGATCGGGTTGGCGTGATGCTCGGAAACTCCATGGAATATGCAGTGGTACGTCGGACTACCTTGAGCTTTGCAATTAATACTCATTGTTTCAGATAACATATGCGTTATTCAAACTTGGAGCCATCCTGGTAAGTCTCATTCATTTCCGAGGTCAAGTCCCAAGGCAGTGTCTAACATTCTGTGACAAGGTCCCATTGAATCCCTCGTTCAATGCCATGCAAATCGCTGCAGCATTGGGGCACCTGGAGTCCAGCCACCTTATAATCAACACAGAATCCAACCTTCCCCGCAAAGACCCTCGCAGCAATATTCCACTACTCCAACATCTTGTGGGGGACCTCTGCAGCTCAAAGCTGAGCTCGAGTCTAGTCCCCACTCTGAAACAGATCATCCTCCTCGACAACTCTGCCGGTCGCGTCGATGTATCTTCGTACAAGAGCTTAACCCCATTTTCATCTATCGTATCCGAATTATCAGCGGACGGGCGACCCTTGGCAGAGCAAAACCTTAACCCGAATGACATCGTCAACATCCAATTCACATCTGGGACAACAGCCATGCCCAAAGCAGCATGCCTCACCCACCGATCCATTCTCAATAATGGTTCCCAGGTCGGCGACCGCATGCTCCTTACCCCCGAGGACATCGTCTGCTGTCCACCTCCACTCTTTCACTGTTTCGGATGCACACTAGGGTACATGGCGACAGCAACCCACGGCTCAGCCATCGTATTCCCAACAGAATCATTTAACGCCCGTGCAGTACTCAAAGCAGTGCAGGAAGAAAAATGCACAGCGCTCTACGGTGTTCCAACCATGTTCCTAGAGGAACTCGGTCTCATTGAATCCGGGGAGGTCTCGAGCGATGGCTTCCAGTATCTACGAACGGGCATTGCAGCTGGAAGTAGTATTCCTTCAGAGCTGATGAAGAAATTGCACCGAGTACTCAATCTGACGGAGCTAACCATTTGTTATGGAATGACCGAGACCAGTCCTGTCTCCGCAATGACCCACACAGATGACCCTATTGATAAGCGCTTGAATACCGTTGGTCGACTTATGCCACATGTCGAGGCAAAAGTCGTAAATCCGGCGAACAGGAAAGAGATTCTTCCTATTGAGGCGCGGGGCGAATTAGCTGTTAGTGGGTATCTTTTGATGAAAGGATATTGGGGAGATCCCGAGCGAACGGCAAAGGAGATGTTTGCGGATGATGACGGCAAACTTTGGATGCATGTAAGTTTGCTAAGCAGCATACGGCTTGGGCTGAGGCTGACCATTGTTCTAAGACTGGTGATGAAGCATCAATGTCACCAGACGGATACGTCACTATTACTGGCCGCATTAAGGACTTGATCATCCGTGGTGGCGAGAATATCCATCCATTGGAGATAGAGAATTGCCTTCTAGCACACCCGGGTGTCAGCGAAGTGTCCATCGTTGGTGTGCCAGACGAACGATATGGTGAGGTGGTTGCCGCGTTTGTGGTTGCTCGACAGCCGGGTTCCCTTACTCCAGAGGATATTCAGCAATGGGTGCGAGGGAAATTGAGTAGTCATCTTGGTCAGTCCATGAAGAAAGCTAACCAACGACTAATTTCTACTGATACTAACATAACCTTTATAGTTCCAAAATATGTATTTTTCCTCAAGGCATCGGACGCTTCCGCCAAAACAGCAAGTGGGAAAGTCCAGAAGTTTAAGCTTAAAGAACAAGCGATCAAGCTTTTGGCCGATGGAGCATAAGTTTTATTGGGTGCTTGAGTAAATCCAGCCTTCCAACTTATACACAGATGGAGAGAGCTTGGGGTACTGGTTAGAATAAATATCCTAGTAGCCGACCAACTTTCGGGTAAATATATTTATTAGCTTTGCATGGCCCTTGATATGAATATTGAAGGTAGATGTAGGATCTATCTAGCTAAGGTTTGTCAACCCTATATGGGTTAAGGCAACAAATCTTTTGGCTGGCAGTGAACACGTATGGTATGTTCCCTTAATAATTTGACATGAACCAATTGCTGAAACCGAGATGATATTCTCGGCTAGTGCTCCAGTGTACCAGAACGGAGCGGCTGAGGGCATTGTTCTTTGAGAGGTATCTTGACTACCAAGTGATGTACTGCTCGTAGTTGCCACCAAGTTCTCATCGATGGAGAAACAGAAACGGGTGCCGCGCTGTCACGAGATGAGTATCCGGCAGGGGCTACCGTGAATTCCCACCGCCGTCAACATATTGGCGACCTGGAGGAGAGGAGCGAAGCATCACAAGAGCTTGAGGATGACATCCGGCAGGGTAGGAGCCTCGCATATCCCCCCGTTCAAAAGTTGAAAGTCGAAAATTATGATACTCAGTTGGCTTAGAAATCCTGAATGCCAGTCTCACCCTGAAGCTGCGCCTCCGCATTCTCGCCTTGAGAATCATCAACCACCCACTTCGGCTCCTCATCCTCAAAGTATTCATCTTGCAGCTCAGACAAATCATCATACTCCTCATTCTCATCGACAGTTACATAATCAAAGTCCTCATCATCACCTCTGATGAAGCGCAAGCCCATCTCCCACTGCCACTGTTTCTCACCCTCCTCCTTGCTAGCAGGGATGTCGTCCCGGTCCTCAGCTAGAATCTCGCCATGAGGTCCGCGGGTGTAGCTCATCATCGCACGGGGATCAGGATGCGCCAGCGCATCCATCTTCGCCTCGGAGCGCAGCAGATCCGCCTGCAGGACACCAGAGAATCCTTTCTCGCGCCCCTGCGCTTCCCGTTCTTGTGGTGTCTGAAATCGGCGAATAAGACGATCGTACAGTAACGGATCTAGAAGAGCGAATCCATCTCAGTTAGCTTGTCATAGATTGCATCGCTGCAGTGGTCCTCGAAGCCACTGGCTGTTCGCAGCTAGGAAAGAGCAGGCGGACCGGCTAGCTCGAGCTCCGCCGAGTAGTATTCTGGATGCATGTCCAGGTACCGCTTTCGACGGTTCTTGATTTGGATCGAGCGATGTTTCGCGTCAGTAGATGCATCCTCGGTTGGCTCAAATCCTGAATCCATGGGGAAATGGGGCATTTTGGCCGTTCCAGCTGTTGTTTGGGGTTAGAATGAGGTCGCGGGAAGTGGGCGGCGAAAGTTGTAGCGGCTCCTTACATATGGTTGGTGGTCCTATTTAGGCCTAGCGCCCGAAAATAACCCGAACTATAATTAAGAAGCGACAAATGAACACCTTCAATTCATTCAACTTATTAGCGTGGTTTACCTTAATTTTGTACAGAAGACCTTATGACGATGGATTGACTTGGAAAAAAGCGGTTAGCTCACTTATCATTACGTGTTCAATTCACTTATAAGAAGCGTAAACAAGTAGGAGCTTAGCGAGTACGATTCTCATCCCTCTCCCTCTAAACGATGCTTGTCACGAAATGTACAAATGTCACATATTTGGTGCAAAGGCTAGACTAGACCTGCAGACTACTTCAGGGAACCATTCATTGAGACACAGTGTTAGTCGGACACCACAGTGGCAATGTTATACGTAGATACTAGTACATCGAATGTAGAGTTACGCACGCACTTATTTGCAGGCTATCCTGGAATGTGAAGGTGATTTATTATCCTTGAAAGAGTGGTTGTCCCTTACATCGGTATTTTTATCATCTTTATCCCAGCTTGAATCAGTATATCGGGACAGTCAAGGACTCTGATTTGCATGACACTACATGTGGTTAGTCTATGAAGCCTACTTTGATCCTCATCTTTCTCAATAATCTCTATGTTGTCCTTGCCCTCTTTCCCTCTCTACCATAACAAATACCTCGGGTTTCCTCTATCTAAGACCGCCATTGCCAGTCGGGCCTCGTTCCATAACCATCCTGAATCACCTAACGGCGTTCTTCAAGACTTGAACTCGGTGAGGCATTTTCAGTCAGCTCTATTAACACCCATGAAAAATTACTAATGAAGGTAGCCAGTGAATACATCACCGACCAACTTCTTTGGGGATGCGCTAATCATTTTCATTGTTCGGAAGGCTACCGATCCACCACAAGGCCAAGAGATCATCAGCGTTACCCGCGAGTTGACTCACCTCACGGATCCTAAACCCAATGCCTAACTTTTCATTCAATGTCTCAGGTATCCTTCCTGACGATATTTTCCAGTAATTCTGGTTGGAAAATGAGATTGCTGCCATTGAACGAAAATTCGAAGCATATGTAAATTTGACAGAAAGGGTGTGCGGTGTGGGTAGGCAGAATGGGTGATGTCAATATTTCGCTTTGAACGGTTTCAAGTCTGTTTTTGTCTTGTATTTCGGGTTTCACGGAATGGACCGCTGACTGATATTCCCTTAGTACATCTGGACCAATTTCCACGTGCCAACAGCATCAGCAAAGCATCATGTCAGTCGCGCAGTTTGTTCGGCAGATCGATGCCTATAGGCTCGGTACCGGAGTGGCATTACTGTTCCTTGCTGCCTTTTACTCCCCTGTCATGGGCCTGGTGCTATCCCCTGTCTTTGGTTCTCATCCCGTCCATATCTTCCACAGTTATGCTGTGGCTGTTTTCGGTGCAGCCGGATGGTTCCTAAAAGACCAGATACAGAGACGTCTTGGCCGGCTCGCTGCTTATCTGCTTCCTGTCCTGGCATTCTGGACCCCCACGCTGCAGTACTTTGTGATGCAGCAGAGCTCCAAGCTGGGAAATCCGGCCGGTCCCATGATCACTGAGCTGTTTGGCTACTTGCCCCTGGTGCTGTTGACTGTGGCCATCGCCGGCAAGCAGGTCCAGGCTGCTTTAAATCTTGAGTCGTATGGAGAGGTTGCGGCAGAGCATATTCCTCTCTTGGGAACGTATCTCATCTACTCCGTTGGTGAGCACATTGGCCGGGCAATCCTGGCCCGTGCCATTGGCTTTACCTTCCTCTTCTCCCGGGCCGGTATGCAGTTTGTCATTGCTATCCTCTACGCCGTGATTGTTCCTCGATCCAAGCTGCTGCTTTTGGCTCTTCCATCTTTGATCTTTACCATCATGTTCGATGTTCACTTTGGTGGTATCAGTGCTGTCAACTCTGCCCTTCAGCATGAAGGATACACTCTGTTGGCACGACAGGAATCCTACACGGGATATCTCTCGGTCCTTGAAAACCAGGATGAAGGTTTCCGTGTGATGCGTTGTGATCACAGTCTTCTCGGTGGTCAGTGGACAAAGTCTATTGCTGGATACCACCCCCAGGTGGAGGATCCAATCTATGCAGTCTTCGCTATGCTTGAGGCCGTTCGGCTAGTCGAACCCGATAACGGTGTTCCCCGTGTTGATGCTGACAGCAAAGCATTGGTGATGTAAGTTCCCCAGCCACGCTTTAATTACCGATGGCTAACCAATAATAGTGGTCTTGGAATTGGTACCACTCCGTCAGCTTTGATGAAGCACGGAATTGATACTACCATTGTTGAAATCGATCCCGTTGTGCACAAGTTCGCTACCGAATATTTCAATCTGGCCCCCAACCATGTCGCAGCCATCGAGGATGCCACCACGTTCGTCAAGAAAGCACAGAAGGCCTCCAAGCAATATGATTATATTGTCCACGATGTCTTCACCGGCGGTGCCGAACCAGCTGAACTTTTCACCTGGGAGTTCTTGAAGGATCTGGCCGCACTGCTCAAGGATGATGGTGTCATTGCTATTGTACGTCACTTGATTCCCATTACCGTCTCCTCACACCTTGACTTTTCTAACTTGACCAATTCTAGAACTACGCCAGCGACATCACCATCTACCCCACGGGCCTAGTTGTCCGCACAATCAAAGCTGTCTTCCCATCTTGCCGCATCTTCCGCGAATCAGAGGCGAACCAAGATGACGCGACCTCTGACTTCACTAACATGGTTCTCTTCTGTAAGAAGAGCAAGGACTCGCAGGTGCGGTTCCGTGAGCCAACCTCGGCTGATTTCCTGGGCAGCAAGTCGCGGGAAAGCTATCTCCTCCCGAGACATGAGATTGATTTCTCTTTGTTCGACACTGTTCCCACAAGCGGCAGACGGTTCCTTGTAAACAAGGAGGTTAACAGACTGTACAAGTTCCAGGACCGAGCTGCGCTGGAGCACTGGGAGATTATGAGGAAGGTGATTCCTGCTGCTGTATGGGAGAACTGGTAAACTTTAGGGCTCTGAAGCCTTTAGCCAAAGCCAAAAACTTTGTGCTTGGATGTACTATTGCTACATACTTTCTGGTACATCCTGTGTATTTAGAAAAATATTTTTCCCACTTTATTTATACAAATATATCATCATCAATCCACTGAAGCCATATGAGGTCTATCACCCCAGATGAAGTATGAGGGGAAAGATGGAGGGATGGGGGTTTCAGTAGTCTGCAGATCTAGCAAGGTTGGCCTACGCACCAAAATGTATAGTTTGTGGGAGATTATTATTTCGACGCCATTGTAGCCATGTTCAGCAAATCTTGATTAAGATATTCACACAAAATGATGCCCGCCTTTTCGGGTGTGTGTTCAAGAACACTATATAGGCCTTACTCAATTAAAGTCAATATACAATCCAATGCTTCAATCAGCCCTTAGCCTCTGGTCAAGCTCTTACTTTACCATGCTCCTCTTAAGCCACGGCTCAGTATATTAAACAAGACACCAGCGGGGTGTTTTATACCTCATGCATGAAGCACCGATGAGGAGGTTGCAAATGCCTTGTAGGAGCAAGTTGACCTGTGAGTTTCTGATATTTGTAGCCCATAGGCAGGGCTTAAGTAATCCTTTTATCTCTTTCTTGCCTTCGAGGCGTTATCATCTACGTATTTTCCGGCATTCGATGTCTACTTGTTAATTATCGAAGATGTTCCTCCCGTACGTAGAATACCGATCATAGTGTGATCGACTAGTAGGGATGCAAGAACACAGTAGGTACACGAGTGAGTGTACAAGAACCTAATAGATATGGGCATAGGAACCTAGTGAGTGCATCGTAAGCAAGAGTATTGGTGTATCATTATTGAGTAGATTCAACGGAAAATTAACACGATTTCATATTGGTATCATTATCTAACACCCCGCAGAAAGCCATTGGAATCTCAGGAAAAGAAAACTATGAACAGGCCTTTCCAAGACCCGGATCCTCTGCTTATATCGAAAAAATTGTGCCATCACCAAGGCCGACGCGCCTAACCCACTCCACCGCATAAACACACACATAATATGTACGCCTGGAGAACTAGAATACAACCCAGGAAATATTCGAGACGAAGGGAGAGATCTACTGGGATGGGCTGCCACGAGGACTGCTGCCAGGTTTCTTGACGAGGCCGGCGAAGAAGTTCGCCAGGGCTTGGTTATGGGCCTTCTCGTCGCCTGGGTTTGGAACGCTCTCTTTCCGTTGCGCGCGACTGGCTTCGCGATCCTGTGATTAGATTAGTACGGCGTTGTGCGTTTTGATGGGAATGAGGTAGTTATTGACGACTTACCCGCAGCTTCTTCAGCATATCATCCGCGTCCACCTGGATGCCACCCATGTTAAATTGGACCGGGCCGATGTGCTCATTGACTCGGCCCTGGTCATCCATTGGTGACATCTCCAGTGTCGGTGCTGGCTCATTCGCACGGTCCTTCTCATCCTTGGCCTTGAGTTGTTCGAGCATGTCAAGCTGTTGTGTAAGGAATCCTTGCATATCAGATGTCTCGACTTCGATCTTAGTCCCATTGTTTGAGGCGCTCGGATGGGCGATTGTTGTGTCACGCTTGGGATCTTTGATGGTCTGCTCGAACACTGTAACTGCACTTGTACCGTCCTCTTCCTCGTTTTCTTGGTGCGCATCGGTATGCTGGCCTAGAGGCTCAGGAGGATCTTGGATCTCAATTGACCATGCAGTTGAGGCTCCCTCCATGTCGAAACCTTCGCGGATAATCCTAATCTTGCCCCACGAGTCCCAGTTGGCGGGGACGAGAATCTTGTCGCGGTCGATCACATTATGTTTTAATGACTGTCGTTTCAAGAGTGAGTGTATACCCAAGGATGAGTGGATCAGGCTTTGCAAAGAATTCGCATGGAAAGGTGTTGTGTAAATGAGGGACGCCCCATCTGTCTAGGATTAGATTCATTGGAAAATAATTGGAGTTTTTGGAGGTCCTCACGCTTCAACAAGATGGTTCTCAGGAATTGGAGGATGAAATCAAATTGTTCTTCGTGCCAGCCATGATCCTTCTCCAGTTTCTCGATATTATTCGCCTGAATAGATGGATTTCGGTTAGCAAATATCCTGGAATATCAAAAACCCAATACCTGGTCCACATACACCTTGGCAAACCACACACATTGGGATTCCCAGCCCTTCATCCCATTCACCAGGTCCCAATGGTATTGTGACTGGGCCTCCGGAATTCGGCAAGTTTCCTGTGGCTCCCGCGCTGGCATCCATTCCTCTTTTACGATCGCGCCACTCCGTCATGGTCTCCTCCATCACAATCTTTGTTTCGTCATCGAGGGAAACTAGGACAGAGCGGAGCAGGCGAACCCATTCTCTTAGTCGCCGGATCCATGTCCACGGATCCGACCAGTCCATCAGAATGACGACCAATGTTTCCGGCACAGATTGAGGGGTCAGGAGAGGTTTGAGAAGCGGTGCAAATGAGGGACAGGGTTCGGATAGGAGGTAAGCTGAGACGCGCGCCAGCGTATCTTAACAGATGTCAGCTCCTTCAAGCCCGGAATTCCAATTAGGCTCCATTATCGGAGCACATACCTTCTTGATCAGCGTCGAGGACATCTCGATATGTATATCCAAGTGCGAACTGATTGGCGATAGGCGGCGTCTTCCCCTTCCGCTTTCCATTCACCAAGTTCGGGTCGGCCGACGTGTCTGCTGAGAAAGTCTCCAGAAATTCTATCTGGCTTTCAGGTGTTCCTCCTTTACATGTTATAGTCAGCTTCCATGGTCGAATCTCGCGGGGCCAGAGCTTTAAACAATCCTCCACCCAAGACCGCAGGCCACGTAGAACAACGTACCGAGAATTAACAAGTTTTTTTCGGGTAGGCGCTTCCCATTGGCGACGCTATCGAGTAGCGAGGACCAAATGTTTTTCTTCGAGCCATCCTTGCTGGTTGGCCGACTATTGGTGCCGGGTGCCTTGGACCCACGATTTGGACTTGAGGACATCCTCTGGTCTAGTCCCACCATGCCTCACAGAAATACCATTCCAACCAGTGGAAAGTAGTGTACGTAAGTGTAGCGGGGCGCGTACAAAAAGAGTCGGAGTCGGGGGCGGAGGGAAGGTCGAAGCAGAACGCGGTCAGGGGAATATGGAAGTGGGGATGGGACCGATATTGACTCTAGGCCACGGGAGACGATTGCCGCGTTTACGGGAAGTATTTCAGATAATAACTGAAGACCAAAACGAGATCATCGAAACAAAGACGTCACCGTGGATGGGGAAAGGGAGTGCGTGAGTAAACAATTGGCGATTTTACGGTTCCGCAGATGCTCCGTGTGGAACCCTTTTCTTCCTCGCAAAGCTCAAGGTCCCTCTTTGGCTACCTCAACCACTCAACATGAATTCTATCCGCCAGGTGCAGCAGCTCAATAAGCGCGAGCTAGAACATGCTGTGTAAGTTAGGCTAGAGCTCACAATTTGCCATCTTTTTTCCCTCCTGGAAGCTAATTCGGTTCCTGTCTAGGCCGCCAGAGGCATCATGGCACGCGGACTACCGTGACACCGCGTATATCTACATCGGCGGACTTCCATTTGATTTGACCGAGGGCGATGTTGTCACAATCTGCTCTCAGTACGGAGAACCGGTCTATGTCAACCTGATCCGCGACAAGGAAACGGGCAAGAGCAAAGGCTTCGCGTTTCTCAAATATGAGGACCAGCGCAGCACTGACCTTGCAGTGGATAACCTAGGCGGTGCGACAGTCCTAGGCCGCATGCTGCGAGTGGACCATACCCGTTATAAGCGACGCGATGATGAAGAAGAAGGAGATAATGTCGCAAAGCTGATGGGCGATGCGACGGCCGAGAACAAAGGAGAGAATCCTAGCGACCGACACCAAGGATCTGGCGATACAGATCGCGAAGAAAGGAGGCCAATGTTGAAGGAAGAGAGGGAACTACAAGATTTGATTCAGAACCACGATGATGAAGATCCAATGAAGGAATTTCTCATCGAGGAAAAGAAGGAAGAGATCGCGCGTGCAGTCGAGAAATACAGAAGCAGTGAGAAGAGGTCCTCCCGGCGCCGAGGGGATAGTAGGGAACGGTCAAGCCGACACAGTCGGCGGCATCGATCTCGCGAGCGCGAGCGCAGAGACCGGGATGATCGCTCTCCCGGTCGAGAAAGGACCCGGCACCGATCGTCAGATCGCGAGAGAGGATCCCAAAGAGATCGAACACCGGTCATGTCTCGCTCGGATCGCAATCGCGATGATCGTTCGCCAACTCGTGAGAGAAGGCCACGGCGAAAATCGGAGGAAAGGTCTAGAAGAGATCGGACACCAAAGCGATCACGCTCGCCCGAGTCACGTAGACACCGAAGTGACCGAGATCGGGACGATCGCCGCTGAATGCGACCAAATCGAATTCCTGTGATCCTCTGTTAAGTCTCAGCCAAAGCATCGTCAAAGGAATATCTAAATTGGCTCTCGTCGCATTATCCCATGGCTCGAAACAACAAGCCAAGCAATAAAATGAAAACCACATTGGGCCCATTTCAGCTCAAATCTGGGGGAATTGATGCGCTTCACGGGGAATCAATTATTTACAGTCCACAAATTCCGCAAGAGATCTGAAATCACCATTCCTTCTTATTATCAACCGCCAAGATAACGTTTCCACCCATCTCTCAGACAATATCGCCTACCATCGTCACCATCTCGAAGGATGAACTTTTCCCACCGGCCTTCTTTGCCCGAGCCAATCACCAGAATGGTCTGATCATCCTGCCAACCTATGACACCTTTAGGTGGTCGGCCCAACGATGAACCTAGTCCTGGCGCGGACGGGGATCCCGGAATTGCTTCATCGCCCATCTCGAAATGCGCACTGGAAAATGAGTACACATCTGAAAATACTCGTGGCATGAGGGGTAATTTGCTCAGGATTCCCCACTTTTGGTTCGAGCCCTCCTCCGTTGAAGATGCCGGAGACTGGCTAGGACGCCCAACGTGGGTTGGATGGGGTACATCGAATACGTGCAGTGTAGATTTGTCGGACGTTACAGCAAGAAGAACATTAGATGGTGAAAATGATAGAGAGAATATCACTGCGTGATCTACACCCCGGCGGAGCTCGGCCAACTTCGTACAGTTTGCTGCTGAAAATACTCGAATCAAAGTGCCCTAGTAGAACGTCAGCAACCAAACAATGACTGGAGCTATAGTTAGTATCTCACGGTTTCACTCGCCGTCGCCAGTACCTCTCCATCTGGACTTAGAGCCAATGCCCGTAATGCAGAGCTGTGTGCCGGTATGATGCTGATATTTCCCGTTTCCAGCTCTATTAACTGTACTTGTCCTGGGGATCGACCAGGAAAAGCAAGCACTTTCTGGCCCAGGCAAGCCAGACCCAGTGGGTTGTCGGAGGTTTCAAATACAGATAGCTTCTGTGGGGGAGTCGAGAAAGCAAACACATGGATGCTGTTTAATAATGCGACGACGATCCGGGACTTGGATAGGCGGACACCAAGGACGGAAGTGCGAAATTCAAGGGTTATGGCGGCTTTCTGTTTCGCATCGTCCCAAATTATGAGCTATGACAGCCGAAGGAGTCAGTGTGGAAACTAAGCGCCGTTATAAATTGGCAGAGCTTACCTTGTTCTGGGGGAACTTGGGGTTTCGTCCGCCACCGACGATGGCAAGATAGTTGGACTGGCCGAGCATCTCAACTACGCCGATACCAGCATTAAAGTCTAAGGATAGATGATTCTATGTCAGTGGCAATAGCTTCAAGTGAGGCACTGGACAACCTTACCTCGGGAGACCTTTAGCTCACACGGATTGGCATTGAACACTATAGGATGAATGTTAGTCTCGAGATCTTTCCTCCCAGGCTTCTCGTAGCTCAGTATATTTCGAGAAAGCTCTTCACCCCAGCTTTCCCTGCTTTCTATTCCTTACCGCAGAAACCAGTATCCAAGCCCACCGAGAAGCAACTGCTGTCATGGTTGAATGTGGCGGATAGTGAGTAGGGTCCAACGGACTCATCGATAACTTGGCGGGTATTCATGGTCGCAACAGCATGACGTAATTCAAGCCCTCTCAAGCCCTTTGTCGTGATTTGGGTTAATGAGGGAGAAACTGGGGTTGAAGATGGGGGAAGCTCAAGTGCGGATCAGCGATAAGACCAAGATGCGGGCAGCTCCATACTTATCGTCGCGATAGCAAAGAAAACCCAAAAAAGAGATCCACGGTTGCCTCAGGCGGAAGGCTTAGGTAATGCTCCGGCGGCCAGGAGCGACCCACCATGACTAGCAACCCCTGAGTATTGATATTCAATGATTGTGAGCACAAATGCGTATTGATCAAATTTAGAAGAGTGTGAAATAGGCTAATTGAGCTATATATACTACTCCATTTAAGAAAAACAGCTATAACTAAAGTGGATATAGTATGTGACAGGTAGGTTGAAGTACAAGCTGGAGAAAGAGGGCGTCCCGTGATTGGCCCGCACCCAAAGGGAAAGGGGGAAACACGAACTGTCTTTCCTTCCCCCCCTACGACTTAAACTACCCAGACCTTCAGGAGAGTTTCACCCTTTCCCTTTCTCTTCTTCCTTGCTTTGGATACCCCCCAATTCTTCTGCTTCTCTCGTTCTTTTTCAGTTCCTTCTTAGTCCACAATGTCGTCGGCTCTCAACGCGGTATGTGCTTCCCCTTTTATTTCTCATGATCCCGACTCCAATGGGGAAGTCTCCATATCTCTCCACCCCCGATGGGAAAAAAAAAACAATTGCATATCCCAAGCTGACTCGAGTCCCCGCCGTGGGCAGATGAAGATCCGTCGCAAGAAGAATGTCAAGAAGGGAATTCAGTTCTGTTTGATGGTGTGCGGTGCTAGCGGAACTGGTATGCTTGCAATCCTTCCCCCGAATTCGAATTCGCCAAATTGTCCACTGACCATGGTTCCTTTTAAGGTCGCACAACCTTTGTCAACACTCTTTGCGGCAAGCAAGTTCTAGAGGGCAAGGATGCCGACGATGCGGAGAACGCTCATTTGGAGGAGGGCGTCCGCATCAAGCCCGTCACTGTCGGTGAGTACCCCGACTCTTCGTCATACTGGAATGGCTGTGGGATAGGATAATCTAATCTTTTTTTCCAACAAACAGAGCTTGAATTGGATGAGGAGGGTACCCGTATCTCTCTGACCATTGTTGATACCCCCGGTTTCGGTGACCAGATTGACAACGAGGCCAGGCATGTCTCCCAAACACCTTCCAGGGACCCAGGCTCCGCTAACCGATTTCTGCAGCTTCGGCGAGATTGTTGGTTACCTCGAGCGTCAATACGATGATATTCTTGCGGAGGAGTCCCGAATTAAGCGTAACCCCCGCTTCAGAGACAACCGTGTGCACGTCCTTCTGTACTTCATTACTCCCACTGGACACGGTCTCCGTGAGCTCGACATCGAATTGATGAAGCGCTTGTCTCCCCGTGTTAATGTCATTCCGGTCATTGGAAAGGCCGACTCCCTCACCCCCGCAGAATTGGCCGAGTCGAAGAAGTTGATCATGGAGGATATCGAACACTACCGCATTCCCGTCTACAACTTCCCTTACGATGTTGAGGAGGATGATGAGGACACCGTTGAGGAGAACGCTGAGCTCCGTGGCCTGATGCCTTTCGCTATCGTCGGCTCGGAGGATTTCGTTGAGATTGACAACCGCAAGGTCCGCGCCCGTCAGTACCCGTGGGGTGTGGTTGAGGTTGAGAACCCTCGGCACTCGGACTTCCTCGCTATCCGCAGTGCTCTTCTTCACAGCCATTTGGCCGATTTGAAGGAGATTACCCATGACTTCCTCTACGAGAACTACCGTACGGAGAAGCTCAGCAAGAGTGTGGACAGTGCTTCTGGGTACGTTTATTCCTTTCATCGTTTCTTCAATAATGCTAACTCCTTCACAGCCTCCAAGATTCCTCTATGAACCCCGAGGACCTTGCCTCCCAGTCCGTCCGTCTCAAGGAGGAGCAGCTCCGCCGCGAGGAGGAGAAGCTGCGTGAAATCGAGATCAAGGTGCAGCGCGAGATTGCCGAGAAGCGGCAGGAGCTGCTGGCTCGCGAGAGCCAGCTGCGGGAGATCGAGGCTCGCATGGCGCGTGAGGCCAGCCAGAGCAATGTCAGCGAAGCCAACGGAGAGGCCTAGATATACCCTGTCGACGATGCGGCTTTTTTCAGCGGGGCGCCGGTTCGCAAAGTGATACCGTTTGTGCCAAAATCATGAACTTCGTGGCACGAAGTTGGTTTTTGTTTATGGGGATAATATTGACTGTTTATTCACGTTAATAGCTTTTTTTCTTGTTTTCTTCTACTTATTTTCTCTCTTCCCGGGCAAAACCCCAACATAGTGTGCAACTCCAGCTTTCGAGGATGGGCACTTTCAGTCCCTGAAAATCAACTCATCAATGATTCCTTTGATTATACCCAGCCCCAAGTTTCTATCTCACTGTTGTCCGAAGAAAGTAAAACATCCCTCCTTATCCTGTTTCTTGCTACCTTTCGTCACTTCATTGCCTATGAGGTCCGAATCCTGTCATCTTCCCCTCCCTCTTTACTAATGCCCCCAGTTTTTCTACTTGCCCCTGGGGGGTTCATCTCTTCCTGTTTCAAATTACCATCGCCCCTAGCACCTTGTCTAAAGTCCGCAGCGCAGATTCCTTCTTCCTTTCGTGTTTCGTATCTCTTGAGCCGTTGTCTCCCTTTATGTCTGTCCTAGCTTGGTAGTAAATGAGAAAAGTATTCTGGTCTTATTGATGTCTCAATTCTAAATGGTAGCTACAGCTTTTGAAATAAGAAAGGTCCTTGAGCTTGCCAGACTTCACAGTATATCAAAGCATCACTCATCGATTCAACCGCTATTAGATAGTGAAGGATAGGTAATCATGTCGCACTGCACACGAATACTTTACGCATTCCTCTAGACCAGGTGTGGGGATCCGGGGCATTGGGCAGCCAATTAGTGGCTCTGATAAGGGCCGACAGCGAACCACGGATCGGTTTTAAGAGCTTATCCACTGTAGAAAGTGGAGTCGATGTCCACATACTGTAGCAACTCGATATGATAGAGATTATATCAGATCTCGCGAATACTGCGGTAGACCTTCTATCTCTAAATGTCTTCAAGATGACTGACCTCTGAACAATGTTTGACTCACTTCATAATCTTCCATAACCTAGGCAGATGACCGGGTCAGACGAGGTCCCAACCTTGCCCAAAAGCTAGTCTTGGCATTGATCCATTCCCGAGGTCATGAACATACCTATATGTCACGCTCATTTGGGGAATCCTGCCCAATGCACTGTGGTCAAATTACCTAGACACCTATGGATTTGCGGGTGACATTCTTTAAAGCCAAAGGTTTCTGACTTGTGATAGTCTGGGTAGTGAGGATCCATTCATTGAAGAACTTTCAGAATGTCAATGCCTGATACCTGTTTCAAATCACATAGATTTGACCTCATCCCTCGTGGATAGCAGCTTGTTGTGATGTTCTGGACATCTGATCCTAGAAGAAGTCGAACTGAGGGTTACCTAAGGAATATAGTGCTGGCAGGGAAAAAGCCAAATTGGGTTCACTGAACTCGAGCGGTGGGTGATGCGTTAGAAGTAATGTATGGAGACAGACTGTCAAACTGTGAAGCTGTTATGTGATCATAAAGAAGTAGGGAAAAAAAAAAAAAGAAGAACATCGAGTACATATTAGGCAGTTATTGAAATAAGATATGCATCATATTAATTATTCCACGAAACAAACGACATGGCTCTAACTGCTCCTTTGGCTATGGAGAGCGTACTCCCTAGCTCCAGGGCTAACATGAAAACAAAAGTCACTCATAAATCTAGTGGGCATTCTATATACATAGGTGTCTACCTAGATACATTTTACCTAGGTACTTGCTTCAACCGCTTGGCTGGACCTCCGATGGTCCTTACTTCAGAACCCAGTAATCAGCGACCAGCTCAGGGAGATCAACTCTGTGCTTCAATATTAAACACCCCCACTGCAGTGCTACCATCAACATTACAAAACAAAGGTAATGGATGGAACAGAACAGGCTAATTGAAAGATTTGGATGAGAAATAAACCTGGTCATCACGCAGGACATGCGGAACATAGAAAACAAGAAACACGGAGATAAAAAGGGGTGAAAGAGATGAATAAAATTTTAAGAAAGACGAAGAAGAAAGAGAAAAATGCAGAAATGTAGGAGAAAGAAAAGGCGAGGCGAAAAGAGAAAAGCAGACACGCAAGAAGTGGTATTTGCGCTCCATTGTACACACAGAAACGAGACAAGAGAGGAACACTCTTATTGAGGTTCTTTTGAGGAAACGGGATTGAGAGGAAGTGGTGTTGATGAAAGGTGAAATGGCGTGGACCAGACACTTGTCAAGACCTAGTATACATCACAGAGGACACTGACAGGGAATGATTGTCCGGATTCAGAGAAAACACGAGATACAAAGGCATGGTGGGTAGGCCCGAAAGGTAGCGCATGGAGACGTCGAGGGCCCTGCAGGATTGAGAGTAGGACAGCTGCTTGCATGCTGCTTGGTTGCCATAGTCCAAAGGTAATTATCATAAGCGAATAACCCAGGCACCGAGATTCCTGGAATGCCAACTCTCTAATGAAAGAGGGCTGGGCTAGGGAGGGAAGGACGTTTGAAACCGTTTTTTGGAGGTGGTTGCGCGAGCCGCTAGAATTAAACTTGTTGGGGTTTGCTCCAGAAGTCCAGACTAGCAACCACATCCTCACCCTTCTCGTCTTCATATGCATAGATGATCTAGATTAGAACATTAGTAAGCGACACCATCAGCAATAATTGAAGACAACGTACCTCTCGGGTGGAAGAATGCAGCATGCGGATATTTCTCCCAGTCATGATGTGAATCAGTTCGCTAGTTTCAACATGTCGAATCTCAACGAAGTTGGGCTCAAATGCCAGAATGTATGGGTAAGACAGGGCGAATGCGTTCGGGTTACCCTCCCATGAGATCCTCCAGTCTGGACGAGCTCGCCATCCATTGCGGTTGACAAAGAACGAGAAATCACTGTAGTTCAGAAGGAACTCTCCATTCATGCGTTCAATGTGAATGGGCTTCACATTTTCCTTACGTGCAACAAAGTCAAGAGAGGTATCGGCCTGGTCCAATAGAGACTGTGTCTCTGTGGTTTCGAGACTGACAACCTCAAAGCCTCGAGCACAGCCAACACACAGTGTTGAACGCAGGAAGTGGATTGAAGACGATTCAGCTGGGATATAATATTCCTTGAATGGCTTCAATGTATCCTGCCCACTCTGGAACATTTTGCTCACCGCAGACTTCTTCTTTCCCTTTGCCAAGTTGTCCATTGGCTCGTAGACCTTGATAGTACTAGACAATGCCGAGGTTTTCACTGAGCAAACAAGATGCCGCCCAAGACCAATGCCCGCCTTGAAGAAGTTTGCATGACCTTGGATCTTCTTCGGACGCTTGGCCATCGCATTCTGACCCTCTGTCAACTCAAGAGCTTCCATAGGGTAAGATGAGAGAGTCTTGTTCGCCAGTACCAGGAGCAGCTGATACTCTTCCAAAATATCAATTTGCGTAACCTGGCTGGCCTCTAGCACCCGACGAGGTTTGGCTGACTTGTCTTTGGGCCAGCGATCAGATAGGTAGATACCACTGTCAGTACCATATACTAATTTCCGACCTCCATCTATAGGATCATTAGCATAGCACGATATTTACTCATTTCAAGAAGAGACTTACCAACTGGAACAAGACAATTGACACGGTTGATAGCAGAGAAGAAATTCTCGCAAAGGACTGTCTTGTTGTAGAAGTTGCTGTTTCGCTCCCAGAGCTTTCTCTGTTGCTCTTCCACCATTTCGATAAATTTCCGTCGCTGAGTCGGAGATGTGGCATACAGGGTCTGTTCATACCCTCCTTTACCAAGATGTCTGAATGTAATTGGCAAGCCACCATCTTTGGCGGGAGGGGGATTTGGCGCAGCTTTATTGGGCAAAAGGCTGGATGAGGGTCTCTTTGCAATTCCCAGGCGTGGAACGACCTCATCCATTTGAGCAATCACCAACAACTCAAGGGGAATGGGTTTCTTGTAAACCCGGTATTCTTCACGCTTGTTCACAATCTTGATGCGAACAAGAAGGACCGCATGGTCGAAGAGATAGGCGGTTACTTCTGAGCTCTCGGCAGTGGTCTTCTTGAACGCCATCTTCGAGAGCATTTGTCGATTTTCCTCGGTAAGTTTCAGATCCACATAGTCACCTGGTCCAAACTTAAGGGCAGCGTTTAACTGCACTAAATTAAAGTGATTTTCAGCCTTGCCGCTCTCAGTGTTGACGCGAGATAGGAAGCTCTTGATCATCTTCACGGCCTCAGGAATGTCTTTCTTGTCCGGGTTGTCATCCGCAGTATGCTTCAAGACCGACTCAAGAAGAAGGGGGTATCGAGCCAGACGGGTTGTGGGCTTGGTGAGGTAACCATTCAACTCCAGCTTTCGAGACTCCTTCAGGCGCTCAGTATCGTCAACGAATTTGGAGAATGGCTGATTCGATGCCTTCTCCTTCTCAAATTCATATTTTCCGTAGAGCTGGTTGGCACCATACTTAATGAATGGGTCGAATCGAGGCACGTGCTGAAGGAAAATATCACCAACAGTCTGAACAATTTGGCTTTCCTTCTGTCGTGTGTTCAAAGCTTCACACAGGCCACCGTTGACCTTGAGCACTTCCAAGCAATTTCCAAATACAGTTCGAATGAACTTTTCTCGCCGGTGCTCGGGAATGGGGGAAGTCTGGTTCGGACCTGCGGCACGCAGGGGACGCATCCAGAAATCTCGTAAATATTCCAAATCCTTGACGAAATCGCGTTCCGTATACATAATCTCAAAAATAATCTCTTGACGTTTCTTCTCACGGTCATCCAACGTATCAGAAACCTCCTTCGGAACCATGTTGATCCAGAGCTTTTGATTATCATTATCATCGTCATCGTCGATGTGCAGGCTGCCCTTGGAGCCCGAGGTTCTCAGTACCGGCTGAGGCTTCAGGTTCAACCTAGCCTGCTGTTCCAGTCGTCGTGGGCATGCAATGGAATAGCAAAGACTGTCTCGGTTACAAGTTGGAGAGTAGCATTCAGTAAGGAGTGTGAAAACGCCATTAACCTCCGAGCTAAGAGTGTCCTCTCCCATAGTCTCCTTGAATTGATATACTTCACCGGGAGCATCTCGAAGACGATGATCATAAGTGACATCATGGAAGAACTTCTGAGCATCCAGTGCTCGACCCAAGAGAAGAGCAAGGTTTCGATCATTTGTTCTGACAATCGAACCAATCAAGTCAACCGCATCAGTACCCGAGAAAGCATTCTGATACGACAGGCCGTTCTTATGACGCTCACCGAGCGAGATCTTTTCTCTGAACACATCAGCGACTCGGGAAAGCAAAGCGGGGTAAACCACGGGGACTCTGCGCTGCGAGCCACTTGTGACAAGCAATGGCCCGGATTGTTGCGTTGACTGGCTTTGGACGCTCATCGTGCGATCAGGGATAATGGTCGACGCCATCGACATAGTACGAGATCGTGTTGAAGCATCACTGGGCGGGCGAGCATTGGCATATGCTTCGCCGACTTTCGCAGGCATGGAATCGAACCTAGTAGGAGTCGATTGTTCATGGCCGGATGGTGGTCGTCGATGGGGAATTTGTCGACCACTGCCCATGATGTGGGTGTGATCCGGCGCTGACGCGTAGCTGGTCATCGACATGGCTCGCTCATTGCCATGTCTTTCTGGGACTGGTCGGCCTAGTTGAGTCATTGTTGGAGCTCCAGCATGGTATGGTTCTCGGCGAGAAGCGATCGCCGATGTGTGATTGAAATTGCTCGGCGTGGGCGGGGCTTGTTGAAACGGTCCACTCAATTTGGCCATCGAGCGTGATCTTCCTGCATCGGAATTTAAGGCAGGTGGAGGCATAGGGCGACTGAAATCACGGGGATCCGCGTATTGGGGGGCCGGTCCTTGTCTAGAGTCCACGCGATGAGGTCGAGGGTACACGGGGGGACGTCCCGGATACGGTCGCGGCGGCTGCTGTGAACTCATTGTCGCACTAGTTGGATTGTATGCCTGATAACCTCCTCCGGAAGGCGGCGCAGGGGTGTACCCATTCACCGGGGCAGATTGTGGCGGTCCATATCCGTTGGGCATTTGTCGTGTTGGCGGGGGCGGCGGCCGATGAAATTGGGGCTGCGGCACTTGCGACGACATAGTGTGAGCACGACCCTGAGGGAGCTGGGGAGTCTGCGAGGTCATCGTCTGGGAACGGCCTGGTGGTGGCGCACCGCCAAATATGTCGGAATATGCAGCATCTCGCTGTGTGGATGAGGCCGCGCCATAAGGCCGGTAGTTCCGGTTACGCTGGGCCCCCAAATCCGCCATGTTCCCCCGAGTATGAAACTGAGTCGATGGTTCCGATCTAGGGGATAAGATGTCGATGCCAAAATGGCAAAAAGGATGAGGGTGGGGAGTTTTCGAATTAGGGGAGGAGGGGTGGTATCCGAGTCGATCGTGGAGAGCGTTCAGGACGTCGCAAGAGTGGCTGATTCAAGATCGTAGACAACGGAAGGACAAGTGGAACGAAAATGGCAATTCCCCAGAGAGCAATGGTTTTGATCCGAAGTGATAAGAGTCGTGATGTCTGTGCAAAAGTAGGATCTTCAATATGCCATCGCTAACCTTCAGTTGTTCTCTAGAGATTGGGTTTGGTTTGAGAATGGCGAGATTCAATAGCCGGAGAGCGCCAGGAGCCGTGAGCGCAACTAAGTCAGGGCTCCTTGGAATATCATACCCTCAGCATCCTCCAGTTACAAGCCACCAAGAGCCGGAGAGAAGAGGAGAGTAGAGGGGGGAACAGAGGAGTGTTGACACTGGCGATAGAACTGGGGGGTTTTGGAGGGACCAGGAGAGAGAGGATCGAGGTTGAAGGTGGACGGCCGGTATTGTGTAATGAAATTACGTCTCGTACCCGTTCATGGGGGATTGCACGGGAGATAGGCGGAGTTAAGGAGGTGCTGATCCTCATCAGGCGGTAAGGTAATGTCACGGTTGGTCACACCGAGGGGGAAGCGCGAGAGTGGCTACGGCGGACCAAAAGTGACAAACCAACACCAAACAGCAACCGCAAGTACTACCTCTTGCTTCCTTTCCCTCTAACCCCTCATTCTAGTCTCCCTTCGACGAGGCTTCATCCTTTTTTTTTTTCTTTCTCCCTGGTCCTTCCGCCAAATCTACCCATCATGGTTGAAAGCGAGCTTGCGCCCAAGTTTGCCCCGTTCCTCTCCTTCGTGAGTCGCCCAACCTACAGGAGCTTCAAGCTCCGGACTTTGAGCTTTGAGCTAGAGGAATGACACACTAACAATATTGCTTATTAGGCCGGAATTGCTTCTGCAGTGAGTCTTATCAGATAACCGAAATGTCCTAATTCGCTAATAACTCCCCTTCAAGATGATCTTCGGATGTACGTGGCTGGACACATGACCTGATATGATCGGAGACTCACAGCTGACCCCGAACAGGCGCAGGAGCAGCATATGGCACAGCAAAGTCTGGCATCGGTATTGCCGGTGTCGGTTCGTACCGACCGGACTTGATTATGAAGGCAAGTAATGTGGTCTCCTGGGAATGTGCAGCAAACCTACTAACTCGTATTCTCCAGTCCCTCATCCCCGTCGTCATGTCCGGTATTATCGCAGTCTATGGCCTCGTCATTGCGGTCCTTATCGCAGGAGCATGTCAACCAGAGGCGAACACAAGCTTATACGCGTAGGTTGGATGAAGATGGTGTTCTCGGACGGAAGCTGATGTGGACACAGGTCGATCTTGCATTTGTCTGCTGGATTATCAGTCGGTCTCTCGGGTCTGGCCGCCGGGTATACAATTGGTATCGTTGGTGATGCGGTAAGGATGCTACGTCACATATGGGGTATGCCTGATGCTAATGGCCGTCTCAGGGTGTTCGGGCATACATGCAACAGTCTCGTGTCTACGTAGGCATGATCCTGATTCTTATTTTCGGCGAAGTTCTCGGTCTGTACGGGTATGTTTTGGAATTAGACGAAACCTTGAACATTGCACCAGTGACTCTGCTAACGCGACTACCAGTTTGATTGTTGGTTTGATTCTGAACTCCAAATCTTGAGTGTCTTGCTTTGTTGCTTTGCAACCACCCCATGCGCCTTCGCTTCTCAGCGTTAAATGATCGCATCATTTTCTACCATCTTTTGTTCCAACCCAAAAATGTATGCGATGGCTCTTCTGGGGGGTCCGCGCGCCCCGAATCTCCAGGATCGAGATCCGGACCAGCTGACTTCGGAATCGCATGGACTCTATTCCTATCTATTTTATTTTCGGGATGTATTATAAACATTGAAGAGCCTTGTTCGCATATAGATCGGAACCTGGTAAATGAAATCCTTTACTCTTTGCTAGCTCAGTCTGTGCCTGGTTCAATATGCTTTGTGATACCTTGGTGTATATGTAGGTGATAGCGCCCACGTATATAGAGACTTCCAGTATAGACATAGTCCATGCTCAGCTTACACCATGTGTCTACTTTGAATACTAAATATATCTCACGATGTTATCAATTCGGGGTCAAAAGAACAAAAAAAGCAAATGTCAGCACAAAAAGGTTCCGATTTATCACCGTACTTCCCCGTCCAGCCCCGCCCCCGTGGGATACGTCAGAGCTGGCAGAACTTCCTTTCACAACTATTCTGCCCCGCGCCTTGTGCTCGAACCCCCGTCTCCCCATTTCCATCTGGGTATTCAAACTGGCAAATGTTGCTTTGTTTGCTCTAGGAGCCTCCAAATCCAAGGCTGCGTTACTGACGCGATCTGGTGTGGCGCGCTAACGGGGTGGACTCTATACTTTTTTTCCCCCGTCCCTCTCGACCGCGACGAAACGGAGATGCTCGGTCATTCCAATGGCAACCGGGTCAATCGAGCATACTGCACCTTCTGAAGGGAAAGCCAACAACTTTCCTCCCATTACCAACATTATGCGGACCCACGATCTCCACCAGACGGAGAAGAAGCTGGTCCAGGCCTTCCGCGCTCCGGCTCGAGCCTTGAACCCGTTCCTCATCACCGAGCGCCAGGACGAAAAACAACTGTGTATTTCCTCGAGAAACTTGCATGTGAATGATTTTGCTCTTTTGAAGACCCTGGGCACTGGTTAGGACCCTCCCTTCGCTCTGTGAGCTTATCGCTATTCATATTTTGCGATCTGACAATCTTTTCTTCGGGTGCTTCTAGGTACTTTCGCCCGAGTGTGGCTTGCAAGATTAAAAGACCAGAAGGATAAGTCCAAAGTCTACGCATTGAAGATACTTCGCAAGGCCGATGGTGAGTACGCTTTCGTCTCTCAACCGTACGAATCTGGCCCTAACCTGGCTGGCAACAGTGATCAAGTTGAAGCAAGTTGAACATGTGCGCAACGAGCGCAAGAGTCTTGCGGCAGTCGTCGGTCATCCTTTTATCACAACCCTCGTGGCATCATTCTCAGATGAGCAAAACTTGTACATGCTGGTATGGGCCCGCCGTTTCTTACCTTGGTGCTTGCAGGGTGCTAATCCAAGCCGCAGCTGGACTTTTGCCCTGGAGGCGAGATTTTCACATACCTTCGACGTTCGCGCCGGTTTAACGAAGAAACCTCGAGGATCTACGCGGCAGAAATTGCCATGACGATTGAGTTCCTGCATGATATCCACGGTGTCGCCTACCGTGACTTGAAGCCGGAGAACATTCTCCTCGATGCGGACGGACATATCAAGCTCGTGGACTTTGGTTTTGCGAAGCAAGTGGATAACCGTGAAACCTATACTCTATGTGGAACCCCCGAATATTTGGCTCCGGAGGTCATTCATAATAGCGGACACGGACTCGCAGTGGACTGGTGGGCTCTGGGAATCCTCATTTACGAATTCTTGGTTGGACAGCCTCCATTTTGGGATCAAAATCCCATGCGCATTTACGAACAGATTGTGGAAGGCCGGCTGCGTTTTCCACCAAATATGCCCCCGGCAGCTCAGAATATCGTCACTCTGCTTTGCAAAACAAACCCCTCGGAACGGCTAGGCCATATCTCTGGTGGCTCGACTCGCGTGAAATCGCACCCGTTTTTTACGGGTGTTGCTTGGGATGATCTCTACTACAAACGTGTCAAGGGTCCGATTATCCCCCGAGTATCCCACCCCGCCGATGCCGGTAATTTCGAAGATTATCCAGACATTGATACAAAAAACCAAAACCTGTACACCGATGACCTGAAGAAGAAATTTGAGCCTTTGTTCAGTGACTTTTGATGGTTCGTCGCGCAGAGACCTCATTTAATTGAGCATGCTTTGTTTCAACAACCTCTTCGACGCGGGTCTCAGATAGAAAGGGATTATGGCTCCTTCCCTCTGACATTCCTTCGGACCGAACCAAATTGGCTCGCCATATCATCTACAACCGTGCTGGATTTCATCTTCCTCATTGGCATTAATTGCTTGGGTCCTGCCAGCCCTTGAGTATGAATCCCACATATGGCTGGAGAATATTCTCGCCTAGCTCTGGCCCTTGAAGTAGGCCATATCAACACCCTTAGCTCTCCCACTCTCTGCTCCCTACCCCCACGCCTTAGACGTGGGGGACGGTGATGATCTCCATCTTGCTTGGATGATTGTTTCATCCTATGCAGGGACACAGCTCATGTCTCCATGACCTTGTAGTCTGACGTCAGGGCTTGGACCCTTCTACACCACCTTCCCCCACTCTGATACCCTACAAGTTTCTTCAACCTTGGTTTCTGGCTTCTCTCTAACTTGTTTATCGCTCTGAACACATCTTTGTTTCGGAGGACATGGGTTGAATTGCAATATTTCCTCCATATGGTCCAATGAACTTGCAATTTGCAATGCACCTGGCTGAATACCTAGCGCAACTCTACGATGATTTTCTTCGATGAATGGCGGCTTTTTTTGTTTTCTTGTTTATATTTTATACTTTGCTTGATCGACAGATAAGTACATATATGCCGAATGGAGCATCTCGGGATCTCACTACTCGCTTTTATTGGATTTCCAACACTGAAGGTTGCTGGAATTTCTTAAGGCGTCGCCACTTCCACTTCCTGTTCCAGTGGTTTAAATGCTACCTGTGAATCGAGACATTGCACAAGTAAATACCAAAGATAAAAAAAAGCCCGTCTATCATAAATTTCACCGAGAGGATCCACAGTCCATCTAGCTAATATGTCGGAATAGTATATAGAACAAGAAACAGAATAAAAAAAAGCAATAACAATTATGGGAATCATATGTGCGAGGGATCATGAAACATCAGCCGTCCGTGTCACAAGGAGAAAACCTATCGGTGCCTATGGGCATCCGCGATAGAAAGGGAGTGACAAGAGGCAATTGGGCGTTTGGAGAAATTGGGGGTGGATAACGGAGGTGGAAGGTGGATGATCATAACGTAACAGCAAATTCTGCAGGCACAGGTATGACTAGAATGTCGAGTCTGGCAGAAGGGTATAAGGCTTGGAATGAGCCTGCCAAGGTGAGACAATCTGCGCAATGCAGCGTCCAAAGAGTAACGTGAAATGTCATGGCCCCATTCGGGAAATGATGTTGTAAAAAATCAATGAAGTAGCCGGGATGTTTTACAGAGATGGATCAGTTTTCCATGAGCCTGGAAAGTAGAGGGTCAGCATTTGGTCCCGGTTTTATGACTACATGACGTTTAGGTTGGATTGGACATACCATCAAAGTTATGCTTCACAAAAGCCATAGGGTCATCGGTTTCACCTGCTCCCATTTGTCCAACGCCAGGACTGAAGCTCGTAATTGGCAAGATAACCACATCGCCGACCTTCCTTTCCGTTGTTTGTTCGGTGAAGTCTTCATATGTGATGTTCTTATCCCCGGGCTGGATATTGAAGTACTCCGGATTGTTGAAGTAGCGGAAGACAGCATCTGTCCAAGCTCCAGGACCCGTAAACTCCATAATGGTCTTGTCCATTTTGCCCACCTTGAGGATTCCGGCCTTCTTCATCCGCAGAGTCTCCTCAGTAACGTAAGCAACCATGTCACGCAGAATGGGATGACCGGGCTTCGAAACGATAGTCCATTGGCAGAATTGAATGCGACGGGAGTACCACTCGTGCCAATCTGGGCGGTTGGGATCCGCCTCAATACCAGCAATGAATCCCACGGTTGACCGATCGAGTTCCTCCGGGAGCCAGTATCCCGCCGGCTTCAGCGCCAAGGTGTCGATGTCGCTGTAGATCCCGCCGCGAGCGAGAAGAACCAGGTATCGGAAGAAATCCGCCTTCATGACAGGTAGGGGCAGAGAGTCGTATGCCTCGAAGACATCCGGGACGGATCCGTAGAGATATAAAATCAGATGTCGCTGCGTGTCATCGGGGACGACCTCGTGCTGGAATCCGGGGTGCAGATTCGTCCAACTAGCCTCTGTGCCCCGGAATTCATCACCAAAGTACTCAGACGAAGGATCGTATTTCCACGTTTGCCAAATGTATGCGGGGAAGCTTTTGCTTATATCGTAGGGGAATTGGAAACGGAGGCGTTCGCGTAGCGGCGCGGTCGGTGTCGCGCCGAGGGGTAACTGACCACGACTGCTGGTCTTCTTAAGTTCCGATCGCGCGTTTGCGTCCTGTTCTTCCTCAAAAATCCCCTGAACAGGTCTGTAGCCCGGCGCGCCGGGGACATCGGCGTCTCGGCTCGAATGACGGAGGAAAACGACGAGGGCGATTAGGCAGATAATGGCGAATATTGCCCTCCGGAAGGTTGGCATGATGGACGGTTTTTCTCCGGTTGGATTGCGCCCCTGGCAAAAATTGCGATAGCCACGCGCACTCGGTGCGACAGGGCAGATTCCCACGTTCCAAGTGCGTGGCTTGGCTTTCTCGGTGCGGGACTTGGCCTCGTATCTGGAAGCTCGGGCTTGATCGGCGAGTTGGAGATTCCCGAGCAAAAAATCGCGTGGTCGCGTCGGAATTTAAGCTTCGCAGGATCGGAGAATTGGCATGTCAGTATTTCTAGAACTCATGTGGATGCTCGATCCGTCGTCTATGGCAATGCAACTCCCCGATGCCGGGATGCCGCAAACAGAAAAGGGGGCGCCAAATAGATTAGGCCTCCAGCCAGGTCGAAATCGAAAGAAAAGAAGCTGAAGATTATAAAATAAGCGCTGGCACCGGCCCTTTTCTTCATGAGCCCTGTCAAAAGGATTGCGTATGCGCATGCCCAACGAAGCGTATCTACGTACTTTGGGAGTGGAGCTCGCTCACGTGGCTTGGCGTCCCCCTTTTTGTTTGGTAGGAAGTATGTATATCTTCATTTCCCGGATAATTTTTTTGCATCTGCGTGGTCTGTTTCACATATACTCAAGCTAATTGCTATAACCCCCGCATTTCCAGTCGTTCCGATAATGGTGTGAATGATCGCCCTGAACCCCCCTCGAGCCACCCGAAACTTAATACCCGGATATTGATCTTAACCCCATTTTTCTGGTGGAGATTCTTCCTCCATTATGAACGGCAGTTTGTGCCGGTCCGGCGTCATACTAAATATTACCATCTTATCTTTTTTTCCGGATGCCTGCCTCAATCAGAAGGGATCAACCATCCTAGAATGCCCAACTATCCCTGCGCGCGCCTCGAGTACTTGAGTAACAGGCCACCTTTCTCAAGAACTCTTTTGTTTAAAGTGGCCTGGGTCGCTTAGTATAGTCAGAGTATCAATGCACCTGTACTAGGCTCTGCATATTTAGGCCAGATGCGAAGCTAGGTACGCAGTGTGACCAATGGATGTTCCTAGTTCCTTCATGCTTGACCGACCATGCGAAGGTTTCAAATTAGCAGTAAATCTGAAACGGATTCTGCATGCCAAGCTAGCTAAGCTCGGCCTACACATGCACCGGATTAGCCGGTTGACGAGTAGAATGGGCCGACACAAAATTGGCATTCAGCAATTCCATCATAGGAATGAAATTGGTGTTCTACAAGACAGACAATCCTACTTCACTGTAGCGCCTCCAGGGCTCAAGCGACAAAGATCTCTCTGGACGAGATCTTTGAAATTCTCAAATTATTGACGCAGAACTGGAAATTTAGTTGATCTTAGTCCTAGTCGAACATGTCGTGTGATAGAGAGAATGATGGCGAGGATTGGATTGAGCCGGAATGATGAGAGTGAGGTTATTCATAACATCCCGCTGAGTAGGTACCTGGCACCCTTGGATGAGGCAAATTGTTGTGACCCAAGTTCGATATTAGCCCCCTTTCAAGCAAGATAGGAATTGTAGCTAAATAAAGTCTCGCAAGGCCGGATTGTTGTTCATTTGATGTTATGATATCCGACAAATCTGAGCTCCCAGTGTGTGTTTTGGGAGAAGCCTTTATCCTCGAGGTTTCAGCTCCGCGATCGAATATCCTCAATTCGTTGCATATGAAACGAAACTCAGTTTACCAGATGACCATCATACAAGGGAACATAACTTTGCCTGAGTGGAACATTATTGATTCTTGAAAGTGATTAAATGTAAAAAGTAAACCATCTCTTCGTTGACAGACGAGGTCTGTTGACACCTGCATTACATAACAAATGGTCGGACTTGCTCACTACAAGGGCCTTCAATAGACCTAATAGAGTATATTTAGATCTTACACAAATTACAATAAGTCCGGAATACATTACTTGATCCTCCTGGACGACATTATTTTGATCATCGGTTCATTTAGTCGGATCTCAAGCATCAAAACACTCAATGGAGATACCTAAGCCACGGTATTCTTCTGGCGATGGGTAAATTGATTGAATAGGGCTTATCACACCAGTCCCTCTGAATTTTTGACTGAGAGAGTCAAATCGAATTCAGAAAATCTATCACCTGAGCATATTCGTGAATGAATCTACGGGTTGGATATCAAGGATGGATCAATAGAGTCAACTTCAAACCACTTCTATCGGACAAGATAATCATGCTGATATGGATTCTGTTAGGAGCTTTCCGATGCACGTCTTATCGACTTTCACTACGGCTTGAAGCTTCTGTTCAGCACCTGGGCGACATGAATTTATGTGGAGCATCTTCTGATGAATACATGAACACCTTCCTATGGCTTCTATTGTATCAACTAAGGCTACCCTGTATACGGCAAACTTAGATTACATATCCAGACACGCTGGTAATTTTAAATTGGAGTCCTAAACGTGCGAGTCAGGGGTTTGGCGAAACGTGGAAGTGCTGGTATTTATGAGTCCCACGTGGGCGGGGAGCCTGGTCTGTGTGGCCCGGAACTTTCTGAATTCTCTGCTCTCACCTGGTTTGATCTTGGCATGTACTTTATGGTGCAATTCATTGACGCCGTATTATTGAAAAAATGAGTGTCTGTATGGTTTAATCCATGGACGCATCGAAAAAATAAATTGAATCGTGCTGCCTGGGCCCGATTTTACACTTGGTGGAACCCTCGTGTTTCCCCACAGTTTAGTGAAACCGCGAAACCCTCCAGAGAACAAAGATTGTTCCATGGGAGCCGACCACGCGACAGAGACTAATCTCTGGGCAATTCTCACTTGCAGATATTTTGGGCAAAGATCCGGGAGTCACGGGCCCAAATGTACTCTGTACAAGAGCGAAAAGCCCGAGGGCCATAGTAACTTCGCCGCCCCCAATGGATCAACAGGAGACGGGGCCACACTATGCCGGAAATAGAATCAGATAAGCTGACAGATAGTGATAGTAAGAGTGCACTCATTGGCCCTGCTGAACCTTCCATGAAATATTCAAAAGCTTGGCATGGAGAAGAACACCGTTTCACCGCGACTTAGGCCTCCGTCTCAGATAATGGGGCAGATCTAGGGTCCATGGGTCTATGTCGTATCGGGTGCTGCCTAGGGTTCTCATAATACTACACCAAGACACGCAGAGAAGACGGGGCCGTTCCTTAATTCAGACTTGATGGTGAAATCCTCTTTTCTGGTTGTATGATTAGGACTGTTTAGTCCAGATGCGACCGCACAACCAAAGGACCCCCATCTCCACGGTTGTTATACGGGTCTGCGCTCTTTTCCCAAACTTTAGGCCCCAGAGCATCTACGAGTCACCCCAGTCGCGCCCAATAGGTGGCGCCTCGGCCCTGATGCCCCCATTTCGCAGCACTAGCCCTCGCTAACGTTAGCCGCCATCAACCGTGTCTGTGTACACTGTAGACGTGGTATAAGTAAAGTCGCCGCTCACTAGGCGTCCCTTTGTTTTTTTTTACTTTTTCTTTTTCTTATCTCCCTACGACTTTAATCAGACCCCAATGATCGAAACTGGCCTCATAGGCGGAGAGGTGGATAGACAGCCTTATTGACCATAGGTTCACCTTGTTTGACTCGTGCAGAGCCTTGTCTATCCACAGCCCCATCTTCATAGTTGGCCCATATTTTGTCAGGCCCTCTCCGTCAAAGCTTGTTTCACGACTTCACACCGAGATATACTTTTTGCGACTCTATTTTTGCCAATCAACAATACTTGACTGACCGTGAAAATGATGGACCTTTTATTCGCGCGACACAGGGATGATTTATCCCCCAAACCGTTGCCATCTGTCCAGGTATTTGAAGGAGGTGGAGAAAATGGCAGTATATCAAGCAACACAGCCTCGGAATCAAAGCAGTCACCAAATCTTGAGATTGTTGAAAAGAGAGAATTCTTTGCGCAGCCTTGGACAATGCGGCGTATTGCTTTTTTCAGTGTCATTGGGTCCTTGGTGCTAGCCATTATTGTTCTCATGATCACCCTTTCAATCGTGCTCACCAGACATCATGACTACCCAGATATGTGGAAGCCAACTGGGTCAAATATCGATGACCTGACCTATACTGTCAAGGAAAACGCTCCCATTTGGGCTCTCCATGACTTCCCCGACCCGGGCCTCATCCAGCACAACGGTACATGGTATGCGTTTGCTACAAACCCGAGGAAGGGTGACCCGGATACGATTCATGTGCCCGTCGCGACATCAACCAACTTTATCTATTGGACCTTGCACGAGGGCTATGATGCGATGCCGACAGTCGGTCAGTGGCAGAAGAAGGTCAACACTTGGGCTCCGGATCTGATACAACGGGTAAGTCAACAGGATTTATCTTTATTTCAAAGAAAAGTCTCTTACATTTTGTGCAGGATGATGGGAAATTCGTCCTTTATTACGCAGGAGAGACGAAGGATTTCTCCCCACACCACTGCATTGGAGCAGCAGTATCGAATGGAATAGACCCAATGGGGCCATATATTCCTCTCAATGAATCACTGGCTTGCCCACACGAATACGGGGGTGCCATTGATCCATCTCCATTCAGAGACACGGACGGCAAGCTCTATTTGGTCTACAAGGGTGACGGCAACAGCGTTGGATCCGGGGGCGCCTGCGGTAATAGCAATTCACCCCGCAAATCTGTACCGATCTTCCTACAGGAGTTAAAAAGTGATGGTATCACCAAAGTCGGCGAACCAGTGATCATCCTCGACATCAACAAGATTGATGGCCCGCTAGTCGAAGCGCCGGACATCATACGCACTGAAAACGGCACATACTACCTTTTTTTCTCGTCTCACTGTTTTACCTCGCTGGGCTACAACGTCAAATATGCCCATTCGAAGTCGATCAAGGGACCCTACAAGAGAGCAGATAGGCCGCTCCTTCAGACAGAAGACTTCGGCCTCGAGGCTCCTGGCGGTGCAACTATATCTCCCAGTGGGGATAAAATGGTATTTCATGCAAACTGTGATGGTTGGCGGTGCATGTACGCTGCAGCCATTGATATTCGGCCCAACAATGACACCATTGTCCTGTCTTCGCTGACATTAGAGAGTTCTGGGTCGACGAACTCTACGAGATCTACTGGAAGCTCCTAAACAAGCTGAAGAAGCTGATTCAGTCATGATATATTTTTTACCGGTCTTGTTGCACTGGTACCGTATTCGGCGTTTTCTTGTCTTTCTTTCCTTGTATCGAGTGATCGAATACCCGCATTGTTAGCATTAGAATTAAAAGTGAGCGAGGCGTTCTGGCAGACCTTGGGAACAAAATGAATATCACACCACAGAAACGACTTTAAATCCAATTACATGAATAATCCTTCACCGGGAATCTTGGAAAGATGATATGTAATCCACTGTAGCTTATAGATGCGGGACCGGGGAAAATGCCGGATTCTAACCAATCAACGGTAAGGAAGATGACGCCATGCCAGGCGTGCGTGCCTGAGGCGATAAGATTGTCTCTCCGCCTGCGCGATCGGGCAATATAATATGCCCTTAAAGAGCTGCCCGCGGCGAACTGGTTCTCGTTCAAACCGAATTCTCGAAATCGTCGCAATGCGTTCGCTTCAGAGCGCCGCCCGCTCGGCCTCACGGACCCTCCGCTCCTCTCAATGGCGACCCAGCGAGCCCACATCACTGCTCACCGGCGCCAGTCGGCCGTTATCGGCGCATTCCCGACTGCTACACGCCGCACCACCGCGAAAGGGACTGTCAGCTACTGCGAAAGACTCGTCCAACCCTGCTATGTCTTTTCCTTGTCTCGATGCCCAAGAGGCTAAATCGGCTATGCTCAACGCTAGGTCGCTCGAATCTGGTCCTGAGCCCTCCTATACTACCGGTCAGCATGAACGATTTCACTGTGACCAGCCGCTACTTCTTGACTGGGGCGGCGTGCTGCCAGAATTCGACATTGCTTATGAGACATGGGGTCAGCTGAATGCTGATAAAAGCAACGCTATCCTTTTACACACCGGCTTGTCAGCCTCAAGTCATGCTCACAGCACTGCGTCTAACCCGAAGCCGGGCTGGTGGGAGAAGTTCATTGGACCCGGACTGCCTCTGGATACCAATAAGTACTATGTGATCTGTACCAATGTGCTAGGTGGTTGTTATGGCAGCACAGGCCCTTCCTCGAAGGACCCCTCAGACGGCGAGCGATACGCAACGCGGTTCCCAATTCTCACCCTGGACGACATGGTACGGGCTCAGTTCCGTGTTCTTGACGGTCTGGGTATCCAGAAGCTGGCTGCTTCCGTCGGATCCAGCATGGGAGGAATGCAGAGTTTGGCAGCTGGTGTACTGTTCCCTGAACGTGTGGGCAAGATCGTCAGTATCAGTGGCTGTGCTCGCAGTCACCCGTACAGCATTGCCATGCGACACACACAGCGACAGGTGTTGATGATGGACCCGAATTGGGCCCGTGGCTTCTACTACGATGCTATCCCTCCGCACTCGGGTATGAAGCTTGCGCGTGAGATTGCCACTGTCACCTATCGCAGCGGTCCCGAATGGGAGCAACGATTCGGTCGTCGCCGTGCTGATCCCAGCAAACAGCCTGCGCTGTGCCCTGACTTCCTCATTGAGACTTATCTCGACCATGCTGGCGAGAAGTTCTGTCTCGAATACGATCCTAATAGTCTCCTGTATGTCTCCAAGGCCATGGACCTGTTCGACCTGGGTCATACTCACCAAAGCGAAACTCGCCTTCGTCGCGCTGAGGCCGAGGCTCGCATCGCTCAGGGTGATATGTCCTCCAGTATCACAGATTCATCCTGCAGCCTGACATTGCCTGAGCAGCCATACGAGGAGCAGCCCCAGGCTACTGCCTCCGTGCCGCCCGCCGACCAATCTGTCTCCCCTCAGGAAACCGAAGGACCCCCGGCAGACCTGATTGCCGGTCTTTCGCCGCTGAAGAACCACCCGGTTCTCGTCATGGGTGTCGCCAGTGATATACTGTTCCCGGCATGGCAACAGCGTGAGATCGCCGAAACTCTCCGGGCCGGTGGTAACAAGAACGTTGAGCACATTGAGCTTGGTGAAGATCTCTCCCTGTTCGGTCACGATACCTTCTTGCTTGATCTGAAGAACATCGGTGGTGCTCTTGGACGGTTCCTGAAATAAGTTTTGTTATATTCGTATTTTCGAGAGTTGAGTTGGGTTGCGGTCCGAGTCGAACAATATCGCCCCTGTTACGAATCATCTGTACATTGTCTCGCAGCGTGCGACGACCAAAATACTGCATTAGCGGGCGTTCTTTACTGTGGAATAATACACCCCTCTTTTTCGATCCAATAGTACTCTTGTAAAACTCCAGGTCTTGGCTATGTCTTGTAGAATGGACCAGGTGGGTGTCTAAAAGCTTGACATGCTGATCCGTACCCGCGGTCAAGTCGAGGTCTGTTTATCAACAACTTCAACGAAGAAATGAAAATATGAAGTCAAAAAGATCAGATTAAGATTCCATAAGTATCGAAGAAATGCAACAGTGAAATACACCACGAAGAACAGATAAAAAACCAGGGAAGCGCAGCACAGAAAGTCAAAAACCCTCAGAAAGCTCTCGTCGCGTCAACGGCATCCATCATAATCCGAGAATCAGAAAATCCTCAGACTGCGATGCCTACAGAATTGGCTTTGTGTCCGTCATTCAATAAGACAGACTCATCACAGGGCAAAAAACATAAGCAACGAAAACAAAAAGTTCACCCACGAAGAAGAGATGGCAGCTATGCCATGGGATAATTAGAATTTAAAAAATGAACATGATAGGCAAGCAAAACATTATCAAACTCCCTCGGAAGCAAATCGAAGCATGCGCATTTCATGGATGCGTGCCTTGTCGTGTTTTCGGTTGTTCGCTCGCTCATTTCGATCGTCCCTCCACGTCCCTCACTTGCTGTTCCCTCAACTCCACGTCCTCCAAATCCCTGGATTGGCGTTTCTTACCTAGTATTGCCAAGAAAGACTTGTCTGCCAAGTGGGAGTATTATGCAGAAAACAGTGTCCATGGGAGAGTATTTCCGGGTAGTTGTGTATCCAGGGGGGTCAGAAGAGGAACAAAAAAAGGAAATGAAGAAGAAAAGTTGGAGGTAATCATAGTCATGTAAAAAGTGCTGTTCATTCCCTAAATCATGTCCATAAGGAATCTAACGAGGTGAGTAAATAATCCTTATACCCTTTTGTGAAGACCATTGCTAGGTTTTGTGGCTCCCTTCACACTTTTGCCGTATGCTGTGCACACGAATTGTATTTGATGTTGTTTAGATTCTTCCACAAAGTAAATTTTAGATTGGCAGATGTGGAACCTAGGGGATTCAAGCCTCCAGTATTGTAGCACACTCTCAGATTGAAAACTACCTTTGGTTGTCACTCGTCATCGGCATGCTCAACGCCGTTGCCTTCACAGGTATACAGACGGAGCATGATATACATAGCCTCGGAGTGTGCGACGGACATTGTCGTCATTGAGTGGCAGTGGAGAATCCTTCGGAGAAATTCTTCCAAAACTGGAGGCTTGTGACGATAGAATGGAGTGCTCACAGCTGGCAATAACGTAGTCCGGAACACCACAGTTGGGAACACGAAGACGATTAGTATTGATGAACAGTGGATTGTATCAAGGGCAATGAGAATATTTCGATTACCTATATATGTAGCATACTTTTTGATTCTTTGGTATGTACATTTTGTGTTAAAAATGGTTAGCAGGTGAAATCCCAAGCCTGCCAGGAGGTACTGGCTGGTGATTGAGAGGATAGAAGGGGGTGGTCTCTAAGATCTCTGTTCATTACTCAGTCATTTACCCCAAGCAAACGTTTCCTTCCACTGGCGTTTCAGACAAGCTGATCGAGGGATGGAATCCGCTGCCCCAGATTTCTGGGCAGGGTGTCATGAGAAGCTCTTGAATGTGTGGGTTATCATCATCGAGACAGGAGAATTGATTGGTTACAACATATTTCTCTGGGCTGTCCGGCACATGATTAGCCTGGGTCTGTATTGGGGGAAAGATGCACGTACCTATTGCGTGAAACACGCGTTGCGTACGAGGATCATCGACGTGTCGTGAGATTTTGGCGCTCTAGCGCGCTGACACGTGACTATCTTGGTCTCCAATGAAGCTAGCTTCATGTCAGCAGTGGAACATGCCCCACTATCATCATAGTCCAGCCCGACAACATTCCTAGTACCTTTATAGAGATCGAAAGAATGATATTTCTAATCTTTTCCTGCCAAGGAATACAGTCGTTGTGCTCTCCCAAATAGTTATTTTGTTTCTTCAAGTTGACAGATTCCCTTCTTTGCCTATTTGTTGGTTTAAATGACGAAACTGACGCTAGGCATCTACTAAAGCCTTGGGGTCCAAAACAAGCCTTGGGGGCCAAAAGAAGCTCCTCACTTTAAAAAGTATTGGCTTTTGTGGCCTGGATTTCTGTGGTCAGGATTTCTGTGGTCAATCTCCTGCTCTCGCATATCTAGTTTCGAAGTCCAGCAGAACCCAGGCCAGGTAAAAAATCGCAGGATGGCGTTGCCTTCATTGGGGGTTGCAGTCTTGGTGCTACTAGCGGTAAATATCTAACATACCCCCAGAGTACAAGACTGATGCTGTGTAGTATCCTCTTGGTAGAATATTCTACAATATTTACTTCCACCCGCTGGCTCATCTACCAGGCCCTCGCAGCTGGGCCGCGACCCGCTTACCATTTATCTGGGCACTTCTGCGAGGTACCATCGTTCATGACTTTGAGGAACTGCATCGGCAATATGGGACAGTCGTAAGAACCGCCCCTGACGAGGTCAGCTTCGCCAGCGGTGATGCCTGGACTGCCATATATGCTAATACAAATCGCTCGGATAACCGACAATTTCTCAAAGATCCTCTTTGGTGGAGAAAACCACCTGGAAAGCCTGATTCGCTGCTCAGTGCGATCAGTCCTGCTAAGCATGCGCGTATGCGGAAGATGCTGTCTCCAAGTTTTACCCCTCGAGCGCTCCGTGCCCAAGAGCCCATGCTTCAAAAGTTCACAAGTCTCCTTATTGAACGACTAAGGGAAAAGGTGGAGAACAACACCGAGGTAGCGAGTAACGCCAGCGTGGAGATTGATATAGCGCCATGGATGAATTACACAACTTTCGATATATTTGGCGATCTAGGATTCGGGGAGTCTTTTGACTGTCTACAAAACTCACGGTATCATTCATGGATAGAGCTGCTATTCAATAGTGTTAAAGCTGCGTCCTTCCTCGCTGCAGCACGATACTATCCTCTGGTCGAGTTCTTGTTGAAGAAATGCGTACCGGCTTCTTTAAGCGAGAAAGCCGCGAAGCATCAGCAGCAGATCGTTGAAAAGATAGATCGGCGTCTCAGCTGGGAACTTCAACGACCAGATATCATGTCATACCTTATTGATGATAAAGGTCAAGTAGCATGGGATCGAGGGGAGCTGAATGCTACCTTTGCAATGCTCACTACGGCAGGAAGCGAAACGACTGCTACAGTCCTGACAGGCATTTTATGCTACTTAGTAAACGAGCCCGATAAACTTGCACTCGTTACAAACGAAGCACGCCAGGCGTTTTCCAACAGCGCAGATGTGACTCTGATCTCAGTCCAGAACCTTCACTACCTCAAGGCTGTGATTCACGAAGGCCTTCGACTCTGTCCACCCGTTCCCTGGATGCTACCTCGACTTGTTCCCGAGGGCGGAGAAGTTATCTGCGGGAAATGGATACCAGGAGGTGTAAGCAATCCAACTGTCGAGACTAGTACTACTTATTTCTGATGTTATGCTGACGGACATCCTTCCAGACCCCAGTTTCACTTCAAGCATATGCTTTGAATCGGGACCCCAACGCATTTTTCGATGCGACATCATTTCATCCCGAGCGATGGCTGCCCGACGCCTCGAGTCCTAAGTCTGTGTTCTTCAACGATGATCGTCGTGCTGTCCAGCCGTTCAGCATGGGTCCTCGCGCATGCTTGGGTCAGCATCTTGCGTGGGCTGAGATGCAGCTGATTCTTGCGAAGCTATTGGTGTCTTTTGATTTTGAGGCTGTCGAAAATAAGCGTTTGAGATGGGAAGATCTACGGACTTTTCTACTCGTGGAGAAGCGACCGTTGGATGTTCGAATAAAGCTGGCTATGTGACTGTCTCAGCTTGAGCAGTAACGCCTACTCGTATATGAAGCCTTGAGAATCAAAGTTATGCAACCTTTTTCCTACTCTTATGCATACAGGGAGGAGCACGAGGTTTCCTGATGCCAAATCGCGTAAATCTGAGCCTTTAAATCCGTAATGCTCGAACTATATGCCCTGTTGGTGCCTCAGGCAATCAACATGTGCAAATATGCTGAGCTAATCGGCCTCGGGCCCTCAGGTCCCACTGATGAGCGCATCGGGCTTGCAGCTTTGCATACTCGAATTATAAGAGGGTGCCCAGCCCTTTGACTCGGTAAGTAATCATTATCTCACCAAGCCTTGACGAGATCGATGGCACCGAACAAATCCAAATGGTGGCAAGCGCCCGACGAGGCCGATCTAGACTACGGATTCGATTCTGACGACTTGGATGCTAGATTCGAATCTGAGCGGAATCTCCACCGCCCTCGGCCACCCACGAACGCAACGAACGATACACGGGCACGAGAACAAGAACAAGAACAAGAGATTCAGGACAGGGGTGTATTTGGAAACATGTCTTCCTGGCTTCATCGTCAGGCTGGGTCGCCTAACTCGCAGCTCACCACTACCGCTGTCTTGTCTGGTGCTGCGGTTGCGACTGCGATTTTTGGCTACCAGGCTTATAAAAGGAAAGAGGCCGTTTATGACCTGAAGGCTTCAATCCCAGCTGCTGATGAGCAGCATCCGTCGGGGAAGGTGAGGAGTTTTGGGAATTGCCTATCCCATTTTGCGAGGCTGTCCATAGCTAACTGGATTAAAGCTCACTGACTTTGGTGCCGCGGAAAATGACATTCCGCTGAGCAAAGAGGATGAGCGCAGTGCTGCTCTAGCTCGTAGAGCGCAAAGGGGAGATTATGATGATGGTGCGAATAACTGCTATCAAAAATACTCTGAGTGAGCTAGCTAACCGGGTTTGCGACTAGATCTGATTCTCGAACAACTAGCCCGAAACCGGGTCTTCCTCACCGATGACGGCCTCGCAAAACTTCGATCCTCATTCATTGTTGTTGTCGGCTGTGGTGGTGTTGGATCTCATGCTGCGGCGGCGCTCGCTCGCTCCGGCGTTGCGAAGATCCGGCTTATCGATTTCGACCAAGTCACTCTCTCCTCCCTCAACCGACACGCGCTTGCCACACTAGCTGATGTCGGAACACCCAAGGTGCACTGTATTCGGCGGCGATTGGAGCAGATCGCTCCCTGGGTGAGGTTTGACTGCCGGAACGAGCTGTTCGGCAAGGACTCCGCCGACAATCTTCTCGGTCCGTGGAGTTTGACACACGAGGGCGAGGGTCGTCGGCCTGACTACGTGCTGGATTGTATTGATAACATTACATCCAAGGTGGATTTGCTACACTACTGCCACTCAAACTCGCTGCCCGTCATTTCGTCCATGGGTGCTGGCTGCAAGTCTGATCCGACTCGTGTTGTTGTGGGCGACATCTCCCAAAGCACTGATGACCCGCTTTCTCGGAGTACCCGTCGTCGACTTAAGGCGAAGGGTGTGAGTACGGGTATTGCTACTGTATTTTCGACTGAGAAGCCTGGGCCTGGCAAAGCGACTCTACTGCCGCTCCCCGAGGAAGAATTTGCCAAGGGCCAAGTGGGTGAGCTGGGAGTTCTTGCGGACTTCCGAGTCCGCATTTTACCGGTCCTCGGCACGATGCCTGCTGTTTTCGGATACACAGTGGCCAATCATGTCATCTGCAGTGTGACAAACTACCCAATGGATTATAGCATGTCGAACAAGGGCCGCGATAAGATGTACGACACTGCTCTGGGTAATCTCCAGGCCTGCTCAGAGAGGCTGAATAAGCAAATTGCTGGTGAAGACCCCATTAGTCTGCGTATTCCTGTCAGTAAGGATGACATTGCATTCCTGACGGAGGAGGTCTGGCGCGGCAAGAGTGGCATCTCCGGCCTGCAGAACCGGCTGGTGTTTGTTCCCTGGGAGACTCCCGCTCGTGGATGGGGAATCGTTACGACCTGGCAACAAGATGGCCAAAAGCTCCTGCCACTTGAGCTGACAAATCTAGTGTGTATGACCAAGGAAGAGGCTGCCTACCATGAGCGTGAGGTTCTGCGTGGTGGCAAGAAGGTGGAGGAAGTGTACGACGAGCTAGTGTTGCAACGGGTGAACCTGCGCCGAAAGGAAGCCGAAGAATATGAAAAGTACCGGGGATAAACCCCGCTATCTCTATATACCTGTACAAAAGCAAATATACAATCAAGAAACTTTTTTGTCCCTACGGTTAATGTTCAGGAACAACCTAACCTTGATCGACGTAGATCGCTGAGTGGGGAAAAAGTTAAAAGTGGGTCCGACCAATTTATTCGGCGCGCGGCCGCTTCAACTGCCAAGGGCTAGCTTCTTAGACCCAGCAACTTTTCTTCAGAGGGTGGTTTTAACCTCTATTCTAGGCTACTCGGTCTCTAAATACCATCGCATCTACCTCCTACCTCATAGTTCATTCTCCTCCATGTTATATACCCAATAAACCTCCTCCGCAACACCCGGAAACATGGCAACCTACGAGTCAGACCACGAACTCGACTCCGACAACTACTACAATCCCTCCTCTTCAAGCACCCGGTTTTCCCGGACCTCTCGACCCTTAGTCGAATCCGCCCGGAATGGCTGGCAATCCCACTCCAACATCCCCTATCACTCCCTCTCTCCCGAAAATGACAAAAACCCCCGCTGGTTACAGATGGCCCAATCCGTCATCGCCGCCCCGAGATTCCGCCGCTATGCCGTCGTTTACGTGGCCCTCTTCATCCTGAGCTGGTGCGGATGGATTTTCTTTCTATACCCGCGTCTTCAGGAGCGCAGTGATTTGCTACATTCGTTGGATCCTGCTTCAAAGACGGAGTCTGGGGGTTGGTTCGGGTCAAACTCCTTGCCACAGTTTGATGATTTGATTCAGGTCCGCACCTTAGATCCGGATTTAATCCCTATGGCTCCGTTGGAGGGGGTGGATTCAACTGAGTGGGAGCAGAAGCGGTTGGTTGTAGTGGGTGATGTGCATGGGTGTAAAGAGGAATGTAGGTGTCTCTTCCTTTCCTACACTACTTTGGAAAAAACCCCATTGAGAGAACTTGTTTCGCTAATTGTTCACATTATTATTTATTAGTGGTTCAACTTCTCGATAAAGTTTCGTTTTCCGAGGAGGACGGCGATCATTTGATCTTTACGGGCGATCTGATCAACAAAGGGCCTGATAGCGCTGGTGTCGTTGATTTGGCACGCCAACACTCCGCCTCGTGTGTGCGCGGGAATCATGAGGATCGGGTTCTTCTTCTCCGCCATGATATCATGTCATCCGGCGCTATGACGGAGGCGGAGGAAGTACAGAGCCAGATTTATTCGAGTAGGGAGCTCAAGGAGCGCGCACTTGCTCGCGCATTGACCGATGAGCAAGCGCAATGGCTGGAAGATTGTCCGGTTATTCTGGACGTAGGATTTGTTCAGGGCATTGGTCAGTTGGTCGTCGTCCATGGTGGTCTTGTTCCCGGTGTGGACTACGAAAAACAAGATCCATCCAGTGTGATGACTATGCGTACTATTGATTTGGATACCCATGTGCCAAGTCCATCGCATGATGGCTTGAATTGGGCCAAGGTAAGAGCTACTTCGTCTCTAATTCCGGGTGCATATGCTTATTTCATGCTAGATGTTCGACAAGCACCAGTCCATTCTACATACGAGTCTCAAGCAATCCAATGCGGATCCTCATTCTCAAACCACTACGGTTATATACGGACACGATGCCAAGAGGTCTCTCAACATCCGCACTTATACCAAGGGTCTTGATACTGGATGTTATAAGGGCGGTAAATTGACTGCACTGGTCATCGAAGGTGGTGGCAAGCAAGAGCTTGTTCAAGTTAAGTGCCACACCAATTACTCAAAGGACGAGTGATTCTTCTTCTCTTTTCTTTCATTGTTTAATTGGGCCATTTACTTTGCACATTGCATCTGGCGGAGTTTTTGTTTCAGTCTCCTTCTGAGGAATGACTGTTTTTTTTAAGTATACTTATTGCTGGTCGTTGACAGCTTGCATGTCCATATCGGTTACTGTTGCTGTATGGCGTTGGACATTTCATCCGTGTATATATTGCTATCAGATAGACTATAGATAGAGGCTGGTGGGATTCCGAATGGGCAATGGTACATTCATGTAGCATCTCTTGTGCACCAGTTCTCCCCTGGTTCCTGGCTTCCCTTTCCGCTTGCCCCTCGCCGCTTCCGTACAAAGGATTGAGCATTATGTAATCTCGTGCTTAGGCTTGCTCTAAGGGTTGTGATTCGCTAAGCTCCACAGAGAAGGCCCTAACTCTAGTATGTTGTCACTCCCGGGAATTTGCTCCGCAGTTTCTCCTGTAAATGATTCTACTAGGGTATGAAGAGCACAAATATTACTTGTCAGTGATAAGAGAATGTCCGAATGGATGTGGTTGGTCTTTCAAGGCTACATACCTATTTGACGTCATGGAAAAGTGTACATAACTTATATGTGAGTGAGCCTCAGGGCTTGGATTGTTTAATTACACTGTAGACTACAGACCTCACTTGAGAGGACAATAGATCTGCACATATCTATGGAAATACCCATCATCCACAATGTATGATGAAGAGATTTTGTGGGAAACAAAGCGGTCATTGGCAAGGATGCAGATTCGTGAAGGCCATAGGCAAAGCAAATGATTTCTTTAAGCAAAGTCTGAGGGTTCTGGTCCTCAAAGGCAATAGCGAGATACAGAAATTTGAAGACAGCCATTCCTTGTTTCATAGTACAGTCACTATCTTAGAGGACCCCAATCAATACTATGGTAAAGTCTGCCTCCATTGCGCCAAAATCAAGATCACCGCGTATTTCCATTGACACACCCTGAACACTCTCCAGGTATTATTTTTGATATCTTCAATTGATTCAAAGATATCTTTGGCCTCTTTGAACTCTGTAGATTGAATACCAGTGCCTCGTTCCACGATTTCGACCATTTCATTCGATAAATCGCCCCCTAGAGCCTATATCAGCGCGCCACGAACTTAAATTGAATATTGTGAGCACGCAATAGAAACTTACTTTCCCACTGCATCAAGATGTCCAATAGATCCGGCCTAGGGCCCGTAGATACTCGTAGACGGCAGATCATAGTTTCGCAGAATTGCAGCACATCGTGAATGTGATCCAGATAGACCTGTTCGTCCAGATCGAAGTCCGCTGGGATTGTGGTTGAACACAGTATGGAAGCAAGTAGGTCGAGATCCGAATACAGGGTTCTTAGCTCTGTGAGCTTCGGACTGGCTGTGTCTCCCATTTTGCTTTGAATAAGTCACGTCTTCGTCTATACCTTGGTCAGATCAAAATGTGTGATCTTAGAAGCCTGCTGTCTGTGATATGAAAGCTCTCGGTTGAGAAGCAGTGGTAAGCCCCCCTTATAAGTTGTTACACTCTTCGTGAGTAGGTTGGGAGATATCATTGATGGCCAATTGGGATCCAGTTGACATGTTGGTCACATTCTATCACATTTAATACCGCACTAAGATAGGCCATCAATACTCGCTTTTGCGGGGTAAAACAAATTACCCCCGATGGTAAAGGCCCAGGGTGACTTCCCGAGACAAAGTAATGTTCTTCAAACCCCCCTTCTAAATTGTTTTCGTATCTCGAACACAATGAGAAACGACAATTGTAGGGCAGTTGAGCTAGGTACACCTAATCAAAGTCAACGTGTACAGCGACTTGAAGTGCCCGGTATCTCACGGTCGAGTTTATCGGTGGTTTTCCGTTGTACCCCTGCCTGGAACCAACAGCGGCAAGCAGACGCCGACTATTGGCCGAGTGCACAAGAGAAACCGATAATGAAAATTTTGCGAAGCTTTCCTGGCCAAAGGTTAGCCATGAGCAATTTCTTGCCCATGTCGAAAGTCCATGAATAACGCATCATTGCGGTTCGCGGATTCTATTTCCACTGGTGATAAACGGCTTCGCCATGCCTGAACCTTAGTGTCGCAAGTCCTTTCTTCTTGAATCCTAAACTCTTTCAGAAGCATCGAGCCGCCAACAATCTTAAACAGTTGATCGCATGCTTGGCTGGGATATATGTGAGAAAAACTTGTATCAATTGAATGATTAGCTATACTTGAACCTTTGAACATGGACTTGCGTTAGAGAATATTCTTCTGAATATGCTTGAAGATCTGGCCTGGTGATACAAGATACAAGTATCAGCATTCTGAGAAGCAATGGTGAGACGTTCGGTGAGCCGGGGTGTGGCTATAGGCCCATCGAATATATGACGAAGGCCTGGAACCCATATACATACTCGCTCTGGAAAACTTGTATTCGAATTTTGGGCTCACTCTTGCACCCTTGCCCTTCGGAAACTTAGTAATATGCTTGTCACTAGTTTTGAATGAAAGGGGACCTAGTATAATAGTACTCTAGTTGATTCCTGTGAACGCCGAAAATGAGCTTTCGAGGCCAGAAACGGCCGCCTTTCCACCCGTAACTTATGGAGTGGAGCCGGCGCTTCATCGTCCCTGTCCAGCAGAATTTGCACCAACCTAGCGCCATCAGTCATCATCAACAGGCTCTGATGTTTGGCGCTCGTTCAACAGTCATTCCATTAGGTTCCACTTGCGACCAAAACGACGCCGAACATGGCTCCCCTCTGTAGGCCGACCTAGGCTCACTCAGACTTGAGGACTCCTGGGCTTATTTTTTAAGCTGTACAGTCACGTCACCCTCCTCTGCTAGACTAAACCATACGTAGGCTTCAATCGGAGGGGGCCAATTAATTTGATCTAACTCTCCGCCAACCAAGTTGCCCCGTGGTGAAAGCACACTGCGAGGTTGGTGCATGAGTCTCATTTGGTATAATCGCCACATGTCCCAAAGAGGTATACCAAGTCGTCGAAATGCTCTGAAATCCACTTTCCAGAGGGCGTGATAACTACGGGTCTTTTCACTGCCACGAAGGGCATTGAAAGAACCAAGCACGCGGTTTCTGCCCATCGTAAATCTCGGACTCCGACCCCATGTCGAATCCACTTGTGTATCTTGAATATTTGGCAGAGGCCAGCTTGTCTGTACCGTCAAATCGGTTGGTGACGGAATGGAAACTAAATATGAAGCCCGATGGCTAAGAGTTGTCGGTTTGGAGGAACATAAATCAACAACGCACTCCGATATCGTCTGGAGCTCTTCTGTTCCCCCCGGATACTGACACCATTCCAGATATTGTTCAACGAAGTAGTCCAGATCATGCGTAGACCATAGCCAGTAGTTTGTTGCAGCATTGTGGATCTGGTGGAAGAGCTCAAGTTTCCAGAGGCCTCGATGCGTCCGATAAACCTCGATCCATGTTGGTGGATCAACATCGAATTGGATGAGCTCGCCACCTTTGGGTGGTGGAATTCTTCCATGCATCCAATCCACTACAGTAGTAACGGGAGCCATGGGACGGCGGGGCTCTGCGGACTCAAGACGATTAATGAAACGCTGAAGACAAGCACAGGCAGTGAGATGTATTTTCGCTGCTGCGTTTACAGTCTGATGCACCGCCGCTAGTGAGTGGGTGGTGGAAAGGGGAATAGGTCGCATAACATCCCCTGGTGAGCCAGCGAGCTCTTCTAGCAGGGCTTGTGGAGTGAATGAAGTCGATAAAATGGAGGCGAGGCGTGTGAAATAGTAGTGAAGCCCGTGCGAGGTGAGGGAGCAGTTTCTCAGGACGTGTTCGGTGATCCTTTTGAACGAGCTGTTGTAAACTTCCTTCGCTCGGGGAGATATTTGTTGAAGACCGTCCAAGCTGGTGAAGTCGCAGCAAGATTCAAGAATTTGCCAAATGATTTCGGTTGGCAATTTTGCGAAAGGATCCATCTTCGGCTCGACTGGGAAATTCATGAATATTGAGAATCTTTGTAGGGCGAAAGGGCATGAAAAGGAAGAGGTCGAGTATTTATTGTAGTCCAGGGATCCACAATTGTTTGACATTGTTATTATTAAGAGGGGTGATGCAATTCAAAGTTCTTGAGATCATACTAGTTATTGGCTGGTACCCACAGTAGCAGGTGAGCCTTTATGCAATAGTTACTCGTAAGTGGGCGAATCAAACATGCCAAGGAACTAATTATCACTAGTTTAAGGGAATCCAGTACTACGTAGGCCCACCGAATATATGACGAAGGTCTAGAACCCACATACATACTCGCTCTGGAAAAGTTGTGTTCGAATTTTGGGCTCACTCTTGTACCCTTGCCCTTCAGCAACTTAGTATTATGGTGGTCACTAGTTTTGAATGGAATGTGACCCAGCATACATAGTACGCTAGTTGATTACTTTGTATCACCCGGAGTATCTATAGGGCCGAGGTGACAGGCGTCTTGCACCTTAGGCACCACCCCCTCTCAGCATTCCTCTCTACGTACCCTTTCCTTTTGATAACGCTTGGCTATATATAATTCTAAGCCCATATCGATTATTTATCAAACAGATCAATCAAATTATGCCTTTTGTAAGCCTGCCTTCCGAAGAGGTCCTGTCTGAAGGGATTAGAATCATGCAAGCGGGATTGGAGAGCGCGAAAACCGCTGCAGCGTACAGCAAGCCTGTGCTTGACAAATCCGTAAATCTGACAGCAAAGGTCGGTATCTTTCAAGGGAAGAATCCTGGGTTCAAGCACTAAAATCTGATAGGCAGCCACATGGAGCGCTCAAAATCCAGCTCTAGCTGCGTGCGCAGTTGTCGGTACTACTGGGGCGATTATGGTAGCTGCGCCTGGCCTTGCAACAGCCCCAGTACTGTCTATTATAGGTTTCGGAAACGGTATACAAGCAGGTATGGATAATACTGCAGAACTTTGAAAATTACGCGTTATTGCTGTATAATGAAATTAATTGAACGTATATAGGTTCTCTAGCCGCAGCCGCCCATAGCACGATCGGAAACATTGGAGCTGGGAGTATGATGGCTATAGCGCAAAGTGCCGGTGCAGGAGGAAGTGGCTTGGCTGTTGTCAATGGAGTTGCACAATTAGGAGGCGTTGCGATGACCGCGGGGGCTTCCACTCTAGCGTGGATCAAAGCTAGATTATGAGCGGGTCATTCGTTGATGTTGCATTAAATTATTCTCATAACTCGACATTTTCCAGCTCCGCGTGTCGGTAACAGCCTGTTTTACTCTCCAGTTCTGCGCGACAGTATTTATGCAGCGTCCAGGAAACTCATATGTATCCTTGGGAGAGAATCTATTCGTAGAGATCAAAACTACGTTCGATGAAGCTTTTCAATATTGTAAAGAGAAAAGAATCGGAACATTGACTATCTCTTTTGACTCTCTCTCAACGACTCAATCAAGTACGTCCAAATGAAATTGTATATTCAAAGCTCATGCACAGTCTAAGACCAATAACGTTTATTTGCAATGGGAGTTTTTGATTTCAGTTAGACCGCCATACTCGTGATACACCGGCTTTCTCATAGGCCCTCACCTCAACTCAAAGCAGCAAACATCTTCCCCTTAAAAACTGCACATATGCGTTTTTCGACGTAATGAAGATCTACATAGGATGCCTCCAAAACCTCCTGGTTGGTAGCTTTTCTCATCAGTGATGAATGGTACAGACCAACTCTCCCCGCTTTACCATCTCAAGCTCTACCACTAGGTTATAGGAATGGCGGCATGCCACTAAATTGAGCAGCCCCCTCGATGGGGTTCATCCACTTCAGTCGGCTGCCGCAGAATAACTCCGCCTCGGGCTTCCTTTCATCCAGAATGCGGATGTCATCAAAAATTCCTGCTCGAATGATTGTAACGTCATTAGGCTCTCCGTCAGGTTTAGTCTTCTGTCCATAAAGGGGAGTGCCTATCAACTTTGTCAGATGCTGTCAAACCCAAACTCAATGTTATGATACAGACCACAGTCAGGACAGAAATAATTCTTGACCGCATTCCCACTATCCGATATTTTTGGGACTTCTTTTGGGCTTCCAGAGACTTTCAATTCTGCGGTGTTGATGACAAAACTGTATGAATAGTGTGACCCAGTAAGCTTGCGACAATCGAGACAATGGCACAGTCCCTGCTGACAAATAATGTTAGGTTGGGTTAACGCATGATTGGATCTTATTGGGTAAACTAGCCGAAGTTATAGGCTGGCCATTGTATTCAACTCGAATATTCCCGCAGAAACAGCCGCCGACAGCCATTTTATCGACTATACGTGATAGAAGTGGTTTACGAGGAAGACTTGAAGTAGAGTGAGGCTTAGTTACATTGAATCTAGGCTGACATGACTAAGCATATGGTGGCCCCCAACAAGTTAGGATTGGGCAAACTTAGTCCAATCATTTGTGATGACTCACTACATGTTTACCATCATTCTGCTTTGAAATTGGGGAGCGGTGAGACCAATCGGATTAGAAATCATTCTCGTGGGAAACAGATGAAGATGGCCATCATAATTACCACATGAGTAATCATATTCACGAATGACCGGTATCTACCAGCAATATCCAAGACTGTCATTCATTTCATGGTAGGTCCACAGAATATAGCAAGGCTCAATCTCTGCTGCTTGTCACTTGCCTGCAGAGGACGGCACACTCGATGCACGCATGCACGAACTTTACTTTTGCCCAGAAGACGCTGTAAACGAGTCCCGGCAAGCACGATGACTTCACCTGCTACTGCAGGGACGGAGATGAAAGATGCTTCCTGCCCTATGCTCTCACTGTCAAGCTTTTCAGTTGATTGCAAATCGGCGATTTCTAGTCCATCGCATGATTCGTTGGACCGTACTAAAATTGTCAATGTCCCACTGTCTTTATGAGCTGGGTTGAAGTGGACTCTATCAGGGCTTAGTCTATCAGAGTCGTAGAAGTTCAAGCCGACAGACTCGTAGTCAAGAGTCGGTGTGCCTATCAGGGGCTCCGTAGAGTCTAGGACCATAGATACTGTGCTGAATAATTCCTTTCGCAAACTGGTCCATTCCTTTGTGAGAATTAGCATAGGATACCAGCTTTGTTAAAGGTAGCTCACATCGTGAAATGCTTTGATAGAATTTTCTAGGTCAAGAGGGGGAGCGATGTAGTCATCTCCACCCTTTCGAAGAAAATAAATGCTTTCCTTAGGGATGGCGGTTCTCCCAAGGATCAGTTCTGTGTCGAAGGCGGAGTAGCCTTTCGTCTCATTTTTTATTTCGAATGGAAGTTGAAAAAACCCGGGAGCCTGTGGTCAAAGGTCAGAACGAGTACTTTACGTTGATACGAGGGTGTTCTTGCATTTTGGAACACTCTTTGTGAGAGGTCTCCAGTCAGTTGTGGGGCCGCGAGCCGAAAGGCTCCAAAACGTTGTAGACTCGCTTGTACATTGGAAATGGTAGAGGGACTGAGCTTTGTCGCTAAATGAATCAGGGGAAGGTTCTCTTTGATGCACATGGTAAAATTGGTGGGATGATCTCGACATGAGGTGAAGATAGCCCCGCCTTTGCGGAAATGATCAAATATAGCCGCAGTCCTTGGATTGTTGCGAATTAAAGAAGACCCAAATTTGGCAACATGCGATCTTTCTTCAAAAATGTCTGCGATGCAAGTGGCGTCAGGGTTGAATACATCTATGTACATCAGATCTATTTCTTCTTTATCAATGTAAAATTGACTTCTAGTCTCGATGGTTTCCAAGTATATCACTTTGACCCAAACACTTCCCAATGTTCGCATGAAAGATTCTCATTCTACCCGGGCTTTGTATTCGAAATTCTCATTTGAGTCATTGTAGCAAAGTATGTTGATCATGTCCGAGACACTCATTGTGTTTTCTCGACCTTGGCTTTGTAAGTCCTTCTTTCATTAACAATGGTATCCTATATTGGTATAGTTCATTACTGTGAATAGGATTCTTAATTACTTCTTCTTTGATTAACATTCTGTTCGCACTTCAGACAGAAGTATAAAACCCTTTTCTATCCTGCCACTGAATCTCAATGCATGTTCTAAATACTCGTCTACTTTTATTTCACCGCAAATATCTTATATCACCAGCTCTTGTTTAACTTTTCTGGTACTAGAAGCCATCGAAATCTCAGAATGGGGAGAAGGTTGTTGGAGACATTAACGAGCCCAATCCGTAACATAAGGGAAAGGCGTCGTGAGCGCCGCGAAGAAGCGGCCGGGGCAACGCAAGGTCGGGGAGGAGCTCGAGCTCGAGGAGCGACACCACAGATTACAGGAGCTATACAAGATCCAGGCCTGGGCTTAGAGTTCCCTGAACCTGAGCCTGCACCCAAACCGAAACCTGCACCAAAACCTGCACCGGTAAAAGAACGCGAAGATTCGGGAAAAAAACCGGAGGGAGGTTCTCGATCAGGCAGTGGATCTCTTAAAAAAAAGAAATCAAACGGTTCTGGATCTCGTTCATCGAAATCTAACGCAGGTGTCAAGAAACCAGCCTCCAAGAAATCATCTAAATCAAAGTCTTTATCAAGCGAGAAATCGTCGACATGCGAGGGTAAAGGGAAGAAGCCGGCAAGTAAAGCAAGCACAGATTCCTTTGAATCGGCTGTTTCAAATCGTTTCAGGGGAGAGGTCAGTTTATCTGGTTATTTTGAGGGTCGGTATACCGAATTTCGCCCAGCCCAAACCAGGCGCGGTCTTGGCCAGTCCTTACCGGTGCTAGAGCCTGAGCCATCAGGACCTGAAGCGCCAGAATCCGAGGGTTCCTCGAGCTCCACTTGGGAGCCCAAGAGGGCATCAAGCACTATCGAAGATTGGTTTGAAAAGGATTCAAGCAAAACTCGCGAGGAACTCCAGGAACGAGGGACTGAAATGACTCGATGGATCGAGGACCCTGGAGCGGCCAATTGTCCTACCACTCAGTGCAACATGAGCAGACAAGATCTCATTCAAGCTACGGGTGGTGTTGTGTATGAATCTCCGGTCTACAGACCTTTCGGGCAGATTGAATACTCCCTGTACCTACCACCGGTAGAGGTATTGCCCCGGCAGGATGGAGACTATAAAACCTTGAATGCGGAAGGCAGGAATATCAAATGTAACACGGTTATGTCCAAGTATATAATCATCATTGAAAATGTTTTCCGTGATCCACCAGAGGACGAACCTAATTATCCGCATATATCCGAAAGCGTCATTACCATGTTCAATACGACTTTTGAAACAACTGAGATGCTCCGGTATATATTTGTGTCGACTGTTGTGAACCTGCAGACCAGAGATTATATTGACAATGTCTTATATCCGGATGGATATGAGAGTATTCCGGAGTACCAACAAGGAGCACCTAATAGAGAAGCTGATTTCCCGAAACCAGACTATTTTGCGCGGGGCACACCTGCTTATCAGGAGATTCTAGGTACCCGGATTGGAAGAATGGTGGGGTCAATTGTGCTGGCTGCTTTTCCCCGGGGTACAAGGCGGATCACGGGTATTCATATCTGGACTTGTACCGGTGGTATGCAATTCCGTTTTGATCTCAGGTCAAATTAACCAGGCTGTACTAAACAAACAAGATGTATTATGAAGCAGGGGCTCTGTTGGGAAGGGGATGAGTGGAGCCTCTGTGGAAGGGGAGATGAAAAAGATTCATGGAACAATCCTCAATGTGGTGGGAACAAAAGGGAGAAGGGCAGAAAGGAGGAAGCGATAGATTTTATACTGGGGTTCAATTTCATCGCGATCATCAGAACTGCTATTGTAGAGTTTTCCGTGTGCATTTGTTTTCCTGGCTGTCTCATTGGTGTTACTAATCTTGTTATTCATCATTTTCTATTATCTGCTTGGTCATTTGGTTCATGCATGTATAGGTTTTATGGAAGTCAATTTCTTAGTCCTATCGGGTCCCTTTCGTAGCCTTCAGTCTATGTGAAAATGATAGTATACGTGCTACTCCTTTGCTTCATTAATAACCTGCCCCTACTGATTTACCTAGTTGTACTTTAGCTCCCAGCGGAACTAAAGAGATTTAAATCCACAGCTCCGGGTTCGCCGTTCCTGTTTGAGTAAAATGACGCAGATATCAATTTCTATAGAGCCTAGATTACACGATCCAGGGTGACGAAGCCGCGTTTAGGGGATCCTTGAGATTCAAGGGTTACAAACAGGAGGGGATATTGTCTATCCTAAGACTGGGTGATTATTTAGGGCCAAGTTCTTGACGCATGACATGTATTTATCCTTGTAGGAAATGAAGAACCTCATACCCGGATCGATGAACTCTAATATACAATATTCCAAATCCATTTTTAATAGTAATAGAGGTAACAAGTATCAACAAGCACAGTAAAACATATACGATATCATATATTGAAACAGAGACGGACGTAACTAGCAGGAATACACAAAATGTTATTCGCTCAAGTATCAGGAGCTCTTGAGACAATTTGATACACCCGGTGACACTTGATGCATTCCCTTAGCCGGAGTAGTCACCACGATAACGGTTAGTGACCGTGAAAGTGCTGTCAGAAGAGCAGCTCTGATCAGCGGCATAGAAACCTCCACTGCAGGAGCCATCAGACCCAGCGGCAATTCCAATGAATGACAGACTGGACTTGGCAGTTCCAGAGTAGTACGTGCTATCGGGGGCAAAGGCAGAACACTCCTTGGGGTTGCCATCGAATTTGGAAGTACATCCAAAAGTCCAGGTGCCGTCCCAACAGTCGGAAGTGACTTCGATCTTCTCACTGTTTGACATACAGGGAGAGTAGCCACCAGGATCGGAACTGCTGTAGAAAACGTTTCCGTCGTTATCGCCAATGGCGAAGCCGGCGGTGGCGCCACTGCCAGAGCCTTGGATGGCAGAGAAAGAAGAAGTGTCGTAGATGAATTGGAGGTTGTTGTCTGCAAGGGCTGTTGTGGCCGCCGCGCAGATGAAGAAGAGAGACTTGGCCAGCATTTTGAATGTCAAGCTGAGAATATACTATAGTGTACTCGACAAGTTGATTTAATGTAGAGCACGGAAAGCGCAAATGCGAATAGACTGACTCAATTGAGGTTTGGTTTGTTTCTGGGGTGATCCAAGGTTGATGTCTTCCATTTTCTGGGGAGTTGAGGGGGGTATTTATAGCCAAGTCGCATTGTTCAATCCGGAGAATACCGACTAACTACCTCCGAAAAGTACTCAGCATATGGCAAAGGGTAGGTGCTACTACAATCAGATGTTGGGGTCCATTCTCCAGTACCACGCGAGGCCCACTTTTCTATCGGCCATTGCAGGATCTGTGAGGCGGATCAGGATCTACCGGGGTGGACGAGGATTTGATCGACCATTCTTACATTTCCCCTTTTGAGCTGCGATGATATCAGATCCAGCTGCCTGGGTAATCTGCCTGGGTATTGGGCCTTAAGTTGCCGAGCAGGAACTCTTCATCAGACATAGCTCTAATTTTAGTAGGGCCAGATGATCAATATCCTAATGAAAATGGAAATCCGGTTTCATTACATAGCTGATTAGATGTTGCTTTACCTGCCTATTATGAGAAGACAGTCTTAGAAGGAATACTGACCACCCCATCCCGCAAAGGATGGATTTCTCCACCTTCCCTACACCCGATAGACATGACGCATTCAACAATCCAAGTGGAGTTCTGTTATCAACATGTCTTGCAAACCCATCGGCTTTAAGCAGGGAATTCGGGTATATGCACCTCCACTATGGACGAGTGCAAATACACAAGTGTTGGAGAACCTTGGAACGTTTGATTGAATCAAAGCCGAGTTCAAAGGATGCTCTTGCAACGCTTTTAGATCACAGGACAAGGAAGGCTCATGGGATTCGACTCATTAGACCACCCGAAAAATCTTCCTTCTTGGCCATTTACCGTGCAAATAATGAATGATTCTAGAAAGGTATATAACTGAAGTGGAAAAAATAGGCCTATCTGCTCATATATACAGTGTATAGGCAATAAAAAAAATTTATAAGTCAACGCTGTCTATCTATACACAAATCATTATCCAATTTCCCAAGCAGATTCCTTATAATTCTGTCTCTATTGCGGGGAGGGAATAGTTCCCATCGGGCATCCAACTCGCAGGGTCTGAAAAATCTTCATACCAGACACCTCCAAGTGCATTAATATGGACATATCCGAACCGGAAATACTCGACTAAATTCGGTCGAGCTCTCGTCCACGCGAAATTAGGCACTCCAGCATTATCCTTTGGTTTCATCTCGTTGAACCTTTGGACATCGTTCACGAGAACGCTGATCCCGTCAACGTGTGCCGGGATTTTGGGGAACGAGAAGACGAGGTTATTCGTATCCACCATGGTAGGCGCGTTGATGACCGGGGGTGCTGTGCCGAGTTTACCACCATCAAGGAGGGCCGCAGGCGTTTGGAGAATAGAATCAAAGCCCCAGCGGGCGATGCCGTTGATAAAAAGGCCAATTAGAATGCCCTGGAAGAGGAGACTTGGGCGAGTTTGCGGGGTTGTTCCTGGGAGGAAGAAGAGAGCGAGAATGTAATGATGGATGCGAAGGTTCATATGCGGGACGGCGACGAGAATGAGGATGAGGAGGACGAAGAAACCGTATAATCCCAGTCTGGACAAGAGACGTCCTTCACGACGGAAGGCATGGGCTTGAAGGAAAAAGACTATGATGAGGAATCCGACGATGATTATGAGCGCCGTCACGGCGCCGGGTTGTTGTTGGATGTCGTGTGGCGTTAAACGCGAGATAGGGATCCGGTCAAAGGTATCAGTGTTCAGAGCGCCGACCCAACACCCACCTAGCCAGAGGATGGTCTTGTCGATATGGGCATCGAGATTTTGAAGAGTGTTTCGCACGCAGAAGTAGTAGAGGGTGAAACCGACGAATGCACCAGGGAGGAAGCGGCCCAAACCGATGGAGACGAGATTATAGTACCCTGACGTTGGGGGGTCGGAAGCCATCGCGACCTGGAACCAGACTATAAAATAGATGACGCTGTAGAAGACCGGCGCGGAGGTGACGGTCATGGAAAAAACCATCGTTGTCAAAACCGTGAAGGTGAACAGTGGCCAGCGAATATCGGAGCACTCGACCGGCTTCGCAGCGCTAAATCCTGACGAGGAAGCCTCCTTGCTGAGAAGAAATGACATCGGGAAATACGACAGGTACTCGATGCTCTCAATGCCATTCTGCACCACGGATTCAAACTTATCCCGCGCACCCCGGCGACGCAGAATACCACACCCTCCCTTCGCGTCGCTAATCATTCCTGCATGCAGCGCCGAGGCACAAATCGACGAATCACCACGATAAATCCCACTATTGCGACCGTCTAGTCGAAACGGTTTACCGCCAACCACTAGCGGACGATAATTATACTCCTCGCCGCCGACATAGTAGGGCTCTAGTAGTATGGCCTGCGCACAGCCTGCTGGACAGCGAAAAGCAAATGCTTGATCATCAAAGGGTTGACAGAGATCACCATTGATTCCGCAGTCAGTAGCATTACTCCTAAGGTTTATCAGCACACAATTCAATCCGATACTGAAATACTTGTCTGAAATCATACCATAAGCGACTGTGACATGATAACTTGACCGGCTGTCCATACCCTAAGACTTCCTGATCAGCCACAGAAGCCTTGAGGGATGAGAAGAAGACAGCAATCCAAAACACTAAGCCCAGCAACAGCAAAGCGATTTTCGCTCCCATGCGTGGAACAAAACGATCAATCAACCGAGTCGGCGCAGCCTGCCACCGCGGAAACCACGGATTGATATGATAAACATGTGGCGGCGTAGGGCCACGCAGCCAAGCGGAGAACCCAGACAACGTGCAGGAAAACGGCGGATCGTGTCTAAATTGGTCCGGGGAATTGGACTCGTCCGAAAAATGGAACTCCGAGTCGGTGTCCTCGAAATCATAGTGGTCTGCTAGTAGCAGAGGCACACTTCCTAGTTCTATGTCCCCATTTACAAGATCGAAGCTACCCCCGGCTCCTTTGCCGCTATCGCGCGCATCAAAGTCGGGCTCGGCATCTTGATATGGTGGTGGGGACTGGGGGTTTGGGGGCTTCTCGGGCGCTCGGGAGGCGGCCGATGCTGCGTTTTCGCCGGCCTTCCATGGAGGAGTGCTCATTTTTCTTTTGGCGGACACACCGATTTGGTGTGGATGGTGTCCTGGTTTTTTTCCTGCTCTTTTTTCCGGTTGCCAGCGTGGCGTTGGGATGGCATGCCAAGCTCGGACGGGGCCTTAGTAATCGTTTCATGATGCGATAAATTAGTGCAATTACCGGGATCTACAGGGTTGGTGTATCAGGTTGAAATGAGGGGAACTAAGGGTCACTCAATCGCTAGAAATTTGGGGTATAGCTCAAGGGCCACGCCAAAATTGCGACCTTTCGTTGTCGATACGAACATCTGCAGGGTTCGAGGACCATACTTAAGGTTTGCGGCTCGGCAGGGGCAGAATCAGAGCTGGGAGATTGGAAATGCACAATGCAGCGAAAAGTGTTCTGCATCAATTAAATTCATTAAACGAGTGACTGTCACTAAACACCAAAAGCACAATGTCATGAGTCCACCAAGGGTATCAATAAGTCGTAATTCGTTTGCCCCGTTGTCATGAGGAGCGGGAGAATGCGACAAGAAAGCAATAGATAATCATGAAACGACCGAGATTCACCACTGTTTTGAGGCAGGCGCGGAGTCATGAGTCACAAGGCACATCCAGCAATTATTCCACCCAGGAAGAATGGTTGGGTTGGATTCACAAGCTCGTGGGACTCCTCCGCGGTAGGAAGCCCTCTATGCTGTGCCGGCTGCTTCAACTTTGCGCGAGCGGCCCCAGCGACGACGGGTACTATGGCAAATTAGCATAACATCCACGATTTTCGGTACACGCTTGCTGGCGCTCGGAATTGTCGGCGATGGTAGGGAATCACGTACGTGGTGGCTTCGGCAGCAGTGTCGCGCTTACGGAAGGTGAACCAGATGCCCTGCCAAGTATGTTAGAATCGTATAGAGTAAAGCACCTTCAGGCCTTCACTTACCACAAGAGCAGAGACAAGCCAAACAATTGCAGACAAGAAGCTGAAAGCCTCAGCAGCCTTCCAACGAGCGCAAACAGAATCACCGCGGAAGTGCCATGACCAGATGCTGCCACAGGGCAAGTGGTGAATTGCGTCAACCAAGATACCGAAAGCGGCGAACCAGGCAAAGGAAATGAGAACGTCGACTGTCAGAATCGTCAGCACATGTATGGATGATCAAGAGCACAGCTAGAAAAACGTACGAGGCCAAGAGAAGAATCCCGAAGAGAATGGGATCAGCCAAATCAACGCCAGTAGTAGAGACAGCCCACCGATGACTTCAGTATAGATCCATCGCGCCTGAGGCCAAGGATCAATCGAGTCAAAAGAGGCAAGATAATGCCCAATAATACCCACCACAACCGCTGCAAAGGCGATTTCCGCAATGCGAAGTGGGATAGAGAACAGGCGCGAGATGACAGGCATGGTGGGCTGTGATCTACGTGATTTGTATCGAGTTGAGAAGGCTGAAGAAGTTGATCAAAGTTTGGAAAGCTTGGCTGAGCCGGGGCTGGTTGAGGAATTCACGATGCTGGGGATCGACGAGGTATATAAGGTATGGGGGGACAGAGTCACACGAAAGCTAATTCCGAGTAACAACATCAGAAAGCAAGGGTCGATCAACCGGGAAAAACATTATTGATCATAAAATTGGAAAATAGAAACAAAAAGAACAAAAGTCGCTCACATCATAGCTTCATCTGTATACAGCTGAGACCCACAGACCATGCAAGAGTCAAAAACATCCGATCATTTCCCAGGTTGGCTGCAGACTCGTTGTTTTGTCTTGATTGGACTGACTTTTCGAAGTCCTTCGTGGCCCAACCTATGTCCACGGCGTTTGCACTCCGACCGCCGCTGATGCAGTCTGTGACCTATCCTCTTCCCCGATCGGAGTAAGGAGTCTAGTGGGCGCTCCACCCTGTCAGGATCCCTGGAGCTAGGGACCCCGGTCGCATGTAACTGGTGCCTAGCTCAGGTTCTGGGGCGAGAAAACAAAAAGCTACGTAGGGCATAGTTGTCATGTTGATGGGCAATAAGGTCCATCCCTGTTTTTTCTCTATTTTGAGTCTCGCTATTCTAGTTTCGCGTTTCGATGTGTTGGCTTTCCGCGGTATTTGTTGCAGACTCCCCTGCGCATGTGGACAAAGTACTAACGCACCAAATCTCTCCCTCGTCCACTGCCATCCACAACGCCCTTCACGTTTGCAGCTCAAATATCAGGCATGTTCTCGTATCGACGGAACCGATAGGTGCATAGGTGCATGTCTCGTATCATTGTTCCGTGGTCGTGACTGTCGATCGTTTGACTATTTGCCAATAGTAGCGGGCTTTGCTTTTCGTCATTTTGGGTTGCGTGGTTCCACAATGGCGATCATTGTCCGTGGGCCTGCAAAACAAACTCCTACCGGATGACGCATGCTCGTGGAGTGATGTCCAGGTACCTTCCACTCTGTATTGCTTCATCATGACCGAAAAGAGATACTGAGCAATCGTATGTTTATGAGAGTACCTGTAAGGTCGTACAACCCTTGCCTTGCTTTGAGCTACACACATGACGCTATTTGTTCTCAGCCCTATGACGTGGGGAAGATGAAGTGCCCTTGGACGTACATGGCCAGGTGACAACTCTTCGTATGCCCAGAAAGTTCCAGGCGAGTCTGCCAAATACCCAACTCTGACACATGCAGCTCCTCCACCTGCAAGTGGAGCCCCGATCGGCTCTACAGATGTGATCCATAGATAGAACAGTCACATGTCCTTGGGCCAGGCGGTCCCCATTTACCGGGGAATAGAAAAATTGTTGCCCGTACCTGAACGCTTCTCCCTTATCGACACAATTCTTTCAATGATATGGTTCTTGATTACTATCTCTCTTGGGGTTCCGAGGTAGCATTAATGATATATGAAGAAGAGGCAACCTCAAGGGACATCCGACGCCCCGCCACACCAGACGCTCCAACTCAAACAATATAGAGGAACAAGACAAAAAGGAAGTAATGTTACATCATTCACGCAGTCGTCTTAGACATGCTTGCGATCATCCTTCAGGAACCAAGCCATGACATCCTGAAACACCCCCTTGGCACCTTTCTCGACCACGTCCCCATGGCATGGAATGAGCCGGTCAAAGTCCCACCGAGCAATCCGCTGCATGGATGCTGTGAACGAAGCTCTGTTGTTAGCTAAGATATACCAAGCAAAACGCCGGTGTCCTGTCGAAGGCTCGTGTAGACTCAAGAGGGGAAGAACCAGCCGGGTCAAGAAGTTGGCGCTAGCACCCTCCTTGGTCTTCGAGTACTGCTCGGTCGCGGGCAAGTTGAAAATGAGATCGCCCTCGATGACAGTACGCGAGGGTCTGTGGAGCAGAACAATCTCGCGTGATCCATGCCCTTGCACGTATTCAACGTCAAACTCCGCGTTGAATTCCTCCGAAATTTTCTTGTCTGATCCGTCCTTGTACACATGCTCGAAAGGTGTATCCTTAAACTCAGGGACTTTCTGTCGCTTTTCCCACAGACCATGCGGTGCAAGGATATGAGCCTCCGGGAAGGCGTTCTTCCATGCTGTGAGGTGCAAGTGGTGCTCAAGATCCGGCGCGATGATGTACCTGACGTTGCCGCCCTGCGACTGGACTGTGTCACGGACTTCGGGTGTGAGGCTAACGGGCGAGAAGATGGCGAGGGAGCCAGTTGCGAGCTTGACTGAACGCAAGGAGGGTTAGCTTTAACTTCCACGACCCACTCACGATCTCCTGGACTGGCACCCTCCTTTTTCCTGCAAGGGTGGGAGATGACGGTACTCACTTAAAGTTCCTCGAGCTCCGAACCGTACGATTCCGAACCGCGCGAATGGCAGACTGAACGTGATGATTTCTGGCGTCACCGCACGGATGACCATCGACGAAGACGGGTCGGTCGGGAAAAGCTGCGGCATTTTGGTGGTATTGCGTTGAGTCACGCAGGGTTATGTATTTGTATATCTGGGGCTGCTCCTGGCGTTGAATGTCTCAGTTGCCCGTACCTGAAGATAAGGCAGCGAGTTCGGGGAGGATAGTGAGAGCTGGGAAGTCAAGTAACAGAAATCTTGGAAGGAGAGGAAATCACAATTAATTTAAGCAGGCACGACTGGGACAACGCTTTTCCTGGCAAGAGCGCAATCGAGGAAAGAGCTTGATGACGTGCCTAGACCCCGCAGGACCGTTAGATCATTGGAAATCACTTGCTTACCTAGCTCTCCCGGTCCAGGCCCCACAATCCACCGTACGATCAATAAGCTGCCTTAATCTCCGACCAGATTTACGCATAACTCGCATAAAAGATTTCATTGGAAAAAATAAGAGGCACCGAGGCAAATGGAATGTATTCGCAAAATAAGAATCAAGCTCCAAGAAAACGCCAACTAGCCTAGGGTATCATATTGAACGTCGCGCAGAAAAACGGTCACACCAAAGCCTCATCAGCGGCCACCGTACCAAGTTGTCGCAGCCTCATCCGCACTCTCATTGCGGTGGGGAATGATCGACTCTGTGATGTTAAATACATCCACCAACTGCTCCCAGGTCTCAAAATCGAGGCTGAAAATGGCCTGGCGCTTCTGTATGCCCCGAGCTTGGGCGTCACTTGGTTGATACGGGCGGGAAGTATCTGTTCAATGGTCAGTTCTCTCACGTGAAATAGACAAGGACAAATTACTCACGGAGAGTTGGTAGCTCACGGCTATCTGAGCTAACACCGACACTGCCGTCTCGGACCAGGAAGCTGACATAAAAAAGATTCTCGACGCTTTGGCCAAATGAATGCGGGTTGATACAGAAGCGGAAAAGAGGAACTCCGCCATCATCCGCAACATTATGGTCGGCCATCATCTTCTGCTTCGTCTCTTCCTTTGGTTCGTCTTCCATCTCACTGAGCTTTGTGTCCACAGCCTCTTGGCCCTCAATTTGGATTTTGCCTAGCAAAGTGTTGATATTTTGGCAAATGGTTGTTAAGTTCGCGTTCTCTTGTCCACTAAGGTCATCTTGCACCAATTCATTGGGCTTAGTGAGCTGTGTAGGGTCGAATCGCTCGGTCTGAGTGCGCTGCGTCAGTTGGCGCGTCTTTTTTTGAACGGAGAGTGGTCCCAGCAGCCATCCAGATACGGTAGGCCGGGAATTGCAAGGAAGACAGGCGGTTCGACCTAGCCAATCCCAGTTCATCGCGTCACCCTCATCCGCCTCGTCGCTATCATCCGGGTCTCTCTGGGTCGCAGCATGGCGACGTCGGCGTGTTCCCGCGTTAGGCGTGAGAGTCGAGAGTTCAGGTCCCCGGCGCATATAGGAAATACACTTGGAGACGAATTCGTCGACATCTATACCGGCAGTGTTGTCCCCGAGCGCAATTTGTGCGGTCTTTTTGTGAGAGAGATCCGCTACATTAACGAGCAGGCGTGAGTCGAGAGTGGCGTCTGACGTCTGCTTTACACCAGCATACAGTTCGTTGGCCTTCTCAAGGGTCTTCTTGATTCCGTCATTGCCTGTCCGCATAAACTCGGCTCGTGAAGCTGTATTGAGACGCTTTGTTAGAAAATAGCCTCATTTCGTATGAACCAGTGACAGAGTGTTCCTACTGTGGACATCGTGTTGCAAATCTCTAAACCCCTTTCGATTACGTCTTCGCTCCTCGGGATCTTGATCAGGATCATAGTATTTCGTGCTATTATTGCGCCGTGACGAGTCCATTTGCGACTGAGTATTGGAGGTGCGATCTGTAAGACGGCGACGTTTGGATGTGCTAGCTGACGGCATCTGGGCGGTGCTTTTTTTGTTTGAATGTCGTGGGTTTTCCTTGTCTGAGGAGGATGTAGGTGATGGATGGCTGGGGCTGTGGGCAATTGGTTCCTCCAGCTGAGAGTAAGAAACGTGGGCCATGATTCGAAAGGTTTCTGTGAAAGATAGATGCGCGCGCGAACAAAGGGCCTCAAAGGCAAATGAATAAGTGGGTCCCAAAAACGCAAACTCCCTATCCTTTGTGGAAGGAGTGCTATAATTAAGACGAGTCGTGATTGATTTGGGTTGCGAACACAACCGTAACTGTTGTAAAGTTGATGCATCGATTTTCCCGTTTTCGAGAGCGCGTCGCGTGCTACACGTGACCGTGATGGTGGGGATTCCGATCGACTCTATAGGATATGTGATTGTGATATCTTGGTGTACTAATTTACTACTTGATGTGATCAGCGAGCCTGGTCTCATGGCCAGGAAATCCAACCTGTAGATTCATGCTCTTATTTATATCTTCGTGTCCTCTGTTTTATCCTGTTGAAAATACATGCGAAAAGACCGCATTGTTCACGATGCAAGAGCGACAGGATAGTCATTTTGAGCGGTAATGTGGGGCACTCTCAAAAAGTGAGAATCATGATAGCTCTATATACCGTCCTTGTTGCCCTATTAGTGTTATTTTGCAAGTATGGCCGAGTGGTCTAAGGCGCCTGATTTAAGACTCTCTTGCGAGAGTAAAATCCCAGGTCTCGAGAGAGGCGTGAGTTCGAACCTCACTGCTTGCAATTCGTTTTTTTTTCTTTTTTAATTTCGATTCAATTCTCACTTTAGAAAAAAAAACAAAAGGCTATCTTCTTGTAGTACTCTCTGTGTGGGTTGCATGCCTCATGAAATGTTGCAAGTATCTTCATCAAAAATGGCGATTCATATCGTAAGGGATGTCAAATATTTCCACATCAGTGCACCGCCTGTGAAGCTCCATATTCCCACGTGACGATAAGCATTGCTGAGTCAGTCCCCGCAAGAGCTCCATTACGTCCACCCCCAGCTGCATTGCCTTATAGAGTGCCCCACGAAGATGGAGGCATTCACCTTTGCGCTGTCCACCCAGGTGGGCTTGCCAGTATGCATCAAAATGTAGGGGTTGAAAGCAAACAGCATGCAAGATCATAACTCAGCTGACAATCTACAGTGGTTCACTTGAGGGCAAACAGAAGCAGATCCCGTTCTCTCGTCTGCTCCAGAACCCCGAATTGCGGTATCTCGGTTCCGCCCAGAACCCTTGTTCCGATCTTTTTGTTACCGTGCAATTATGGTCGGACTCTAAACCACTTGGTGTACCACTCCAGACTTCGTACAAGGCTTTCAAGACCACTCGTTCGTGGAACGAATGGCTACAGATGCCTATGTCCATCAAGGATGCCCCGCTCAACTCTCAACTGGCAATCACAGTATGGGATTTATCCCCGCTGGCGGGCGATGGGCCTCAAGACCACGACGTTCCCTTTGGTGGGACCACGATCTCATTATTCGATCACGAGGGCAAACTGAAGATGGGACGGCAAAAGTGCAAGGTGTATCGTCACAAAGCTGCAGATGGCTTCTCATCAACAATGACGCCATCTGCTCCCCTTCCTAAGCGGCGAAAGCCCAACGCTCGTGGTGTCCTAGCTCCATCTCCAGAAGAAGCAGAGCTGGAGAGGATCGAAGTTCTAATCAAGAAGCATGAAATGGGCGAAATCACTCGAATCGACTGGATGGATCAGATGGTCTTCCGTCAGCTGGAAAAGCTCAAGCTCCAGGCGGAAGAGGCTGCGCGCAAGCGCGCTATCCACTTCAAGAATACAAAACCAAGGAGCCAAGATGCTGAAGATGATAGCTCTGATGAGGAAGACTTGGATGACGAAAACTTTGTCCTTTATGTGGACTTTCCCCGATTTGATCATACGATTGTCTGGGCCGATCATCAATACCCCTCTGCCCCGATTTCTTCCTACCCTCAAACTGTACCTGCTCACCCGAACTCCGCCCTAAAGCCCGTCCCAGAAGTCCGATTCGGCCCTGGGATTGAAGGTGGAGATGGTGCGGGAGTAGTCAGGATTTATGACCCTGAAGTTGGACAGACAGGAAACCCGTGTGAGGATAAGCACCGACGCTTGATCCGTAGCCATCGGACTGGTTTCATGGATCGGGAACTGAAGCCCAACCCCAAGAACCGGGATGAACTAAACATTATTCTTTCATACGAACCGACACAGGACCTGACTGCTGAAGAGAAAGATCTTGTGTGGAAATTCAGATACTATTTGACTCGGGAGAAGATAGCGTTGACAAAGTTTGTAAAATCGGTCAACTGGCGTGACGACGGTGAGGCTCGACAGGCAGTGGAGATCCTTCCCAAGTGGACTGATATCGATGTTGACGATGCTTTGGAACTTCTGGGACCTACATTCGATAACCCAGCAGTGCGTTCTTATGCTGTCGCGAGGTTGCATAAGGCGGATGATGAGGAGCTTCTTCTTTATCTTTTACAACTGGTGCAAGCCTTGAAATACGAGGAAAACTCTGAAAATGACGTTGATGAAGCTGCCCACGATTCTTCACTTGCAAATTTCCTGATCACGCGCGCCGCCAACAACTTCAAGCTAGGCAATTACCTGCATTGGTACTTGATGGTTGAGTGTGATGATGCAGGGCCAGGTACGCTCTCTACACAACGCCGCCTTTTTGCGCGAGTTGAATACTACTTCATGAGTGAACTCGAGAAATCCAATGCAGAGCACCGAAAAATTCTCCTGCGACAAGGTGAACTTGTTGCCGTGCTCTCGAAAATCGCCAAAGACATTCGCTTTTCTCGGGAAACCCGTCCTGCAAAGATTGAAAAGCTGAAAAAGCTGCTTCGGGATCCTAAGAACGACATTATCAATATCGACCCCCCATTGCCACTCCCACTAGACCCAGATGTTTCTGTGGTGGGCTGTTATCCTGATGAGTCCAATGTTTTCAAATCGACATTGTCGCCCCTACTCATCACATTCAAGACCACCGATGGTCGCCGGTATCCGCTCCTCTTCAAAGTGGGTGACGATCTTCGTCAAGACCAATTGGTCATTCAGATTATCATTTTGATGGATCGGCTCCTTCAAAAGGAAAACCTGGATCTAAAGCTTACGCCTTACCGGATCCTCGCCACAAGCTCTACGGCGGGCGCTGTTCAATTTATTCCATCCACTTCCCTCTCTGCCGCCTCGGCCAAGTACAAGTCCATTCTCGCCTACTTGAAAGAGCACAACCCTGATGATAACGAGCCTCTTGGAGTTCGCAAGGAGACGATGGACACATACATTAAGTCCTGTGCGGGTTACTGTGTGATCACTTATCTTCTTGGTGTGGGTGACCGGCACTTGGAGAACTTGCTTCTCGCCCCAGACGGCCACTTCTTCCACGCTGACTTTGGTTTCATTCTCGGTCGTGACCCCAAGCCTTTTGCTCCTATGATGAAACTCTGTAAAGAGATGGTAGAGGGCATGGGCGGTACAACCTCGCCACATTATTTGCAGTTCAAGCAGTACTGCTTTACTGCGTACACCACCTTACGCAAATCAGCCAATCTCATTCTCAACCTGTTTAGTCTGATGGTCGATGCTAATATCCCGGACATTCGCGTGGAGCCTGATAAGGCTGTCTTCAAGGTAAAAGAGCGCTTCCATCTGGAGATGTCTGAAGAGGAAGCAATTCGCCACTTTGAGCAGTTGATTGGGGACAGCGTAAACGCTATATTCGGCGTGGTGATTGATCGTTTGCATGAATTTGTGCAAGGCTGGAGGGCATGATCCTCACGTCACCGAATTTTTGTTTACTTTAGAGCGTTGGAACTTGCTGGAGTTGAGGCTATGTATATACAGAACAGGATACCCAGCTGGAACGATTAAAACCTATCAATCTACCTTTTTGGCTTATGGAATATCTACCAACCTCTAACATCTTATCATGAAACCTTGCTGGTCCGGCATAATCAAGCTTGGTTATAGTTCCTACTTACCGCCCAGCATGCCCACCGCCCTGTACTCCGCCCCGATGCAACGGCAATTTTCTGTCCCTGCTGCGATTATCAACTCGATTGTGATCGTGGAACTTGCTGTTGCAAGTCGAAATGACGGCCCTTTTTACATTTTGATCACTGCTCGCCTTTGAAACAATGTCGCAATTTATACCACGCCAGGTCTTTCCTCATTATGGGGCCATCCCAAGGTCTTATTTCCTGGGACATCACCGAGCTGGATTGACCAAAATGAAGAGCATGCTCTCGTTGATTGACTACGTCGTCGAGTGTCGTGATTATCGGGCGCCTGTCACTTCAATCAATCCCATGTTTGAAGAAGCTCTGGGCAAGATTCGGCGACTGATTGTCTACACAAAGAGAGATCTTGGAGGCAAGCTGCACTCAGCAGAGCAGCAGTCGGTGAGTCACAAACCAAGAAACCAGAGGCGTAAGAGTCCCAAGCTAACTGACTCCAATACAGTTAGAAAGAAAAGTTCGAAGCTTCGACCCGACCAGCACCGTTTTCTTCACCGACTCATCCTCCCGTGCAGATCTCAACCGCATTATACGACATCTTCGCGAAGATGCTTCGGCGCCTGATAAACTGACCGGATGCCGTATAATGGTTGTTGGAATGCCCAATGTGGGTAAATCAACATTAATCAATCATTTGCGAAACCATGGTGTGGGGAAAGCGAAGGCCCTAAAAACCGGTGGCCAGCCTGGAATTACACGCAAGATCGCAAGCCCTGTCAAGATCATTGAGCGAGAGAGTGGGTCGCATACCTATGTCCTTGATACACCTGGTGTGTTCATGCCCTACGTGCCTGACGCGGAGAATATGCTTAAGTTGGCTCTTGTTGGGTGTGTCAAGGATTCTGTGATATCGCCCGTAACTCTCGTGGACTACCTATTGTATAAGATCAACCTGCATGATCCGCAGGCGTATCGGCGTTGGTCTGAGCCCACAAATGAGGTCATTCCTTTACTTGAGGGATTCGCGCGCCAGACTGGATTACTCATGAAGGGTGGGATACCCAATGTGGATGCTGCTGCTCTCCATTTCATATCGAAATGGCGATCGGGGGATGTCGGGAAATTTATCCTCGACGATCTAGACGCAGAAAAATTGCGTTTGAGCAACCCTGAGGAGACCAAGCACATGAGCATGTCCCAGGCGTTGAAATTCGAAAGGGTAAATCGAAAAAACAAGTCGAATGCTGATACCCCATCCGATTAATTTATTGTAACTATATAATGAAAGAAGACTTTGAAGATGACATTTGAATACGATGTGTATTTTTTCAACGCCGAGTCGGCATAGATAAAGCAAAACTAGACAATGCTTGAGATGTGAATATTTCGTAAAAGGATCCGTAACGCCGACATAAAAGGCAAAAAAATCAAAAACCCCTTGACACATGCACGATTGATCAGGAAATCTTGTCCAGGAGCCGTCTCCGCCGACGGTCAACTAGCTCCTCTTGTACTTCATCAAGTGTCGGTAGTCGCCACTCGACCCCGTCGCCAGCATCACCAGGTAACGGCTCCCAACCATCTTCAGCATCATCATCGCCTTGACCACGCAGATGCTCGATGGCCTCCTTCTCCTTCTGCTTCTCATAAGCAAGCAGTGTCCCATCCTCCTCGTCAAGTCCATAACCAAAGTAATTGGCATCAACCTTTCGGGTAGCAATATCCCCACCCCGACCAGCACCCGCACCCTCCTCCTCAGCAGGCCCCTTCGACCGGCGTGCAGCATTCTCAAACATCTCCTTAACACCAGGCAGCTCCCTGGCCCGACCGAAATATCGATATCCCTTTCCACCGCCAGGAATTTCCCTTCCTTCATCGTCATACACGCGACCCGATCCGCGCATGTAGTTTGGGCCACCCAAGTTCCGGATCTGCATCTCCCAAGCCCACTTCTCCCGCATAAGCTTATTGATCTCATCGTTTAGATCACGAATCTGGAAATCGCTCAAACTCTGTTCTTGAATGCGCGATACTTTGCGGGAAACTTCTTTGAGAACCTGGCCACGCCAGCGCTCGCAGGTTGGGACGGAGTCGATGCTTGTAATGGCTTTGGGGCGACGGGTTCGGCCGAGATCAATAATTCCCATGTCCGCTGCTTGTTGCGCTCGGAAGCGGAACAGCATGGACTGCGCTTTTTCGCTGTTGCGAGCCTATTTTCATGGTGAGGGGTGATCGTTAGCAAAAATCCCATTATTGGGTGGGTTTGAATTCTGAGGGCTTGGTGTGGCTGATGAGGGGTGGTTGAATTACCATTTTGAAGGATTGGCCGGGTCAGCGACCGGGGTTGTGGTAAATTGAGGCAGTGGGAGGAATCCGGAGGTGGAAAGTGAAGCTTGACAGCTGCGCATGAGGTTCAGCGCTAATTTCAATTGCCGCGTCTGCCGCGCGGTTTCATGTCACGTGATTTATTGGCGCCGTGAGTCAGCGTGCCATAGAATCTTGTCTTTTAATGGTTTTATATACCTATTTGTAAATCTGTATGATCATGGATGTGCTCAGAAGTTCTTTTGACCTTGTGATTTTCTAATAAAGAAGTATCCCCCTGTCATGCATGATATCATCCGTTGCTTGAATATATATCTGCAGCTAAGTAAGCAAATGAACATTTATCAACGAAACATTATCCGGCACTCCACACAATATGTTGTGAAAATCAACTAAGCCTTGATGTTGTCTGATGATTTGCTAGGTATTCGATATGTAAATTTACTGTGATTAAATGGACCTTATACCCTGCAACCACGGGCTTCTTTCAAATGGTAGCTCTTCTTGAGCGCAGATCCCGCTACATAACTTCGGGAGAAATCAAGCTATGGTGATTGGAGTCACATGATGTGCCCCGGCCTCCAACCTGCATGAACGCTTAGAGCCTCAGAGGTGCTGGCTTGTTTTCTTCTTTGGAAGGTTCCCATGTCCATGAATGCGTCAATTAGTTCGAACCTCTAATGTTTCTTCTAGCCCTATACCTATGATGTACCTTTACTCTTCTACCTTCCCGAAGTCCTTGCTCTACTATTGTGTTGATATGGTTAAGGTGGCGCTTTAGCTAATTGATATTTGCAACCTGATATATCCACCCCTGACCGCTCTTTCTAAATCTCCTGCTTATCATAAATACGTACTCATAACTAATCATGAGCTAGTAAGTGCGACCTCGGCGATGCCGCCTTGCCCAGGTGGAAGATTTTCTCACGCAATTCCAAAGTTACACCGGGGCCCATTGTTTCACTCCTAGAGTTCAAAATGTTCCACTTGCTATTACTGCTTGTGACCATGCCACGTGGAACTGGAATCAAACCCTGTACATAAATGTAAGTGCCCGGATATGCGAGGTAAAAAACCGAAAGAGGGAGCTAACCGTTTTCGTTGTGTAGGGATGGAAACACTCGAACATTCCAATATAATTTGAAGGTTTACCAGCGGGAGGAAATGGTCTCGAGCCCTATGAAGTACATAGTACTGGCTAGCCTGCAAAGTATCAATGATAGATCTGTCAATGGCTATAGCTACTCCGTATCCCGTTTTGGAATGCCTACCGACTCCGTCGCCCACCGGAACAGTCCAGTTGAGTTATTTTTACCACAAATCGCCAATGGATCTCTATTCAACACTGACACAGCGCTGTTGGCTACCAACTGCGTCATGTATCCGTGTCGAACTTGTCGATAAATACATTGGTATGTCTTGCCCTGATGATAATCTGTGTAGATATCGAAGTTCCGATTGGATGTTCTGCAAGCCACACGTGGCAGCCATGTGGTCCGCACGTGGGCACGCCCCACCCCCGCCGGAAAGCCGGTGGGATGGCTGCCTTTAGTTTACCCCGAAGTATACGAGAACCATGCGAAGCCACGCGGCGATATGCCGATGAGATTGAAGGATCGTACCTGCATGTCCAATCGCATGACATATGTCATCCTTCAGGCTCCCTGGCCAATCATATCGAAATGATGATAATGACAATTCGCCGCCACACGTAAGCCAGTATACTCAGGATACTCAGGATGAGAAAGCCAACATGAATTTTCAAGGCTCAAGGCGGATCTGAAGTTGGACCTGTGCCGATGGCTTCGCCCCCATATGGCTTCAGCCCCAACAGAGTCCAAGGTTCGCTTCCAAAGGTTTCCACCACGGGCCCATAGGTATTCATACCTAGAAGAGATCGAAGTATTTATACCGTGCTGGCCCCAGTTGTTCAGACAAGGGAACCAGACAAAAACGGGTTATTAAGCTTGCAGGTATCAATCAGCATGATTGTGAATCTTTCACTCCGTCTTGCAGGGATCTTGCTTTGCCAAGCCCTCCTAACTACTGCGCGTCCAGTAGGATCGTCCTTTGGATATCCCAGCAATGCTACTTATGATTATGTTGTGGTTGGAGCCGGCAATGCTGGAGCGGGTCTGTCTTATCGACTAGCTGAGGCTGGTTATTCTGTTGCCCTTGTGGAGGCTGGAAGCTTCTAGTACGTATTGCATGCCTTTCCACCCCTGTGACTTGAGTCATAGAATAGCCATTAATAAGCTAATCATCTACACAGTGAGTATACCAATGGGAACTTGACTCAGATTCCGGGAGACGATGTTTTCTGGTGTGGCAAAAGTCCTTCTGACACGAATAGTCTGGTGGATTGGAATTTCGTCACCGCTCCTCAACAGGTACGTTTTATGTGCCTTTTCATCCCCTTACCCGTGTCGGACATAAGCATTCTGAAATTGAAGCATCTAACAAAACCCAGGGACTTAACAATGCGTCTGTCCACTATGCCCGTGGCAAGACACTTGGAGGAAATACAGCGCGAAACTACATGACCTATCAAGTTGCAACCAAGGCCTCATATGAAATGTGGGCCGACAAAGTCGGAGATAGTAGCTACAAGTTTGAAAAGTTCCTGCCTTACTTCACAAAGCATCAGGGATTTACTCCACCCGACGAGACTACGCGCTTTGCCAATGCCAGCGGTGTCTCTTATGATTTGTCCACGATGGGAACCAAGGGTCCCGTGTCGGTTGGATTCCCCAACTATGCCGGTGCTTTTGCTAGCTGGGTAGTCAAGGGCTGGAAAGAGCTCGGACTCAAAGCCATTGATGGCTTCACAAGTGGTCGCCTGATTGGATACTCCTGGAGTATCGCAACGATCCAGGCTGATAATCAAAACCGCGAGACCTCCGAGACTGCCTATCTGCAAGCTGCTATTTCCGAGGAGCTCAACCTCGTTATCTACACATCCACTCTGGCAAAGAAAGTCCTATTCAATGATGCCAAGAATGCCACCGGCGTTCAAGTCTCGTCTTCTGGCCAGGAGTATGTCTTGACTGCAAGCCGCGAAGTCATTGTCTCAGCTGGTGCTTTCCAATCGCCTCAATTGCTGATGGTCTCCGGTATTGGCCCGTCTGAGCAGTTGAAGAAGTACGACATTCCAGTCATCTCGGATCTTCCTGGTGTCGGCCAGGGAATGCAGGTTAGTTGCATTCATTCGAGGAGAGGAAGAAAAGAGAAAAGAAAGCTAACTGAATGATACAAGGATCACGTTCTTGCTGCACCTGCATACCGTGTCAATGTCGTTACAGGTTCATCAGTGAAGTTCCCCGACTATCTTGCCGCCGCTGTCAAGGGATATGATAGCCAGCCACCAACTGGAATCCTCACCAACCCCGGAAATGATGTCATTGGTATGTTATCTCCAGATGTTTCTTTTCTTTCCTCCCTGAGTAAGGCTTGATTAGAGAATTGTTGATTGACATTTTGGTAGCATGGGAGAAAGTACCCCACTCCCTGCGCGCTAACTTCAGTGCGCAGGCTAAGTCTGACCTGGCCAAATATCCAGCGGACTGGCCTGAGCTTGAATACATCCACATCGGAGGCTACTTCGGTCTGCAGCAAAACTTCGTAGCTGGAGCACCTGATGATGAATACAACTATGTCAGTATTGCGACAGCCTTGATTGCTCCTCTGTCCCGCGGTACCGTTGAGATTGCTTCTGCCGATACTTCTGACCTACCAGTTATCAATCCCAACTGGCTCACTCACCCAACGGATGTGGAAGTCGCTGTGGCAGGTTTCAAACGTGCACGTGCGTTGATGGCAACAAAGGCTATTTCTCAGATTGTAATTGGCGAAGAATACTTCCCCGGAAAGTCAGTCCAGACAGATGAAGAGATCATCGCGTGGCTTCGTGAAGCTACCGGTACCGTGTTTCATGCTTCGTGCACTTGCGCCATGGGCAAGGCCAATGACACCATGGCTGTGCTGGACTCGAAAGCACGCGTCTATGGAGTCTCAAACCTTCGCGTCGTGGATGCGTCTTCCTTCCCCCTCCTGGTGCCAGGTCACCCAATGTCCACCATTTGTATGTACAACCTTTGCCTGCCCCTGGCAGCAGCCAAATATTTGAACTACAGACTAACAGGAACTCGATAGATGCCCTGGGAGAGAAGATTGCTGATGATATTATCAAGGGCAATTGATCCATCGATTGAGTATCCGCCCATGGGATGTTATCCTGGGAAATGCGTGGATCATGTATCTTTTTTTTCAAATGTTAGAAGTGGAAACTGTATCAAGGCTAGAGTTTGAGTTAGAATTATTTATTCAATAAATACCGAGAAAATTACGTCCTCATATGTGGTAGAAAGAGGAAAGAATTGTCGTTGCGAAATAAATTCAAAGGCCCAAGTCAAATGCAAAGCGTCCATACCTAGTCCCAGATAATTGACGAGGAAAAGAAACGTAGAATACGGATAATTCTTGCTGGTATAGTAAAGTCTTCTTGAGTACTTCACTGCCAGCTGGGCGTGTCATTGATTTCGAGAGAGATGTATTGGCAACAAAATGCCTCGTATGGAAATAAACCTGTATGAAAACGTGTGTAGGAAGAAAAATTGAATATGCATTGCCACCAGAAGAAGGAACCCAAGTTAAATCAATCTATGACTGAAGGCTACTGAGAGCCTGGGTGATACTGGTCGATAGCGAAGACACTGTGACAGTTTTGCTCAAGAACTCCAGGAATGGAATATCCACCTGGAATACCCGGAAGATCCATGCTCGGAACTCAGATGCAATCATGCTGTCCATGCCGAATTGCACCAAAGGCTTGTTGACTTGCACCTTTTTTAGCGGCAAGAGTACCAAATTACCTAGCCGACCGGCAACACTCTTCTGAATGGCCTCTTCAAAGGGAATACCTTCTTCCAGCACATCTGCTAACAAATCACCCTTCCGCATAGTTTGTGATTCATCATCGTCACCATCCATGACGCGCGCCAGTATAGCGGCTCGAGGGTCCCGGAAAGTAATGTTTGTAACCTCAAAGCCTTTCCTGCGCAGATCCATGAGCCCAAAGGGCTCGAGACCCGTGAGCACATGTGATTTGGCGAGATGATCGACTGGGTGCGGAATAGTGAGTTGATCCTTAGATAGCGCAATGTCCACGATCTGAAGAAGCTCGTCTTCATTGATTGCCTGAATACCTTTCCGGACAAGTAAAGCCTCGATTTCGGGATTGTCATGGAGATAGCCGACTTCGCTTATCATACCAAGGCCAATTGCTTGCGCAGGGAGGCCTTGAGCCTGACGATAGCGTGCAAACATGTCTAGGAAGTAGTTGCCGGCACAGTAATTTGACTCTGTGGCCGTACCAACGCTACCAGATACAGAACTTGTCATCAAGAAGAATTCTAGCTCTGAATCCTTGCCCTTGATAGCATGGTGCAAATTCCAAGATCCTTGAACCTTGGGATCAATACCGGTGTGCCAGTGATTGTGCGACATGGCAGTGAAAATAGCTTCCTGTATCAGCGGTTAGCTGGTTTCAACAAGCTTTTAGTATAGACAAAAAAAACTTGCATTTAGACCCATCGCGGCTTGTATGACACCCCCGATTAATCCATCCACAGCCGCAACAGCAGCATCAGCGTCAGCTCTGTTGCAGATGTCACCGCGAACGACTTTGCACTTTGCGCCACTCAGGGTAAGGTCTTCCACAAGACGCCGCGCACTGGGCTTGTCCGTACCGGATCGACCCAGAAAAACAAATTTTCGAGCCCCTCGCGACATCATCCATTTTGCCATACTACGGCCAAGCCCACCCAGGCACCCGATCATGAGGTAGGTCTTTTGGGGTGAGAACGTTGTACAATACTTAGAGACCTGCACAGGTATGACGGTGGAATCTTTCTCAAGGCTAATGGCAACCTTTCCGATGCGAGCGCGAGACGAGAAGTACCGCAGACTGCTGCCGATCTCCGACACGTCGAATACGCGGATTGGCTCAATCTTCTGGATTCGATTCGAGCGATAGAGCTCTATGACTTGATTGAGAAGACCGGACCATATTTCGCGGTACTGTTCGCTGGGATGATTGTAGAGGTCCGCAAGATCGAATGCGGAAAATGTTGAGTTGTTCAGGAAGCCGTTCATTTCTAACCGCCCATCGTCAAGTATGTCTCGCTTGCCAATCTCGATAAAGCGACCAAATGCTGCACAGCATCGCCAGCTCGCGTGGAGTAAATCGCCGGTCAAGGAATTGAGGACAACGTCCACTCCCTTACTCGAAGTTGCATTCAGCACGCCGCATGCGAATGAATCATCGCGGGAGGTGAAAATGTGGCTTGGGTCAAGGCCAAAAGTGTTGACCAAGAAATTCTTCTTCTCGTCAGTTGAAACGGTAGTGAAGACCTAATTACTTATTAGCATTGAACCTTATGATTACTTCACGGATTAGAAAGAAGAAAAGAAATACCTCTGCACCCATCATTTGGGCAATCTGAATAGCTGCAATACCGACTCCTCCAGCACCGGAATGAATGAGGACTGATTCTCCTGGCTGTAGCCGAGCTCGCATAGTCAGTGCGTAGATGGCAGTGGAGTAAACAAGTGGGAGAGTGCACATGGTTGCAAAATCTTCATCACTCTTCAATTTCTTGCACGCCCACTCGGGAACAATTTCCGAAGACTTGAAATGCCCGGGAGCCATGACCACCACACGGTCGCCAACGTGTAGGTCCTTGACCTCAGCCCCAACTCGCTCAACAATGCCGCTGTACTCCAATGTGCAAGTGGCATTGGGAGTATCGACTTTCCCTGCTAGAGCGTACAGATCCTTTGCATTCAAGCCCACTGCTTTGACTTGAATCTGAACCTCCTTCGGTGCCAGGGTCCCTGGAAGCTCGATTTGCTTGAAGTATATATCGTCAAACTGACCTGGTTGATCGAGTGCAATTTGCACTGGTCGAGCTTGCTGCAAAGACAAATCAACTTTCTCTGACCCTTGCTTCTGTCGAAACGCGCTATTGAGATCGTTGTCTGGAGTAAAGCGACTGATGTGCACCACTCCATTCTTTTCCACGTATTCATAGTCAGCCAGCGCCTCGTCAAGACCTAAGATAACACCAAAGATATTGTGGGCAGTACGGCTCGGGTCATTGTTGGGATCGTCGATATCGTAAGTGAGGAATTGGAGTGCAGGCTGTTCTAACATCAGTGCACGGGATAAGCCGGCAACTAGGGCGAAGTCTGGGCGCGCCCCGCTCAACATGTCACCATTAGTGACCCATAAAATAGTAGAAGCATTATCAGTGAGTAGTTTCAGCACGTCCATTTCCTCGCTGCTGATTTTAGCAAGGAGAGAATTACTTGCTTCAACCAGCGAGATGATCGTGGCCCCAGCTAGAAGGTGAGCGGAGCCAGCATTGATCTTGTCAAAGTTCAAGTGAATACCATTCACCTTTGCAACCATGGCGCTACCTAATGCACTCGGCTCCCTCTCAATGACGATTATAGACTTCTCCCCGATCGCCGTCTGTAGTGAAAAGCTTTGACCGGGGCGGACTAGCATTATTTCTGCGAAGTCCTCGTGAAGCGTTGAGCGCAGTGTATCAAAGGAGTGACCGGCTTGTCCATTGAGACAGCAGTGAAGTCTTGGTTTGGCAAGTACAACACCATCAGGTGACAGGAACCCAGTCAGACGGTCCAGCTCGTCACGTAAATACTGGCTGGCTGATATGGTATCCGAGAGCAGAATCAAGTCCCACTCCTTCTCGATGACAGGAGCAAGAGAAGGATCAAGTACCTTTGTCATTTTGTTCGAAGTCAAGTCCCAGTCCACTGCACGCAGACTGCCCTTGTCATCCAGATATCCCGTACTGTAGGAGGCAAGGCGGCGGTAGTCATTGTCGGCGTACAGAAGGGCCAGCACCGCGATGGTGAAATCTCGGTTGCTAGATTCCAGCTCCAGAATACGCAGCCGCGGGTTTCGATGTGACAGCAAATTTATCGTGGCACCTAGCTTGAGCAGTCCCTCGTCCTTAACGGGAGACCGCGCTTCCTCTACGAAATTGTCAAGGTAGCGGGTAAAGGCCTGCGCTTGCATGAACTCCGTGCCGTATATCTGGGGCTTCCATAGAACACGAAGCATGGGATGGCGAGCAATCAAAGCGTTGTCCGATGCACGGTTTGGCTCATACTGGCGTAGGCGACCGAATTCAATCTGGGCAATCACCTGATTTTGAGCAGTGACGAGATCTGCCTGGAAGCTAGCAGCCCCAAGCCCACGTACGGAGGCAGTGGCATTTATGTAACAATCTGTCTCCGAAACCATCCCGCTTGGATTATGGAATGTTGCTGACCTGATAGTGGTAGGTACGAATGCTTTCATCTCTCGCGTGCGCCCAGCAGCGGTAGCAATGATTCCTGCCTGAACCATGACGTCCACTAGAATTGGATGGAAGGCATACTCTGCCTCGAGGTCTTCACTTCCAGGAGATCTCTGAATAAATGGAGCCTGGGCGGTGCATACTCTCTGGGTGCGAGCACGAGGGACAGATATATGGGTGATAGCGCTGAAATTCTGACCGTACTTAAGTCCCTCATTCGAAAATCGCTCGTACCAGATACGGACTGCGGAGGGCTCAAGCTCTGAAACGCTCATGTCAGAGACTGGGAGCATAGGCTCTCGGGCATATGACAAACTGATGGAACCTGTGGCACGGATGGTGCTGGCTGCACTCTCGTGTGTTGAAATGTTGAAGTCCCACCAGATCTTTGACTCCGTTGTCTTAGTATTAGGGGTTCGACGTAAAGAAGTGAACAGTTCCACAGGCTGATCCTGTGAGGTCGGAATCTTCATGGCGGAGAGGAAGTGAACATTCTTGAATTGAATCCTATGGGCAGCCAAGCGGGGCTGATCAAGAGCTTGGCCTACTGCCTCCGCAGCCATGGCCATGTATGCTGATCCTGGAAACACGGCAGTTTCCTCTAGGCAGTGATCCAACAACCATGGGACGTCATCACCATGAAGCATATTGCGCCAGACATACTCTGCCTCGCTGCCTGCTGCCAGCTTGGATCCGAGAAGTTCATGTCGGGAATACTTGCGGTAGCGGAACTCAGAGCTCTGGCGGCATTCATTCCAAAGAATAGCGTCGTACTCCCAGCGATACGGCGGCAGATCATGAAGTACGTGCGGATGCGGTCCACGAGCTTTGCCTTCATAGACTGGGTGATTCACTAGTGACATTTGGATGGGGTGGTTGTTTATCCAGAGATGGCCTACCAGCGAGAGCACGCTTTCAGTCGAATTCTTCCCCCTCGTGAGGGCACTGGCATATGGTAGCTGATTAGGAAGTAGCTTCAAATGATCGCGAATCTGCTTGATCGGCAGTTCAAGCGCGGAGTGAGGACCCAGCTCGATGATTTGATGAGCGCCAGACCCTGCCATTTGGCTGACCGCGTCCACAAAGCGCACCGGCTTCTCAAGGTTCTCACGCCAGTATGCTGGAGTGAACGAATCAATTTTGAGCTTTCCTGTCACTGAAGAAAAGAATGATGCCTCTTGAGCATATTTGAAGAAGCCCTTACGATGGTCATCAAATGCAGAGCTTACCAGGCTCTCGTACTCATTGCCTATGGCAAGCATATGGTGTGAGTGGTATGCACGGCCATCCGTTTTGAGCTTCCTTGCAAAGATTTTTCGCGCTTCCAACGCGGCAATCATAAGGTTCACAGCTGATTCATCGCCAGAAAGTGTGACACTTTCCGGAGAATTGATGCAGGCCACGCGGACTTGATCCTGCAGTCCAGCTTTCCTAATCTCCACATCAGCTGAATCTCTTGATAATCCAACAGCTGCCATAGCACCCAAAGATTGAAGAGACTTGACAGTCAGTCCTCGATAATACGCAGCGATAATGGCTTGCGCGCGTGAAAGATGACCCGCCGCATATGCCGCTGCGATCTCGCCGGATGAATGACCAAGTACGCTAACTGGAGAAATTGTCCATGACCGTAGCAGATCAACCAGGGCCATTTGTATAGCAGTACAAACCGGCTGTGACCGAGTAACATCATGGATCAGGCTGGTTATCCCGGGCTCAAGAATGGCGTCGCGTAAAGTCCACGAGGGTGGATTAGGTAGAGATTGCAGCACTGCATCTTGGTCCAGCAGAGCAGCACGGAAAACAGGAAACTCATCGAGAAGCTCCGCACCCATCTGTGGCCATTGAGCACCCTGCCCAGTAAACACAAATGCATATTGCAGGGGAGGTTGGCTAGAGTCTCCCTTTGGTGTTATAAGGTCTCCGTTCCTTAATTTTTCTTGAATGTTATCCAGGTTGGCGACCAAATATCCACGGGTATTGAGCTGAGATCGGCGCTCTCCAAGAGTATACGCGAGGTTAACTAGTGACTTGCCAGAAATATCGTAGTCTGCCAGGTCTTGGCACCGGGCTTGCAAAGACGTGGGTGTCCTTGCGGACAAGGGAAACAGGAACGTGGTACGTTTTTGGAGAGAGCGGGTCGTTCCGACTGGGGATGAAACCCGTATTGGCAGCGATGAAGCAGCTTCAAGGATAACATGGGCGTTGGCGCCTCCGTATCCGAATGAATTCACACCCATTCGGCGGATATTTCTGTATTCTTCGACCGGCCATGCACGCCCTTTTGTGACCACCTGCACATTCCACAAGTCCGATTTGATTTTGGGGTTGAGACGCTGAACACCAATGGTTGCGGGAATGAACCCATTCTCGAGGGCTAGAGTACCCTTGATAATGCTGGATATACCGCTAGCAGCTTCGCTGTGTCCGAGGTTGGTTTTCACTGACCCGATCAAAGTAGCCACCGACCCTGGAGAACGCTTGAAAGCCCGGGACACGGCTTCCACCTCAATTGGATCACCTACTGCGGTTCCAGTACCATGACATTCCACATAGGCCGTGTCATTTGGAGACAATCTGGCTTTAGAATATGCCTTCCGGATGACCTCTTCTTGCCCGATGCTGCTTGGAAGCGTGATACCCGCTGTCCTCCCGTTTCTAAGCATGATATGGCAGTTAGCAACAAGAAAGTAAACACCAAAAACATTTCTTGCGGGGGTCGAAGTGACTCTTACGCATTTATAGCACTCGCTCGGATGATTGACCTGATGGGGTCTCCGTCTCGCAAGGCAGCCCCAAGTTTTTTAACGTACAGAGCCCCAACCCCATCTGCCCGACCATAACCGTCGGCGGTATCGGCGAATGTGTGGCAAGTTGATGTTGGGGATAGAACACCAGCCTTCATTGTTGCTAAATGTTGCTCCGGGGTTTGAATTAGATTAGCACCAGCCACAATCGCCGCCTCACATTCACCGGCTTCCAGAGCGGCACACGCCATGTGAAGACAATATAATGATGAAGAGCAGGCGGTATCAATGACCAAGCTGTAATACAAAATGTAAGAAAATACTGAAGGGAATTTGGAACGTGCGATGAATTGAGGGAGGCGCACCTTGGGCCTTTGAGATTGAATGTGTGGCTTATCCGGTTCCCTAGAATGGTCGTTCCCATCCCTGTTGCTGTATAACGGTGCATGTATTCGGCATCACGCAGTTGCATGAGCTGGAAGTCGACGGTGAAATTTCCAACATAGCATCCAATGTTGGCACCAGATACTGTTTCCAGAGGTAGGCCGGCACTCTCAAAGCATTCAAAGACCACCTCTAGGAGCTTTCGCTGCTGAGGATCCATGTATTTGGCCTCCATATTGTTGATTCCAAAGAATTCATTCTCGAAATTTCGAATATCTTCGCCCTGCAGAAAGTAGCCGCCTTTCATGTGCATAGCTCCTGGCCGCTTAGACCCATCTGGGTGGTAGAAAGCGTCTATATTAAACCGAGAATTAGGAATATCTCCTTGGGCGGAACGCTCGTTGACAAGTAAGTCCCATAATTTGGATGGCGAGGTGGCACCTCCAGGAAGGCGGCACGCTGTTGAGAATTCAGCTTTCATGTCCATCGTTTGGGGTTATAGATTGTTTACAAACCCATTCCTACAATAGCAATATCATCCTCTGAGACGGGAGATGTCAATGTAGTGGTTGCAGGACATCTTGCTCCTATGAACTCATGGTCGTTCATGTGTGGTGCCATTGTGGAATACTAGGACACAAATGATATCGTCAGTGAACTGTGGAAAACGAAGATCTAGAGAAGTGTATACGCCATTCTCTCTCATTCTTATATAGTGATCAGTCTGGAATCAATCTAGATTGCTTTCTCGGTTTCCTCACCAGTGTTGCATACCAGATCTCGTATCCACGGGCAGTGGCGCGCCGTTGATCAATCCCTGTCCATCCTTCCGGCGGGTAAATGGAGGTCAATTCCTCTATCCTTCCCCGCTCTGAGGAAGCGCGTATCACGTCGCAAGTAATTGTGCCTAGTGCTGAGGCTGACTGTAAGCTTTTGCGAGCTTAGCAAATAGCGACCACGAAATCTCATCATCTTTCTACCCCTCATCTCGGGCGAATCACGGATCAGTGAACGGGAAAGAACGAAAGATCGAATTCTTGTTAAATTGAAATCCATCATTTCAGACGGCATACATGGATAGTTTGGCCTCACATGGTGCTAAGAGAAGCCAGCAGCATTGCAGCAGTCAAGGCCCGAGGCGGCGGGGGCCGAGATCCCTGGATCAAAATAAGCGGGGCGCGGAACAAGCCGAAGTGGCCCGGAGGCAACGGCCCGGTAAATATCGATCCCGGAACTTAGATCCTGAATTTTCATTGGCCACAGTAAGAAATGTCAACTCTATTTTGGCTCTTGATTGTTAATTCTGGCTTCGCATTCTTTCGTCTGCTAGCGGTCGCTGGCTGATACTTCGTTCCCGTATCACATAGTTGTATAGTGAAGTTTTGAATCTACAGACCATAAAGTCGGCATCGGTAACTACAGGTTCATTACTGATAGAGGAGGTAGATATGCAGTCTAGCTTAAATTGTTGTCCCAGCTCTTGTTCTCAAAGACTTCAGTTCTAAGGCCATATAGTTCAATAAGAATCCGTTACACACCAAATTAGGTCTTTAAAGTCAACGTCATCCCACCGTCCACCACCCAATCGCTGCCAGTAACATAGCTAGCTCGAGGACTACATAGAAATATGATAACATCGGAAATCTCCTCAGTTTGTGCAATTCGTTTAAATGGTAGCACACTTTCCATCAGCGGACTCAAGGCAGGGTTTCCGTTCATAGCCGCGGCAACCATCGGGGTATCTACCCAGGAGGGACAAACAGTATTCACTCGCACTCCATCGCTGGCTAGATCAAGAGCTGAATGGATATCAGTAGCTATTGGATGAATTTTGAAATGAGTGTAGGGGAGGAAGGCAGACCTGCGTTCCTGGTAATGCCGAGCACAGCGTGTTTCGAAGTAGTGTATTGCACAATATCGCGAGTGGCCATGTAAGAATTTGCAGATCCCAGGTTCACAATGGCACCACGGCCCGTATTGCGCTCTCCGTTGCGACCCTGAATTCTCAATGGGTCTTGTTGCCGCATCGCACCCCCAATTGCTTTCACGCAGTTCATCGTGCCCAGTACGTTGATGCGGTAGAATCGTTCGAATTCCTCCATGGACGCATCAATAACGTTTTTGGGCTCGCGTACTCCGATCTAAGAGGCTCAGGTAAGACAGTGCACATGAAGAAGCAACAGGCATCATACTCCAGCACTGTTCACGCTGTAGTCGATTCGTTTGAAGGTTTCCACCACTTGAGCTACCATATGCTCCACGCTTTCCAGGTCTGTTACATCAACTTCGATTGCAAGGGGGTAATAGGCTGGATTTGTCGCAAATTCGACGCTCTGATCCGCACTTTGCTGGGCAGCTTCGAGATTGATATCGGCAAAGGCTACCGCGATGGCTCCCTCGGCGGCAAAGGCAATGGCAGCGTCTCGTCCAATACCGCTTCCTAGTAAACTATTTTGTCAGAAATAAACTCCAAGAGCTAATGGACAAAAATCTCGGAGCTGTAATAACATACCGGCCCCAGTGACAAGAGCAACGCCCGATATTCCAAATGACATGGCTCAATGATGAAATTGCACAAATCGAGCAAAGTTGCGAAGGGTAGGAAACGAATTCTTTGATTTTCAAGTAGGTGAATGAGAATTTGTCCCTTGTCATACATCATAAAGTAGAATCCTCATCTGATCTTCATCTCCATCCCACCCCGGGCCGATCAAATTGCATCCCTCCGGAAGGATTCAGGGAAGTGGTACCCGCTCAGGAGACCATTCTGTCATGTCATGCAATCGTATTTTGTCTAGTGTCCTGACGTTTAAAAATTGTCGATCAAGCAAGTGACGAAGAGAATTGGTTCATAGGAATGGGCTCTTTCGAACGTTCCCTTTGTATTCGTCACGCGGTTGGCTTGTCTGTTTGGATACGTTTCAACTTCTCAAAGTGGAACCACTTGGCAAATAGTCCGTCCTGCATGAATGATTAGAAATCATTATATCTAGTTAAGTTAAACGCGTAAGACTTACCCAATGCGTGCGGGGTAGGAACATGTCGCCCCATCGGCACATTCCAGTCCGTGCCCCGTACCAGAACCAAGCTGCTGGCCGGGACTTCTGGGCTTCTCGCACAACAGCGGCGGCGTACTGAGCTGGAGTAATTGTATCTGTATTGATCAACATTTTTTAGCGCTTGGCTTATCATTAGACTTGGAAAGATGAAAACATGTAGCTTACTAGGTGTTCGCTGGACGTGGCTCAGAAATTCGTCAGCCAGAGGCAGGTAAAGTGAGTCTGTCCGAATTAGTTTATGAATAGGGCTGAGAGGACCTATAATGAACGAACCAGATGGAAGGGACCGCTTTGCATCGCGACGGAGAATATTGGTCCCAACCTCACCAGAGATCACATTGATTACTCGGACTCTGTACGATCGTCAATACCTAATCTGATTGCAGCTTGAGATAGATATCCATCTACGAAATGGACATACCCAAAAGGTTTTAGTTCTGCACGCAATGTATTACCATAGTGATGAAGAGCGGCTTTGCTGGCGTTGTAGCTCGCTAATCAAAAGACCGCAGAGAGATATTAGCCAACGCCGTATTCTTCATAGATACCATGAGATCTTACCTCCATAAATGTAGGGTACAATGCCGCCTATTGACCCAATGTTGACCACAACGCCCTTTGACCGCACGAGCAGAGGATGGAAGAAATGGACCATCCGCATTGGGCCAAAGACATTCACCGCGAACATCTTCTCCACTTCGTGAACCTTGGTATCAGTCGCGGGCATGGTATAACCTGGCACAGCTATCAGCACACTTCCAAAGCTTAGTACGTCAAATGAATCATACAAATGCCTCTGCGGATTGGTTAGTCAGATTCATCAATGATAAAGTCTTGGCAGGAGTTTTATTTACGTACGCATTATTGACCAACACATCTAGTCGACCGCCAGAAAGATTCTGAATGTGTTCTAGGAGGACTTCGGTGTCTTTGTCACTGGTCACGTCGGAGTTGAAGACATGGAATCCTTGGTATTTCAGATGTTCCTGTTTCTCATGAGGGAGCAAGGTCGTGAAGACAATGAAACCTAGACATCAAAGTATTGGCATCAAGGAAACAAGCACTGGATACTCCTTGGCACGACATCTCACCTTCTTCCCGAAACCGCATAGCAAGTGCGTGGCCAATACCACCTTCACCACATCTAAAGCTTTGATTAGACTGTCAACAATATTGGCCTTAGGTAATGGGCACTCACCCAGTAACTAATGCATATCGCGGTGTTGTCATGATGAATACGCAAAGGCTTTGCCACAAATGCTGCATTCATCAAGCCATAGAATCCCGAGCACCGGGATTCATAAATGATTTCTGGGGTCAGGGGGGCGACGAATCTTATCGGGGCACCTTGGGAGGAAAGTAAGTTCTGGACATCGCCCACAGGGATGATGAATCTGACCCGATGGGATGGATATGCGCTCCCCCATATTGGAATCCATATTGATTCATTGTTGTCAACACCAAAATTTGAATGCTCTCACCTAGCGCTACAGGCGAAAATATTTCTCGTTTCGCAGTAATATAACAACACGGAGAGATCGGGCGACTCCGTCTACCTCCCAGAGCCGGATTCCCGAGGCACTACCAACGTGCCACCCTCATGCCACAATTATCTCACGCTCTCTATTTTTGTTTTTTTGTCCTATAAGAACCAATCATAAAATATGGAAGAAAACCTGTGGAATCTCTTCTGCTCCGGTATTGCACTGGAACTTCGTCTTTTGAATACCCTTTCCACCAAGTCCAGCCTTGGAGGAACTCAGTCTATAAACTCATATTGATCTCATTTATTAACAGCTAGTTACCCCACTAGGTACCTGTTCCGAGTATCCAACTCATGAAACACTTGTCACTAAGATGGTAAATGTGTATTTCTACTAATCGAGTTGACGCACGACGTTGATCTTCTCTGTATACATAGGCAGCGCTTTTATCTCTTTCTTTCTTCAGACTTCATCCCAGATTTCCATACTCAAAACGAAAAAATAAGGGTGAAATATGTATCACCTTAAAATATACTTACCTACTCTCCTGATGACTATGCCCACCTAAGCATCAAACTTGGGCCGCGGCTCATCATTACGAGTTGCTCCCGTTTTCCTGTCATGGTTAAAATGTAAGAGTGGACTACTTACAGTACATCCAAAGATGGCCCTAAGCCCAGGAAAAGATGTAAAAGGAAGGAGCTGCTAGAAATTTTCGATTGTGGGCGTAAACCTTAGGCCTTTCCAATCCTCAGTGGGTTGATACTGTATATCATCTATCTCATAAATACACTTTCTCATCTCATTTGCGGAAGCGAAATCCAAGACGTCCGATAAATGTTAGGTTGGTCCCCTGAATCCAAGACAAATAGAAAGCTCAGGTACCATATATTTTGAAAAATATAGATTGCATTACTCAGGCCAGTCTAGACTAAGAGGGTTCTATGTAGGGTATATATATGTATTACTATTTATGGAAATATGGGTTTTCAGTTTGGTGTGCCGGGCTCCACCATAGAGCCTCAACTGTATCTCTGGCGCTTTCCTAGATCAACCCAAACTAGCCTGTATATTCACCCCCAGTAGAAAAATATGATCTACTTCTTCGTATGGGAAGCTTTGGCTTGTTATTAACTTTAACACATTGAGAATATCCCCTTTTTGGTGCGCACGCTCCTCATATAACATGTAGAAACGGGGTCGGAATCGGCATAGAACGTCGAATCCGATGTCACCGCAACGGATAGGGACACGGCGTAAATAGTAAACAAACAGCCGAGCACCGTACATCGAAGAGTTGGCTCCGAAATGCAACGTAGTTTCTCTAGATAGAAATCCATAATAAAGAGAATAAATACCACAGTCCGGAGCAGATGAAGTTCGTCTATCGGAAGCAACAATGAGCTGCTAGAGTAAGGTTGTTCACCAAAAGTTCAATTCACCACCCAAAATGCTTCAGATAATTCTATTCGTTATATTGATTGTTTCGGGGATTGTTTCATGGCTAAGCGGAACATTTCCCGGGAGTCGAGGACGTGGTTTACCTCCGGGCCCACCGTGTGTGCCCATATTGGGAAATGCCCTGCAAGTGCCAAAGACAGGGATTCATCTTAAGTAAGCTTCCAACCTGCCAGAGTTTGATTTCATGCACAATGAACCTTTGGGACCTGTTTTTAATTCCCCAACAGGTTCACCGAATGGGCCAAAAAATACGGGCCCATTTTCTCTCTCAAGATTGGGTCGTCCACCACGGTCGTCATCAACTCTCCCTACCTCGTCAAGCAGATTCTGGACAAACAATCCGTAAAATACAGTGATCGCCCCAACATATACATTGCCAATGAGCTCATTTTCCGTGGTGATCATCTCATGTTTCTGAATGCAGGGGAGACCTGGCGTCGCGGTCGGCGACTCTATCATCAACAATTAAACGAGATCATGTGTGAGAAACAACATGTTGCTCTCCAAGACGCAGAGGCAAAACAAATGCTTCATGATTTTTGCCTCAACCCAGACGGAGTCATGGATCATCCTAAGAGATATAGTAACAGTATAATCATGAGCATCGGTTGGTTTTTCCATTCGATTTTTATTAATGAGAAACCTTGACAATTAACGAATATAACTACCACAGTACTCGGAATCCGGACTCCAACATGCGGGACGCCACACATGAACGGGCTGTACCGTTTTATGGAAGGGCTGTCCGAGATATTGGAGATTGGTGCCACGCCTCCTGTGGACGTATTCTCTATTTTCAAATACCTTCCCGAGGCGTGGTTTCAAAACTGGAAATCTAGATCACGAGCAGTCGGAGATATCCTTACAAACCTCTACGAGCCCTTGGTGCGACTTGTGGTTTATCGACGACAGAAAGGCGACAGTAAAGGGTCCTTCCTGGACAATTTGCTCGACAAGCAGAGCAAGCTTGGTCTTTCAGAGCGAGATATTCTTCTAATGGTGGGTAACCTGGTTGAGGGTGGATCGGACACTACGGCCAGCATGCTCCTAGTGTTTATTCAGGCTATGGTCAAATATCCACACATTCAGAAACAAGTACAGGCCCAGATCGATGAGACAATTGGTGAATCTCGGTCTCCTACTTGGGAGGACTTTGCTAGCTTACCTCTGGTGAATATGGTTGTCAAGGAATGCTTGCGTTGGCGTCCAGTAGCACCCACCGCATTCCCTCACGCTGCGAAAGAGGATGGCGAAATTGACGGGCTGCTAATCCCCAAAGGATCCACCGTTATTTTGAATGCATGGGGTCTCCATAATGATCCCGACCGCTATCCTGATCCGGATACTTTCAATCCTTGGCGGTATAAGAATCATACCTCGTTGGCACCTACATATGCAGCTAGTTCTGATTACGAGAACCGTGATCATTATGCTTACGGTGCCGGGCGAAGAATCTGCCCTGGTATCCATCTAGCGGAGCGTGGAATGTTCATCGCTTTCGCTAAGATGCTATGGGCATTTGAAATGTCGGAGCCAGTCGATCCACAGACCGGCTTATCAACACCTGTCGATGTTGATGCGGAGACAGGGTACATGGAAGGCTTTTTAAGCTGTCCCAAAGACTTCAAGGTGACTATTCGAGTGCGGTCCGAAAGCCGTCGAGAGACTATTCTTCGAGAATTTGCGACAGCTGAGAAAGATGTGTTCAGCCAATACGAGTGCCTTTGATTACACTCGACCTGCATTAATGGTGTTATATTTTCTGGGGCTGTGATTTTCCATTGGTTGTCTCAGCGATACTCATAAGATGATAAGTTGTGCAAATGTACATATAGTAGTGGTTCGTAAGTTCAGCGCAACTGTGACTGCATGCTGGCCTTGTCCAATCACACAGAATGTACCAAAAAGTCTCAGTGCTCCGGGTGTGGGGGATATTCATCAGCCAATTCACCCAAGTCCTCTTCAATTAGATGACCATTGACAGTCAGCGGCTGAACGTCCAAGAGGATAAACAGCATGCGACCACTTTTCGTCTCAGAGAGATTCTTCCACATGTGATTGCACCCCCGATTTACTGAGCAGTCTCCTGGTAACATGATTCGGCTTTCCCCACTATCGAGAGTGAGTTTGAACTCACCCTCGACCACTACACCGTAGTCAATGGACATGGCACGATGAATAGGCGACTCCATGCCGGGAGCAAAATCGATGAGACGCGCGACAGAGCCATTGCGGACGTGAATAGGGGGCTAGTACTCTAGGTCAGAATGTGGTTCGGATTTCCCGTCGAATGAATGATCGGACTTACTTCATTCTCTTTGGCGAATTTGATATCTTTCTCGTCATTAAGATCAACCTGGGCGCCCTGGGTGCTATAGATGATGTTGGCAGCCGCTTGGCCGTTCAGCATGATCTTGTGATGATCTCCATCGTCATCGGGAAGGAAGACGCCTTGTCCCTTGGAGTTATGCGTGGTGATCAAGCGCTTTGCATGGCGGAGATCGTCAGCCGGGAATCGGGTGATGGGACCAGCGATGGGAGAGGCCTTGGATATCATGGTGATAGGAAATTTTAAATATGGGTCACAAATGAGAGTGTTCGTTAATTTTGTTCTGCCTTAGAGTGATCGATGAAGTCTTATATAGGTAGATACATGCTTTTTCTTCGGCGTCTTAGGCAAAGAGTGACATCCCGCCAGCCCCCACTCCATCCGCGCATTGCTGGCAGCGCGAGGAGTGATATTTAGCCTCATGGAGCCGCACGGGCGGGACTCGGTGGTAGAAGCGATCCCGGGCCGGAAGGGCTCGGTGGGATGGGATGCATAAGCATGAAGCACAGGTGTCGGGAGCTGTGGGATTACTGTGGCTTGTAAGTACGCGGTGATTTTCCGCCAAAAGTTCGTCGATCTCCCAATGGATTTTCTGAAGATACCGAAATCGGAACTGCTAAGTAGCAAGGAATGGAAACTGAATCCGTTGGCCTTTTTTTGGTGCTTTCAACTACTGGCTTTAGTGTCAAAGCGCGCACTAAACCAAGGAGCGAGATCAACGGCTCCAGGGATATTGCTACGCTGTGGGCTCGTGCACGTCCTGCAGCTACCACGTGGGGGCTATTCTGAGATAGGCACTTGCGAATAATCTTACGAGGCGCTCGTATAATCAATCTGAGAGTCTAAATCCGATCCTGCCTTCGATCGTACTCGTGTTCGCGGAGGACCGTGCTGCACTGTAATCTCCGTGACACAACGGGAAAAGGACCCTGCAGATTGAAGCAAGATTAAGGTGTCGGTTAAGTGGTAAGCAAAGCTAATTAGAAGATCTTTATTAATGATCCAATACATCCATATAACCAATCAGATACATTTAATTTATCATCAAAACTTTAATGTGAGGAGGAAGGTGACCAACCGCGTCGAATAGACTGGACAGGTTGCTAAACGATCACGGTGCCAGGATGAGAAGCGGGGAACTGAGAAAGCATGTAGAGGGATTCCATCAACGGTAGCGGGGCCACCCTGAGAGACCCAATTCTCGAATTCAGGCGTGCCCACTAGATCAGACTGACCTAGCTCGATTGCCTCGGTCGGCGCTGTCATAATGGTATCGCCCTCGGGCGTATTGGCCCCCAATCCCTTGGCGCTGTAGGTGCAGAGGACAATGGCGCTAGCCAACAAGCCAGCAGGTCCAAGCACGTTGCATAGGCGTTGGTCATTGAGTTTGTAAAGATTGCTCTCCCGCTCGTAAATGCGCTTCAATTGAGCGGCATGATAGACCGCCTGGCGACCATCAGGAGATCGGGCCCAGATACTGATGACATTTTCGATATTGGCTTCTTGGCAAACCGAGCAGCATTTCTTGTGCTCGAGTAAGCGCATGTTGGCATAGAGCTTGAGGCAAAGAAGGTGATAGAGAGTAAGGTTGAGACCGAGAAAATGGTTGGAGTCACTTATACATTCTCCAAAAAACGTGTCTTCCAGTTTGTCGGTTTTTTCGATGTGAACTCGCCAATCGTGGAGATAGCCTTTCCAAAGCTTGACTCGGTCTGCCGTGCGGTTCAATTCGGGTGAGCGATAGTTTCGATGATGTTCCTCATGGGCCTCTTTGGAAACTCCCCATAGCTCGGACAAGAAGGCACAGAGACTGAAATGGTTATCCTCAAGGGACAGGTGAGGCATTCTAAGATACCCAGTCATAAACCCCTGTGACTCCAGTCCGTCACGAACCATTGTAGAAAATGCACTTTTGGTCCGGCCAGCCGGTTCGTACCAATGGAAGTTAGTTCTATCCGCCCTTGTCTCTGCTCGCCACAAGGCCTCTGACACGGGGAGTGGTGGTCCGAACTCTTGATACCGCATTGTAGGGGGGCGATCAAGTATTATGCACAAATAGGTATCGATGCGAAGGACCGCATATACTAGTCTAATGACACATTAGAAAATGGACGGTGTAGATACGACGGGAGAAGACTGGTTGCTGTACCGTTTCATCTCCTCGGTTTGGACCCATCGGTCGTCAGCGGATTGTAGCTGTTCGTCCGGGGACCACCTATCATCCAAGACGCCAAGTCGACGCAAAGTGGATATTGCAATGTCGGTCCATTGTGCTGCCCAATTCAATGTGGAAGCTGGTGCCTGGGACTATTAGTTCACTTAGCTCAATTTTAAATCGAAGAAGAAACCGTACATCTCCGAGAATTGCATATACCAACGTAATGACAAGTGCTTGTAGCGTCGGCAGTGGTATTTCAGCCGCCGGTCTTTCTGTCAAGGTCTCTTCCGTCTATTTCGATATCAGTCAATATTTCGGCATTGCACAGCTTATTCCACCATGGAATCGACACTCACTATTCTAGGCATTAGTGTCCGTTGCAGCTCCTGATTGATTGCGTACGGAACCAGATGATGACGGTTGGCATTTTGCATCCACATCGATAGGTTGGCCAGTCCACTTGTCAACAGATTGGTTTGCTTTTCTGGGGCAAATGTTGGAATGTGTAAAAAGGGCCACGCTTGGTGGAAATGTTCAAAATCTATAGATTTGACCTGTGCTGTGATGAACTGGACTTGGCTCGTAATGGCCTCGTGCAACTGCAGCCACCCGCTGGATGATGCTGGGGTGGATATCTCAGGGCCTGTCATTCTAAGTATTGAGGTAGCTGCGTTGCCAAGTTAGATCAGAGTCGATATCATATCATTTGTGCCATTCATCCACTCACTCGAAACACTACGGGCGGGGGTAAAAGCTGGTACATCGTTCATGTGGATTTCAGATGATTGGTCTGTAGTGGTGAAGTGATCTCTCGTTTCTGAAACTTGTCGCATTGGTGTGTCAAAAGGAAAACTCATCATGTCAGGTGGCTCTCCAAAGTACAAAGGCGGGGTTTTATTCGGTGTGGATGTTGTTGTGTTTATTCCAGACATCATAGCAATCAATGGATCAGATAAGGGTCGCAGAGGATCTTGCTCCGTACCGACATTTCTCGAAGCAGGCCGAGTATTGGCAACACTGTTACTCCCACTGCGGTTCATTGGTGGGATCCAATCCAGTCGCAAGGGTGAGGTATCCTCTGCACTGGAAATGGCTAAATTTCCAGGCCCCTCGGGGTCTATTTCTTCTGTAGTTTCAGTTGGCCTCTTTTCCTCCCCCAGGGAGCCCTGGCGGAGCGATCGCGTTGCTGGAATGAATGCCTGCATACTAGATGGCTCACGCACACATGGCTCCCCACTATCCGCACATGTGGAACAGGGGTAGTTGGAATCGCACTTTGTTTTACGACGGCGGCACGTTTGGCATGCTAATGGGATTCTTTTTGCGCCATCGGGGGGCACATTATGCTGGAGCACATGGCGGTTCAAAATATCACTGTTCGGCTGATCAGCGAGTCGTTCTCTACGGCCAAGACGCCAAGCGACCAGTGGATCTTACCTTCTGGCAAAGCTTCGCCCACAGATGAAGCATTTATGCCGGCGCGAGTTTGTATGTATGACGAGATGGCGATTAAGATGCTCTTTGCGCAAAAAAGATTTACCACAGTCAGGATTCGTACAGACAAATGGACCTGAAGAAACAGCGGGGGCCCGGCGGGGTGGTGAGAAGTCCATATTCTTTCGGGACAAAGTCGATCAAGACGATCATGGGTGGATCAAAGAAGCTTCCCGCGTGTGGAGGGGTGGAGGAAAAAGAAAACCCCGGGAAACGAACAAACCTGGCAACCAGGGGGAGATCTAGGGTCTTAAGAGCCACTACAACAACCCTGCTGTGGCAGAATTTAGCAGATTTAGAGCTGTTCAAAGGTACGAGCTGCAGACTTTGGGAACGCCCCAATCCTACTGGAGCCACCCCGCGCCCATGTCCAATGGGGCCGTCGATAAATCTACAGTCGCCTGGACCAAAAATCACGTGGCACGTGCAGTAGCGTGAGGTATTTAATACCCACTTTACTGTTATTTACATAGAATCCACCAATCACAAACTAGGAAACCTTAATATTGGACGCCAAGTATTGCAAATCTGTGTAAATCACAATACATATGCATGGATCCACATTCATAAACATCGTGACTGGCGACTGTAGAGTTCATTTCGGATGCAAGCCATCGATGGATTACTCAACGACCTTGCAGCTCAGTGTTCGATGGTAGAGATGTCGTCACCTCAGCTCCCAGAGGTCTAAGTTCATGGAAGAAAGGGTGGTAGTTTGATCCAGTGCTCGTTTCAACTCATCCGCGCCCGTCAGCGCTAACAAGAAGGCGCTCCCCTAAAAGCTTACGGTACGAAAAGGGTAAACATCGCACGCCAAGCGACCATATTACCCGATCACTATGCTTTCAGGATTTTTAGCCAAGCGAGCCTCACTTTCACATTTAAAGACCTCAGAAGCTTTTCTGGCTATGTATATTATAGCCATGTGGCGGTCAATCGAACGCCTCCAGGACTCACCCGTGTTCTGTCCTCCATAGGCTGTTTCTTTCAATTCTGGTAACTTGGGACGGTACCTCGAGGTTTGTTTTGTTGCTCCTCGCCTTTCCGCCTGTCCGCCTACTTATCTCTCACCGGGGGCCTTATCTAAAACCTCGCGTCATCAAGATACATGTTAGCGCCAGGCTACTAGACGTCAAAGAATTATTTGTTAATGTGCTGTCGGACCCAAGGATTCCAATCCTTTGAGAGAATCACGGACGGTTACCTCGCTGCTGACTGCATACTCACCGGGTTGTGGCTATGCTCTGTCTTCACGCTAGCGTGCATAGTGAAGTAAGCGGCGCCACAGTTCCGCCTGCAGATTTTATTTGCAATATGGAATTCTCACCAACCTAGGCGCTCATATTTTTCTTCCTCTTCAACCCCATGTTAGCCTCGGACAATGAAGCATATGTGTCTTTTGTGTCCTGCAGTAACACGTGAGATTGACCCTTCGCCAAGTGTCTTCAACGCCAGTTGAGCAATCATTGCATCAATGATGACTTGCATGTGCCAATTAACGAAGGTTTACGGCAGTGTCCTTGAGGATCGGATCGACCTGTCATTTGTTGCTTCTATATGCCTAGAATGTGGGGGCTAACTGCTATCTATCTTGCGGACCGTCGCTGTGAAGTCAACCTCCGATACGCAGTCTATTCGGCCCATCGGGCTAAACGGGCAAATCCACAAAGCAAAGCATATTATCTTCTTCACCCTAATGCAGGTAGCGCGACACGTGTCCGGTCCGAGCGGCCACGCGAAGTACCCTGCAGAAGTATCGACTTAAACCACGAATAGCTAGCTATGGCGTCGATATATCTAAAACAAATTACCGTCGCACAGAATACCCATAAAGGGTTGATAATTATTTCTTGGACAAATTCCATCCAATCTCTTTGCACCTTACATGAGTTCCCGTGGCAACTAGGCGCTACGGACCCACTAGATTGTCTCACTAATTTTTCGACTGTATTCATTCGCGGAATAATCTAGCGTTCGTCGATTTTTCTGAAGCTATCCGCAATGCCAAACGCAGCGACCTTGGGACAATAACCTTGGTTGATTTCAGAATGTAGACTTGGCGAACCTCAATATTTCACAACGAATAATATATCTGGGATAAATAATTCAGAACTTTTCCGTTACACTTCGATCGCTTATTTCGACGTTCTCTATTGCATCGTTTCACACTTGTAAATACTAAACTGAGCGCCTAGGAAGAGATAAACAGTGCGTTTTGGTACAAACTAATCGGATTAAGAGAGTGAGACATAAAACCAAGCCCAGATTGTTAGATTAGGTAGCTTTTCAATCAATGTTGGTATTTTGTATTGCGCCATGGACTTTATAGGCCGAACGGGAGGGCTAAAGGAAGGGCTCAAGCAATCGCTAGTTCGCGGCAAATTTCAGTGGAAGAACCTGAATCGTGACATTTTGTTCTTGCTCAATCAAGACTATCCGTTCAATATTAGGACAGGTGAGAAATAAGGAGGTCAGATAGCAGCGAGGCTCATGTGCACCTTTCGTAAGAACCGTTCCCGAAGCCGAGTCCGAAGCCGAAATAGACGGAGCTAACCACCACAATAGCCCTATACATCATCATTTGGGCCGTATTTGCAACATGAAAATTGTTCCTATCCCTACCCCGACCGTTGAATCGTACTCGGGTCCATGCTAACATGGCTTTCCTACATCCAATTCAAAATATAAGGGAGATGTTACTCTCTGTCGTTCATGAGAGATCAGAATTAAGCAAGTCATTGCAAAGACACAGTCACGATCAAAGCAAGTATCTACTGAACAACCAGAATAATGGCTGCCACTTCGACGATGACTTCCACCACCACGAGCACCAGCGGGTCCATCACCGTTCAGGCTCAAGCATTGATTCCCTTTCGCCGGGCACCGATCAATTTGTATCCCGAGGAAGGAAAGGAAGCTGAATACATGCGCTCGCTGCCAGATCTTATCGAATTCAACTCGAAGGCCAATCCTGATCATCTTTTCTGCATTCAAGCATTGAAAGGTGCGGAATCTGTCCCAATCTCGAACCGGCAGCTGCGCGATGCTGTGGCCAGTTGCGGTAAATGGTTGCAAGACAACGTCACTGCACTGCAGCTTCCAGCGCCAGTCGAAGGGGATGAGAAAGCGCAAAAGGGCGCTCCAGTGGCTCTGTTGATGGACAGCGATGTTGGCTTGTTCTTTCACCAGATGGCTCTTATTGGCCTGGGAGTTCCAGTAAGTTAAACAATGAAGAGCCGTGGCCCCAAATTTACGGGGAAATTCTAACTATGCTAGGTGCTTTTGCTGTCTGCTCGTCTCAGCGTTACGGCAATCCACCATCTGCTCAAGAAGACGAATGCAGTCGCTCTTTTGGCCGCGCCTCGACACCAGCCAAATGCAGCCCAAGCCGTGGCTCTCATGAAAGACGAAGATGGAAAGACGATTGAATTGCACAAGCCAGAGCCATATAGCACTCACCTGGCCACTGCCGTGTCTGTTGACTCAATCTGTCATCCTTTCCACTACTTCAGTGAGAAAGATCGGAATGTCCTGATTCTTCATTCCTCCGGCACCACGGGCCTGCCTAAGCCAATCTATATCTCGCACCGGCACTTGGTATGTTTCACCACTTGCCACGACTTCAAGACGGAGCAGGAAGCGCAGGGAGTCAACGTTTCAACCCTGCCTCTTTATCATGGGTATGGCTTGATGGCTCCATCCCTTGCCATGGGCGTTGGCAAGACGGTTTGCTTCCCGCCTCCTGGTACGGTTCCTAACGCTCATGGCGTCATCAACCTCATTAAGAGCAACCAAGGCGCTTCTTTGATGTCTGTACCATCAATCCTGGAGGAAATCATGATATCGCCAACGGATGAAGGGGTTCGTACTTTAGCCACTCTAGACTTTGTTACCTTTGGTGGAGGGCTTCTGACCCCCAAAGTTGGTGATCGGCTAGCAGCAGCTGGGGTGAAGCTATTGAATCACTATGGAACAACCGAAAGTGGGCCTTTGTCACCATTCTTCGTTCCCACTGCTAGCTATAACTGGCATTTCTTCCGTCTCAGACGTGACATGCGAATGTCTATGAAAGAGATCGAGCCCTGTGAGGGTCAGCGACGCTTCCGACTTACTACCTTCCCATTTGGAGTGGATCAGCCTTTCGAGATTCAAGATCAGCTTATTTGTAATCCTGAGCACCCGGAGACTGATTTCAATTCCGTGGGCCGAACGGATGACCTTATTGTGCTCGCTACCGGTGAAAAGGTACTGCCGCAAATCCTCGAAACATCTTTGGTGGAGAGCGGTCTGGTGAAATCGGCCATTGCCTTTGGTGATCGCCAGTTTGAGATTGGTGTTATTGTCGAGCCTATCGCTCCCGTTAGCACCCCCGAGGACGAGCAAATTGTGAGGGAAGCGGTTTGGCCACTCGTTGTGCAGGCTGGAAACAAGATGGATGACCATGCCAAGGTCTCGTCATCAGATGCCATCATTGTAGTACCTGCAGGCACTGTCATTCCTCGCACAGATAAGGGATCAATTGCACGCAGGGAGGTATACAAGCTTTTCGAGGACCAGATATCTCAGGTCTACCAAACCCTCGAAACCCGCCCGATCGATCCTTCGGTGAAATCTCTAGATACTGAGAATTTGGAGCAGGGGTTGATAGATTTGATCCAGACACGAATTCACTGGAGTGTTCCATTGACTGACTTGGGCCAAGATGATGATTTGTTCGAGCGTGGCATGGATTCTTTGCAGGCCATGCGGCTGCGAAGATACCTCCTTTGTGCCGTCCCGACAACAATCAACGGCTCCTCATCTGCTGATCGCATTGGTCGCGATTTCATTTATGCAAACCCATCCGTTGGTCAAATGGCGAAGGCTTTGCGCGAATCACAAGGACCAAACAAGCCACGTTCAGCTCATGATGCGGCGAGGGAGCTGCTACCTCAACTTGTGGAAGCTCATGGACTCCACGAAGCATCGTTCCCGGATCCTGGGGCAATTGTGGTCCTCACCGGATCCACGGGAAGCTTGGGTTCTCACTGCCTAGCGGAACTGGTCAAGTTGCCCAATGTCGCCCGCGTGATTTGTCTCAACCGATCAAGAACCGGGGGAGATGGGGACGCGTCCACCCGTTTGGCCCGTACCTTGATTGATAAGAGCATACACCTGGATGAAGGGATGTGGTCTAAAGTGCAGACATATGAGACAAACCTTGCTGCAGACAATCTGGGTCTGCCACTGTCGGAATATGCGATGGTTCGATCTGCGGTAACCCATATCATTCACACTGCGTGGGGCATGGATTTTAAGTGGCAACTGTCTTCTTTCCGACCCCATCTGCAGACCCTTCACAATCTTCTCCAGCTAGCTCAAGATGGGCACCAGGTCCGGCCATCTATCAAGCCCCGCTTGCTCTTCGTGTCGTCCATCGCGACTGTTGGAGAGTATGCCACAATCAGTGGAGAGCGAATAATCCCAGAGGTACCGATGGAGAGCATGGACTGCGCAAATACCATTGGGTACGCAGAAGCGAAGCTCGCTTGTGAGTGGATTGTTGAGCAGGCCATACGGGAGCATCCAGATGAAGTTGAGGCCTGCTACGTGCGACTTGGACAAATTGCTGGAGCAAGGAGCACTGGATTTTGGAACACTACTGAGCATTTTCCGGCGCTGATCAAGTCTTCCGTACTTGCGCGCGCATTGCCGCAATTGCGAGGGGTGAGTGTATTCTCGATTGTTTCGGTCTCTTGCGAATCAAGCTAACCAAAGCTCATAACAGACCTTATCCTGGATTCCAGTTGATGACGCAGCCAATGTGCTGATCGACCTGACATTCAGCGAGCAACAGCCTTCGGTGGCTTACCATCTCGAAAACCCTGTCCGGCAATCATGGAGTGATGTCCTGATCACACTGGGTTCCCAGCTAGATATTTGCCAGTTCCTGCCATTCGAGGATTGGTTGAATCGGGTAGGGAAGGCGGAGTCCAAGGGCGGACCTGGACAGAATCCCGTTCTTCAACTAGAGGAGTTCTTTCGCGAGGACTTCAGGCGCATGGCCTGCGGTTCAGTCATCATGGCGACCGATGAAGCCAGAAAGCGATCGGAGACTCTGCGCTTGGTTGATGCCGTGCCAGACGATGTCGTTGCTTCTTATGTTCAATACTGGCGTACATCGGGATACCTGTCATGATAAGATGGTCGCTGATTTGAGTTTGTTGATTCATTAGATCATATCCTTGCGTTCTTAGAGTCTTTTAGTCAATCAAATAAAGCTGCATTAATCTCAATCACTGTCACCATACTTGTCATCCCCTTGTGCTCGGACATGATTCGATGATTCAAAAGTGTAGTTATCTCTGGTCGACGAGACTGGAGGATGAATGGGAAATATTTCCGAGTCGAGTGGAGGGATTCATGTATCCCTGTTTACTTCGGCTGGCTTGCCGATTCTTTTGCACCTCTGCGGTGCATCGTTGCATTGCTCATGTGTAAAGCATATCACTTGCTCATGTACAGGTGAGTCTCGACGTAAAAAATGTCTCATCACCCCTGTACAGAGTGTGGGGCTAGATTCATCATCTCATTGGTTGCTCATAGCGGAGTGACTTGTTCTTTGTTTGCGGTTCCGGTGGGATGAAGCCGTTGGCGCGGGCGGGCAACTTGAGTGTCTAGAGCTCAACCTTCCATATTTGAAGAGTGTCGGCACGATGGGGGAATCTGAGGAAATATTTTATTTTCATCCTACGACAAACGATTAGTTGATCTATTATCTCTGTTCACATTTCCCGTGACGTTAGTTTCGTCTTATCCGTTCAACAGCCGAAGTTATGGCTGCTCTCGCTGGCAAAGTTGCTATCATTACCGGTGGCTCTAAGGGCATCGGCAAGGCCACAGCTCTTCGTCTCGCGCGTGATGGCGCAAAGGTAGCTATCCAGTACCTCTCCGATGACCAAGGCGCCCAGGAGGTGGTCAACACAATTGGAGAGGAGAACGCCCTAGCCGTCAAGGGCAATGCCGGCAACGTGGCCGACAGTGACGAGTTGATCCGCCGTACGGTGGATAAATTCGGTCAGGTTGATATTCTCATTGCCAACGCTGGCTCGTTGCCCGTCCGAGACTTAGCGAACACCTCCGAGCAAGACTTTGATGATTGCATGGATCTGAATGTCAAGGGACCATACTTTTTGGTTAAGGTACGAGCTCCAGAGCATTAAGATCAGAAATTAGAGTCTGGGTCAATAGTATTTAGGAGAAGGGGACATTGCTGATACGATGATTGTAGAAAGCGGTCCCTCATCTCCGCCCCGGCGCCCGCATCATCCTGGTTTCCACAACCCTGTGCCACGCCTCCACAATCAGCCCTCCCTACCTTCTTTATTTAACCACAAAGGGCGCCATTGAGCAGATGGTTCGTGTTCTCGCTAAGGATCTGGGTCCCAAGGAAATCACCATCAACGCGGTCGCCCCGGGTCCCACCGACACCGTTCTGTTCACCCGTGGCAAGCCAGAACCCGTGCTGAACGCCATCAAGAATCTCAGCCCCCGAGGTCGTTTGGGTACACCGGAGGAGATTGCGGAGGCCATGGCGTTTTTCAGCTCCCCGGCTAGTGGCTGGGTCTCTGGACAGATTTTGCGCGTGAATGGCGGTATGGCTTAGATAGAATGCGGTGGTTGGAAATGTACATGTTGTCCATGTTGTGCGGTTCTAGAGTATAAGACACGTACATGTCTCTTTGAATCTTTCAAATAAATCTACATTTTCCCACTACGTTAATTCTATCCCAAAATTTGAAAAGAACATACATGTTAGATTCAGCTTTTAAACACGACTCAAAGCATGGTTAAGCATGCAATGCAGGCTTGGGGCCACTGTGAGCCTCAGGATTTCGTAAAACGAGACCACTCAGCTACAGTAGATTTATCAGAAGAAAAAAAAAACGAAAAAAAAAAAAGAAATAAGCCATTAATCTAGAAACTCGACCAATGTGATCTGGGAAAATCTATCTGCAAATATAATCAATATGCAACAAACGTTGCCTGCGTCATACCAGGTCCTCTTCTCTATACTTAATTCCTACGCTCAACCCTGTTTGGTGAACAAACCAACGATTCTTGACATCCCATCCGTCACCATTGGTGAGTTCGAGCTACATTCATATTAATGAGCAATGTTTTAGGCAAAATATGAAGATAGCAACGTACCTCATAACGCTGGAAGAGTGTCGGGATCAGTTTATAGATCTCGAGATATGAGATGTGCTTCCCAAGACACACACGACGACCCGCACCAAACTGGATATTCGTTAGCTTGAACAGGTAAAGAAAAGATTATGATAATCAGAGCTCACCGTCATAAGCGCACTGTCCATCTTCTTTCTTGTCTCATCATCACAAAACCATCGGTCTGGATTCCACTCCTCACAGTCTTCACCAAATGTTTCTGGGTCTCGATGAATAGCCCAGGCACTGATGCCCACTATGGATCCACCAGGAATAGACTGTCCACAGATAACAGCCCCCTCAGGCGGCACTACGCGCTCGAAAGGCAACCCAAAAGGAGGGTGCAAGCGACCCGATTCTTTAATGACTGCATCGAGGTACGGAAGCTCACGGCTCTCCTTCCAGGTGACGACTGGTGAAAGTCGGCCCTCCTGACGAGCGACCTTCAGTTCCTCGAGGAGCCTTGCCAGACACTCAGGGTGCTTGAGGAGCTGGTAAATGATAGTACGAAGCAGGATAGCTGTTGTATCGCTTCCTGCGCCGATGTTTGACGTGGTCCACGCAGTTAATGCCCTGCCATCTGTTAGCCATGAAAAGATGAATAGGACTAGTATACAATGTTTACCATGGTGGAATGCTCGGGTCTTTCTCAATCGCCTCAAGGAACCGTGAGAGAAAGTCTCTCGAATTGAGTTCCTCCCCTGTCGCAACCTCTTTGCTCTGGTTTTGTCTCTCGGCAGCTCGAGCTAAGGCAAAAGCAACGACCGGGTTGACCTTCTTTGAACGAAAGCGCTCGAGAAGAGGGTTTTTAGCCCACAGCCAGTCAACCCAGGGAATCTGTGTAACAACTGAGGCAGTATTAAAGAATGTATCAATGGCATGGATGATGCCATCTACATCTTCGCCGCTTTTCAGAAAGCCGAGGCGCTTCGAAAAGGTTAATTCGCCAATCACATCAAACGCGAAGTACTGAAGCCAGCTTTCCAGGTTGCAGATACGCCCGGGTTTAACAAATTCTTCATCAAGCCGCTCGAACAAATATCGCATAGTGGAGTCGACGTATGGCTCAAAAGAGACCAAGTTGGTCATTGAGTACATCCCGGCGATAGGCCTTCGCAGCTGTCGATGGATGTTTTCATTTTGCGTCGCGAAAATGGTTTGGACAGGCTTTCCTTTCACATAGAAGGCTAGCGCCCGGTAGAAATCAGACTGTCCAATGAATAAGTAAGAATTTTCCTCTGACTCTCATGGCTTTCATACCTTGCCAAAACTGCCAGCAAAATTGTAGATGTTTTGGATCTCTCGCGGATCAGTCACAGAGATCATGTTGGGTCCGAAGCGCACCAGTCGCCCGTATTTCTTATGCAAGCCACTATGAATCTCATGAGACTTATTGGTCCAGACCCAGTATGCTCGAGGCACATTCGTGAAGGCAGAAAGCAGAGGACCGGGTATGTGTCGAAGTCGTAAATATCCACGAAGGAGTAACGCAGCCAAGAAAACTACCCCTAGAGGCAGTAGTACCGATAATGAGAAAATCATTGTAGATGATGCAAATTGGTTGTTTCCCTTCGACCCGAAGAGCTGAGGAGCGTGAGAACGAAGAGAGCCCTTATATAATTCGGTGGACTGGGGGCTCCGGATTGCGAATCACGATTGCAACTGGGTTATCTGGGAATTTTTTTGTAATATCACGGTCGTCGATAATGAGTCTATAAATGCCACTGTGCAATGACTTCGTTGTAATTGCATACTGGCGGGAGTTGCGTATAGAGGCCCAAGGTCCGAGGACCTGAGTTGCGCAACCCCGAAGCCGACCGTGGAGCCTCGTTCCTTCGCGTCCCCAACTTGTTCTTTCTCTTGCTCTGGACAACACACAGACCAATCAAATCATTACTACCAAACTTTACCAGCTAGTTGCGTATAATCCAAGACCTGAGTTCTGGAGACCCTAGTATCTCTCTCTCTATGCCAACATGGTTTTCACGGCTTTGACACTGCCTTGTCAACTCGGGGTTGGGTGGCCTCCTACGCTTTGGTCCAACGATGATGGCACAGCGGAGTCGGCTCCAGCATTCTGAAAGTGCGACTCCTAATGGTATATAACATCGGCATCGGCGTTCACTTTACTCAATCATTCACCAACGGCATCGGACTCGGACTCCAACCAATCACCTCACAGATCAATCTCATTCATCACTATGCTAGGCCAGCTGTTCTCACCTCTGGTCACTCCACTAGACTGCCGGCGGCCAATGCCAGCCTGGTTCCTTCCCTCATTCCTCGCTACTGGTACCGTCACTTGCTTTATCCCCACGAAAAGCCGATGGGTTCGGCTTGCCGTCGGCGCCCCAATCTTTGTTGGTCTTCTTCTCCACGCACCCAGCTTCACCACCGGCGAAGTCGCTCTTGATTTTGTTACCGGGGTCTTCATGACTGGTGCCGTCATCAAATGGCTTGACTTTGCGGTTTTCCATGACCCCGGTAAATCTTTCTGGCGAGTGCCCAGTATTCGGCCTCGTGTGAGATCCAACAAGAGAGACTTGGAAGCTCAGACCCCCATCAAGACCAAGACCCAGGCTATCGGAGAACATGTCAATGGAGATGCCAAGGTTTTGTCTGCCTCTGCTGCTGCTCCTTTGTTCCTGGTGAAGGTGAAGGAAGGTGAACACCCGTCTGTCCCTGTTATGGTCACGAAAGATACCGTCACCCTGCCCGATGAACCCACCGGTCCAAGTGCCAACGGCTCTTTGCTTGAGCGATTGCAATGGAGTGTGAGCTTATGGTGTTCGACTCGAGGCATTGGCTGGAACTGGAAGGTCTCTAATGTCCCTGAGCCGGTCGAACCTGGTTATTCTCGAGTGTAAGTTGCATGACATTCAAGTGACTCATAGCATACGTGCAGTTTTACTGAGCCTTTTACAGCAAGTTCTTGCGCCACACTCTTCATCGGTTCCTCTTGGCTTATCTTGGTCTGGACTTTGTTCATTCTTGCACCCGCTGGTATACATTGAGCAAGGGGGGCTCCATGCCCAACATCTTCTCTGAGGGTCCTCTGGTACGCACTGCGCTGGGTTGGTTTGGTGCCTTGGAAACATACAACGCTCTCCAATTGCCCTTCTATCTGTTTGCGACTATCACAACAGCAGTAGGACTCTGCCGACCGGAGCAATGGCCTAATCTCATGGGATCATTCAGTAACGATATGTGGAGCGTGCGACAATTCTGGGGGTGAGTATACCATTCAAGGCGAGACACTCCGATCCTTACTGACACATCAATAGGAAATGCTGGCACGGACACCTTCGCCGTGCCGTTGTTGAGCCATCTCGCATTGTGGTCGATTTCCTACGACTTCCAAAGGGATCCAACGTCCGTAAATACGCACAGCTTTATATTTCCTTCTTCATCTCCGCCCTCACACACCATGCTGGTGCTTACCTTGTTGGCCGCAACACTGGTGGCATGTATTCTCTCTGGTTGGGCCAGGCAACAGTAATCATGTTCGAGGATGTGGTCATCTACTATGGCAAGAAACATGGCATCAAGAGCAGTCGTGAGTACTCCATACTTGGTGAGATTGGTCAGCACATCTAACAGTGATCAATTCTTGTTTTTAGCTGTTCTCAAGGCTCTTGGTAAGCTTTGGGTGTGCCTTTGGTTTTGTCTACCAACCAACTTCCCCACCGGTGCAGGTGTCGTCATCAACCAGGGCATGGGACTTGACCCAGCACCATTGAACTTCTCTACGGCTGCCGAGTTCCCGGCTTCGCCATGGGCTATGACGAACCTGTTCAACTTTGTTGCCGATCGTGCCACAGTATTTTGGATGCTTAGCAAAGCCATCAATCTTCTCGAGGCATCTAGCCCCCGAGATGTTTTGGAAGCCGCCGCCGGAGCATTAGGAGCAGCTGTGTGGAAATACAGTCGCTCTGTCTAGGCTTCTATTCTTTCTTTTAGCGTTTTGATTGTCTTATAATTTTGATGAGCTAGAGACTCGGCGTTCTTGGTTGTTTTGCTCGGATCTTGGAAATGGCTACCGTTCTACATTGACTTTTTCTTTTGTCACATATGATTCTTTCTTTCTTTTTTGAACTTCCGCTCGTAAATTTCAATTGAAAATTCTCTCACTTCATATTTGATCATGCTCATCATCTTTTGGAAACATAGTAACATATCACCAGCTCTGATATTCAAAATTTGAAGATAGTGCTATTTTCTAGTGCGAGGTATCTCAAGTGGACTTAAAGATGAGATTGATAGTTATCTCAATATGCCTTCCCGGTGCGCTGAGGATAAGTGATTCTTCTAGCATACCTAAACATGCAGAGTTGTCTGATCATAGCCAACCTACTGAAAATTATTTCATCGACATCTTATTTAGCTAAGCTCGACCATTTAGCGTGAAAAGTGATATTGAACTATATTTTTTCTCTCATCAGAAAGCAGCACTTGACTCAGAGTCAGTCTAGCGAAAGCTAACAAGATGGGAAACTATTTAGGAATTTGAAGAATGATTCACTCTTCCATCGATTAATTCGACCAATTATAGAAGGTTCGATAAAGTCAATAGATAGTATTGGAAACGATTGCTAGATATGAGATGAGATCGATATGAGGAATTCTGGAGTAGTTCTAAGACACACACATGGAAACAGTAAAGGAAAATTTGATCTTATATAACTCTGCACGTCGATTAAGAGAACGCAACATTCATCAGAGGATATTCACTTCTTGCCGTAGCTTTCGGTCATGCGGTGCAGCATGTGTTTCTCCGGTGTCAATGGGTTCGGGTCATTTGCCTCGCTGCCATCCAGAGCCCGAAGCTCAGTATCCGCGTTGCCGTCGAAGAAGAACACAATGCTATACCGATCCCAGGGGTTGCGGTTGATCACACGGTGAACACTACTGACATACTCGTCGCGCGTCCAACGACTAAGCATGTCACCAACGTTGACCACATATGCCGAGGGATTCGGCGGAACAGCCACCCAAGCCCCAGTGCGGGAGTCCATGACCTCCAAACCAGGACTCTCATCTTGCAACAGCAAAGTGATGGCTCCGAAGTCAGTATGCGCACTAGCTCCGTACTGGGGCTGCTCAGTCGAAGTGGCGGGCGGGTAGTGCAGGATACGCATCGGAGTAATTGGGTTGTTGGAGACAAAGTCATCGAAGATTCCTGGGCCATAGGGCAGGGTTCGCTCAATTATCTTCAACAGCTGCTTGCTGAGGGTGCTAAGCGCCTGATGGTATCTCTCACAAGGCGAGCGGAAATCCGCATACGGTAGCTCGGCCTCGGTCGGCCAGACGTTGCGGCCCATGAAGAACCTGCCCGCCTGAACACGAGGGTCGTCGTCTGGAAGATCTTCGCCGACATACCAGCCCTCCTTAAGATCGGGCATGATACCAGCCTCATAGGCCTGTGAAGCTAGCACATCATACCCACGATGACCGCGGACGGTCTTGGAGTCGAGGGCCTTTTTGGTCTCAAACGGCAGGGAGAAGAACTTTTTGCCCCCATCAAAGACGGATTTCTGCAGGTATGTGGAGACCCCGTGGCCAGTGATCTGGAAGAATCCAGTGGAGCGGCAGGCTTCTCTGACGATGGGTATAATCTTCAGTGCCTCTTCGGAGTCTGGATTTGCGAGAAAGGCTGAGATATCGACCGTCGGTATCTCAAGTTTAGGAATAACTTGCCCAAGCTTGGTCATGGGAGTCTCAAGCTTGGAGGCATTGATATTCGGAGGATCAACAAGTCCAGGAGCCATCTTAGTGTGTACTATTGCAAATATGGCGTTTTGTGCTTCGAAATCTCAGACTTTGATAGTTTGGTTGACTTTGTAGGTCTTGATTCCTGGCTTCTGAATAACAATGGGTGTTCTCTTTCGAAATTGTACTCGTATATATACCCACGCCTTGGCTACTCTGACTGCGTGAGATAATCCCATCAGTGTCGTTACGGGGAGAACGACCCCGAGTATAGGGATTCCTTCAGTGTTCAAAATCATCGGATTGGAAGCATACCCAATCACGAACCGATCCATCGGGTGAGAAAAGCTGAATGGGCCCATACGATCAAGCAGCGGAAGGATCCATCTCCAAATCTGGTCAATCAAACGCCAGGTATGACGACAGCACGGAGCTCATTCATTCCGGAAGCAAGAGGGATGTGGTGGAAAGGTCTGCTAATCGATGCGGATTCGGATTCGGACTCGGAGTAAAACAACAATGGCCCAGTGTGCCTTCAAGAGTTGATTGGTCCGGATTCAAAGCGCAACGGGTGCTTAGTCATTATGTTTTGGCCCCATCGTGCTGCGGTAAAGATGTAGCTAGCAACGATTAAGCACTACGCACACCTGAATGCGTCCAAGCGCGATATCCCCCTGCTCTATATCCAGTCATAGCCTTGGAGTCCATGGATATTGGGAGAGGAGCTCGCGGCCCCAGGGGTTGAATACGCCTTCGGACCTTTGGTTGTCAACTCACGGGTCATCGATAACTCGTGGATCAGTATTCTAAGTGTGATCAATGTATGTGCAATATTGGTGAGGTACCATTTTCTTAGCGGAGTGTGCTGTAACAACCAATCGAAGTCTTTTTCAAACTCTTTCCTACTGTGTTCAATGACCAAATACTACCCACCTATGAGATCGCGGTCCTGACGTGGAACGAACGGATTGTGCCAGCCGCTATGATTTCAAGTAGGCGTCCATGAATGCGACAGTAGAGATAAGAATGATTTACATGGTGAGACGAACGGGCGATGAAGATTTTACTGCTGCATCGAATACTGCCTTGGACCCTTGAGGGAGCTTCCAGGATTGAAGTGAAAGTGACAAAGAGAGTTGGTGGCCTATCTCCAATGATATATACTACTGCTCACAATGACAACCATCTGTATAATGCGAAAATGTGTTTATGACTAAAGATCGGGCTCTCAAATTGTAGAAAATTGAAAATTGTGATATCATTCGTGAGAAACTGTTTAGAATATAGAATAACTCTAAGTATATTGTATGTATCGAGTTATCATGATGTTAAGTCATGATTCATATGACAGACACACCTCTGCCGCTTTAAAATATTTGAACAATCCGTCGTTACTCAGCATCGATGTTCTTCAATCCGTTTGAATTACACCGCCTCCGCCTCCTAAGCCTTCAGCTCTGAGGTGACCTCTAGAGTAGAGTCAGTCTGCGCACTTTCTACATCGGAGATTGATGAAGCGCTGCTGCTCTTGTGTTGTCCAATGACCTCGCCCTCCTCGCAAGATAGCATTGGAGAGATAGCTCTGAGCTGAGGTCCTTTCCAAACTAGCACTCCGACCATTAGAAGGGCGAAAAGCGAGAAGAATGCTGCCATGCCGAACATCCATCCCACGCCAACGGCGTCCATCCAGGGAGAGAAAATGAAGCCAGTGGCAATGGCAAAGCCAAGTCTATACGCATTCATTGCGATAGCCGCTTCGTTCGCATCGTCCCTGTAGCATTCAACAATGTAATTGAGGCAGATAGGAACAGCAAGCATCGAACTGAACACGATCAAGAAGAATCCTAGGGCCAGCACCATGTAGTGGAGGTGATATTGGATAGCCGCTCCAAAGATACCGAGGCCGATAGGTGCTACCAGGCCTGGAAGCAAGATGTTGTAAAGTCGGTATTCAGGGTGCCAGACACCCTTACCAAACCGGCGTGAGACCCAAAGAGGGATGCGGTCTCCCACGCACCAACCAACGAATTGGGTGACAAGGATTGAGAACCAAGCATCCAGAGTGACTTGTTTAATTATTAGAATGTGCTGATAGTATAGAGGTGGCATTTTGACTCACAGAATGCATTCCGCATGGGGCTAAATCCGTATCCACCTTCAGATACTGGTGCCTCCAAGAACATCGTCAACAGGACATTGGTTAAGATGACAAAGGCGAAGCAGATGAAGATATATCCACCAGCAATGAGAGTGATTGGTGCTCCCATAATGATGAAGGGCTTTTTCGCGGCCCGGGCCTAGGAAGAAGTAAAGTCAGTGGCATATTCGTACATGTTTTATCTGGGAGCCTTACAGTTTGACCCCAGGGTTCATGGGGAATGATCTTGTGTCCGGGAAGAAAAGTGGCCACTCGATTGGCCCAGTATGACGTGGGTTGAGGTGGGTATTTAGCAGCTCCGGGTGAAGTTGACCATCCGCCTGTCTCCTCCAAACAGAGCAAGACGAGCAAAATTGCCAGACCACAAGGTATCAGGGTCCACCAAAATGCCCAAGTCCAGGAAGTGTAATTGACAATGAAGCCACTGATAGTAGGGCCGACATTGACTCCAAGAAGGAAGCTAAGCTCGAAGATGGAAAAGACGCGCCCACGTTGGTGGAGGAAGAAGATGTCAACCTAAAGGAGCGGAAAATATTAACATCGAGATCTTGAATAGCAAAGAATGCATAAATATGCAACTTACAGCATATGAAGGCCCCAGAACAGTTGGGATAGAGGAGGCCATGCCTGAAACAACACGGGATAGAATGAAGGGAATATAATCATCCGGCCCTGTCATGAGCGCCGCCCAAATCTGGCAGACAAAACCCACCACCAGACTCCAGAGCATAAGCGAGCTCCGGCCAACCTTGCGCGCCAGAGGCCAAAACATAAGGGGACCAAAGACGAGGCCAATCACACAGGCGGTGACAGAGTATGAAAGATCCACCTCTGTGCGTCCTGGATAAGCTGACGTCTGGACGTAGTAGGTGAGCTGCTGGCTGGAGGGAAGATTCATAGCAGCAAAGCCTGCGTAACAGAGAACAAAAAGCATAAAGTTCTTTTTGCGAGTACTCCAGTTCTGCAGTGGTTGAAGCAGCATTAGTGAGAACAGCTGTTAATGTGCAAGGGAAAGCAACGTACCAATGGATCCTTGGGGTCATCGGATGGCTGGGGAATAAGGACAATGGGGTTATTCCCCTCCGTCATCTTTAGACGGGGGGCGGAAGATTGATAATTCGAGTCCATTTTTCTTTGCGACAAAGGCTATTGTGTGGAGATAGTGGGATTGATGACAGAACTGTGAAACTGAATTGTTCTGGAGAAAAAAGTAGTCTGAATGTCGATACTTGTCCTGATTTTATAGTATAGACCGGTGCAGCCATACCACACACAGCAGGCTAGCATATCGGCACTATCAACTCTCGGCTCTAACATTATCGAAAATATTCTATTGCCCGAATCCGATGGACTCGAGAGTAAGACGGCGTGGAGTTCGGGCTTGGGTCTGCGAGCCCGTATTTACTCAGGTCTCCGGCCCCCACCCCGAAAAGCGGGATAATAAGAGATAAACTGGCTGAAATGCCAGAACATTCTTAATCAAAGCATTTTCCCCCGGGTGGTTGGGAGCTACTTGATACCTTCAAATGCCACATGTTGGCTAGTCACACTAGGAGTGCATGACCTGTGAAAATCTAGATTAGATCAGGAACGCCGCAGAGACTTTACGAACTTTCCTATCAGCTGCTAAATAATACATACTAGCCTGAAAGATTGAATAGTTCTGTGAGAGATTGTGATAACAGAGAAGCGTGCATTGAGTCACCTGAGGAACAACTAGGATCCGACGCTCAACTTCGACTGTCCGATTGCTTTGACCAACAAAGATAAAAGCCTTTCTAGATGTGAAATCTCTGTATGGATATGGTTGTAAGGAATTTTTGAAGGCGAATGGCATGATATGAACAGTCTAATTTCAGTATGAATAATATAACAAGATCAAAGAATATAATAAACGTCTACAGCATCAAAAGCTTCGCAATCGCATAAAGAATCAAGATCACAAAGAATAGTGCAGCGACTAGCTTGAGTTGCCAAAGACTTCTCGAGCTAAAAAGTCATATGCCTTGCGTAGGGCTTCACCCCCCTTGCCATCAGAGTCAGGATACAAATCAAAGAGGTGAACCTTATTCTCAACAATAATCAGCTCTGAGCGTACTCCTCGCTGTTTGAGTGCCTCCACCGTGCGCTGGCTCTGGACCCAGGGAATCAGATCATCTTCGGTTCCATGAACCACAGCGGTAGGCGTAGTATATTTGCCCTGCGAAATCTGCGCATATGGGCTAACCGCTTGAATTTCCTGCTTCGAAGGCTGAGCTTGCTCGAGAAGTGACCGTGCATGCTCAGCAGAGACGCGGCCAGAACCAGGCAGTCCACGAAGAAGAACTGGCAAGCACTGACCCTTCCAGTTCATGTGCAGGACAATCCGTGAGCGCGGATCCTGGGGCGCCATCCAGCCACCTACAGCTCGCATCTTTGCTGAGACCTGGTATCCGGTGATAGGCCGGTCTTGTACACCCGCGAGAAGATCATAGTCTGTCGACTGAGCTAGCTCTCGGCTGCTCTCTGGATAGTTTGGACTTTGCCAGCAAGGATCTTCATAATCGGTAGGGCAGTAAAAAGCTAAGATAGCCGTAGGAGGCGCAAGACCGCGCTGAATTGACGTGAACGCAGTAGTCATGGCCAAATGTCCGCCAGTGGACCAACCAACGATGGCAATGCGGGACGCATCAACCTTCAGTCCTTGCGCTAGTAGTGGCAGATTGGGAAGAGTAGACCGGGCCCAGCTAAGGGCGTCGCAGACATCAGACATCGGTCCATCAACCAATGTTGTTTCTGGGCACAGGCGGTAGTCGATGGAGATTGGCAGGAAACCCATGGAATGCAGGGTTGGCGTCTGCTTAGGACGAATATCCCGACGGGACAACATGACATGCCCACCACCGTGGATCATGAGAGCTAGATGCAGTATGTTAGTAAAGTTCAAGTTAGAGATCAAGAAGTTTCACCTTACCAATAGGTCTTGCCTCCGAAGGCTCCCATGAGGCGGGGTAGAAGATGTCAGCAAACAGGGAGACATCACCCTGCTGTTTGTAGCGAACAATCTCCACTGTCGTTTCCACATCTTTAGGTACTCGTTTGGGAATGAAAGACGCATCCTCAGGTGGTGCATTGAAGCCAGTGATGATGCGCAGAGTGCGAGATTCAAGCGATGGACCATCAGTCCAAGAAACGTGCTGGTACCCGGCACGACGCATGCTAGCATCCCAGAACCACTCTGACGCAAGGACATGGGGCCGTCCATCAGAGAATAGCCACCAGCCATCGAGCAAGCCAAACACAAGATCAAACCAGTACATGTTGCGCGTGAATTCGACTAGCGATATAAATCCGTCCGGTCGCAGCATCTGGCGCATATGCCGAGTAGAAAGCTCCAGGTCTTTCGTTGCATGAATGCAGTTGGTGGAGATAATAGCATGGTACTTGCCCTGAACTTCCTCCAAAGGTTGCTTCTCAATGTCAACAACCTGGAAGCGCATAGATGGGTGCTTGGATCCGAACTTGCGCCGCGCGGCGGCAACAAGGGACCCAGAAAGATCACTAAATGTGTAGTTGAAACGTATTCCCCGCCTTTCGAGGAGCTCAACTACATATCTGGTTGTACCGCCTGTACCAGCCCCGAGCTCTAGGATCTCAAAAGGCTCCGAGGATGATGGCGAGGACGAGAATGCCTTGTCAATGAAGCTGCATAGTTGCTCCGAGATAGCCTCGTACATCGGCCCTTTGGCGTACACCGACTCGAGAATAGTGCGGTTCTCCCTTGAACGGAAGAGAATATCCAATGGGTCTGCCGTACCAATCAGGCATTCAGCCAATTTCGATCCAGTCATATGAAGAAGCTGATGTTCCATCACATGTTGAGGTGCGCGGGCCTGGATTTGTTCAAGAATTACTGTTGAATGGGTGCTATCGACCGGCCGGTCAGTTCGCACCAGCTTGCTTCCATCAGTGGCAACTAGTTGGCCATCTCGAAGAATGTTGTAAAGTTGTTGAACTAAAGGCTCATGCTTGGGCAGGTAAGATATAGATGGGAGAGTCTCGCCAGCTGACAGGCGAGCTAGGTCGCAACCTAAGCGGGTAAAAGCTTCGACCGTATAAGCCAAGACCAGCCTCGCTTGTGTGGGATAGACTCGGGTCCAAAAATCAGCAAATCCAGTCTTCTGCGTGTGTTTATCGTAATCAAAACGAATCGCTTCAAAAGCGGCTTGGGCTCCAATGAGGGGAACGCCCCTGGCGCTAGAAGAGTCAGACATCTTCGCGCTAGTCTGACGGGCAAGATCTACAACATCCCGAGGGGGCTGAGTTCTGGGAGATAACGAAACATTTGAAGCCGCAGGCAAGATCTCACTGACTAGCTGGATGAGGTCCTGGAATGAGGAATCCTGATCGAGACGAGCCATGTCCACATCTGCCCCCAGGTCCTGTTTGATATCAGCAGCCAACTCCATGCAGAGCAGAGAATCCAGACCCAAGTTGGCCAGATTGGCTTCCAAGGCAATGGGTTCAGGGCATTCCAGGTGAGTAGCTAACAGCTTGCTCAACTGCATGACTACCTTCGGACCCGCAGTGGACTCTTCTACTTCAGGTGGTGTGCTGGCTCCAGAGCTGGTTTCAGGAGTTGCTAGCCGTGAGTCATCAAATACATTATCCTCAGACTCAGTATCGGACGGCGTAATGGATCCTGAGGTAGATATGGGCCCAACTCCAAGCAGCCGCTGGAGGGCGACAACAATAGCCTTGATGTCTGTCATGGTGGCAAACTCATCCATGGTGATAGAAACGGAGAAAGCAGCATTTATGTCGCTCAGCACTTCAGTTACCATCAGAGAATCGATGCCGAGGTCATCAAAACTGGCATCATCCAGGATGTCTGCCGACGGGACCTCAGCGACCTTCTCGAGGAGAGATCGAAGCTCTGCTCCAAGATCGCGGCTAGTGGCTTTAGAAACTCTAGATGATGATTTGGCTTTGAAGGCTCTTTGAAGACCCTTCGCAACCGTCGGTGGAGGTGATGGAGCGATGGATCTGGGTGGTGAAGACATTAGCGTCGATGGGCACCGGTCATTGGCCCTAGCAAGAACTCGTGTCAAGCTGGAAATTTGAACTTTGGTAAATCTTGCACCAAATACAAACAACACAAGGGACTTGGAAACCGCATCGCAGACATAGATGTCGTTAACAAGTTCCTTGTTGCTCAGGGGCCGGTAACTGGAGTAGACAAGCCAAGAGCCATTATCCTCAATTGGGGCCCGTGCTTGAACACGGTCCACCTTAGTGCAGACATATACTTCGTTTTCTTGCAGCTCGGTGAGGCAATTGACATGGAGGCCAGATACTTGGATGAAGTTGTCAACTGCGCGTGGGTTCATTGCGGCCTTTTTCTTGACCGCGTCACCGGGAGATGTTGAGGGTGGAAGTTCAGGAAGTTTGACCCGACCGACAACTTCACGTCCCAAGGCGTGTACACTTCGCACACCCTTGTAATAAGGACGGTAAGTCACAACCTTCCCAAATGCTTTGTATACTTGAGATCCTTGAAGTGCCTCAGCATGCGGCTCCTGTGGGATACGCTCGTATCGTTCTGGACCCAAAAGGCTCTCGACACGAGCATAGTCATCCGCCAGCCGAGTCGCATCATTATAGAAGCGAACCGTTCCAGTTGCATGGTTATCACTGTTGTTCGGTGTCGCGGCCCGATGACTGGAGACACTGAATTTCCAGACTGGCGTAGTGGGGTCAACGCGTCGCAGTTCGAGCTGGATGCGCCGATCTCCCGCTCCCAGTGGCGCCCGAATTTCCAGGTCCTCAATGCTTGGCACTCCGCACCCTTCTCCCGCAAGATCAGAAGCAGCTTGTGCAGCCAGGTCAATGTACAAGGGTGCTGGACATAATGGCTGTGCAAGAACAGCATGTCCCTCAACAAAGAAGCGATATTGCTCGCTACGGGGATCGATCGCAAACTCGGCGTCGTTTCCGTCGGTGTCAAGGTACCTGTTTAGGCAGAGAAGCACCGGCTCAGATTGAGGAGTTTCAGTCGCGGTCACTGGAGCTGGTACTGCGACTTCCTGAACAACAGTGTCTTTCCACTCCAGCCAGTGTCGATTCTTTTCAAACTGATATGATGGCAGCAGGATGTCCAAGTACTGGGCACGATTGCGACGGTCAAAAGGCCAGAACGTGATTTCAACTCCTTGGTTCCATAATTTGACGGAGATTTCTGCTAGGCCTGAAAGTCCAACAGGGTCACGAAGGTCAACAGACTGGAAAGTCTGCTCCGAGTTGTCGAGCAGTGCGCCGCGCACCATGCCGAGAACCCCAGAGCCAGAGCCTGCCTCGAGCCAGACGGACGGTCCCATTCGCCCTGCTAACCTTTGTACTGCGTGCGAAAAGTAGACCGGGGTTCGCGTATGCTCTGCAATTCGAGCTGCAGTGATGGTGGACCAGCTGCTGCCCTCCGAGCATGTTTCAATCGGAATTCTGGGAGCATTGAAAATCAGATCCTCGGAAAGTGCAACCAACTCGGACAAGAGTGGCTCGGTGAAGCGTGAGTGGAACCCATGGGTGACTGTTAGACGCTTATATTTAATACTAGCCCATTGGGTTTCACTTCGTTGAAGGAGCTGCTCCACCTTATCAATTGCAGCTGCAGACCCAACAAGGACATGACTTTGGGGCCCGTTATAGCATGCAATCTCAAGTTGAGAGTCGACAGTTGCGATGATCGTAGTAACCTGATCAAGAGATGCCTGTAGAGAGATCATGGATCCTCCCTCCGATCCCCAGTGGCTCTTCATCAAAAAAGCACGCCCGGTGACAAGTCGAAGAGCATCTTTCAAAGACAGAACCTCACTAATACACAACGCAGTTAATTGGCCAAAACTGTGTCCAATAACAGCAGCAGGGATAACGTTGCTACCCATCCAGGCCTTGGCGCTGGCATACTGGATCGCAAAGAACATTGAGTGAAGCAAAACCAAATCCTCAACAGGCTCAGTCTGGAATATGGCGGGGTATATACTAGCAAGACTCATCGATTTGAGTATTTCATCACATGCATCCAAGTGTCGTCGCAATGGCAGAGAGGCGTCAAAGAGTGATCGACTCAGTCCAACTTGCGTGCTGGTCTGACCACCGAAAACCAGGATAGGGTTTCGCGAAACAGCAGACAACTGCTGCAATGGCGGACTACCCAATAGCCCTGTCAATTCTGACATAGAACCCACGGTTGTGGTAGTTTTGAACGGCAACGATTTATTTTGTTGATGTGACAAGTGGAAGGAAACGCTGGCCAAGATTTCACTGTCGCTGTACTCACGGCGCCATTTCTGGATATATTTCAGCAAAGATTGACAGTACGCTGTCATACTAGTCGCAGAGTTGGCTGCAAGGCGGATGGGGTATTTTGGTAGCGCGCATACTGTATCGGCGGTTTTGATCGGACTCGGCGCGTGCACAATCATGGCTGCGTTACTTCCGGCGGCTCCGTAGTTGTTGATACAGGCAATGCGCACGGGTGCCTTCCATAGCTTTGTTGATCTGGGAATGGTGAGATTGTCTGGTTCTAGTGCTGGAATCTTGGGGTTCAGTTGAGAATGATTGGCTTGCACAGGAATCGTCTGGTGGCGCATCATCAACACGGTCTTGATCAGTGATGCCGCGCCAGATGCACCCTCCAAATGTCCAATATTACCCTTTATGGAAGCCACATGCACCGGGGTTTTCCGCATGGCTCCACCAAAGACCTTGCGAATACTGGACAGCTCGATGGGGTCTCCAACGGGTGTGCCCGTTCCATGCGCTTCCACATAAGAGACATCGTGGGGATGAATTCCAGCGTCAAATGCAACTTTCTCATAGAGGCTGACCTGAGACTCGGCATGGGGCACTGTGATGGAAGTGGTATTGATGTTTTGGTTGACAGCGGTAGCGCCAATGACTCCCAGGATACGGTCTCCATCGGCCTGTGCAGCTGCAAGAGACTTCAACATCACCAGTGCCACGCCTTCGCCACGACAGTAGCCATCCCCCTTCGCATCGAAAGGCTTTGTAGGACCAGTGGGGCTCAGGAATGAGGCCCCTGCCAGGTTTTGATAGAAGAAAGGGCTGGTGTAGAGACTAGCACCACCCGCCAGTGCCATCGAACACTCGCCTGTTTGAATAGCCTTGCAAGCAGCGTGGATAGCTACAGCGGACGAAGAGCAAGCAGTATCATATGTGATTGAGGGCCCTGTCCATCCAAAGAAGTGGCTGATTTTACCCGTCAGAAAGGCACGCAGAGTTCCCAAGCTGGAGAAGGCATTCGGGGCGTGGGCCGCTACATTGTCATTGTAGTCAGATGCACATACTCCGACATAGCAGCCGATATCCTGCGGCACATCGCGGGACTGTGAAAAATATTCTGCAGATTCAAGCGCCTCGTAGGCCACTTCGAGGAGTAAACGTTGCTGAGGATCCATGGTAGCTGCCTCACGGGAAGATTTCTTGAAGAAACGATGATCAAAACAGTCAATATCTTCGACAAAGTTTCCCCAAAATGGAAGCTTGTTATCCGGCGAGCGTCGAAGATTGTTTCGAAGGAAGCGCTCCTCTGGCATTTGTTTGCACTGAGATGATCCATCACAAAGGAGCTTCCAAAAATCGTCCAAGTCGTCTGCACCAGGGAACCGACCACCCATACCCACAATGGCCACGCCATTGTGTGGCAGCGAAGGCTGACCATTAATTCTTGCTCCCAGGGTTACGTCTCGGATCTCTGCCAGAGACTTTGGCATCCTCAGTAGAGTGGTATTAGGAAAGGCCCGCAGCACAGAAGAAGGAATACAATCAACGTTGCCAAATTGAATAAAAAGAGGTGGTTGACGGCTTGATGCCATACTGGAATTGGCGGCAGCAGTGGAGATAGTCATATGCCAATTGCTTGTCTGGACCAGCATTGCATCGATGACGACGTCGTGGAGAAATGATGTTGGTGAAAATGTCCGTCCGTCATTTCCGAGAATTGGCACTAAGAGTTCCTGCACACGTGGGAACTGCAGTCCAGGAACTGTCGCGCAAAATTCCTTTAGTTTCTCTGCAATATTCTGGTGATCCGTGGTATGGAATCGACCTCGCATATCGACTGAAATGCTCACAAGCTTCTGAGCTTGAACGGCCTGCCTTAAGGTAGCCATCGAAGCAAGAGGTGCTGTGATGGTGGCGGCATTGCCGTCAGGGTACACTGAGATGTAGGCCTGCAAGTCACAAGGGGGGAAAATTAGATCAAGCAACAGAATAAGGAAATTGTAGGAAAAGCATCACTTACGCCTGGAGTCTGCTCAATAGTCTCAAGAAGCTGCGTTCTTTCCTCCTCACTTGACCACTTCGCAACCATGCATCCAGTCTCAGCAGAAGATTGAGTAAGGGCGTCTGCATCAACACAGACACCAATGGCTACAGCCAACTTCAAAGCTGTTCCAATCCATTGGGCCAGAGCTTCTTCATCGCGGCTGGCGCCAACTGCAACAGCACTTAAAAGGCCGGTACAAAAACCTTGAATACCTCCCTTTGGTCGTACCTGGTCGAGGATTTGAGCGTGAGACGATATGCCATTCGAGGATCTTGCATCGACATACAAGAGGTACTGGGTTAAATGCAACAGTACCGTCAAAGGCGTCATCACGGTGCTTGGCAGCTTGTCGATCTGGACTTCTGTCTCTGCTTCTTGGGAGGTAATGAGACTAAGAAGTTGCTGAGTGTATTGGGCTCCCGAGAGACCATTAAGTTGTAGGTCAGATGCCGCCAGAGCTGGCCAAACAGTGGCGATATCCCTGACAGCATTCCTAATGGGCTTTAATGGCGCTTGAGAGTCGGATTTCAGTAAGGATTGAAGTTGAGATAATGTTTCCGAGGACGGAGTTGATGCCTGAGGTCCAAAGACCAACATGGATAGGTTTGTGAAAGACATGTTCGCAAAGTTGAATTTTGCAGGGGTCTACAGAAATCCATTCCTTTTCCTCACAAGCTCGGGTCTATTATATCAATGATGGTGGACATTGTACATGGTCAGAGTTAGAGTCTACCCCGTAAACATTGACATTGTATCCGAAAAACACCAGTGTAAGCCAAAACATTCCCGAACAAGTAAGACGGCTCGGGAGGCACCGCCCCATTGAGTGTATCTTGTTAGCAAAAACATCATTAATCATGAAGGTTCTCGAAGGATTCAAGCTGGTATGTCATCTTTTACTGCCGGTGGGATATACGAGGCAAGTTCTCTTCGGACGAAGCCCGACAGGATCATTGATCCTGATGAGCGGGGCTGGCAGCGGCTTTACCCGTGGTCTATTTCTTCTGCCAAAACTTTGATTTGTTTTGGATTTGGCGCTTATTTCTCATGCAGGTGAGACGATTTCAAGTCTTGGAACCAGTCATGGCTTATCTCGGTACCGCGAGTGGCTTCAATCAGTCGCCTCATCTCGGCTCGGGGTCGTTATCCCGCTCGGTCAGGAGCAGATGCTTCTTGGAGTTATTGAATGCGGAGTCAGATAAAGAAAATAGAATCACTCATACCATCCAGAGCTATAATATATGACAAATTGGTTCCCAGAATTTGATATTAAGGCTCAAAGTTTGCATCTTCAGATGGTGAGTTGCCGAGTGGCGACCGAAACTTTGCGCGCGACCATGGGTGATTGATGTTTTTATCTTCTTTGACATCTACAAGACTTTTCGGCAGGCTCATTTCTTGAGAATTTTCGACGCTTCGAATGCTTTTTGATACTTTGGAATTAGAATTAGAGAGACGTGAGCCCTGGAACGTGGATTGGAGACGGGCTCGAAGGCAGAATGGAGTTGGTATGGAATTGCAAACCTCGGGGGTGATATACATTCCATGAATTTAGCTGACTACGCAAGACTAACGTTAGTACCTCTTCTGAGATTTCCTTTTTCTTGAATTAACTAGTCTAAAAATGCTATCAGGAATAAAGATCTGGCAGTTATCGATCTTGTATTTGATGACAATGTAGAATACGCACAAGTTAAAGAAAAAGATAAGAAAAGGTGTAAAATTATTGACAGAAAATGGCAGGCGGAATTCAACAAGATGAATCTTCAGGATGTTTGACAAGCAGATCATGAGGAGAAAGAAGGTCTGATTGGACTGTATTGTGATCAGTGAGCCTCGTGGAGTATGTGGGCGCGGACCCTACATATACACGTACTCTGCTTGTGGTCCGTGCTTGCGGTGTGGCTGCCGTTGAAGAATGGTGGGGCTTGGATCCCGTTGAAAATAAGCCGACAACTTATAAAAGGATGGAGGCTGCTGGTAGGAATGATTGCATTGCGACGCATAGAGACTTTTTTTTCTCTATGGTCTAGGGCGTTTGCTACATTAATATCAACTATTGTATTGATGGCTTTAGCTCGGACGCAACAGATCGGATATATCTCACAAAGTCGAAGAATTCCGAGATAAAAGTCGCAGCTCTGATAAAGAGGCAGACAGACTGCGGATACATTCTGGATGTCTACTGAGCTCCACAAATGATACTGCAACCCACGCAGAAGCTGAGCGCAAGAATCTTAGATCATCATCACAATTTTGGCCAATGCCCCCTCTTCCTCCATCAATCGATGGGCCTCTACAATTTGCTCCAGTGGGAAGGTCTTGATTGGCAAATGAATCTTTCTCGTCGCCAGATCCCGAGCGATGTCCTCAATAGGCGTTTTGAGCACGGCCTCGGTGGTACTCGCATAGGTGGTCAACTTAACGGACGTTGGTATTGATGCCATGGGCGTGAACTGGTCGAAGGTCCATTTGTTACCAGCTATGCCCGTCATGCAGACAGTACCACCGGGTGCCACACATCGGAGAGAATCCTCTAGTGTGGTTACCCCAACCAGCTCAAGGATTTTGCTGAACGGGGCACGTTTTTGGACTTCGGCCAGTATTGATCCATCATCAATAATGACGTCGTCAATACCGAGCCTGCGTAAGATCTCTACGCGTGCTGGGTTCCGGGTCGTCGCAGTGACGGAGGCCCCATGCGATCGAGCAAGTGCCGCAGCTGCCAACCCCACGCTTGTAGTTCCACCACGAATCAGCAACCGGTCACTGGGAACAAGCTCGAGACTGGTGAACAAGGATCCCCAAGCAGTCTGCATAAGTTCGGGGAGAGCGCCCAAGATGTCCCAAGCAACGGGCCGATCGGGCCCAAAGGCATCGGTGGCGTTGACGCGTCGCACTTGAGTGGCCGGTACTACTGTGTATTCGGCGTATCCGCCATCAAAGACACGGCCCATGCCGCCCATGGCAGTAACAACTACTTCGCCAGCTTTGAAGCCTGAGTCTGGGTCTGCCTCGTCGATGAGTCCAGCAGCCTCGATACCCAGAACACGCGGAAATGTCACACCGGGTGAATGGCCCTGTCGAGTGAACACTTCCGAGCGATTAAGCCCGAATGACTTGACCCGTATCCGCACCTGACCCGCTGTGGGGGTTGGTTTGGGCACCGTCTGGAGCTTCAAGACACCAGGGCCACCAATCTCGTGCATCACAATAGCGCGCATCGTGTCAAAAGACATAATTTCGACAGCTGTAGGAGATGAGATCGTGTCAGAGATGGAAGTTGTGGTAGCCGTGGTTTGATAATGTGGCTGTGGCGATAGCCAAAGGTACGAAACGAAGATAACAATGGCAGGCCAAGCAAGGAGGAATGGTCGATCAAGAACGGCGCGTTTGGAAGCAGATATCGGGGACATGAACGAGTCAAGAGACCAATCTTTGCAAAGATAGTGGTAACATGTCGCAAGCTTTGTCGTGACGTCCTTGACTCTTTTGTTTTGTTCTTTTATGTCAGCAAGATCCCCTTCGCGTGATAGTTATATGTCGAGATTCGGAGTCGGCGTTGGCCCGGCGGGATCCCGACAGCCCACCAATCACGGTGTCGCCAGAGTGGATCAAAAGGTGATAATGCGGTCTAGTTTCCGGTGGGATATTGCGTTTTCAAATTCGGTCTAGCGTTCCCGCTAGTCTATCCGTTCTGATTGGATATTGGGTCTATTGAGAGATCAGATGCTCTAAATAAGGGTCACTCTGTCAATTTGGAAAGCTGGAGCCGTACTCAGGTCCGCTAAAAGACAAGGATACCCTCGCAGGGTCGGCCTACTTCGGGCTCCGTCTCTTAAGGCCGAGGCCGTATGCCAGTCCGCTCAGCGGACTATAATTCAGGAGACTACTTCTCCAGCCAAGAAATTCCGGGCGATCTCTTGTTTAAGCTTCTAATACAGTATCCATAGTACCATCTTCTGGGAGCGAGAGGCTTATTTCAAGCCATACAATACCCTCAATCCGCTTCTGTTGAGCTACGAATCTCGACGAAACAGCAAAATGAGCCTTTCCCAGGGCAGCGATAGCTCGCCTTCCTCCACCGCCGATTTGGAGAAGCTGAACCCTCCTGAGAACTCGTCTTCCGATGTTGACAGCAAGGAAGACATCCCGGCTCCAAAACCCGCTGGCCCCAACCCAGCAGACTTTCCTGATGGCGGTCTGCGAGCTTGGACAGTTGTGGCAGGGTCCTGGTGCTGCATGTTTGCGTCGATGGGCTGGATTAACTGCATTGGAGTCTTCCAAGACTACTATGAGCGTGACCAGCTCTCGTCGTACTCTGCTTCCTCGGTCGCCTGGATCAGCTCCACGGAAACATTCATGATGTTCCTCGGCGCCCCTATTTTTGGCAAGGTTTTCGACAACTTTGGCCCTCGATACATGCTCTTAGGTGGCACAATCTGCCACGTCCTGGGTCTGATGATGACCAGTCTGTCCTCTGAGTACTATCAATTCTTCTTGGCCCAGTCTATTCTCAGTGCCTTGGGTGCCAGTGCTATCTTCTACGGATGCCTCAACCCTATTGGAACTTGGTTCATGAAGAACCGCGCGTTTGCTTTTGGCATCATCTCTGCAGGAGCCTCTCTTGCGGGTGTCATTCTTCCGTAAGTAGCCTTACTTCATCTTTTCCACGCATGTACCCAATTAACATCTTTCTAGGATTATGATTGATCGACTGATTCCGACTGTTGGATTTGCCTGGTCCATGCGAGCAGTGGCATTCATGTTCTTGGGTTTGCTTATTATTGGGAACTTGACCATTAGATCTCGTCTACCTCCCAAGCCTACCCCAATTGCCGCGAGCCAATTCCTGGTTCCATTCAAGGAGCCGCCATTTCTTTTTGTTGCGCTTGGGAGCTTCTTCTTCTTTTGGGGAGTTTTTTTGCCGACTAATTTCATTATCCTGCAAGCGCAGCATGATGGCATGTCATTAAATCTCTCTGGCTATCTCCTTGCTATCTTGAATGCTGGCAGGTACGTCATCTCTAGCCTCGCATATTCATATTGCATTCTCGGTGTATACTGACTTTTCTCATAGCGTCATCGGTCGTATTCTCCCTGGCTGGCTCGGAGATCGGCTCGGCAGGTTCAATGTGATGATTGTCACCACCTATCTCACCAGCATCATTGTTCTAGCACTCTGGATTCCTGGACACGGCAATAGCCCCATTATAGTCTTCTCGGCTTTGTTTGGATTCACCAGTGGCACCTTTGTGAGCATGATTCCGGCTATTGTGGCACAGGTGACAAAAGATATCCGTACCATCGGTGTCCGCAACGGCTCGAACTTCTTCATCATTAGCATTGCAGCCCTGACCGGAAATCCAATTGCTGGAGCTCTGGTCTCACACGACGGGGGTGGCTACCTGTACCTGCAAATCTTTTGTGGACTCACAATGTTCCTGGGCGCTACTTTCTTCCTCGTGGCTCGTGTGGTGCAGGTTGGTTGGATCTGGAAGCGGATTTGAGACCTCCACTATTTCACTACAGGGCAAGGGCATCTTAAAGATGGGAAGAAACGAGTAATCGGGAAAATATTGATGAAATGAGCTGTCCAAGGGTAGGGACACAGCTATCAATAAACTCACTGATCAGCACACCTGGGACAAAGGGCTGATATGTCGGGCAGGAATGCTCCATCTCTACTAGAAGGTATAAGTTAGGAAAATTGGGTTTTTCTCATGGTCTACGGGTTTTGCATGCTTTGCGAGCTTTTTCATCAACGTTATAATTTTCACAACTTTTATATATTAGATTGGGAGTCAACAGAATGTATCTCGGTTTCATTGCAACATGTCGCATTTTAGCCTTCACGTAAATTTATTTAAAACAAAATGCCTCGCCATAACGGGATAGAACGAAATAGAAAGGCAGATAGTACCCTAGTGTCTGACCCTTGGTTGGAACTTGGTAAAAATATTCGTAAAATATGCTAGCTTTGTCAAAGGCGCACAGCGGAAAGCTCCTAACATCTCAAATACTGGCATGGAGAGATCACAGTTCTACGCCATGTGGTACTCTGCACGGTTCTTTTGCGAGTTCTAAATTGAGTTCTTGGCCACGCTACACCTTTGTCTGCACACCACCTCCAACCTTTTATGGTGTCCCTTCCCATAGATACGTCATATATTACATAAAGCCATGAAAAAAGTCTTGCCGTTATTATGAGCATAGTAATTCAGAAGTAGATGCTTTGGTCTTTGCCATCCTGATTTTGTCAGGGACCGAGGCGCGACTTCACCGTATCAGAGGCATGCCATGAAGACGTATCATATACTCTGTTTTTTCCAAGGAAAAATCGGTGATACAATCACTGATTGTACTGATGGTAAATGATTCTCGACAATTGGATTTAAGTAGGGGGTGTTGCGAATTTAAATCCTCGGGCTTGTTCTTCCACAATCTCAGCAAACGAGAAAAGGATCCCCCATTCCCGAGTCTTTTCGTTGTTCACCAGTCCGAGGATCTGAGTCGGTGATTCTACTACGAACCCATCAATACATGAGGTTGGTCCGAATTTTCTGAGAGCTTAGCTGCTCTGAATTGCGTGGCTGAGGTAAGACGGGGTCGGGCTAGGGTCCGTTTTGTGGTGCCTTTTAGACTTCCGACTCCGACCCCTACGCAGATTATGTAATGACTGGAATTGGAAATGACCGTTGTGACTTCTTGTATATGAATATGTATGGAAATCCGTTCTAAGAGTACCTATTGCATAAGAGAATAATATATGTTGACCATAGCTGATCATGATGCAACCTATCTCCCGAGCACGCAACTATTGGACGGCCGAGGAAGATCAAATCTTGAAAGAGGAGGCAACTTTACAAGGTGAGCCTTGTTTCATACTCCTTGCTATGTCTTGTAAGGCTGACCATAGGAAAAATTTTCCCATTAGTTAATAGCACTGGCAACGTGAAGAACTGGAGCATCATTGCCACAAAGCTGAAATCAAGAACCAACAAAGATTGCCGCAAAAGATGGAGCAAATTACAAACAAACGTGAACAAGGGTATTTGGAGCTCAGAGGAGGATCATCGGCTCCGCAAGGCAGTAGAAAAACGTGGACTCTCGTATGATAGCACCCTATGGGTAATCGTTGTCTACATTGGATATTGCTAACACGCATATAACTACAGTTGGACACTTGTGGCACAGGATGTTCAAACTCGACATGCAGATCGTAAGTTCAACTTTGCTTCAGTGGTCTGACTTTTTTCTAACACGGGTCTACAGAATGCGCAAAAAGATGGTATCATTTCTTAGATCCGAATCTTATCCGTGACGATTGGAACGAGGAAGAGGATGTGCGCCTATTGGAGGCTGTTCAAACTCGTGGCCGGGCTTGGCGAGAAATAAGTGAGAAGGAATTCCCACGAAGGTCTTCGACTGATCTGAAAAATCGGTATGCGGTATTTGTCACGAAAAGGAGGAGCTGCGCTCACATATCATGCACAGATATATCATTTTACAACGAAGACGCTTAAATGCACGTGGGAAGTCACCTGTCTCGTCAACATCTCCCTCACATTCAACAAACATTGAATCGCCACCTTCTGGCCCAAGCACCGCTTTAAGCTCAGGCATGACGTATGGGTCCGATTCGGATTCAGATAGTGGTGGCTTATCGCAAAACACCTCACCCGCGGACTTTCAGGCCTTTGATGGCATGGATAATGTTTACGATTTTCCTTCTTCTGGCCATTTTCCAACTGAGGAAATGTGCGTCGACATGTCCCTACTTCCAGACATCATTGATACTTGCCCAGGGCTATTCGACCCTCTCGGTGCCCAATTTCCCACTGGCATGACAGGAAAAGATTGCTCGCCGCCCTTGTGTGGAATGGCAGAGCCCAGTGGCCAAGTTATGACACATGTGCCTGAGCAAGCTTCATTTTCCTCATTATATTCTCCATCTGATAATTTTTGGCTTGATCCCTGCTCTCAAATGCATGTCGATCCGCCAATGAATCCATCCCCGTCAGATTCCAGTGAGTATAACATGCATACTTTACCAAGTTCTATTATGCAAGGGGAAGCACACACGTATAACCTGAATCTGGAAGGGGTACATCCCCTAATATTGAGCCAGATAATGGACATCGTTCTCACCTCACAACAACAAGTGAAAGTGAAGCTAAGCAGTGCAGAGCCTTAGTATGTGAGGGTACTCGGTTGTTCAACCAAATTGAAAGATGATTCAGCAACACGGTTGGTGCTGAGTTTCAACACGGGGCTTCATTGCAGCACATATGATTCAATTTAGATAGACGGCCCTGCAAAGGAATCTATTATGGAGCTTATGTCCTTTTTCAAGCTTGAATCGGAGCTGATATTATGGAGATTAGATTATTATATGTATTTTTATCTGATGCAAGAATATCCACAATTCTGTACTTCATCGAAGTACATACATAAAGACCTTTTGAATAATTGCCCGTTGCGCTGTTCATTTTGTATATTTATACAATGCGGGCCGAATGTGATCGTCACGTTTTGAATCTAGGAAGTTGGATAATATAGGTATTTATGAATCATTCCTCTTATCTTTATCCAAGTAGACCAGTGCTGTGTGCAGTTTACCTTGTGAGATGCAGCTGTATTGCCAAGTTTTTGCCACGTTGAAAGGTTCAGTTGGATATAGCTAGGACTTCAGGATATGCTGTATCCCAGGACTGAAATTAAAGTGGAGACTTGGTCTTGACCGAATATGGTACATATGATGTTGGAAAATAGATCTAACATAGTTGTTCCTTTATTTGGTCTCACTGTCACCAGATTCTGCTATCACGGAGTGCTCCTTGTCACTGACATCCAAAGGGCTCTTGCTTCTCACTGATCGCCATTCGACGCCTAACGAAACAAAAAATGAAAGCACCACAATCGCTATCCCGCATTGAAATATATTGGATAGGATGATTTGAAGGCTTTTGATTACCTCATCTTGTTTTTCAACAGGTAACGATTTTACCAATTCCGTTAGACCAGTTCCTGCAGCCAGAGCTTCACTCAATCCAGGTGCGCTCGACTTCAACAAGGTTGCTGCACGGTTGTTGAAAATACTGCTTCCCACGGAAACAAATACTGCCCCTCCCAGGTTCATCAGTGTTGTCACGACGGTCAGGGCCACGGGTACATCGGTTTGGTCGAAGACAGTCTGTGCAGCAAGCTGCGGGCCGTCCAAGGCTAAGCCAACTCCTACACCGCATAGAATCTGAAATCCGATGGATTGACCAAGAGAGGAGTGCACTGTCATGGTGCTCAGAAGTCCCATCCCAACTGCAGCAATTGCACTCCCAATGTGCATGAAAGGTGCATATTTTCCAACCACGGAGATAGCCACCCCGGTCAGGGTCAGAGACAGGGTGTAAGAAACTAGCAGTGGCAAAATGGCTGTGCCGGAGCCAAGGGCAGACTTTCCCTGTACAACCTGGAAGAATATGGGTAGCTGCACCTTTGGTTAGCGACAATTTGGACTCCAGGTAGTCAACATATGATTGTGAAGCTTATTGACTCACGAAGTACTGTAGCATTTGGCTCGCACCACCAATAAGAAACTCAAATATGGAGCCCCAGATCATGCTGCGCTGTGTAATTATTCGTGGTGGAACAGTTGCCCCTTCTCCAAGGTAAATCTGGCTGTATGTGAAGAGGAGAAGTGTAAAAATTGCAAGAATGTAGAGGACAATGAGTTGTGGGCTGCTCCAGGGGTATTGAGCGCCGCCAAATTGTATGATGAGAAGCAGGCAAATGGTGAATGGTGCCCAACAAACAAGACCTATCCAATCGAAGGAGCGCAGTCTAATAATCCATGTTTCTGGGGACTCTTCTTTAGCTTCTTGAATACCAGTACCCAGAGCAACGAGAACACCGCATAATCCACCACAAGGAAGATTCAGGTAGAAACACCAGCGCCAGCCAACCGTGGAAGTCAATGCGCCACCAACAATCGGGGCTAAAGCCCGAGTTGATCCCATCAAGACAGCAAGGCCGCTATTCACCAAGGGACGGAATCGCAAGGGAATTGTGTAAGATGCAATACTATTTCATCTCGCCGGTAATAGTGAGTCAAACTTGGCATGCAGTGTGATAGGATCCATAATAACGTACATCATAGCCCCGGAAAATACCCCAGCTATTCCCATACCTGCAATTGCTCGGCCGACAATGAAAGCTGTGGAGCTCGGGGCAGTGCCGCATAGAAGGGACCCGACTTCGAAGACAGTCAAAGCGGACAAGAAAGTCCACTTGGCGGGAAAGATCTTGTAGAGGCGGCCCCATGAAAGCTGTAGACTAGAGACACTCAAGAGACTGAATAAAAAGTTAAACATGGGTACCATCTGAATCAAGGCGAAGACCTAGGTACAAGTAGGTCTGACTTACTATGCGGACCCATACCAGCCAGAATCAGCAGATGAGTGAAATTCATCAGTGATAGACGGCACCGCCGTTGCGGTTATGTTCATATCCAACGCTCCAATAAATATCGTAAGTGATATGCCTGCCAAGGCCGCAACCAGACCGATTGGCACGCCTGTTTGTGGGGCTTGGGGCTTGGCCTCAACGGGTGTGGAGACTATAGTGGAGATAGCTTTTGGGAGATCATCTTCCCTTGGACTCATTTTCTCCGTCATTGCGCAGACTGGAGCAGTAAGCTATCGTATACGAATAGGTTGGGATATTGTGACCAGTGAGGGGATGTGAGAATCGCTTTCAAAGTAAGGACCTCCGAAAATGCACCAGAGACTGTTTGGCTCGACAAGGACCTGAGTTAAGATTTCTTGGCCTATTCGTATACAACCAAACCTACAAAATGATTCCTACGATGAAAGAGTTTCTATCTAAATGAGGATGAATTCGGATATTGGGTTCACATATGGAGGCGGGGTAGAACATTTACTCCGATTCCGATCCCGACCCTTTTCGCTAGTGTCAGCAACACATAACCAGTTGCTGGCATGAGAATGCTACGCAATGACGTAGCAAGAGACGAAGGAAGAAGAGAGCAACCTGCAGCATCTTGCTGGTATCAGGAGGATCGGGATAGAGGAGAAAAGGGAGGGGTGAGGGGAACAAAAGGGGGGAAAGGTACAGAGAGTAGTCCACTAATGCACGTCATCTTTGGTATTCCAGTGGACACCTTAATTCTCAGGTACAGTATCACAGCCAATCATAACAACTATAGCTGAAGTAGTCTAGATCGAGATGACTTCCTTAGTGTGACCATTGAATGGTATCCAAGAACTATCACTACATTATATTTTGATGGAAAATTTATAAAATCATACGACCATCAAGCACTCGTCTGGCACTACATGAAACGGCTATACCAGCGTGCTGATGGGTCAATATGCAGATCTAGTATTCATACGGATATGGAGTCGGGGTTGTATATGCGCTTCGACCTTAAATGCGGATATATTGAAAGCCTTGCGTATACTACGTAGCGCCGACGGTGTTGATGTCATTTCTTGGGGAAAGCCGTAGTTAGATGCGAATAGTTGCATTAAAGAGTCTTATAAATCATGATGGCTAAAAACCTTGAATCTGGGAAAGAAGGCAAATCAAATACACAAAATATAGACCAAACAATATACCAATCGATAAGCTTGAAGCAATGGAAGCTTCCGGGGCCAAAATGCAATTCTTCGATATCTTTCGCCAGAACACCTCTCTCACCTCTCGACAGGAGCTTGACCTATCCATTTTCCAGGCCCTCCTCACCAAAGAATCAGTAGAGGCTAGGTTTCAGCCTCAATTACTTGTACAGGAGATTGTTACCGCGGCTTGGTTTTTGTTACTCGCTCGATATGCACAGGCAGACTCACTGGATATACAAAGTCTCAGAATCAATCAGCTCGACCTACAATCTACCTTCTCAATATATTCACTTGGCACGCATACTCGCCTCAAAAGTGTGGTAAACCAAGCTAGCACACTTTCAGAGGCCGAAGTGTGTGTAACGGAAAGCACTGTGCATTCCTTTCCTCTGGCAGAGCGCTATGCGGCCAAATTCGATGATATTTTTCGAACAGCCATTGTTACAGCTCCTCATGATATATCAGCAATTGATTCAAAATTATTGGCACATATTTCTTCTTGTCATATTATTGTCCGATGCAATCCCGACAAAATTTCTCTTTGGGTTGATCCTAGGCTGGTGGATATCAGCCTACCTCGCAGATTGCTTTCTCAGTTGGAATATATTGCGCAGCAACTGGTGCAACTATCTTCTAGCCCACTACGAATTGGTGATCTGGATTATTTCAGCCCAGAAGATCAGCTGGACGCAGAAAGAAACGATCCAAATCTCAAGCCAGCGATTTCAAGTCTTCTACATGAAGTGATTGCCTCGTTCGCTAAGTCCAGACCAAATGCACCTGCCATCTGCGCCTGGGATGGTGATTTCACTTACCAGGAGCTTGATGAGCTATCTACAAAACTGGCCAGTAAGCTCATTTACGCTGGGGTTCGCCCAGGGGCTCTGGTTCCTCTTCTGTTCGAAAAGTCCGCCTATACACACGTGGCCCAGATTGCAGTTCTCAAAGCTGGCGGCGCCTTTACAACTCTCCCATACGATATGCCACTCGCTCGTGTCAACGCCATTGTTACCCAGTTAGCCTCGCAGGGGTCTTCGGGAATGCCAGCTGTTGGGCTTTGCTCTCCTTCTTTGATCGCCACATTGGAGCCATTGGTGTCCCACATAATTCCTGTGGATGAGACATACATCAACGAAATCGTTGAGAGCTCAATAGCAAATCCGCCAGATGTCAAGACAGAAGATCCAGCCTATGTCATCTTTACTTCGGGGACTACTGGAGTTCCAAAGGGAGTGATTGTGGAACATCGCAATATTTGTAGCTCTTGCCATTACTTTGGCGGAGATCAAATGGCACTGGGTCTTCCAGGAGTTCGACAATCTCAATTTTTATCATATGCATTTGACGGCTCTATCCATGAGATCTTTTACACATTGGCTAATGGAGGTTGTCTTTGTGTTTTGTCAGAAGACGAGCGTATGAACGATATTTCTGGGGCCATGACACGCATGGGGGTCACACATGCAAAGTTCACTCCATCCATTGTGGATCAGTTATCACCTGAAGATTTCCCAACCGTCCAGAAACTGTTCCTCGGTGGAGAACCCTTGACTACTGCTTGCATTGATCGATGGCAGCCAAGAGTTGAGGTCTGGAACAATTATGGCCCTGCCGAATGCACCGTACAGTCCACTGTTATCTGCTGCAGTGATCCTAACTGGGCCACTGGGGTAATTGGCCACGCAGGAGCCAGTCGATGCTTTGTGGTAGACCCCACAAATCCCCAACGTCGGGTTCCCAGAGGCTTTATTGGAGAGATTTTGGTTGAAGGGCCGAATGTGAGCCGTGGTTACCTCAACAACCCAGCTCAGACAAGCCGTGCTTTTATTGAAGGCCTCTCCTGGGCTTCATCAGGACGCTTCTATCAGACGGGTGACCTAGGATATGTGGATTCCCATGGGCTGTTGACTTGCAAGGGTCGAAGCGATGACCAAGTCAAGATTAATGGACAGCGTATAGAACTGGGTGAGGTTGAAACCCACCTCCAGTTGGTGCTACCTGGGAATTCTCGTGGCGTGGTAGACGCGATCAAGCCGTCCGGGAGGAACAATATTCTGATCGCTCTTGTCCAAGTAGACGAGTCTTTAACCCAGTCCTTGGCCTTTGAGACATTGAAAAGTCAGATCAGAGAAGGTCTAGGACAGGCTCTTCCCCCGGCATTTGTTCCCTCGCAAATCGTGCAAGTGAAAGAAATTCCACTCGGGGCCACTGGAAAGACAGACCGAAAGGCTCTGCGCAATATCGCAAACAATATGATTTCTGGCCTTCTTCAGCAACAAAAATCTGTGAATTATGCCAAAAATGAAAACACTGGCCCGGCAGTCTCAGAGGAGAAGGAGAAGAGACTTCGGGAGATGTGGGTGGAGACTCTACACCTGTCCACTGAGACAATACACTCTCAGTCAGATTTCTTCCACTTAGGTGGTAGCTCGCTGTTGGCCATGCGCTTGGCTGCCCTCGCTCGCAAGCAGTGTTGGAATCTGACTGTGAAGAATATCTTTGCTCATCCTGTCCTAGGTGAAATGGTGAAATTTGTCTCCCCGCTTAGCTCCACAGATCTCGGATTAGCGGTCAAGTGCTCTTCATTCAAGATTCCCTCTCAGCTCAAGTCTGAGATAGCGATAGATTGGAAGATTGATGGAAGCATTGTCCAAGATATTTATCCCGCTACTACAATGCAGGAGACTTTCCTCGCTCTTGCTACAGCAAATCAAGGCGCATATATCATGCAGTACACGTTCACTATCCCTCATGGAGTCGATGTCCAACGAGTCCAAGAATCTTGGAAGCGAGTCATACAGGCACATCCAATTCTCCGGACTCGATTTTACAATACTGCATCTGGGCTTTTCCAAGTAGTGTTAGTAGACGAGTTTCACTGGGAGGAACGATGTGAACCAGACTCCACGGAGCTGCGCAAGCGGATTAAGTCGAGCCTTCTGATGCCCTGTCAGCCCTTGAGCCAGCTTCACCTGCTTACCGATAAAGAGATCGGTACGCAGACCTTGATTTGGACTGTCAGCCATGCCTTAACTGATGGATGGACAAGCTCTCGCCTGTTCAGCGAGATCTATTCAGTCTATGCCCGCGGTATTGCTGTGCCCCCTACGACTCCTTATACCAGTTTTGTGCAGGCATTCATGGAGGCGCCAAAGGATATGGATATGTTTTGGAAGAGTCAGCTTGACCACGGCCCTGTGATGGAATACCCCATCTTACCATACGCTAATTTCCGACCTGAGACGAATTCACGGCAAGCAGGTCAGCTTTCTATCGCTCACCGGTCCAGCACCTCTACATACACCGTGCCCTTGATGGTTAGAGCCGCCTGGGCAATCACCATTAGTGAGATGACTCAAAGAGAAGATGTCTTATTCGGTGTCAACTTGAGTGGTCGTCACGAATTTCCAGATGTGGTCGGTCCAACAGTCACGACTGTTCCGCTGCGGACGACCGCGAGTGGGTCGCTTACGATCGAGGAGTTTCTGAACCAGCTGCGAGATCAGTCAGTACGCACGATGCCATTTGAGCAGACCGGTATGCAACGCATTGCCAACATTGATAACAGAAGTCTTCAGGCCTACTGCAAGTTCCAAAGCTCATTGGTTGTTCAATTGCCCCGGGAACAGGTTATTGGTGATATTTCCTTGGACTGGATGCATCCTACACGCTTGGACACAGTCTCAGCACATGGTTTAGTTGTCAACTGCCTTGTTGAGTCGTCTGAGATAAATGTTTGGATGAACTACGACAATCGTGTCTTGGGCACAGAGTCAATGCAGAATCTTATGAGTCGCTTTCTGGCAATTCTTTCACAGGTTCTAGCTATGGAAGAAAACCAAACCATCTCTCAGATTCGCACTAAGAACCACGATCTGCATCTTTCTACCTCGCTTCAACCCCACACCAGAATTATCGAATATCTTGGACAAAACATCGATGCAAGCCGTGTTGAAAAACAAATGGCGGCTGTTGTTGGCATCCCTCGGCATAGTTGCCGCCTTGAAATGATTCGACCCAATGAAAGATCAAACTATCGAGTCCTCGCGGCATTCATTTTCATGGAGAGACTCGAAAAATTTAAATACCAGACCGCAAATTTACAGTTGCAACTGGGGCAACATTTTCCGAATTACATGATCCCCAGCCTCTATGTTCCTATCTCTGCACTTGAAAGCTTGAGTTTGGGTAGTGATTATCTAGAGAAATCTGCTTGGAATCATAGTTCAAAGTCTGCTGCCGCTTTGCTATCTACTCCTCTTCTCACTGGTCTCACGGCTGTGGAAGAAAGCTTGATGAAGTGTTGGACAGATGTCCTCGGTCGGACCGACATCACAATCAACGATAGCTTTCTCTTCCTTGGCGGTGATTCAATCAAAGTTATGCGGCTCGTCTCTGCAGCACGAGCTGCGAATTTGCGGCTGTCTGTCGCCTTTGCCATGCAGAATCCTGTTTTCCGACAGATGGTTGCGGGTGTAGAGGTTATTGAGTCGCAGGCTCTTCAAGGAGTTCAGGCTTGGTCACTTGTGGGAGGCAAAGAATCACTGAGTCATATCAGTGATGAGATTGAACAGCAAATTGGTCATTGCATGGAAGATTTGGACGACATTTTCCCCGTGACAGGATACCAGAAGTCGACATTCTTGGACTCCTTACGTACTCCAGGGACTTGTGTGCTGCAAACTAGATATCAACTCGATAACAACGTGCAGTTCCCGAGAATGCGAAGCGCATGGAGAGACGTTTGTATGGAGTTCCCATGTTTGCGGACAAGACTAGTACGTGCAGATGGCTGGGGCATTTTGCAGGCTGTGGTTTCGGAGGTTGAAGAGCTCCAAATGATGCAGTTTGAAACCATCCATCATCTTCAGAGCCACATGCCGAAGGTTTTGCTGAACATGACATGTTTCGGTGCTTCATTAAACCGAGGAATCTTTGCCGTTGTAGGAGAAGGAGAAGGCCAAGAGCGGTACCTGATCTGGTCCATTCACCACGCTGTCTTTGACGGGTGTACCTTGCAAAAAGTTCGTAAGGCTCTAGTGGAAAGATATCAAGGAGCGATCTCTCAGAAGTCCTCCCCGCTCCAAGACTATGTCGGCTTTCTCCAGAGCCAAGATCCAGTCGCGTCAGAGCGATATTGGACCCGATATCTCAAGGGGGCAGATGCAATCGCGTTCCCACATTACCCGACTCCAGAATATGTGGTCCGACCTCATGAGACACATCGGTTGGTACTGGGTCTTAAGCGATCGGGTGACCTGTCGATCACTATGGCGACAGTAATCCATGCTGCATGGGGAATGGTTCTCGCCTCACTTACTGGCACGAGCGATGCGACCTACCAGCATCTCGTAAGTGGGCGCACCGCTGCTGTCGACAATATTGATCGATTCGCTGGGCCAACAATTAATTTGGTGCCTGTGCGCATCAAGGTAGAAGAGCGATTGTGCGCCACAGTTCGAGGATTCTTGGCAGAGATTCAAGCCCAATCAACAGAAAGAATATCTTTTGAAGGTGTTGGAATGGATACAATTATTTCGATGAGGCCTGAGAAAGTACGGCTCTTTGATTTTCATCATATGTTGGTCATCCACAGCGATTGCGGAGGAGAGCAAAATTCGGAGGATCCAGATAGTCCAATTCATAAGACAGAAGAGTCCATGAATTTGGATGGGTATCTCGGGCTGATTGTGCAATGTACTATCAGCCATTTTGGAGTGACAGTGGATCTGCGATGGGATGAAAGCCTTCTCCCACTGCCAGTGATCAACACTCTCTGTGCGCGTATGGGTTTCTTGTTGCGCGCACTGGTCGAGGGTGATCAATCGACCACCGTGGAGGACCTCCGTCGACAATGCCATGCATTGTAAAGGTGTTTCAGAACTGCATCATGGTGTATCCAGTATCGTCTGCTGAATTCATTTTAAATTTTAGTAATCAAATGATACCACTGTCAAAAGCCATATCTGGATCCGTAAGCTCGCTGAAGTAGGCCCCGCTCGGGATTTCTAGCCCAAGATCCTCCATGCGAAAATCGAGAGGATCGGCCATTTGCATCCAGGTGCTGGAGTCCAACCATTGGGTGTAGTCGGGGTCACAAGGACCCGAGGAAAATACTTGCCAGTCAATATCCAGCCCAATAGCAGAATCAGCGTCCGTCGCCGGTGATGCTGTTGAAACTGTGCTAGCGGTTGACATTGTCCTAGCTGGGGATTCAAGCACTTGATCGAGGATTTTGCGAAGGGTACGTGCCACTCGACGGCAGGGGGCATGGTTTCCTTCGGTCGTTGGAATACTCTTCAAACAGCTGATAAAAACACTGAGTTCCTGGATGATCTCCGATCGGGGGTGAATCTCCGTCACGTTGGCTATAAGGGCAAGACACTGGGGTCGGACCAACAATTCTATGGCAAGAATGGCTGCAGCAGGGGTGCCATAAGACATGACAGCCCAAGGAAAGAAGAGGAACATCTCTCCAAGGCGGTCCCGATGGGTGTATATCATGGTCATCACATTGATAATCGCTTTGGCGGAAGACAGCAATGGCTTGTTCTGGCTCAACGGTACAGCTTGTGATAGTCGATACAATAGAAAGATGCTTTTGTGATATTCCAGGTGCAGGAATACGGTGTTGAGAAAGTCAAATGGTGCTAGGTGTGCATTGTCGTCGGGATTGTACTGCAACCGCGAAGGTAACCCCGTGTAAGTTGCTTGTAACCGTTGTATGATGTCCCTAGTCCAACTTTCAGCTTTCAATGCACGCGCCTTTGAAGTATCATCATGACTTACCCTTCCATATTGTTCAATATCTCTGCTGTGGGCCCCATCGTGAGCTCCAAAATCTCTTCTCGGTGGCGACCAAGCATGGAGAGTGCCCGCAGATAGCTGACTGGATAAGACATCTCCCCAGTACTCCAGCCATCGGAATCTAGCAAACTGAGAGCAAGGTCCAGGTCATTTCCTCTCAATATTAGTTGTTCATCACTCAAGTCCAGCGGAAGTGGACACTGATTGAACCGCCAAGTTAGTTGAGGGGGACGCCCACTAGAGGTTGCAATGGATTTGTCTATGGTAAAAGCTCGATGGAAAGCTTTTTGCTCCAACTGCGTTTGGATGAAGCACCCGTGAGGTGATCTGAGAGAAAGACACAGATTGTTCGCAAGCCGCGCTAGATTTGAAACGTTCGTGTAATTATGGTTTGCTGTGCAGTCCTTCATTAGCAAACATCACCATGCACAGATACAATTTCCGAAGTAAGATGTGAATAAGAAGCTTGGTTCCGGCATATACATACAATCGTCACCATCATAGGAATTCTGAATTAGTGTCATGCTTGCATGGGCATTGATGACGTTAACACTAACAATCTCCTGAGCTTCACAGATGGAAAGACACGCTTTTATCCCTTTTCCCATATCCCTGCAAGCCTGGCCCTTGTGACAGTCTGTCAGTAAAGGGTGAGAAGGTGACAGGCTGGCGCACGCTGAGCCATATGCAGAGAGTAAATATGCCAGTGAGTCCCAGGTTGTGTTATGCCCTGTCCATGACTGTAACCATTCTACCGAGCCACACAAAAGGTCTTCAACCCTCCGGTTTGTTGTATTGATCCACAGCCGCTCAATCACCGGCTCTAACTTTTTCAAATCCAAATTGCCTGAAGGCTCCTTAAAGCAGCCTTCGAAGCATTCCCACCAACCTTCGTGCAACAGACGTAGATAAGGCTCATGACACCCGAAGTCGGGGAACTTGATAATATGATCAATGAGTCCTTCACACATAGCCCATGACGGGATCTGGGCCAAAGCCGTGGCTGCATGTTGCAATATTTCCGGGTCTTTCCAATGCAACACCATGCCTGGCATGAGGCTGGACACCGACAGCTCTGGCTCAACTTCAATATTATAATCACTAAATATTGATCCCCAGTTCGTCGTTTTTCTAAGAGCGTCTAGTCGGCTGCCAGACGAGAGTTCAAGCCCCATCTCTCGGGGGCGGTCTCCAATAGTGTCAATGTCCGACAGTGGAGAAGGCGATAATAGAGAGTATGCAGCCGATATTGCAGCTGTTGAAGGTCGAGGCCGTGCTTTTGTGGGTTTTTTTGTAACGGCGGCGGTCTTTGGGTTACTTGGAGAGGATGATTTTGCGAGAGGCGATAGCAGGTATACGCAAGTTTCTGTCCGCTTAAGTCGCACACAGCGACCACAATGTGGGATTGCATGGTCGCAGGCAAGTTTAGATTTTCGACAGTTCTCGCAGGATGATTGCTGTCCATTCTTGCGCCGAAACTGTGACACGGGCAACGCTTGCTTCATAATGATACGGCTGAAATGAAGACAAGCACCCAGTATGGTACAAAGAAAATGAATAGAAAGGAAGGAGAGATCTAGTTCTTCGCCGACGAAGTAAAGAGACAAGGATGAAGATGGCATTTACCACTAGTAATAGCGCTAATCTTAGCTAATTCCTCGCCGGTCATCATTGCTTCCCCGTATCAGGGGATTTTTCCCACGTGGCATCCCACCGGGAACGATCTTCCGGATCCCACATCCAAACCACGTGCTTTCTAAGCCCTTGTTCGTATTACTTCCATAATGAACCGTGATCTTCAGTGCCTAGAAGCTCCATGGTACCCACGTCTTCCGTCCTGTTGCCATTTACGCCAAGCAGCTGGTTACCAGTTTACGGGGTCTAGGTGAAGGGGCCAAAGCACATTTCCAACAAAACACCTGTATCAAGCTGACAACTGAGACCAGGCTGCCTAGAGTAAAGTGGAGTCATTCTTCTTACGCGGTTGTAACATCACTCACGTAGCCCATAATATTCTTAGAAGGCCAACCTTTCAACATAACAGCAGCGGCTATCCATTAGACATGGATCACATCTGTGACAAAGAAGTTGTTGGGACAGCTATAATAGGAAGTATTAATAACACATGAGCATTTCCAAATGGCGACCTTGCTCCGGGATATATGTGATCCCTAAAGTGGTGCTGTATTACTGTTCTCTCATCGACTCCGAATCCGACCTCGAAAGTCCAGCATAATGCGCACCTCCGACGGCATCGGAGTTGACTCAAGGTTCGGACTCGGACATGTTTTTGTCAATTGTGGGATGTTGGTAGATAATTATGGAGAAGCAATCTAGTATGGATGAGATGCATCGGATCCATTGTTACCTCTATCAATGATGTCTCGTTGCAGGGAACGGACGCTTACTACAGGATGTAGCTCGGGTCAAGTTGCACTTTACCTCCGATCAAGTTGCACGTGACTTTTGAGGTGGGGCAACCTGATGGGAGCCTGAGGCCGTAGTTTTCAAATTTCAAGCAGCGTTAATACTCACGTAAAAAAACACGCGCTCGATACATCTTTCTAGTTTTAAGCCTGAACGAACTCAACTTCTGTAGGAAGTAAGAACTAGTTATTAACTCCCTTTAAGTAGTATCTTAGATAAGTTGACTTACTATACGAACTTAAACTAGTTAGTGACTACCCACTGACTTGTTTTATGATAACTAGTTAGTAATCAGTTATAATTCTAGATTAATATTACCAAGATAAATTATAATTATCAAAGAGAAACGAGTACTTGACTATATTTAAGGGGTCAGTTTAGGGATTAGGGGGATTGGTTCGGGGGTTAGGGTAGTTAGGTTAGGTGTGGCAGGAATGGTAAATTCGGGTAGAGGGTTGGGGTGGTATAACGTATTTCACCACGGAGCGAGCCGTCCCGGTCGGGCGAGCCGCCCCATCAACTTCAATTAATTCAAACCAGCATAATTCACCCGAAATAACGTAATATTGAATATCTAAGCTATTTAATCAAATTTGGATAATGTGTTCTCTTGTGACCCTGAATATTATACTCTGAGCATCTTGGTGGCGCCCTAGGTCGTCGTTCTTGTGCTTCTGGTTGACCGGTTGGCTGGTTGGATGGAGCTTCAATTTGACCATTTCCATCATTTTGAGCTATTTCTCGAAGCTTAGCGACAGATAGGCCCTCTGGAGCTGATATCCGGAGCTTAGAACGTGCTTTTTTTGACTCTGATTTCTCCGCTCTAGCCCGTAAAAGCTTGATATCTTGAGTCAGAAGAGCATAATTATGCATATGGGTTTGACATGATTTAAGCACCCGATCTATATAAGAAAGTAGCGGGCTTAGTGGGCTCTTAGAGCGTGCTTTTAAGAGCTTTTTAATCGAAATTTCATGCTTCTGGAGCTACTTATAATTTGATGGTGTCTGATATGTGCTGCTTTGGCTACCTCGAGATGGTGGTGGTGTAGGCGTCTAGAGCTAAATATTAAGCTTTGAAATAACCCGATTTGGATTATATAGAACTAAACCAGTTACCGAGAAGCTATTTTTGATCGTTTCTGCTTTATAAGCTTCGTTTTGAGCGTCTAGAAAGGCGTCTAAAAAGTCTAACTTATCGATATGGTTCTAACCTAACCGCATCACGTTCTCGACGCACTTTCTATACGCACGCTTTAAGACGGTAAAACAACCTACATCTAGAGGTTATAAAAGATATGATAAGTGCAGTGGCATATAGATTAGAATGATTCGATTTTTAGAGCAAATTTCGTCGAATTTTGGAGTTAGATGGCTTCTATAACCATCTAGAACCAGAAGTCAATATATCCCCTTTAACCTCGAGGAGGTCGATGGGATAAAGACCTTTTTAAGCTAGCAAAGTCCAATCTCGTCCAAGGTCCATCCATTCGGACTAACCTAGAATTATCAGTCGCCTAGAAGCTTCAACTCTTAAGCCCAGCCTTTCGTGAATAATTTTACCTTAAAGATAACCATCGGAGGAAGGCTATATCCAGACGCGCCTATACACTTAATCGCGGTAACCCATTCACGATTTCTAGGCTATAAAAGAGAGCGTCGACTATAATATTCTACTCTTATAACGACTTTTACGGTCGCTATTAAGCCCATCGCGAACCCCGTCTCATCAAAGTTATAGATATCGTCTTCGTGGATCCCATACTTTAGGGTCGTCTTTTAAACTAGGTCGAACCACTCCATAATGATTTTTGGGTCCTCGCACTTTGCCCGCTTATAATTATAGCGTCTTAAGAACCTTATATCGAGTTCTAGGTGTCGTTTAATGTATTTTATGACCTAATTTTTGCCAACGGTTTGGATCGGGGTGGTTCCACGTGTGGCGAGTAAGAGATTAGCCATTTCTTAGACCATAGAAGGTCGTGGAGCTACTCCGCGTATATCCATAGAGATCACCTATTCTTTAAGCGAATTCTCCTCAATTTCAGTCAATTTAAAGGAGGTTGCGCGAAATTCGACGCGGTTTTCTCGTCCGCTGAGCCGGTGCTGGAGCGTTGTTCTAGGGATATTGTATATGCGTGCTACTTCGGTAATTGACAGCTTTTTTTCCTGCTTCTGGATAGCTTGGATAGCAAGCAAGATACGACCTTCTTGTTCTATCAAATTCTGACGATTTTGAGAGCGAATTGGTGGCATGGTGGTTAGTTGAAGAAGACAGGTCTAACTAATTAACGCATTTTGGTTGGGTCGGCTCGCCCGACCGGGACGGCTCGCTCAGTGGTGAAATACGTTACTCGAGATTTCAGTGCTTACTGTAACTGGCTTTAGAATCATTAGGCGTTATATTAATACAAACTTACGGTATTATACTAGTGACTAGGCAAAGGGGGATACAATACGTAACATGTGGGGCGTAAGGAACTCCCATCAAGTTGCTCTTTTCTTTTGGAAAAGGTCACGTGCAACTTGACCGGAGCTGTTGTCACCGCTTACTAATTCATCTAAACGTAAGCCTCGTGTGTCACGTGATAGTTTAACATTGCCTTCCTTGCTAGAGCGGTCAACTGGGCAGTTCGAGGTCTTCAACAAATCAGGGCTTCATAATAAGTACCATTCCAAACTTGTTATTACATATATCGGTCTCTCTTATAGACAATTTAATCTATCGACCCATTCCAAGGCTCTTAGCTTCCATCATTGCTCTTTCTCTATCAGCGGTCAGTTCACCGATTTATATCATCGATTTCACAGGCACTCCACTGTATGTCCACTGTCCACGGACTCCACACTCTGTCCACACGCTGACTCCACTCATGTCTGCATGTGGTGTCCCTATGATGCTACATCTTTCAAGTACATAGTTGGCTGGCTCTCTGCAATAATTAGGCTCTAGCCACCCCGGATCTCTTCGAACGGAATATCCGACAGAATCTCCCCGCAACCTAAATCGAGCCTCTCAGCATCCTGGTCCAGATGTCCATGTCAATCAATTTACTCGCCACACACTACCAGCGTTAGGGCCTGGGATATATATTCAGCGTGGTTTCCCATATGAGATGTATTCCACCAAGTGCTTCTTCCCATCTTGACCCTGAAATGAATAACGCCATGGCAAAAACATACAATAACCCGATCGTTCCCGGGTTTGCGCCAGATCAATCTGTGGTCTTTGTGGAAGGCCATTTTTTTCTTGTGAATTCGTCTTTTCACATTTCGCTGGACTCCCGATCTATGCATCAAGGGACCTGGCATCTTGGACACAAATTGGTACGTACGTTAGAGAACAAGTACCTTTATACTAGTACACCCTTTCAAATTCTCTGACGTGTTGAAAGGAAATGTCATCAACGCAACAAATCAAATTAACCTCTCCAACGCGACAACGGACGCATTTCCGATTGGCCCAAACAATAATCTTGTCGCCGTGTTGGGTCTCTTTGCGCCTACTATCCGGTGGCACAATGGAACGTTTTATATCATTTGCACTAACGCCGCTCGCAAGAACGGGGAAGAAGTCTGCATTAACAACTTTTACATTAAATCAGTGAACATCTGGGCCAACGAATGGAGCAATCCCATCTGGTTTGAATACGATGGAATCGACCCAAGCCTGCTTTTCGATGACAAAACTGGCAAAGTGTACGTCCAAGGGTCATGGCGGGAGAGAACGTTGGCGGATAGAAATTGTTCAATCCGGCAATTCGAGATCGATATAGCGTCTGGAGAGAGACTCTCTGATATCCAGGTCATTTGGAAGGGAGACCCTGGAAATGACGGCAAAACCGACATCGAAGGACCTCATATTATCAAAAGGATGGATTTTATTACATGATCGCTGCGGATGGCAGCACCTTTGAGGGCCACAAGGCCATAATGGCGCGATCTAGAGACATATGGGGTCCTTACGAGGCCTACGATAAGAACCCAGTGCTTACAGCGGCTAGCACAGATGAGTATGTCCAAAATGTTGAACATGCTGATTTGTTCCAGGATGGGTCTGGAGCCTGGTGGGCTGTGGCCTTGGGCGTGAGAAACGAGATTGGAGGCAGGTGCCCAATTGGACGGGAAACATTTTTGATTCCTGTGCAATGGCCTGCAGGGGAGTGGCAAGTATTCGGTCGGGCTAAAATGCAATTTGAACGAATTGCTCTTCCCATTGGCTCTGAGAGGGATTTATTGCCCAGTCAAACGGAGCTGGTCGATGATGTCTACATTCGTGATGCTCAACTCAATAATTACATGTTTTCAGCAGACAGCAGCATGATCGCACTCATTTCAAGGGCTAATGGGCTATCAGCAACTCATGGTACAACAACCTTTGTCGGCAAACGGCAAGATCTTCCACTAGCACCGCAACAGCAACTTTTCATATTCCCAGTGACCCTGGATTTAAGGCCGGATTGACACTTTATAAGGAGAATTTCCGTCATGTTGACATCTGCTATGATAGCAATACTAGACAAGTGACACTAGAGGCTTGTTTCAAACTGAAGGGAGAACCACAAATCATCGCAGAAACTGCTATCACGGCACGCAAAGTCCAGATGCAGATATGTGCGTCTACCTTGGCATACGAATTTTCTATCAGTATCGATGCTGAGACGGACTGGACTTTGCTCGGATCAATTGACGCATTGGAGATGACCGCTTGCGATTTCAACGGGACGATACTTGGCATTTTTGCAGCTTCAGCAAGCACTGAGGAGAGGGTCTGTACTATAGAATTTGAAGACTTTTCCGTGTCTTGAGAGTTGATTACAATTGTCACGAAGCCTGTGAATCAGGTCTCTTCAATACAACTATATATCTACAGTTATTTATCACGTTTCAACGCCATAGCAATGGCTCTAGCTGTTTTTTGAACGCCTGTAATTACGCGGTCCCCGTTACACGATAGCCTGGCTGCCACCAAAACCAACTTCCAGAGTGCTTATTCCGAATAATGTAGCTTGAAACTTGCAACATCCCTAGGTATGTCACAGCAAATATAGGAAGGAAGATGCTACATCTACAGTCAGCTGTGCATCATCAGTATAGCTGCAGTTTTGCCAATATACAAGCAGTATTACTATCCAGTAACCAGGCTTGTCTGGATGCTTATCCCACAAAACCCCATAAAAGAAAGTATGTATGTCGCCACCACTTCTTTAAGGTTGGACAGCTGGAGGCTCTAGTGACAAAAGGCCTCGGCTCGATATGAGAGTTAACGTCCACCCCTACAATCTCACGATCCACAAATACTGAGCTTTGGTACCCCGCTGGGGTATTCCCCACATTCTGTCTGTGCATCGGGAATCCCGACTCGGAAATACCATAGGTTAGGCAATAGCGGTCGTTTTAAGGTGGCTAAAGCCAGCAATCCGCTACCACTTCAAGCCTTTTTTCGCTCGACTTGGTTTGATTTTTGAGATGACGACATTCACGCGGATTGGAGAAGGAGATACACCTTCCATCTTAACATCAGCTGACCAAACAATTTCGACATCGACCCTTTTCTTTATGGAGGGTTTGCAGAGTAAGTCCCGATTGATTAATTGGTCGGCAACGGTATGAATTAGTCCTGAGCAGCCACATGGGCCGCTGTGTTTACGGCGGAATCTTTGACTCCGATAACAACAATGGTCTTGTCGACGAAAATGGGTTCCGTACCGACGTGATTGAGTCGATGAAAGAACTTCAAGTCCCTATTGGTATGTGCAAAGGGCTTTTCTCTTTTAAGCTTAGGTTCAATCTTAGGACCGCAGTATTTAATCTCTTGTGAGCAGTGCGGTACCCTGGAGGAAATTTCACAGCCACCTACAAATGACTAGATGGGGTTGGGCCTAAAGAGATGCACCCGAAGCGGGTGGAGATCGCATGGAAAGGCGTTGAGACCAATCATTTTGGAACAGACGAATTCATGAAGTGGTGCGGTATTATCGGGGCAGAGCCTTACTTGGCCTTGAATATGGGCACGGGCACGCTTGAAGAAGGTAAGGATGCTTCGTATCGATAAAGGCGATCCTTATCACCTTCTGACATCTTCTGGATAGCATTGGGCTGGTTGGAATACTGTAATCTTGATACTGATACCCATTATGCCAATCTTCGAAGGCAAAATGGACGTCAGAAGCCGTACGGAGTGAAATACTGGGCACTAGGAAACGAAGTCTGGGGTCCATGGTAATGTGAAAAGACTTCCCCGGTTCCTCTTAACTTTTTGACTTTAGATTTAGGCAGGTTGAGCAATCATCGAAGGAGGATTATGCCAAAAAGGCCTACCAGTGGGGCAAAGGTTAGAAAATCTAGTCTCCTCAAAATTAAGAAATTAAGACTGACTTTATTGCTTTTCAGCTTTGAAACTACTCGACCCAATGATCAAGCTTGTTCTCTGTGGTTAAGACGGACACAGTGCCTGGGATCGATATGTACTGCAAGAAGGCCTCAAAATCACAGACCTGCATAGCATTCACATGTACAGGTTTGATATGCAGTAGGAGTTCTAGGATCCACTGTGAAAAAGGAAAAAGACGTCTAACTCAAAACAGACATTATCCAAATGCTACCAGCCCAAAAGCTGCAGAGAGAGCAATTGAGATCACAGCAGCATTGATCAACCTGGCTCGTAGCGAAATGACGAAACCTTCCCACATTTTTCGACGAAACCGAAGACCGTCCACAGGCCCAAGATCTCCTTTGACGAGTGGAATATTTGGAATCCCATCCGTGCTCCAGGTGACAAGGGTGCAGAAGAATGCTATGATGTCTCTGATATGACTGCAGTCGCTTTGTGGCTTAACGTTTTTGTCCGACAGGCGAGGCACATCGGAATGGCTACAATAGCCCAAAGTGTCAATTTTATTGCGCCCCTCTTGACCATCGAGCATGGTATTATCAAACAGATCACATATTGGCCACTTCTTCTATTTTCGAAGTACATGAGGGGTCAAAGTCTTGCTGTGCATGTTCGCTCACCTACCTATACTGGAAGGACCTCTCCTGGGTGACATTCTAGCACGATGGATATCCCCATCTTGGATGTCTCTGCTGCCTTGAGTGAGGATGACTATATGAACTTAGCTGTGGTTAATGTCTCCGACTCTCAGGCAATGGAAACGTCTCTTCCGCTACTAGAGGGGCCAGTCCAAGTCTTCAAGGTAGGTGGGGATGAGAACGATATTCGGGACATCAATTCGTGGGGTTCTGAGAAGGTGGCTATCAAGGAGTCTGAATGGGATGGATCGGGAAGCTTCAAGTTCCAGAAACATAGCTTTACGTTGCTAAGATGGAAGGTCAACCCCTCTCGTCCAAACTTAGATGGCGTCGTGGAGGTAACGAAGGCGCTGTCAGGCTGGCGTTCTCAACTCCTTGCATAGTAACTCTGCTTAAAGATACGAGGAAAGCGCACAAATTCTACCATATATATATCCACGCAAAAGCCAAAACAAAGGTGAGCCTTGCTAGCCCAGGTAACACAGTTAGAAAGTTGCTCGCCAAGGCTAAGGTTGGCCCTTGCGGCTTTCTCACCGATGGCCGTTCTTCGGTAAGTCGATGGCTATTATATATCGCATCCTTCCCCCGCGTTTACCCCAGATTACGGACAGCAAGCCGGTATATCTATTGAGTATTGTACCAAAATGCTCGCTCCATGTTGCTCCTCTCGCTCGCAGTGGCTGTGAAACACGCTGCTTTGAACCATACCCACAGTTACAAGTTCCGTGTGCGCTTTTGAAATTCCAGGTATGGACAATATAAACGAGGTCAAGCACGACATAGACTCTGTCGAGTTTGTGAAGCCCATTACGCTACAACAGCTTCCTCTGCCACAAGAATTAGCATCGTGGGACAGTTATGATCTCGAAAAGTTGGAGAAAGGCTTAGTGAGGAAGCTAGATTGCTGTCTACTTCCTGCTGTCATTGTCCTTTTTTTGATGAATATTCTCGATCGGTCAGTCTGTTCTTCCAAACAGCATCCGTTTCGAGCGGAGCTAATACCTGTTCAAGAAACAACATTGCCAATGCAAAAATTGTCGGACTACCCGAGACACTAGGACTATCGAACACACAGTACAATATTTGCCTAATGATCTTTTACGTTGGATGTCTGTTCCTGATTTTCTCTATTGACTGTATCAGCTAACCAAACGAAGATATCCTCACCCAACTCCCTTCCAACTTGATAATCACTAAAGTCAAGCCATCTGCCTATATCGGTGCCACCACTACCGCTTGGGGGATTATCTCCATGTGTCAAGCCTTTACGCACAACTTCGCTGGACTATTCATGTGTCGTTTCGTTCTTGGGCTGGTAGAAGGACCCTTTCTGCCGGGCGTGTTCTTCTTAATGTCATGCTGGTATAAGAGGTCCGAACTGCCGCCCCGAATCGCTCTTGTGTATGGTGCGAACATGCTTGCTTCTGCATTTGGTGGTCTAATCGCCGCGGGCATTGTCGCCCGCATGCAGGATAAGATGGGCAGACCAGCTTGGGTGAGTTGGATTCCAACTTCTGCCAAATACTTGCAATGATTTAATTTTCCCGGAAAGGAATGGTTATTCATCATTGAAGGCTCCATGACAGTTGCAATCGCACTGTTGGTCATTCCCTTTATTCCAGATTATCCAGGGTTTACCAAGAGATGGTGGTTGCCGCGTGAGCACCAGTTGCTAGCAGTAAGTACTTTTTTCTATGTCGCACTCTTAATCCCTCTGGCCTTGTACCTGCTCTAATCATGTTGGTAAAATATAGGACTGGCGATTACGGAACGAAAACGCAAGCCTTGCTGACGATGATGCCGACTCTATCCTTTGGGGTGTCAAGCAAGCCTTCATCGACCCAAAGCTGTACATGTTCATCGTGCTCCAAATGGCCCTCATCACTGCCCAGTCATTCAGCAATCTCTTCCCTTCTATCGTCGGAACCCTGGGATACAACGACACAGTTACCCTCCTGCTCACGGCACCGCCGTATGCTTTTGCGTTCTTCTGTTCCTTGGGGATATCATTCCATGCTGCCCAAAAACAAGAACGGGGATACCATATAGCTATTCCGTTGGTATTCGCGCTACTTGGTAATTTGGTGGTAAGAATCCTGGATTTTGAAGTTTACCCCATATCTAATACTTTCAAGGCAATGTTTGTTCCGACAACAGGGGCTAGGTACTTCAGTATGTTCCTTATGACAGCTGGTGCTTACTCACCGTATAATCTTTGTGTGTCGTGGCTCAGCTCATCTCTTCCCCGCCCTAAGGCAAAACGTGCAAGTGCATTGGCAGTCGTCAACTTGATGGGAGCGGGTGTCGCGCACTTTTACACATCCTATATGTTTCCTGATTCCCAGAAGCCGAGATACTATGCAGGTGGGAGTGTCATGAGTGGAGCATGCGTGTTGTGTGCTATGATGGCACTGGGTATAAAGCGATATTTGAAAAGACAGAATGCAGAGCTTGAAAAGACTGAGTTGGAGGAGGAGGTACTGGCTGGTTCAGTAATTGCTACGTCACGATATGGGCAAAGGTCAGATGGGGTTATTACTTTCCGATATGTGCATTGAGGTAGCTCATCGTGTGATGTGATATGAGCATCAGGTGGTTGACATTAGGGCTAGTGTGAAGGCATAAAGCAGAAGGGATTGTGAAGTGAACACAGATGTATCAAAATCCAATGTTCAGGTATTGATTCAGTCTTGTAAGCCTCCTCATAATATAAACACAAGCTAAGTAGATGATCTGCGAAGAGTACTGCGAAATGACCGAAGCATACCTCCCAAGGTCTCCGAATGCACATGTACGCCGGCGACCAAAAGAAAGCTAACAAAAAACCAAAAAGCCACAACTGCAACTCCATTCACCACATGATACAAATCTCAACCCTTTATTCACAGAAATCCCTTCGTATTACTAGGCTTTCGTTGGGGCATATCATTAGACCCATAAGCAGCACTGCCTCGTCTGCTACCCACGTCACTCATTGCAGCCATGGGCAAGCGACCGATAGTGCTGGTTCGTTCAACTCGTAACGATTTCCACCCTTCCAATTCCCTTTCCAGGCGCAAGGCCTTTTCCCGTTCTTCGCGAAGCTCCCGCTCCGCACGGCGCGCCTGCATCTGTGTCTCTGTATCGACTTGCTGAAGCTCATCGATGTTGCGAAGAAGTCGCTCGATCTTGTCGCGGCCCTTGTTGAGTTCCTCATTCAGCTGGGCGTTCATCTTCTCCCGTCGGTCAATCTGAGCTTGAAGATCTTTGACTGTGCGGTCAACATTACGAAGAGAGCGCTGCTCGGCGCTATTCTTATTCTCTTGCTCTTCGAGGTGGGTCTCCAGCTGTAGGAAGATAGATTAGCATGAATACATCAATATTAGAATTGTGGCAGTAGCTTACCTCCTTGATTCGCTTGTGAAGGAATCGCACATCTTGGCTGCCCGAAGAGTAGCTCTTGGTCTCAAGGTCGACGCATCGAAGTTGAATCTCCTTCAGCTGCTTCTCCAAGCCCGCCTTGTCCTTGAAAAGCTGGCTGTTGGTTTCACGTTCTGCAGTGAGTTCCTTCTGCATTTCAGTGGCCAAAGCATCCGCGCGACGCATCTTGCCAACAGCGGCAGATGAGACATCCTCTTGCTGTGCAAGCTTGGATTTGAGCTCCAAAAGCTCACGATCCATGCTGGCTGCATTACGCATAGAGGGGCTTTCGCCCTTGGCAAGGTCCTCGAGACGCTCACCGGCTTCAGCCAAGCGTCCTTCAAGCATCTTCTTGTCCTTCAGAAGCAGATCACGTTCTGCGGTGGTGTCCTCAATGGAGGTACGAAGGTTCCGCACCTGGGATAGGAGTGACACGACCTTCTGCTGAGCTTCGTTATGGGCCGCGCTGGCCTCATCCCGGGAGGTAGTGATGTCCTGCACAACCAACTCCAAACGAGACTTCTCTTTCGACCAAGTAGAGCTGTTGAGAACCTCATTGTCCCACTTGCTTCGCAAATCCTCCAGTTCCTCACGGAGTCGGGCATTTTCCCCACGGACGTTAAGTAGACGCTCGCGTTCAATCTCGAGTTCTCCATTGATTGTCGAGAATTCCCGCTGGTATTTTTGTCTGGTCTGTTCCATGGAAGTTTCCTTGTCTTCAAGATCAATAGCTCGCTGGTTTCGGTAATCTTCAAGCTCATTCTGAAGACGTTGCTTGGCTTGTAAAGCGCCTTGGAGCTCAGCGGCATTGTCCTCCATTCGAGCTTCCAAGGCCTGGGTCTGTCGCTGCAGATCCTCCACAAGATCATCCATCTGCTTCCGCTCAGACATAATTTGAGCATATGTCTCTTCAGCCTCTCGACCCTGTGACTTGGCAAACTGTTCGGCGCGGTTAGCCTTGAGAACAGTGATTTCCGCCTGTTCAAGCTTGCTGAAATACTCGTCAGCCCGACTCTTGTACAGAGTAAGACTTGATTCAAGATCGGCAGTCCTCGATGTCTCGGCGTCGAGGCGGATTTGCAAGTCTGAGAATTCTTGTAGGAGTTGATTCCGGCTTTGAAGATCTTGGTCCCGAATGAACTGCATCTCTTGAGTCTCGGATCGAGCATCACGCAGCTCAACCTCCAATGTCGCCTTGCTGCGTTTCAATTTTTCGTAGTGGCTCTTAGCATCGGCAAACTCGGCCATGGTGTCGTTGTGAACCTTGAGCAAAGATCGACGGGATTGCTCCTGCGAGTTAATGAGGTCGTACAGCTCTTCGTGGGATTTGGCCTGGACGTCTCGAAGAGAGAGTTCGCCAGATCGGATGCTACGCTCCAATGTCGATACCTTCTTGGCAGAATCATCAAGTTGGTCATGAAGACGTCCGTTCTCACGTTCCAGAAGGTGCATGCGACGGATTGAAGGGCTTTCGTCCTGCCAGATGTCACGAGACGGGGTGGACCGTTCAAGCTGGCTCTGGAGATGCTTATTCTGCATCTCAGTCATTTGAAGCTTGTTCTGAAGCTCCTCGATTTCAGCGGCTGTGTCCATGCGACGCTGGTAGCCTTGGGTATCAACTGTCTTGTCAGATCTGGCAGAATCATTGGCTCCTTCGTATGCAGGGTAACGACGATTGGGCGTTGACGGGTTAGAAATTCGCTTCAGAGCATTTTCGGAATTCTTGCGGAAGTGGGCTGGTGAGCGAGTGTTGGCTACCTCATTCTGGTCGATCTCTTCGAGTAAAGCGCGCTTCGAGGACGAATATTTGGCATCCAGTTCCTTCATTTCGTCTCCGTGGCGACGACGCATCTCAGCAAGTTGACTTTCAGCCCTGGCATACTTCTCTTCTGTGACCCGTAGCCTATGTTGCACTGTGTCAAGAACTTGTGCAATATCAACTTGCTTGGACAAATGCGGCTGAACAGCCTCCCAAGACTGAGCTGGCTCGGTTGCTTCTGGCTCAAAGACTCGGTGCAAAAGAATGAGTTGGCGATGCAAATCCTCAATTTCCTTGTTAGCTCTGTCCAGGGTAGCCTGGGTCTGCCGAGTATTCGCTTGAGCTTGACTGCGCATCTGCCGTTCATTCTCGAGGTTGCGGTTTACTTCCGCTAACTGAAGGTTGGCCGTGGAGGCAGCCTTTTCGGCATTTCGGCTGGTCTTGTGTTCACGGTTGACTTCATGGTTGAGATCCTCAACATTCAAGGTCAGCTTCTCCCTCTGCTTCTCAAGAGACGTGATCGTCATTTGAAGATCCCCGATTTGGCGACCAATGTTCTTGTTCTCATCTTCCAACTTTGTCTTCTCCTTCTGGAGGGTTTGCAGGCGCAATCGATTGTTGTCGCTAGCCTTGGATGTGGATCGAGCGATGTCAAGGTTCTTTTGCTGGATTTTGGTAAGAAGGGACCGATTATCATTCTCAGAGGCCGTGAGTCGTCCCCGTAACGTCACAAGCTCACGCTCCAAGCGCTCCTTATGCTGGTCGTGGCGAATACGGAAGTTGTCAGACTCTGAAATGGTATGCATAAGTTGTTGTATCCGACTGGAAAGCTGGGAGCGCTCTGCATCCACTTCTTCGAGTTGGCGAGCTTTCTCATCAAGAGCATTGCGCAACCCCATGATATGCTCCTCAGCTTGCTTTTTGATCTTGCGTTCAGCTTCCGCGTCTGCATTCAAGCGTGCGGTTTCGGCATCCGTGAATCGGTCGCGAAGCTTAATTAATTCAGATTGCAGCTCTTTTCGCGATGTTTCAGCAGCGACACGAGCCTCAGTGGCCCGACGAAGACTGTCTTGTTGAATGTACATCTCTTTCTCGATCGTGATCTTCGACTCATTGAGCGCTTCGTACTTAGTAGACAGGTCCTTGAGGTTATGCTCAGCGAGCATCTGAACATCATCTCTTGACTGGCGCTCACGGCTGAGGTCAGCTTCGGTCTTGAAAAGTTGCTCCTTCAGGTCTTGGACTTGCTGTTCCAAGAGTTTCCTGCTCTCGCCAGCCTCTGCATCCTCGGATCTTTTTGTCTCGAGTAACTTCTTGACATCTGCAGCTTCTCGCTCGAGCTGGACCTTCTCCGAGCGCATAGCATCCCTCTCTGCCTGGACCTCTCGAAGGCGGGTTTGCATGTTATCGTGACGAGTGTTAAGTGATTTCTTCTCCGCTTCAATGATGCATCTATCCTCATCGTGCTTCTTGGCATCGTTGCGTAGGATGGCCATCTCACTCTCCTTGCGCCTAAGAAGGTCCTCGTAGCCTGTGGACGTCGTAGACAGTTCGGATATTTGCTGGCGGATGGACCGATTCACTTCGACTAACTCCCGAACCTCTTTCTTTGACTTGTCGAGCTCTTTTGAAGTGTTTGCGAGCTTGATATCAAGGTCTTGGTCTGTCTTTAGCAATTTGGCTTCGAGCTCCTGCAATTTGCGATCCTTCAAACTCAGATGACTTTGAAGCATTTTGATTTCCTGGCCCAACCCTTGAATTTCACCGTCCTTAGCGGAGAACTGAGAGTCGGCTTCAGAGAGTTTGGCATTAACCTCTTCCAATCGAGTTTGCAGTTCATTTTTCTCTGACTCAAGTTGTTGGATGATTTGACCAGCTTGTTCAAGCTGGGTAATTCGGAGATCTAGTTCGTCATCGGTCCTCTTCTTTGCATCGACCAACTCATCTAATTGTTCCTCGAGGCTCTCCTGGTCTGCGATCGCTCCTGCGAGCTTCTCGGAAAGTTCTCCCTCGCGAAGTTGTAGGCGCTTGAAGATTTCCTCCTTGTCGAGTGCGAGTGCACGCTCGCCCTCTAAAGTCTGCTGGATTTTATGAATCTCCATCTCAGTGCGTCGTCTATCTTCTTCGATCTTTTGTCGGTCAGAGTTTTCTTGAGCCATTTTTGCTTCGAGCTCCTTGATCTTGTCATCTCTCTTTTTGACTTCCTTCGCGTTTCGGGTGTCACCAAGAAGAGGCTTCATTGTGGAGAACAGTTGCCACCAAGGGCTTTCTTTCAAGTCCAAGTATGAATGGAAGTTCTGCTGAATGATACGCGTAGCCTCGGCTCGGTAAAGACGCTTGTTGGAAATCCTCCGTTGGATGAAACCTCGCGCGACAGATTGGAAGCGCGACATAATACTGCGAATGAGCTTATCACGCTTTTCTTCCAAGTCAGCCAAAACACCGGCCCTGAAGAAAACCTTTGTTCGGCCCACGCGATACCAGGTTCGGTCCATTCCAAGCTTTTCTAGCATGATTTGCGCAGCACTTTGTCCTTCTAGGTATCCCTTCGGCATGTTCTGGCAAAGAACTTCATAACGCTGACGGAATTCGGCGAAGGGCAAGCGGTTGGGGAATCCTGTTCGAGCGATTCTAATTCCTTCGAGAACACCATTGCACCGAAGCTGGTCCAGGACCAATGGAGCATGAAGCATCTTTGGGCGCTTCTTATGGTTTGGCAAGATACAACGAACGAAATGAGGGTGAGTGGAGTGAAGTTGGGCCATCAAGCTGGACAGCTGCTCCTTGTGCCTTTGGGCCACGGTTCGGAACAAGCCCTTTTTTACCCGGCTTCGCGGATTCTCGCTCCCTTCTTCGGGGTCTGCGCAGTCCACAAAGAGATTGGCAACATGTGCATCGTCTGAACTGGCAAGGAGCCGGGTGATGTTATCGTTCATTGGATCTTTGTTCTTTTCAAGCCAATCCTGTGTGCTGTATTCTACCTCAGCAGCGTAGTGGGTAAGGACAAACCCTTGGCTAAGGCGAGAAGATCGGTATTTAGGGGTCTTTCGATCCCACAAAGAATGCAGCTTCTCTGTGAAAGACTTATCCGTGGCTTTGGGCATCACGCAGTCTTCATCGAGGCATGAAAAGATGCCGATTGGGTTCGTCAACTCAATCAGGTCAATTGTAGGTTGTAAATCTTTGCCGAAATCGATAAACTGCCACTCAATCTGCTCCCGAGCATACTCCTCCTGCTCAAGAACGAACATGTGGTGGTTGAAGAATTGCTGGAGTTTTTCGTTTGTGTAGTTGATACAGAGCTGTTCAAAACTGTTGTTCTCAAAAATTTCGAATCCAGCAATATCAAGCACGCCAATGAAGTAGTTATCCTCGGTCATCGAGCGGCCCAATTGCTTGTTGATACGGGCCACCAAGTCGCCAAAGCCACGTTCATAGATGCCCTTGGACAGAGCATCTAGCGACAGGCGAACCTGCTCGGGCGTTTGCACTTTCTCTACCCATTCACGACCAGCCTTGACCCTCGGGTGCAATAGGCCTTTGACGAACGGTTCCGCGGGAATTCCCAACAGTTGACAGGCCTTCTCGACACTTGCGTATCCATTGGTGCCAAGGGCGGCTTGATCGGCCCGGACACTTTCCTTCGCAATAGTGACATTGCCTAGGTGCAGAACAGCAGCAATTGTTCGCAAGATGCAGAGTTGGTCGTCTTCCGAGAAGTTCATGACATGGAAAGCTTCAATCAAGGAATTCCACTCATCTTTGTCGGAAACGCCAACAATGGAATCATTACCATCACGTGTATAAGCAAAGTCCTCGATTTGAAGGCCGGTCAGCAGTAGCTTTTCTCGGGTGCTGCGGTCCGCACCCTGCAACAGCTGGTAAAAGATGTGATAATTGCGTTCGTTGGGATTTGGCTTGACCACTCGAGATTTCTCCAATAGATACCAATCGATCCATGCGCCACAAATCTGACCAGATCTCGAGAATTCGATTCGAATGAATTTGCCGAAACGTGAGGAATTGTTGTTGCGGACAGTCTGCCCGTTACCGAAGGCTTCAAGAATAGGATTGGCTCGTAAAATTTGTTGTGAAAGGTTCGATATTTGCTTGGTCCCAGACCGCGCGTATGGGGTATCGGAAGTTGCGACTGCTGCAAGATACTGAATGACTTTCTTTGTATTTTCAGTTTTACCAGCTCCGGATTCACCACTATCAACGACAGTCAGCCCAATTCTGGTAACAGATCAACAAAACACTTACGTGACGAGAATACTTTGGTTCTCGCCCTCTTCCACCAGGTTTCTGAACGCCTCATCCGCCATTGCAAATATATGGGGGCGTGTTTCCTCTCTTCCCCGCCCTTTGTACATCTTGACGTATTCATTTGTGTAGATAGACAACGGGCAATAAGGATTTATTGTGACCAAGAAAAGTCCTGAGTATGTCTGTTCACCACAAGATCAGTATGTGTAGTGACGCAAGATATGAATAGACTGACGTAGATCAGATCCGACTGGTATCTCGTGTAAAGGTTGTGGACCACTGAGGCCTCGTTCAGGTGCGTCAATTCTGCCATATCATCTGCCTTGTCGAATTTGGCGGGATTGACCTTGTCCACTTGGTCCGCGTCGACTTCGCGTTGCTGCTCGGGCTGTTAACTACCCCACTTCGTCATCGCTGGGGTGAATATTCCTACCTCGCCATCGTCACTTTGCACCAACAGGCGGTTTCCCTCCAATTCCTCTAGCACCAATCCGCGGACAAATGCCTTTTGTGGGTCGCGTAACCAAACATATTTGTTGCCGGAAAAGTCGTTCTCTCCCTCAATTCCTCGGATTTCATCCGCGCCCCGTCGCATCTCCTCGGATTTAATAAAGCTCGGGGCAAAAGTCCCGGATGCTACATTATTGCGCGAATTTGACCGTTCCCGGTTCATGGAGGCGGGAGATAGTGTCGGCGATAGCTGTGAGACTGACGAGTTGCGAAGATGTCCTTTGGTCATCTCTAACCCATGAGATGGTGCAATGATAGCTGATTTAGGGCGCGTTTGCGACTGGGGTGCTGGTGAGGGAGAGGATCGCACGAACGCACTCGCCCGCTTTGGCGAATTGTTCAGCTGAGACGGAAGCATATCGAAACAGTGGTCAATAGATCATTATTTGCGCTTTTGAGCGTTTCCCATAGCAAATTGAATCTTGATGAGAGGCCAGCTCTGGGATATTGAGCAGCAAAGCGATGAGAAAATGTAGTAGAATACAAGGAAATGCAAGGAACAAGTCCCGAGGTGGAGGTGGAGTTTGGAGACGTGATGTGACGAAGGCGGAGACACTACTGACGCTGTTTGTTTACACTGCGTTCCTCGGGTTCCCGCCGATCGGTGGCCCGTGTCTAGTCACATGACCAGATCACTTTTTTGCGCGCTTAATTTCTATCACATCACTAAGACATGAGACTCACCTCGGGAATCCTGGCGCTTCCCGTTTGAACCATCCTCGAACCCTCCACAACCAGTTTATCATCATCATTTATTCGGCTGAGATACGTGTATCTATCTGCCGATACTGTCCAAGGCGAAGGTATTCAAGTGGCGCGCGTTGATCTCATCATCGTTCAACTTCAAAGTTTTTCCCCAAGGTATCTGCGACCACACCACCTCTTCACCATGACATCTGGTGTTTGATCTCACTTTTCTTCTCTTAAATCACCTCATCTCAAATTTCGCGACCGTGTCCCCAAAGAAGCGCGATCTTGACATGTCCAGCCAACCACCCCCTGCGTTCGGTGGCCACCCGAACTACTCGCAGTGGCCTCCCCCATATCCCTCGATAATGCCTCCTGATTTTCAAACAAATCCGGAATACTTGGCGGCAGGTCATCAAATGCCTCCGTTCAACCCGCATGTGCCTTTTGATCCCAACATGGCGGCCTTTTACGCCAATGCGCAGCTCACCGGACCTGCCACCCATGCTCACCCATATTTCCCACCTCCTTTGCCATTCGTAGCTCCGTTTGACCCTTCACAAATCCCTCCTCAGCCTTTCACTTCTATGCAGATGCCGCCTCTAGATTACACATCAATGCAGGCGCCCGCAGGGTCCCCCATTCCAAAACCAGTGTCTGGAAACGTACTAGCAGCGAACGGAAACCAGCGACCACAACCCGAATTCCAGCAGCAACCGAAGACGGTAGCTGGGCTGATTGATCACAATCGCGAGGAGGGCGAGATTAGCGACGAAGAAAATGAACGGTCGGGTCTGAAGAAAGATGCCAGGGCCTCCAACTTGGCCAGGAGTAATCATCCACCAAGTCATCATTCTGAAATGGAAGAGGGTGAAACAATGTCATCAAGGTCACGCGCTTCAAGTAGAAGCAGCACACGTATGGAGTTCAGCCGTCCCGATTTAACTTTCCATACTAACCCTAAGTAGCTTATAATCCTCCTCTCTCGGTTGCTGCGGACCCTGAAGTGCTTGATCGTGCGATCGAAATGCAGAAGCGGGAACGCATGACTACTGCATTGAAAGACTCTTCGTTGTCCAGGTCAGCAATACAGCTTCGTGTACAGGCCCAAGGTGCCCTTCTCAGCCTAGTGCCTCACAACATCCAGTACAATGAACTGGTAGCTGAAGGCTTGAACCCAGCGATTTTGAGAGAACTTTACAAGCAGGTTGGAATCAAAATAACCACTGAGGTTGAGAAACTTGACCAGAGCGCAACCGCTCAAGTCCCCGTGTCGACCAAGCCAGCACAATCAGCCACGCCAAAAAAGGTCGATGATGTTGGACCGAAATCGACAGCTGCACCTCCAGTTCCTGCATCTGCCCCATCTTCCGCTGCTCAGTCCGACTCGGGGAAGCCAATGGAGAGGAAAGAAGTGATTGCCAGAATGCTTGCTGCCAAGGCCGCGAAATCGTCCGAGGCAGCAACTAAGGCGGTTCCAAACGAGCCTCGAAGCGTTGCAGCGACACCCACTCCATCTAATCCATCCAGTGACACCCCGGTCAAATCAACTGTGGTTCCTATGAGGGGGAAAAATAAAGCCCAGACTGAGTTAGCAAGACAGCGAATCGAAGAGCTCAAACGGCAAGCACTGTTGAAAAGCCAACAAAAGGCTCAGCTCAATGAACCTAGCAATGTCTCCCGGGTTAGTCAACCTGCCGACGATACGAGTTCCGCAGCGCCAGTGGCCCAGCATCCACTACCTGTCCGCCCCCCTGTAGCTCAACCATCGGAATCCGCCACCATTCCAGGATTATTCATGACTGGGTCGAAGCAAGATGCAGGCTCAAAGCCCTCTACAGAAATCTCTCAGGGAATCGCTGTCGATTCGGCTCCTGTTTCCCGAACAGGCCAGCGCAAACGACCTCGCGCATCGGACTTTGACGAGCCTGATTCGGCTTATAAGAAGCAATTGGGCTATGGAGCGGGTCAATTACGTCCTGCAGATCGAGTCGTCATTGAGTTCAGTGACGATGATGAGGACGAATCACTGTATGGGGATGATCCTGACTCCATGGACGTGGACTCGAATCACGAAACCGAGGCCCACCCTACAGTGGTCCTCGAGAATTCTCGGCCGGCTCTTCAAAAATATCCTTCATCTACTTCAACTCCACAGGGCCTTTCCTGGCAAAGTGACAACGAAAATATGCGACAGAAGGACCTGGAGATTCAAGCAATGCATCGTAAGATAGCACTGCTTGAGCAGCAGCGAAAGGCACGAAAGGCGAAAGAAGCTGCCAATCGAACGGAGTCACCTCGTACCGTTGATGATTCTGCTACATCTTCGTCCTCCGCAGGGCACTTGAGTCCCATGGATGTTTATGAAGCAGAAACATCCATCTCAGCCTCCACTGCAAAAGCAGCGGCCGGCACGAGCACCACGATGACCAGTTTTGCTGACCAGCAAAACCTTATTGATTCCTTCAGTGAGTCTTCAGTGCGTATTCTTGCTTCCCTGGATTTGGCACAACTAGACAATATCAGGTCCAAAGTTCTCCAGATGAAGGATATTGAGTCAGACCCTGAAACTTTGAGCCGCGACTCCCGCTTTGCTGCCTGCAAAGATGAGGCGGATAAGCTGTTATTCGATATCACAAAAGCCAAGGAAGTAAGAGAGGGTCAAGTCCCGCTTATTGGGGAGCTGAAGAACCTTGCGTATGAGATTGGTGGTCTATCATTGGAGATTTTGGATGACTTGCGACGACAAGCCGAAGCCAAGAAACAATTCACTGCCCAAACTGAATGTATGCTCTTCGAATCGACCCCATCACATTGTCGCGTCGAATATCTAATAACCTTTTCGCAGTGACCCCAAACTCTCAGGTAACTGCATCTGCAGACAGGGGAAATTATGGCATTGGTGATACACACGCCTCCATCCCACCTTCCATCTCAACGGCCCCTTTGGTTGTTCAAAAATCCGAAGTTAACCCTTCTGTCAACCAAGTTAAGGATCTCGCTGCATCGCCTTCAAGTCCCTCACAGTCTGAGTCTTCTGGGTCTGCAATGGATGAGTCTGAGGATATCTCTAGCGCCCGCGGAGGCTCACCTAGTGATGAAGAGCCTGCTACGCTTGGTGAACCACAAACATTGGATTCCATGACCAGCTCGACACAACCCCAGACCGAGGCCTCTATCTCGGAACCAAACCCCGTCGTGCCTATCAAAAACGTTTCTGCTGAGTCACTGAGCATTGAACAAGGCTCGAGCGGTCAAGCATCTCCTACCGAGCCTCCGGTCGTAGACTCTATGCCCACCTCTTCACCTTCGGGGCAAGATGCAGATCTTGCTTCTAGTCGTCCCCTTTCCGAGGGTCCATTACCCGACATGACCGAAAGCAATACCATCATGGATAATCTTAGCAACCAGGATGTCGACGCTGAACAGCAGTCCATGCGTGAATCATCTGCAGCATCGGAAGAATCGGAAGCATATGAACCTCCGGAGCCAGAGACTTCAGCAGAGCCAAATTCACCCTACAGTCCACCTTTCAGCCCCGCTCCTCTAGAGGATCCGGAGCAAGATGTGGCTATGCTGGACGACCATCCAGCTGATAAACCACTAACGGTTGCATCTCAGGTGCCGACCTTGGAAGCTCAGCCTGATTCTCAGGTCGGAATACTTGGTGTATGAAAAACATCTTTCCAGAGGATACTTGTGGGAATAAAGTACTGACCCCCGCAGAACCAAACGTCTTCGACACCGGCCACCTCGGACTCAAAATTCACTCCTTACGTCAGCCCTCTGCGTTCTTTTAAGGCTTATCGATACCACCCTGGCTATACTGAGGATGTCTCGGACGGTTACCGTTCGCTAACCTACAGCCATGACATTGACTCAATGAATTACTTTTGCCCTTATGAATTGGCTGGTGGCGTGTGCAATGATCGGTCTTGTCAATTCCAACATTTCCGGGACATGACTCTTAGCGGTGCGTCGACGACTTAACAGCCGTTCAACATTTCAAAATGGTTTTCACTTCCCTTTTGTATTTCCTTGTTACCCCAACATCCTTCATGGGTCCTACGAGACCTTCTCGTCCCCTTCTTGTCAGCACATTATGTTTTCGCTGCTTCATTGATATATCATCGTCGCCGTCCACTTTCCATCTTTCTACCCTGTTCGCGTGCTGACCACAGTGTTATTAACCTCGGCAGATGATAAGATCCTCATCGAGATGGGCTCCGTTCGAGAGGGCGAAACCGAAGAAGAAAAAGAAACGTATCTTGCTGGACTGAAGGAGATCATCAACGAGATGCGACGTGACAAGGTGAAAGACTTCAGCACCGTGGCTGCTGAGATAGCCGCATACCGTAGGCGCTTTCTCCAAGACCCCTCGCGTGTCTTGTCCCTGTAACATTCAAGCATATCCTTGAAACTAAGGATGTCCCCAAAACGAGCTGACACAGCCTATTTGGCTTGGTCGCTGCCATCTAACGGGATATCCTTGATACTCCCTTTCCCGAGCCTCTCCCCCTTTCCTTACGATACCCCCATCCCCGTCCCATTGGACGTTGAGGTATTTTTCGTCTCTTTAACTTCTTCCCTTGTTTCCTGCATCATTAGCCAGCGCGGCGTTCTGCCTGCATTGAAAATTCATCGACATAAAGCAGGTGTTTCTGCTCTGCAGTCAATCGGACTATGATCTTAATCGATCTTGGTGCTGTGAATATTCCAGTACACGACAGTATGGTGCTAGGGTGCCTCCATCGCAGCTGATGGTTTTATTTACGCTGTTCAGCTTCTGATAATGACATTCTAAACCCCGGTCAATTCTCTTGGGCTCTGATTTCATGCTCGGGCTTTTGATAATGGAATGGAAGGGTGTATGATTATGACGCGCCATTATGATGCGCCGGATGGCAGTTATTGAAGCATATAGCGATTTGAATGTGAATATTACGTATTTTAAATGTTCTCCATTTCAGTACTGTTTCTGTCTTACAAATGTAGATAAGCTACACTCACCTCAGGGTGTACCTAGTTGTAGGTAGCTAGCCATCTAGGTATGTACCTACATTTATTATTGACATAAAACACCTGGGCAGTTCCAAGGTTGCCTGGCTAATTTCTGGTAAGGCACCTGATCGCATCACCCCTAAGGCGCCACGTTGTGTTTACCTGGGTTAGAAATATAGGTTGTCCCAAGATGTAGATGATCTCACAGCCACCGCGATCCAAGGATTATCCTGCATGGGGTTTATGACTCAATTTCCATCGATCTGATACGTTCCCAGCGTTCAGGTTCAATATTGCGACCACCTGCAGGATCATGAAATTCTTTTGACTCATGAATACATCTTCCAAGAATGTTCTCGATGACCCTTTGCAACGCTCCCAGGAGATCCACTGCAACCACAAGTCATGCAACCTTAGAATACCATCGATTGATGATAAATCTCCAAATACTATTTTTATTCCTGCAATCCGTATGGTTGGATCTCAAGATGTCTGACATTGAAATGATATTTCACATATAGGCGCCGGGGGCAGGGGGCCAATTTTAACGTCAGTGCATCAAAAATAAACATTCGTGCAAAACGTGTTTACCCCACCTTGTATATTAGATAAACATGTAGGTACATGCAACACATGAGCCCGGCTTTGCATCATTCCCACTCAGGCGTGCACGATATAATATATTTATGAAACATATCTAATCACTGTCGCTGACCCGACCGTAGTAACGGGTCAAGAATAGCTTGGTGCTAAGTATAGTCTCAACCTTGGAACCGGTCGGGGCTAAAAACGTTTGCACTTGGAACTGGAATGCAACATGCAGAACTTTGACATAAAGAATAAACAACAAAATTTCAGGAAAATAAGCCTCCAATAACGTGATTTTATTCTAGAATATTCGCGTCGCGCTCCGGGATGCAGGGGATGTGGACACGTGTAGATGCTCTAAGTAGGAATTCAACACGACACATTTTAAATTGATGATAACAGCTGAACCTAAGGCACTAGGCAAGTATGCTCAGCTGAACACGTCTCAAACTAGTAGAAATCAAGCCTAAGGCCTCGGAGGCTTAGGCTTATGTATGACGTCTGGCCGCCAGGGCTGATACTGATAAGCTGATAAGTGGAGCACGAGATAAACTAAGCCAGGAACACTAGAGATGCCGAAGGGGAATCAAATCGAGTAACGGTTTTATGATTAGATATTGTATTACATTAAGTGCCTCAAGGCAGATTTCATAGTTCACCATGCAGCAAGACTGAGACATACGGGGATCGGGGAAGACTGGCTGGTATAGTTCAATCGCGATCTGGGCTGCCATTGGCTCCAGGCGGGGCATAAAGGTCACGCCTCACCTTGCAAAGTGTATTTGGCAAGAGCGGCATCTCGGCAACCTGTCAACCATAAGGAATTTAATTGAACCCCGTGGGCGCGGGCAATTTTGGGTGAACAGAAGATCCCGTGCTGGTGCCCGGGGGCGCCAGTCCGCGCCTGTGCCTGGGTGGATTCTTGCGGTCAAGACCCACTTGGTGGTCTTATGTCATTGTCTACCTGTGCCTACTCTTTATGTTCAGGCTTTTTTTTTCATATATGAGCTTCAGTTATATAATTATTTGAAATACTCATAGATGAGATGTATCACAACTGTACATGGGTTCAGTCTTGATTCGAATTTTCTCATGTCTAATAACTAATTTGGACATAACAACCAAAATCATATTAGAGATCACACTGATCAAGCCATTCAACGACGTCACCGCGGCTGAGGTCAAGCGACGTGGTGGGGGGAAACTAATAGGGAAACTAAGAACGAAAAAGTAAGCTCCGCGGAGCAGGAAGGCGGGCGCAGACAAAGGGAAAACCGAGCTCGATAGTAAAAAGCGTCAACGGGGGCACGCGGGATCTGTATGAAATTCCCCGTTAGCACTGCCTCGATTTCGCGCATAAAAAATCGCCCATGTGGGCCCTTTTCCTTTTCCCTCCTTCATGGACCGGTCCGTTCTATGATGCTTTGGCGGGGCTGAGACGCGCGGGAGCGGGTTTATGTGAGTTTGACAAAGAGTCGTTTGGGGCCAAGAGTGTTGAGATGTCGAACTTGACCTTGAACATGACCTTGAAGGGCGTGGATGTAGGCGTCAATGTGGGCTTGGGGCTAGATTCCAAGGGTAAATGTGACGGACCGCTACTTTGGTAAGGGTTGTAGGGCTGCCGAGCTGTACATGCAGGAGTAAAGGGCGGTGGATTAATTTACTTTTCTTTCGCATTTCTTCAGCTTTGGCTTTGGCCATAGCTGAATTTTATTATTATTTCCTTGGGGCCAGGAGCAACAGACTAGTCCCGGGCGCATTGGCGTGGAGCACATCCGGATAGAGGATTGGTCTGGGATTGGGTGATGCAGACAGGCCTTTGTTTCCGCCCGAGCCTCAGGCGAGCGGCTGAATGGGATTGGCTGGGGCTTTGCGGCTCAGTCGCGTTACAAGGTTGTTGCTAGGTTTCTCTAGGAAAGAGAACACCCTGGTTGCAGATCCACTAGGAGTCATAGTATGACTCGACCATTTGCTGCACTGCGCCATTATTGTAAGATTTTGAATAGATTGAGAATTGGAATTGGAATGCAATTTCATTCTTTGAACAGAAAGAACCGAAAAATTAGGGCCAACAAGGCAGACAGGCCCGCCTGCTTACCTCATCGCCCCTAAACTAAATTAAGCACAGGAGTATACAGCGTCTTTCTAGCTCATCTAATCGTCACCTAAAGCGATAAACGGAAAATGGCAATGCAAAAAATCAAAATGAAAAGGGGGAAATAAAAAAAGGAAAAACACATGCACCGGGCCATGCTGAGTATCGTAAAATGCTGGACAACGCATACAGTAGGAAAAGTAAGGAAGACAAAGGGTCCAAACGGTAAAATCACATAGGTATATCTTTGACTGAGATTAGGTCAGCGACTTGGCCTCGGAGCTGAGCAAGCAGGAGAAGAAAAACCCTTACATTTCATTCGTAGTCGTCAATCATAAACCCCAAAAATGGTAGCTCACTTGACAGAAACACAGTTGCTGCAGGCCACATGTTGGCATTCGGTGCATCGTGGTTGGACGTTGTAGACTTTTGGTCCATCATTGCAGTTGCAGCAGATGTACATGTAGGTTTGGGAGTATGTTGTTGCTTGCAATCCGCCGAGTGCGAAATATGGCGGAGGTGCAGCAAGGCCCGGCCGCAATGATCGAATCTGAGGTAAATCGATACCAGCGGGCAACATTGGCCGTGTGTCGAGAGAAGGCATGTGAGGGATGTTCAAGCTGACGGCCGTTGGGTAAGGCGAAGTCTCGTGGCAGCTATGGGAGCTAGAGTGGGCGTGGAGAGAGTCCTCGACCTTTTCTTCTTTGCAGCCTCCGCAGCGTTGTCTGTTACAGCTGATGCAGGAGACGTAAAGGGCCGCGTTGTGAGGGCCGAAGGAGCAATGGCAGCAGTACCAAAGCGAAGGCATTATTGTGAAGATTGATGGATCGTAAGATTGTAGAAGTTTTGTTCGGTAGTGAGGTATCGGTACAAGAACAAGAAGCAAGAGCGAGACTGTATATAATCAAGTGTGTGGATCGAGGCCGGTAGGATTCGATCAGGATGAATTGACTTGAGATGGATGAAACAGAAAAATCAAGAAGGCATGTGTGATCTATATAGGGAATTAAAGAACACGAAAGAACAAGACAAGGACGTCAGGCAGCGTCGGAGCACTGTGGCTATTCCTAGCCAGCCCCGGTAGTCTGCCTAGGGCACCCGTATTGGGACATGGAACATTCACCCGGGCACGATCTGGGGCCATGAGTAACGGGGTCCTAATTTGCACACCATCCCGGGGAGAAGGCCCCGAATGAGGGTCCCGACATTGTGGCTTGTAGCCTAGGTGTTTTGCCAGGGTGAGAAAGCCCACTTTTTTGTGCCTGGATGCCGTGAGGAACTGTGATCCATGGGGTTGAGGTTGACTCAGGGTGGATTCCCCACTAGCAAGGCTGCATTTCACACCGTCCCGCAGGGCAATTTACCCAGGGGAAAAGTAGACTTTTGGTGCGTCGATTGTGGCTCGGCAGTGCCAAAGAGACGGTCACGGTTAATGGAGATCATCTCTCCACGGAATGTCAATGGCCTCGAACTATTGGTCTCCACTATTAACAGGCAGAATACCAGCAATCCAGGCATCGGTGACTCGATCTTTAAAGAGTCATACTCAGGTGCAGGCGGCTAGCCCTGTTGCCTAAGAAATCAGTCACCAATAACATCTTGAATGTTAATTTTTTGTCATAGATTCCAGCTCGAGGAGTTCGTGTTCTTTTGCTGAGATTGGCATTCTGATTTGAATTTCCTTTTTTTTCTCACCCTCTGTCCGTGCCAAACATCGGGATCTCTCGAATACCCCATTTTCTGCTCTCATTTCTTACCTTTTTTTTCTTTTGTTCCTATACAAGTCTTTGGCCCCCTCTACAAACTTGTGGATTTTCAGGTACCGCGATTTTGACCAGGGTACAAAGATACTCCAAAAAATACCACAACATTACGATATTACAGTCCGCTATGATCATATTTGAGCCTCACTATGATCATGCATGCCTTCATTTCCCCGGTCGCAGGCAGCATTAATATTTCAATATTTACTGGAACGATGTTCGGTCCACCGTTCTTCTCAGACCCAAAGACCGCAACCACGGGTGGTTGGATTCCCAGTTTCGGTTGTCTCAAATGATTACGTCAGGGGCCGGAACCTCACTCCAAGGCTTCAACGCTTCATCGCTTCAACCTTTCTTTCCTATGCATATCTCTTAGTGTTGTGGAGGCAGACGCATTTTGGTTCTTCGATGGCGACCCGCGCACAGAAGCGCGTGAACCTCGCGGTTTCCAAGATCGTTCCACCCGTGTTGGTCGGCTTTATGGTTTATGCCTCCTACGCGGTCACGAAACCATTATGCAGTGAGTGGTGGAGCGCCTAGCCTGGACCCTTTGAGAACCTTGGAAACTAATCAGAAACTCTCTGCGACAGTTGACTATCTTATCCACCCTTTACCTTCCTATAATCGAAGCTCTCGGGTTGGCGCTGGCGCCGCAATTCTCGTCATTTACTACCTTCTCTTAATACCCATGTTTGGAACCTATATTCGACTTCTTTATACCGTTGTACGGAATCCTGGATATTTGCCTCTCGGGCCCGAATGCTTGCAGGCAGACGCGGCCGAGCAAGACTCGAAGCCCTCGAACAAACGACCCGGGTGGTGGAGATCAAAGTCTCAACAGACAGAAAAGGTGGACGAGGCTTCGGATTTGGAGCACGGAGGGAAGAACTATCATGGTGGCCAAGGGTCCCAGGGAGATGCACTCAGTCTGGAGAGCTTCTATATGAAAGACGTCTTTGTGTGTCAGGACGATGGGCGACCTCAATATTGCTCCACGTGCTGCCAATTCAAGACTGATCGAGCACACCATTGCCGAGAAATCAATCGCTGCGTGGCAAAAATGGATCACTTCTGTCCTTGGTAAGTTGACGTTCAGCTTCTAAATTTCAATTGCTCATTGAACATAGGGTCGGCGGCGTTGTTTCGGAGACAACCTTCAAGTTCTTCATTCAGTTCGTGGGCTATACGGCGATTTTCTGTATATTTGCTCTTATTGTATCTGCATACTTTACAGCAGAATTACGCCGCAACGTACGTCCTCATGCCCTCCTATTCTCGTATCAATTACTGACTTTCTTTGGCCAGACGGGAGCCGTGAACCCGCATTGGTGTGTTTGCCTTGGACTGTAAGTTATAGTGTCCATACATACTCGAACTACGCACTAAATACTTCTTCAGCGGCGCATTCTTTGGCTTCTTTACCGGTGTCATGACCCTCAGCTCTCTCCAAATGGCCATGGTGAATGTTACCACAATCGAAAACCTGAGCCGTCGATCGCGCGTCTGGACACTCGCCATCCGAGTCCCCGAGCCTCTTCTTGACCGACTCTGGGTCAGCGAATCCGCATGGGCTCCTACCTTCCGCATGGTCTCATACCCACCAGAAGGAAGTATATCACCATCACAGCCCCAACCCAGCGATATCTCTACAACAGCACGCCACGTCTTCGCCATCCTGCACACTAGCCCAGGCGAGAACCCTTTCGATCTCGGCATTTGGAAAAACCTCCAACAGGTCATGGGTTACAGCCTCACAGACTGGCTTCTTCCTCTGAAACCGAGCCCTTGTGCCGACCACACCAGCCAGGAAAGCGCCTTCGCTGTTGGTCCCGTAGTGACTCGACTAAAGCAGGAAGCGGGCTTAGTACCGCCACACTAGCGAATTTTTGGCCCCAAATCAAGAAATCAGGAACATAGCTCTAGAGGATGTAAACATAGAAACTGATCTGTGCTCATTTTTACTTTGGCCCCCGTTTCTCTGTCTTCACATCCCCAGTATAGGTTATATTCTGGGGAGGGTTAAAAAAAGAACAAGCGCTATACCCATGCGTGACTCTGACTCCACCCAAGCAAATCAACAATGAAACAACTGGTACCTTTCCCCTGCAGATTCACGTTATTTCTTGAAGATGTTCTCGCCCCATGCATATTGTAGGGCTGAAGGCGTAATGCATCTCAAGAATTACAGGGATCCGCTCAACTAGTGGATACTCTGTTTTTCTGCTGACTTTCCGACAAAAATAGGATTCAACAAGAATAGAAGAAGAACGGCCACCTTGAATGTTGACATCAGACCAGATCTCATTAATGGTCATCAGCCCGAACATATCTATCCTTAGAATCATCGATGATCAACTGACTCATCGCATTGCAGTCCTGCCTTGGATGGCCTGAACGAGGCCAAACTCTGTGAATGCGAAGATGGGGCGCTGGGAATGAATGCAGAGCCAAGATTGGACCCCACGCTAGCCTTCGCACAGTCCACATGCCGCCATGCTCCGAAAATCATGTGAGTTTTTGATCCAAAAATAACTGCCTGAGGTTATTCGGATTTTACTCTCGCCGCGGGTCTTTTTGTCATTTCGTCCTTTTGTCTGAGGATCTCGTGAACTGGGACTTTGGTGGCGTTTGTATAGTTCACGTGGGGAATTTGCCCGAGTGGATCGCGCGGCCTCCCGGGCGTGGACTGAGATGGTTAAGTCATGGATTTAGCGGGTTATAGCGGGGAAATTGAGTGGAAAACCAAGATTGAATCATTAATCAGGGCTAAGTCTGTTTGATTCTGCCTTGTCAGGTGTAGAGCCCTGGCAAGCACTACTGAAAGTCTGACTGGCTTTCTTGGATCACAAATTCTTCCATCGGTACGTGTAGAGCTCTTAGTGACCGAGAAGCAATACTTGCTTTGAAATGGATAGATTGGACGGAAATTGAAGGATTGTAGATCAAATGGTTAACTCCAACTTTGTTCCAAACACCTCCAATCCAACAGATGACACCAACCATGCAGTAAGAGACAGACAAAATAGCAGACCTGAGCAGCCGATATAAAGTGAACACCAAATATGAAAGCGAGAATGATAGGGTGAAAAGAAACACAGCTCTAGCCATTAAGGGATAAAGACAGAACCCAGCAAATATCGAATACGAATACCACAGGGAGAAAAACCAAGCATAGACTTCCAAAGGCGAAACCATGATGCCTAACTCCAGTCAACCAAGACATGAACCATGAAGAAGTAGCCGTCACGGGAACAATCCCCGTGCATGATTAACAGATCCAATCCCAAAGCGCCAAGCTTGTCAATGCAAAAGCGGATGGCAAGACCTGCTTAGGCAGGTCCGCAGGTGTGGCACCGTCCATGGTTGCAGCAGGAGCATCGTTCAGGGGACAGAGCTTCACTGTTCATCTGGCCACAGGCACAGCAGGACCAAAAGCCGAGATGGCTTACCGGAGTTCCAGAGGTAAGTTGACGGATCCCGAGGGCATTGTAAGGGGAGCGAGTGCGATCAATTGAGAGATGTGACAAGTCGGCATTGGCTAGACTGCGAGCTTGAGCGGCGTAGCTGGTTAATTGCTCGACGGAGGTTGCCATGCCGTTGTAATTAATGCTGGTGACTTCGAAAGGATATGCAAGAGAAGACATTATGTGTCGTATATGTCAATTTCGTTGAATCAATAGTATATGGTAAGGGATTATCCAAAATGTATCAATGTACAGGCGATGCGATAAAGCTCCTCAAATGTTGAGATCGAGCGAAGTTGCTGGCTGGACGATCATATTTGACTGATGGATCTAGAGGACTTTAAATATTATTGAAAATGAGGTTCATGATGGACCTGAAGATCACCCTCACCCGCACCCTTTTGCTAGTAACACATCGAGGGAGCCACTTTGAATAGCCACAGCGCCTGCAGCTATTTGTTGCCTGGGAATCTCCCGGCAACGAGGCCGGGCAAACTTCATCGGGGCGAGGGCAAGCAGCGGGATCAGTGAAGCAGCCATCCAGCGGGCAGAGCTATGGGGGCGCGCTTGCAGTATATGCTGATCGTGCATTCTTAGTAGCCTGGAGGAGCGAAGAGTTACACTGCCGCCCACGCCCAGGTTGCGTGCGTAGCAACACAGTTAGATAATCAGGCACCGCCGCACTGATGCGCTGGACATCACAAGGGTGGATATTAGTGAATCTCATACAAAACACCCAGAGCAAGATACCAAGTATTTTGCCTCGCACGGGTGCACAAAATTGCAGCCTGCCTACCTACTACAGGTACATACTTGGCAACTCAGGTTACTGCCTCTCAAACGTGATGTTTCAAGATTTGCCGTGAGAGACTATAGCTGTGAGTAAACGCCTTTCCAAGGGTCTTCGCTTTGGATGACATCCACCAATGACCGCTTGTCCCACTGTCATAGTCCCGGGTAAACAGCTTGGCAACCGTGCATAATTCGGCGCTCCCGAGCGGCGCCGGGCCAGGGGTCAAGGTAACGAGCTGGGGCTAGGGGCTTGAAATTGTTCTCGATGATGTCTGGTTACATCGATGTGCTGTAAGCTTTCTGGTTGGCTCCCTTAGGCCCTAGGCTCGCCTTGACGTGTCCAGGCAAGGCCTACCTCCCCCTTGGGTTACAGGCAAATAGATTAGTGTATTTGCCCTGGTCCGGGCGAATCATGACCCATGGCAAGATTGGAGCACATCATATGTTCGAAAGAGGAAGGAGGGGTTAGAGGGGGATAAAGTGGAGGTGGAAAAGGTGTATACCATTCGAGGAGATCGCCGTTTTCCTCATCTCAAACTTCCAGAAAACGGATTTCCTCAAGGGGTGAGAGCGGGCCAATCATGGTGCTCGGGTTTATGGACTTGTGACCAATCATGAGAGCTTCGCCAAAGCCGATCGGATCTGGTCTAGGAATTATGGGGATCTTATGGAGCCGGACGGAGTATAACCCTATTGTTATTGACCCGGAAATTAACGCAGGATGCGAATGGTCGGTGACTTGTTTTCTATTAGGGTTCCGGAGATGCTTCCAAGGTTTCCGCGGACTAGTGCCGTTGGAGACTGGGTTATGTGGATTCTACAGCTTGACCCTGAATGTTGAAGTAATTTAATTGTGATAGATTCTAGGATTTGAACTTTGACCAACTCTTCGTTTCATGGGAGTTTATGCTTATCTCAGGTCCTAGGTGCGGTTGAAAGCCCTCCAGCTTCATTATGTCATGGAATCCCGGATGACACTGTGAAATGGCAACTCCCCCCAGGTGACGTTTGCCCGGGCGAATTAGTGGATCAATAGACAGAGCCGCAGGATTGACTTTGAGAGAGGGAGCTTTCGGCATTCGGGGGAAAATCGGAGAGAAGAAATCCCCATGTAACGCGCTGGATCCATGGTTTCAGTACGGGTCTCCAGAGTTCCACTCATTCCTGTACCGTGAATCAATGATCTACCCGTTAATATGAAGACTGTTTCATGAGTACTTTTGTTCGGAGAAAGTTGAGTTAGCGTTGTGCAGTTGGGCTGCGAAGAAAGTGGGGTCTTTGTCATCGCGTCGCCCACTTTTGCGTCATTGCCCTCTTTTCCTTCTCCTTTTCCTCGTTTCAACTCTTCACCTGTGCTTGAATAGACTCAACTTATCCACATCCTTCAGTTCCGAATTGATCAGCTCCCCATCACGTTTGTGACGTACAACGTCTCGTCGTTGCTTTTTCAAGCCGAGTGTCCCGCTTCAGCTTGCCTTGTCGCCTTTTGTTATTTCTATCAAATTTTGAAAGCTTCCGAGGTTCAGAGAACAAACACCCCAAAGAAAATATAAAAATCCTTCGGTCTCACCTACTGGTAGGTATTTCCTTTGAGCTTCCTAATGTCTGATCATAGCAAATGTTTTTCTGACACTGCCCGCGATCACAGCTATTGGAAAACACCGAGCCAAGGCCTCGGCCTTTCATAGCATTCCTATCGTTTTGGGAATTGCGTCTACAAATTTATCGAAAGGGTCATGAGCTTCTCAACCCAGCACCGCAACCTTTCCCCCAGCGGTGGACGATACCATGTGGCTGGCCCACGAGCGTCCACTGGCATGGTTCAGCTTGGCTCCTCCGTCGACCCCTACGAACCAACCAGACGCCATTATGAGCATGATGAATATCCCTCTGATGCAGGCTACGGGAGTGCCTACAGACATTACCCGATTCGCCGATCGCCAGTAGAGGCCCGGCCAGTTTCGACGCAGAAAGTCCGGGATTCTGGTCATTCGACCAAGCGAACGGAATATACCATCGAACCTCAGTCTCGACACCGGAGCAGGAGCAATACAGCATCTGCTGTTGATATCTACCACAATTCTGCTCATTTGTCGGTGCCCTCACATCATCATTCAGTCCACTCTGTTCCTGGCCGTGATCTAAGTCCCCTGCCCACTGATTCGGGCCACTACGTGATGCCTGCTCATCATGGTGGACATCGTCGCTTGCATAGCACTGACTACGCAAGTGACACTGGTCGTCTGGATTCGCATGATCGAATTAAACACCGATCGAGTCGCCATGGGTCACACCATGGTCCTCCACCCAGCGGACGGCGGCGATACCCCGCCTACGACGGTATCAAGAAGGGCGAGGACATTGACAACTACCATGCTTATTCCTACACGACACCTCGAGAGCAGTTTGACCGTGACTACCCAGTTCAGCCACGCCATCCTGGGGGTAGAAGCTTGATAGATCGGCCTGTGAGTATGATCATGGACGACGAGCATTCCCAGCGGGTGTCTCGTAGGGATAGACTGCATGGTCCCCCGCCAACATCCTGGGGAATGGATAAGCTAGACTGGGAAGGACGACCCCGCACTGGTCGGGCTGACGACCATTACCGGGATGGCTCTAGGTCCAGGGGCCATGACCGTTCGCTGGTCGCAGTCCCACACCTGTCAGACGATGATCATGATTCCTATAGTGATGGCCACCGTCGTCGTCGCCGGCACCGTAGATCTCATCATGAGAGTGACCGGCACCGCCATGATGACAGGTCTCCTCGTTCCCACCATAATGGCGAAAGTGAGCAGGCATTGGTAGGACTGGGAACAGCTGCCCTGGGCAACGGCTATGCAGACATGTCTGATTACGACCACCGGCCATCGCGACAGCACAGACGCCCACGCGAGCCAGAGCGCGACCTTCAGCCGCCACAGTCAACATCTCGGGAATTAGTCGATGAAACACCGAGCCCTGAAAGAAAGCAGCTTTTCCTCGAACCAGGTGACCATCATCGCTCTCGCCGCAGTCGATCTCGCAGAAGCTCCCATTCCCGACGGCGCAATGGGGAGGAGTCGGATTGGCTCACGGATGATGAAGATCTTCGCAAATATCAGCGTGAACCGTCCGCAGCTCCGCATCGGAAGCACAGCAGCGAGGATAGCAGCGAGGACAATCAGGCAACCAGGGGACATCGTCGTCCACGGGAGCGCTCACACGTGCGGTCACGCAGTCGATCAATTTCAAATGACAGCAAGGAAGGAGGAAAGAAGGTTGTCGCAGTTGACCCGCCTGCACAAAAAGAGCCTGATACCATGCCAAAGGGAATTCTGAAGAAACCTCGTCCAGCCTTCCCTGAGGAACCCAATCCGGTGCGAGAAGGCGTGGCTCCTCTGTCCAAGGACGCAGACAAGCACGGAATTCCACCTGGAGCTCGTTGGACCAAAATCGATCGGCGGCTAGTCAATCCGACGGCATTGAGACTGGAAGGCATACGGTTCGAGGAGCGGCCGGATTATGTCATTGTACTAAAGGTCTTGTCGAAAGAAGATATTCAGAAGCTCGCGTTGGCGACTCAACTAATTCGAGGTAAGCAACTCCTGAATGAAAAAGCTCACAGCTCTTTTCTTTCATCGAAATTGTGAACGATAGTTACTCACTGTGAATATAGATGCCCGCCACAAGGAGCACGTGCGTGACAAGCGTCAGCACAGAGATGAATACCAGCGTGATGGCCACTACAACGATTCAACCTCGAGTGATGATGAGGATGAGGACGACGAGCCTTTGAAGATCGAGGCAGCCCCGGGGACTGAGCCCCAGCGCCAGCACTTGTCATTGCCTGAGCGTCCTCGATCCTCGAGCCACTCCGCTCATGAAAACGCGAAAATGAGGATGAGCCCTTCTGCTGCGCCGGCGTAGAGAAGGGCCTATCATGACGATGCCCCAGATAAAAAAGCAAGTTAAAGTCGAAATGTGAATGAATGTGTGCGTTGTGCGGCTAGGAGGTTTTTCGCGCCGCGCGAGACGTCGCAGCGAACTAGTCCTCAACCCTAGTCAAGCGCCTAGCCTAGTCCACCGGGTTGAAACCCCTGCAGTTGTTACGAAATATCCTGTGTCCTCCCTCCTGTACGCCGGTTACTTGCGCTCCTGTACGATTAGAGCGCATGGGTTTTCAAATCCAGAGACACTACGCATAGAAGGGACTCCGCCGAGCCAGTCTTTGCCATTGACATGCTCAGCGAAATAGAAGTTACGATTTTCTTTGCCTTTCCTCACGATCCTGAGACTGCTCTGCTTGACACAGAAGTCATCTTAGAAACGAGACTGCAGTACTCTCTAGCCTGACGCATCCACGGCATGCTTAGACAAGTATTCGAGGCGAGCAGCTGCCACTTCAGCTCTGTACAACCATCAGCAGCAATTTGCTGTTTCAGCTGCAGAAGATGACTGGATTTCTATCCCCATCTACACAGGTGACTCCTGCCACAGAATGTAAACCACATGAGTCGACAGAAAATCCCGCAAACACCATACTGCGCAGCTGAATAGAATCGAATCGAGCCCTCAAGAAAAGCCGGAGACTCCGCTACCTTCCACATCCTCCCGGAGTGGAAATTAGCACAGCGTTTAACGAGACCGCAGCACTCTTCTTCACTCTCCCATCACAATCCACGCCTGATCGGCGTTAACGATAGGAAATTGTCCCAAAAGGGGGCGAGAGCCCCCGGGGCACATACGTCAGAAATAGAAGTAAACACAAGATACATTACCAAGAAACTTCTTTTCAAAGGACACGCATACAGAACGCGCAAAATTAGAAAGGGAAATTGAAACGCAAAAGTAAATTGCATTTTGGAACCGGGGGTACATCGCATTGCGCGAGGACTGCAGGTTCTAGATCCTCGACAGGCGCCACAGAAACAGCAAACAAAAAGCTGCATCGCGCCGAGGGCGATCATCATACGGAGTGGAATGTGCATGTACGGAGGAGCTTGTTCCGCTTACAGGCATGACCTTCGATATTAGGAAATAGTTGGGTTGTTCTTGTTCAGCTAGAATTGTAGCAGCGTATGTCAATTCCTCCTCAGACGAGGGAGGCTTTGTACTCTGTAATTTATCGAGATTGAATGGTATTTCTGATTTTCATCTGATCATCTACTTGACTTTTCCAGTATGGAAGGATCCATTGTTGGCTGGATGGCGTTACATCGAGGCACGCAGGGCTGGAAATCCATGTCCGGAAATCCATGTCCAATCTTAGTTGGCTCCAAACTTTATGTATCTCTTTCACCTGGGTGATTTGCATGCCATGTGCGTGGTTTCTAATCTAATAATCCTTGTTCACATTAGCTGCGCGTTATACGGGCCTGGGGAAGAGCTGTATCCTGTTATTCTCCGCCCTCCTTGCCTATCTGAGATGAATAGAACGCCTAAAAGAGATTTTGAATAATCAGACCATAGGAAGTATCTGGATGTTCAAGTTTTAGTTTCCCTTTTTCTAATTGAAATTAATGATACGTTCTCTGTACCCGTAATTGCAACCCTCCACAAATATCCCACCTATCCCAACAACCAACCCATTGGATGACACTAACGGAATGTGGGACGGGGTAATTACTTGGCCACAATGATCACCAGCTCGGTTCAATCCAATCCCCCAGTCCTATTCTGGTATATGCTATGTGCAGCGGGGAGAGACCGGAATATCTCCCCGGGAATAGCCAGACCTGGTATCCGTCCGTTGTGGCTGCGGTGCCGGACGATCTTGACGGAGATCAAAGTAAATGGCGCATGCTCGATTCTTTCTGCCTTGAGCTTGCAGTTGCAGCACTGTGCGTGACTTGTTTGTATTGTCTGAGTAATAGTAATGCTTCAGCGATTATGATTCGTCTTTCGTTTCCTTGGTCTCTTTCTTTGACTCCTGTCTATCTTGACCCCTCTAACAGCTAAACACATATATGTACCAAGGCCTTCATGAAACAAATGATTGGCACAGAGTGTCCGTCGCTATCCCTGCCTCATTCGTCATTACTACTCGGCAAATTAAAACGTCGGCTGTTGAGACAAGGATAGACCAGGACGTTTTCCAGTAGCGTGTGACATGCGACGCAACGTACTGTAGTCTATCCATTGTAATGAAGCTATGTTCTGTGATTCATGTGTGATTGTGATTGTGACTCTGCCCTCGCGTTGCAATCAATTTGAACGACTCAGCCTTGGAGGGCTTGGAGGCCCCCAAATCCCACTCCAACGCCCATATAATGAACCTCATTGGATAAGGTTTCCTAGGCAATTTTGTATCTCGGCTGTTGATACTGCTTTCTGATTATGTGTACGATAATAGGGCTCGGGACTATACGAAGTTGGTACAAGCGTACAGTACAATACTGTTATACACTAATGTGATTGGAAGCGCAATTTTGCCGGCCCCAGCATTTGTACAATACAGTCATTCAGACGGAAAATAAAAAAAAAACGAAGAGGGCATTACTGCCTGAATGTCTCATTTTGATCGTGTGGATATAGAATAGATTGGAGAAATTCCGATTTCAAGTTTGTTTATCTATTTCTGGGTTGCGAGAGACGCAACTGGAACCTCTGCAGCTTAGCGAGTCTCAAAATGATTTGGTGTGCTGGCGTTGCGTATTCCTGAGATCAGAGGCGTTCTCTTCGGGGCCTTCTCTTTGACACAACTTATATTAAAATTGTATCATCGAGCAGTATCTTGGTACCTCAACCGGATCGCGATTCGTGGATATGCCCCTTGATTTATCTATCGGGTCGGTGTGTCATGGTTGTTCTTGTGAAGGATACTGAAGGATTCTCACGAAGTATAATGGGCCCGTACTATTGACAGGTATACTTGCAAGAAAAAGCGCCCAAGTGAGATGCCAGCCAAAATCCGGTTCTTTTCGTTCTGTGGCAAGGCGGAATCGGAAAATGATCGACACGAGCACATGTGGTTCGATGCTGGGTTACCCCCTGCGTCCGCCTTTTAATGTGTTCTTGATGTCATTCACGGGAGCGGTGGAGGAAGACACGCTACTGGTTGGTGCATGTATAGGGAATGGGTTAGTTACGACTACATCTACCAAGTAAATCCGGATCAGTCCTGTCATCCGGCGCTACTGTGTTACATTCCGTGGGTAGCAAATGGCGCTTAGGTGTTGAGAATTCCAAATACAAATCCAGTTGGGATTATGATAGTGACGGTTAATTTTTCCAAGGTTTCAGTCTCTCTGATTAGTTGGCTTATACGTTCGTTCGCTTAGATATTGATCGACCAAGTACATATAGTGTAATAGGCAAGAACGGTGAGCGTTTAGCGCATCTCGCCAATCCAGCCTGCAGGGATCAGCCCTCGGATTACCATTTCTTGTCTAAGGCTGAATTTCTACTCATCAACTCCCCTCACAGGTGCAGAGATTCTGAAACAACTTGCTAGCTCCGGGCCACGCGACCGCCACTGCAGGTTTAACGCCTCCCGCTAGTCGATAGCTCACAAGTACGGTTTGCATACGAACTGACTCCTCGCTGACAGCGCTCTGATGCAATCGTGATGAGGAAAAGAGTATCGGTGTGTTGCCTTCCCGAAAATGAACAATAGAAATTCGCCGATAACGGTGTACAGTATGCCATGCGATGCGGTCTTGGTTAAGTACACGCACTTCCTTCCCGTAGACACGTCTGATTATCACTTCCCTCCTGGGTCGGTGCACATTAACTCCGGAGCACTCTGTTCCCGCAACTTTCAGAGCCGGAGAAACGCAAGAATTATTGATGTCGTAGATTTGTTTGCTTCGGTACGTAGTGGAGAGATCCATGGAGCTGCCCGTGGAGCCCCGGAGACGGATGGTGGGGCCGAAGCCCCGAGTTCTGATTCTCTTTGTCTTCCCGTTGGCTAAGTGCAAGCTCCGTACAAGATGGACTGTAGCTGGGGGTGCATTACTAAAAAAAAAAAATAAAAAGAAAGAGATTACACAAACAAGATAGGGCAAAGATCAAATCTGGGCCCCAAAAACAAGGCCGGCTTGCGCGTCCACTCGGGCAGAGCCGCCTACAGCAGGAACGAAATGAGAACCACGAGACAAAGAAAAGAGAATCCACATCGATCGCGGAAAAGTGGACTTGCCCCCCGTTCCATCACCATCACTAGCACAACTCCATAACAGTAAGGACTAGTTTAGCCGGGAACTCTGTCTGCCTAGACGATCCGCAAGACAATCTGTCGAGGCCACCAATCGAACTTGAGTTGGTCATTCTCGCCCCTTGTTCGGCCCATCGCCTCTTTTTCCACCCCTTTACCCCACCTCCGAACTCCGAGCCTTCCCTCAATAAAAGGAAAAAAAAACTCAATCCCGCAAAAAAACCGTTGGCGCCTCCCGAGGCAGATCCCTACCTACTAGACAGGGTGGTCGGTATTTCCGTGTGTTCAAGCGTTCAAACAGACCAGGGTATGACAACTTTAATCCCACACACCGTGGTCGGAGATATAGATCTACGAACTAGTTTCGAAGCGTCGCATTTATGGAGGACAAAAAGTAGGTAGCGAGACTATAGTGGAAGCTTCCAATTCTTAATGTGAATTTTTAAATTTTTGCCCCCCTCATTCTAACTCCCTTTGTGAGGATAAACTGAACTACTCCCGAATGGCGTTGACTGCATCCATGGTCTGGGCACATACAGACCTAGACAACCCTATCTTCGCCGAGGTTTTACTCGCCTCGCCGAAAGTGGTACTTTCCAAGTACTTACTCCGCCGGCGCCAATGGCAGATAGATTCGAATGCTGGCTTTCGGGGGCTTAAGACCGTGTACTATACCATATCACTATCGTCGGCGCTCGGGGACGCGCGACTGCGGGATTACGACGTTGTGGCTCAAGCAATTTCCTCATGCGAGCCACCGTTGGCGCCAAGC